TCGCCAGTCCTGATAAGCACCCCCCCCCCCCCCCCACCAAAAGAAAAAACCAGTTTTCTACAAAGAACACACGCTGGATGAACGGGAACGGGTATGGCAGGTGATCAAGAACTGCTAGGGACATGAGGGGAACACGGCTCATCTATATTATATTTTCGGGATTGTTGATTTCGCTATGCACACTCACTTGTAGATTTGGCGAAGAGCGCTTCTTCCACGCAAGTTTTCAAGTTTTCCACCAACAAACCTCTCCTTGGTGCAATGCACTTGGTCTGGATTCTTTTTACAATATTACAATCATAAGTCGCATTTCTATCCTCCTTATACTATTATCGAAATGAAGAAGTTGAAGGACTCAGACTTACCTTGACGTGAATGGTTGGCACCGTGAAGGTGTGGACCCCCTGTACTATGATTCATAATGAGAAAGTGCACTATCCCCAGCGTGTTGTGGGGAATGGGGCTTCGCCTCAGGCTGGGTTCGCTGGGGTGACTCAGGACGGCGACAAGTAATTGACGAATTAGCTCCACGGTGCTGTAGTTCCATTACAAGCAACGCCGACGGAATCGTTTCCAATGCCACATGCAGCATGAAATGAGCGGATTAATAGTATCGATCTCTGACATATATTGTGAATCATGTGGCTTCGCCTCGGTGAGGTTGGCTAGCCCCGCCTGGAGGTCTTTGTTCATAGGTCTGGGTCCAACCTGGTGGCCGTCCACAGCTGCTTGACCACAACCTGCCAGGCAGACCCGTAGCTGAAAAGAGTACCTTCCTTCCAGGTTCTTTATAATACCCTGGCCATACCTGTCTTCAAGTCTCTGTAATGCATCATCCACATCATCTTGATTTCGATACCACGCAACCATTTACACAACGCTGCCTCGTACTCGTCAAGACTCCACGTTGCGACCATTCCCTGTCCCAATTCACATTTTACGCAGCTCGGCAATCAAACCCCCAAAATAGGCAGCGCAGAAGTTGTCATGGCGGGTACCGGCTCCTCAGCAACAGAACCACCCTTTTCCTGCGGATCCCATGATACTGCAATATGTGTCGTTCCTCCAAGATCGTTATGGGGGACTGTTGATCGATTACGGTCGCTCTACGACAAGGCCTATGAAAAGTGGCCGCCTCACATAAATCTGGTTTATCCGTTCGTCAAGGTCGACAGCCTCGAGCAAGCGTCAGCGCGAATCTCATCTTGCCTAGCAGCAAGCAATGAGATCCGCAATGGCACATTTCCTGTCTCACTCAACGCTGTTGACGTGTTTTCACATCGACATGACAACACCGTCTTTGTCCATGATAACGACGCGAGTCGGACGTCGAGATTAGAGAGCCTCCGAAATTTGGTGCTTGAGGCATTGGGTCAACGTGGTAGTGCATACCGTATGCATTTGACTATTGGGCAAAGCGAGGACATCAGTTCGGCACCACACGGATTCTTATTGCAAAAGGCAAGCCTGATCCCTGCCCTCAATTGGGATGTCCAAGAACTCTGTCTTCTGGTCCGCGAACGCACACACATTGACGGCAATTCATCCAGTCGCATGAAGGTATGGGCCACCATCAGCCTGAAGGATTTTTCAGTCCACCGAATGTCCCCTACTGCCGAGCTCTATGAGGGAATACGGCTCAAGGCGCCTTCGGACGAACTTCAAGAGTGTATCACTGGGAATAGTGACAGAACCTGGCCACCATTTTATTACTCCGCCGGGGCTCAGGCATGGAAGCCCCACCATACTACAGTTACGGAAGAAGAACGAGACACGCCAGAAAATGTTCGCATCGCGAGCTATAACGTGCTGGCTGAGTTTGAATACCCCCCGTCACACTTGCGATATCCTCTTCTACTTAAAAATATACTCGACGAAGCGGCGGTGGCGGATGTGTTGGTTCTTCAAGAGGTTACGGACGATTTTCTCATCTATCTACTGCAGGATGGTGCAATACGCCGGGAGTATCCCTTTGTATCACACGGACCGCCAGATCAAGAAGACATCGACCCCCTACCAAGTCATTTGAACGTTGTGGTCTTAAGCAAGTGGTCTTTCTCGTGGAAATGGATATCCTTTCGAAGAAAGCACAAGGGCTCCGTGGTTTTGCAATTCGATCACCTTGGAAAACGTGTCGACGATACCTTCGTTCCCGTTATCTTGGCCACTGTCCATCTTACATGCGGGCTCACAGACGGCTCAGTCGCTGCCAAGAAAATTGAGTTGCAAAATATCATCAAGTATTTAACAGAGGCCTACCCGCACAACCCCTGGATCCTAGCTGGTGATTTCAACATCACAACAAGCACTTATACGATCGGAGCGGCATTGCAGAAAAAAGCAATATCATCGCAGACTGCGAAGTACCTCGCCAACCTCGAAACCATGCTGACAGAGTCCGGCTTGTCAGACACGTGGATGATAGCCCGGCTCGAGAACCTCGCGTTGATGCCAAGCGATGATGACCATCATCTAAACCTCTCAGATGCGTTTGAGGGCGAAGAAGGCGCCACGTTCAACCCGGTAGTAAATGAACTTGCTGCTGCCATCGTTGGGAGTGGTTTCAATAATCGACCCCAGCGGTACGACAGGATTCTGGTCAAGAGTGCTGAAACGTTCTCCATCAGCGGCTTCAATATGTTTGGTCAACATGCTGGAATAGCAGACGAAAACCCGCAGGAATACTCGTCTAGCGATCAGAAAATCGTTCACTTGGGTTTTGCAAGTGACCACTGGGGAGTCAGGTGCTCGTTAAAAGTGTCTTCGGAAAGGCCGCAACCATCGATCGAAGAAACTACAAAACCAACTGTCGCTATGCAGCTAACTCCAGGCCCAGAAAGCCTCGCCAAACCTTCAGAGTTGAGGAAGTGCCTCGCTGATCGAAATATCATTCCTTCCGAAATCGACATGGAAACGAGGGAGCAAGCCTTGCAGCTTCTTGAGGACATCTTGTTGGAGGATGGATCAGAGGCCACTATGTATCAGAGTCGACTGGGACAACGGTTTGTGATCGTTCCTGTTGGCTCCTATGGCTTAGGCGTCTGGACCACATCCTCGGATATTGACTGCCTCTGTATCGGCCCTATCAGCACAAAGACTTTCTTCGCTCTAGCTCGCCAGAGGCTCCGGAAGGCCAGCTCGAGAGACGTCAAACTTCTTAGGCAGGTTAATGCAAACTCTGGAACGATGCTCGAACTAGAAGTTCTCGGAATCAAGATGGATTTGCAGTACTGTCCATCAGCACTCATAGCCGAGACTTGGCCCCAAGCTATGAAACTGCCTCCAAGTAGCCCTGTATTCACGCTGCCGACACAAACACTGGCCAAGCTGAAGCCTGTTCGCGATTTGTATTACCTCCGACATACGCTACCGGATCTTGCCGCCTTCAGGTTCGCGTTTCATGTAATCAAGGCTTGGGCGAGGCAAAGCGGTATTTACTCAGCTCGATTTGGATATCTGGGCGGGATCCATATATCGATTCTACTTTCTCGAGTCTGCAAATTACTTGCCAAGGATGGAGGTTCTGCCTCTGTACCGTCCATCATCACAACGTTCTTCCACCAATATGCCAACTTTGATTGGAAGAACCAGATGGTATTTGACCCCTTCTTCCATAAACGCCTGCGCTATGTAAGGACGTCTCGAGAGCCTCTGGCAATTCTTGGATTTCATTCGCCTGCACTCAACACAGCTCACACGGCCTCGCTGCCCTCAGTGCGTACCATTTCCGAGGAGCTTCAACGCGCAAACCAGCTCTTGTCGACAGAGGGTGCTCAGTGGTCCGATTTCCTGGGTGAGAAAACTTCGGATGGCTCTGCTGCTTTCCTGAAGAGCTTCAAGTCTTATATCAAGATTGACGTGCAATTCTGGGGTGTCTCCCTAGGTAAAGGAAGCCAATTCGTTGGTTGGTTAGAATCAAGATGCGTGATGTTGTTAGTTGGTAAGTAACCTTTCAGGTTCAATTGGGTTGGGTTAGCTAACATCATCTTACTAGACCTTCATCGCCGACTTCCGACCATACACGCGAGAATATGGCCAGCACGGTTCGTCAATGTCGACCAAGAGTCTTCTGACGAGGACAAGGAGTATCAAGGATACTATCTAGTGGGTTTAGATCAAAACGACGCATCATCGCCAGCCATGTCCAAGGAGGACTTAAGGATTGCGTTCGGTTCTCTCCAGACGGCGTTGCACAAGTTCGAGACGCAACTCAGGAGCGACGAGAAGTATTTCGATCCTAAAACATCCTGGATGAGCGCATCAGTTGTTAATCAGTCTCAAATCGGTGACTTGAAACTTGACCACCGCGAATGGGGAGAGTATACGCTCGGGGATGATGAGGAAGAGGATGATGAGGATGAGGAAATCCTTGATGCCACAGAAGACTACAGCGAGGCTGATTCATCAACTTCAAGGAAAAAGAAGGCCATCGAGAAGGAGCTGCCCGCCAGACCGGCGTATTCTGGGAAGTTTCGATCTTCTGCCGATGTGATTAACCGCATCCGCTGGGACCCCAACATGGACAGCAGTGACTACATAGTCGGTTATGAGGACCGTTTCTTGGGAATCATGGAGAGAGAGTTGGATCAGTGGAAAGCAGAGCAGACTGACGAGGAATTTATCCCCCAACACCGCATAATGTTTTTCAAGCGCAAAAGCGATGCGGTTGTTGTTTGGGACCGGCAGTCGAGGAGGGATCATATATTTGGGAGTGGCGTTAAGGACGAATAGTAAAGCTGGTGATGGAGCTACGAAAGCCAATTGTTATCCAAGAGGCCTTATGAGATATGGCGTTTGCGAGCATGTTGTTCTCACTGTATATACTTGCCGAGAAGACTGTTCAGGCTCGTGTAGCCCTCAAGGGTGTTGGTTACCCAGATCTGGACCTTATTGATCAGGAAGGCCCAAATACTGACTAGATGGACCGACCCATTTGCGTAGTGCCAATTACTTAAGCAAGGAGTTTCATGTGGCGTGTTTCCGTTCACTAAAAAGCGGACCTCCGGAATAGTAAATATTCTGGTATCTGTGCCATACGGAACCGGCAGTGATATATGCGGGGTAGTGGTCGGGGTAAAGCCGCGACAGGCTGACGTGGATACTCACTCAACGAACGATTTGGTATCGGACATTTTTCTTGCACCTATCCCCGATCGTGAGTGTGTCCATATTTGCTCGATTTTGTTAAGCAATTGAGGCGCAAATACTGTCGCTCATACACTTGATTGATACCTGCAATAGCTCCAGCGCTACTCAGTCCATTCACTTGACGTCGAAAATGACAGTCAGTTCTAACCAGGGGCAAGGCGCCGCGAATGCGTCGTTCGAGCGTGAGTGAATTATACACAACTGTCTTCGAGATCCTGCGCCTTCTCGAATGCTAAGTCTGCCAACAGGACTCGTGCGGTTCGTTCCCAAATCGAACCCCGAAGCTGTTCTCATTGGACAGCCCGTCGACAGTAAAATCGATGTTGGCCAGGCTGTTCGTGATGGCGAAGAGGTCCTGGTGAAGACATTCAGCGGCACGTCAGCTCTGAACCCGGGATCATTGACCGACAAGACGGAGGCTATCTCAAAAATTCTGTCACCCGTTTCGGCATCGGAGGCAGGGGCAATCAGATGTATCGGCTTGAACGTAAGTCGCAAAAGTCTCCAGCACGTTGCACCATCGACTCATGCCAATAGTATCTGAACCACGCCAAAGAGGCCAACATGGCCGTGCCAGAGATCCCGATGATGTTCATGAAGCCTGCTACTGCTCTTGCGGACCCTTGGCCTCAGCCAACCATCATCCCCAAGCATACGCTTGCCGATGACTGCGCAGACTATGAATCGGAGCTAGCGATCGTGATTGGCAAGACGTGCAAGAATGTAAGCGAAGCCGACGCTTTGAGCTACGTGCTAGGCTACACGGCAGCGAACGACGTGTCAAGCAGAAAGAGTCAGCTGGCGCAGTCGCAAGCGTGCTATTCGAAGGGATTCGATGGCTCTTGCCCTCTCGGACCCGTTCTCGTGTCCCCATCGCTTGTTGCTGATCCTAGCACGTTCACCATTAAAGGTTCGAAGAACGGCGAGGTTATGCAGAAGTCTAAGCTGAGGTTAGTACGAGAACACTTGTCCTGAAGAACGAGAAGAGCTAACACGACTTGAGTGATATGATCTTCAACTGTTCAAAGCTCATTAGCTTCTTGTCGCAAGGCACTACACTTTTGCCAGGCACAGTTATCATTACTGGAACCCCGGCTGGCGTGGGCTTTGGCAAGCACCCTCCTGCTTACTTGCACGAAGGCGATGAATTCGTTGTGCAACTAACACCGCACGTTGGAAGCTTATACTCAGTATTTCAGAACGAGCAGTAAATGAATGCTGTGTAGTCAAGATCGACGACAAGCATGCATTAAGTGGACCGACGGAGAGAAGGACGGAATATTCCCACGGTTACAGTATTCTAAACTTACAGGCAGTATGCATTGGATAAATAGGAAAAACTAGACTTAAACACCCCCCCGAGCGCCTTTTCGATACCTTTTATCCCCTGCATATGCTTTTGCTCAAGTAGGATATGTCCAAGTGATTGATATTAGGCTGGGCCGCCGCCTGGGTGTATACCGACATCGGGCCGGCGACCAGCTGCGACAAATCTGCATCGGCTCTCCTCTCTGCGAGTACTTACTCGAGACAGTAACTCAAGCCCAGGCAAATTTTCTAAACAAGGCTGAATACATCACTGTAATAAAGCAGTCACCACACAGCGCTTGTGCCAGATCGTTCTTGATTGCTATTGCGTTATCTAGTACGACTCTTGCAGACCCTCGGTCCTCCCGCTGAATCCTAGGAATCCTATCGTCCGATACTCCAGGTGGTTCAGGTCAACAACCCCTTACTTGCATAATGCCTGCCTTGACCAAGGCTCAGCAGAAGCAGGTGCAGGCTGCCGAGGATTCCTTCAATCGCACGTATGCAGTACAATACGGCGATGAAAGATGGGAGAATTCACTTCGCCCAGCTTTAGTGACGCCGACACGGTACGGCGTACTTATCAATTGCTACAGATCGAATAGCCTACCCAGCTCGTTCACTGAGAACGACGTGACTGATCTGCAACTCATCACGTTCCCGTCAAGTACTGGAGCATCGAACGGGGAAGTGGCCGAAGAGACACGCCTGCTTTCATACCAGAGAACAACCACATCGGAGAGTTCGCAGTCCCCTACCGCTGAGGCTCCCTTCCCAGCACCCCAGGCGGTATCGAATAAAGATGCCTCGAACAGTCTCATGACTCATTGGAACCTGGACGCTGCCTCACTTCTCGCAGTCAGTATTCTCCGGCCAAAACCTGGTGACAAGGTGCTGGACCTGTGCGCCGCTCCGGGAGGGAAAAGTCTGTCATTAGCACAGCTCCTACGCCCGCAAACATACGATGACGCGGCTCCATCCCTCATGGGCGGTTGTCTCCATAGCAATGAGGTTGACGCGGCTCGAAACAGACGGCTCTCATCAAACTTGCAATCGTATTTGCCAGCCCCGCTGTTCAAGAACGGAGAAATAAAGGTCGTGAAGGTTGACGGAACCGAGCAGCATGCTGCTCAGATGCTACCTTTGGGGATCGGAGGCTACGACAAAGTCCTCTTGGACGCCCCCTGCTCCAGCGAGAGGCACGTAATCCACGCACATTCCAAAGCTAGACAAGGGGGCAGGGTTGCCGACGAGATGGCATCGTGGCGCTCCGGACAGTCGAAAAAAATGGCTAAAACACAGGCTGCCATCTTGATGACGGCATTGAAAGCTGTAAAGGTTGGCGGGAGAGTACTTTACGCGACATGTTCCCTCAGTAACGAGGAGAATGACGGCGTGATTGAGAAAGGCAAAGAACTCGTAGCCAAGGAAAAGAAGAAGTTCGGAACGAGATGGGATATGGCCGTGAGGAGCGGTGATTTCGCAGGTACAGGACTCGAGCAATGGGCAGAAAGCACGAAGCACGGCTGGATCGTACTACCGGATCATCCAAGCGGAGGAAGATGGGGACCGTTGTTTTTCGCAGTCCTGGAGAAGGTGTCAGCTTGAACGGTCACGATCGCCGCTTGCACAGAAGGCTCACAGAGGCTCACGTACTTTTGCTTATGTCTTTGGGTACGATAATGTTAATGCTGTTGATCATTATAGGGAAAGGGAAGGCGTAACGTGAATTGTTGATCTTGACTACTTACACAATAGCAGATGAGTACAAGAGCAAGCTGAGCCTAAGGGAGATAACAGCAACCACTGGCAAGCACTCTCACATCAATATCGTCCGTGTATGATTGCCAACGGCTCTTGGGTGGCATTATGGACTTGATACTACATGACTCAGAACTATTTCCACCCTGTGTCTGTCATGTACCACTTGACCATTTACTTACCTAGGTAACTACGCCTTCTGTGTAATTGGTGCCTTGCAGCCGAGTCCTAATGTTATGTCTCATACTCAATCAGGGGTAAAACTTTGACAAACTTCGAAGCCAGCGCATCCGATAGGGCTTGACCGGAGGAACGCCCATTGCATCCTCAATCACTTGTCACTCCCATGGTATTAATGAAAACAGTATGTCCATCCGAGGGAACAGGTAGCATGTCAAAACGGATGTCGCATAGCGCGGGATATAGCGATAACCGTCTCCTTCACCATCATCCGAGGTGCCCATCGCCCTGCATGTAACAGAGCATCAATCCGATCCACCGACAAGAGCGCTTTGCTATCGCACAGATCCTGAAAAGGTCATGTGGTAGCTTTAGGCACCCGCATAAGGGAGTATTCGGGCTTCCGACGATCCCACACATCGACAAATACTCGTGTTGATACGTGAGCCAGTTACGCCGAGCGGATGAGGGATTCGTGATTGGACTGGGACGCATGTACTGCCTTGACGCGATGGAGCGAACATGTGACGGGCCATGCATGCTGTGTCGCGTTCTAGAGACGATCGATCTCTATAGAGGCTGTCACAAATGTTTGGGGCCTCTTGATGCCTGTAGCCCTTGTCGGTGTACCTATCAGGGACAGCCACGTAGTTCCGAGTTTTTGGAGAGTCAGTCTCGTAAAATGAATGGGTCATGCAGCTTTTCCGCTTGCCGGATTGTAGAACATCCCGTGGAGTATCGTCATGCCCACGGTAACATGTGTTTCAAATTCTAGTCTGACCAAGTTCATGCCTGATTCAACTTACTGACGCATTATATTTTGTTTCGGATGCTCCAGACAAGTCAGGAGCTAGAAAGAGTCAGAATGCAAGCCATCATTTCTCGATGCAGCGCAGGCCGTGCAATCAAGCTACAGAGAACCTGGCTGGCCATTGGAATCTCTTGGCGGGCAACCGAAGGCAGTAGAGCGGAACGGGCATGTATGTTTCTCATAGCCACTACGCTTCCAAACGTAGCCCTGCCCGCGCTTCTACCGTAATGTCTACTTGTGTAGCCTGGTTGTTTGATGGGGCCTTGGGAAACTGGATATTTTCCCTTGAATGAGAGCAGCATTGCGCGTGAACAGCATCCAGCAGTTATCTGTCTGTTACCAGAATCCGCTTTTTACGTGGTCCAGACTAGTTTGGATGATACTCTAGCCGCGAGACCAAGCCCATCAACAGGGCTTGTTCGACAGTGAACTCCTTGGATGCTTGCTGTGGGCCCTTTCGAGAAGGCTTCTCAACTGAACATGCCCCCATCTACATGGTTCTCGGGAAATAAGACCTCATCCTTCCACCTGGATCATCGCTGCTCGGGATAGAACACGGTGGGGCCGGCATAATCATCTAAGATTGACGTTAGGCTAGAGTGGTCCGATAAAGCTTTGATTAGATTGAATTGGCATGACACGGTCGTCTTGAAAATAAAGCGGCTTCTATAAATTGCACGACAACATGACCGGGAAGGCCTGATCGCACTTACAGTATGTATATGCTGCGCTGGAGCCACACCAGTCGGATAACACATCCGGTAGCTCCTGTATAATCTACTCATTGGCGATCTATGTACTCCGTACCTTAAAGTGCTAGACGTTTGGGATCGCCTCGAAGTCGGTACTTCGAAGGACTTTGAGTTCAAACAGACCCCATCCGTATCTGTCCAGCTTTCCTCATCGTGGTGGATCGACGTTATTGCGTGTTCACACGCAATCGTTCCCAAAAAGCGAACAGAGTCGGATGTGGAGCCGACGAGAATACTTACCATAAGGGGAGGCAGTCACTCACTTCGAGTTCCTGAGTCTCGGATGCATGGCGGCCTTTCAGCACATGGGCTGTCAAGTGACCGATCTCTAGAGATCAGTTGGAAAGGGTGTGTCCAATCATAGTTGCAGTTCTAGTCCGAGATCCGTGCGATCTTATGTAGGGCGGACATATTACACACTTCATACAGTCTTATGTTCTGCGTTATGACACGCAGGATCTGATGCACAAGCTCTGGAAAGCCAATGATCGCACACCTTCACGGTATTGGCAGAGGACTGCGGGAGAGAAACCTCGGCCTTCCACGATATGGCGTACCGGATCAAACAGATCCAGCAAAGCCATTCACCTTCACCGCCAGATAGTGAGCGCATCCGAGAGTCTGGGTACGACCCGAGCCCACAGAGGGAGGGCTACTTCCCATCCGGGCTTAGTCGTCAGTGCCATGGCCGAGTATAGGGCAGTGAGGCACAATGCCCGCCGACCAATTGAGTGGAAGCGCAATCATGACTCGGGCGTGGGGGAACCCGTGCTCAGGCGAGTGGATTGCCCTTTTCAAATCAATCACTGCCGTCAGTACGAACCGGTATTGACCAGGCAGACGTCAAAGTGGTACGGTGCATACCTCGTCGCTTTCCCGTGGGCCGAGCAATCGATGGGTCGAAGCGGGTTCCTAATTGAACGTTGCTGATCGCAGAATACCGAGTTGCTTCTGGCGCACTGCTCGGCCTAATCCAGCACAATGTCTCAAGCGACAACACAGCTGAACCAATTGTATACGACGAGTATCATGCGCCGAGGCGGAACTTTTAGAGGATCGTCTCGAATGAGCGCTCTCGAGCTCGTCGTGTGGGTTCACGTGGGGCGGGGCTGACCGCGTCGCTTCCCATTCCAGCATCTTGCCGATTTCTCGTGGGCTCCAAGCCCGCCAAAAGCTGGTGTAGTGGGTGGAACGGCACGAGCGGAAGCAATGTGGAGGAGGTTTGGCATCACACCAAACGGTGCTCAGACGCCGTTGTATGTACAGCACAGTAGATAGCTGGTGGGTATCAGCGTTGTTGTCCACTAGGTTGCACTAATAAAGATGGATCAATCGTCGTGGGTTTCGATGCTCCAACGGCCGTCCTCGCTTGGCGTCATTAGTCCCTAACAAAACGGGACCGACGAGTTACCCAGCAAGCCCAGGAGCGGGTTGCGATCAACGAAGGAAGCAGTGGTACGTCACCAGTGTACATTCTGAACGCGTCGTTCCAAACGCAGGATTATTGCCATTGTACCGACGGTGAGATGGTATAGATATACTATGTAGAGTCGGGTTCATGTACTTACAGCCCTCTACCCGCGCGACCGGAACAATCTGACACCTTGGGGAACCCCACTTCCAGCGTGCCAGGGAATGCGACTGGAGCCTTATGGTGGTGTAGGGTGGGCGAGCTGGGCCGCTGGAGCCCGTCGTCAAGCGGCTAGAGATAGAGAAGAGATGCCCGACGGGGCCAACGGTCAGACGGTGCTCCGCCAGAGGAACATTCGAAAGGGATCAATGGAAGGCTTGCCATCATCATGCAGCAGGGAAGCCGGCGCACTGCTGGACCTGTAACCTGTCATTGGCGACTCTTGCCGTCAACGGTCCCTGGGGTGCCCATCCAGCAGTGGTTCCACCGCCCACGTGTTGCTCACACGTAATCGCGATGATGGGCAACTTTTGACGTTGTTTCATGGGCAGGCCCTCGCGCTCGCTAATCTCTGGAAACAGGACCAGCCGGCTTCTTGCCCCTTGCCATCGTTGGCAATCCTGCTGCTGTTTCGAATTGACCGCTGGCACTCTGACGACATTGCGACCAGGTCGCTGTTATCCGGGTGCCAGTCCAGTCCAGTCCGTCTTTACCCGTGACTCAGAATTGCCTGGCCGCCTGGACCCCGCGCCCGTGCTGCGCTTCAATGTTGTTTCCTTCATGCTCATGCTAAGGGAACCTGGGTAGCCAGCAAGCACACCCCATATTTGAAGACAATTTCATGCAAACATCTCGGAATTTGCCTAGTGGTCGCCTTGTTGACTCAGCTGCGCGAAGTATCTCCCCGCGCCGGGACGTCGAGAACGCCGTATCTACCTAACTTACACGTACGTACAAGGGTTCTCGGGGGGGTTGTGTCCTGTAAGTGAGCGTACAGTACGCAGCAGGTGAACCTTGCTCCTCGTCCGCACTTTGGCGTTTCCTTCGTTGGTTCGTCAAATGAGAGGAGCTCTGGGCCAACCCACATTCCCCTTCCAGAAATCTTCTCTTTGCTTCTTGCTGCCATGGGGCACATGGCACCTCTCGGTCTCCCTCCCGCAGGGCCACAGCAGGGTGCGTTTCGTGCACTCACCACCATCTAAAACTTTCTAGAATGCATTATGAAGCGCTCTAGTCACTGGGTACGGGGCCCGCGGTGACAATTGCGCACGCTCGCCGCAGGCTTGCGCCGTCTGACAATCTGTGCATAACAAGACAACATCCTGCAGGAGGCTGAGGTCAAGGTATAACCATGAGCCAAGAAGGTTCCAACGATACGAGACTGCAAGCGCAACTCTAACTCCAGCAGAATCCTTGGAGGCAGAGTAGGGAGTAAGGTGCTCAGCCTCGGATTTGGGAGCCCCGTAGCACACTACCCTCAGTACTGCTATTTCGATCCTGATGTCCTGGGTGAGGAGGTACTCGGCTGGCCTCTCTGGACCCCTGTTTTTCCCCCCCTCATACCACACAGTACCTACCTGCCCAGGTACTATGGTACCCAGCCCATGACCCTGCCAGTCTCTATTTTCGCGACGGTAACACGTACATGGGCCCTAGCCCAGTTGTCTTACCGCTTGCAGGGCGCCTGGGAGGAGAAAAGGTCCCGTCGTCATCAGTCGCGGCTCAAGTCTCTGGCCAGTTGCACGCTGCTCGCCGGTGATCACGGCGGCTCCATGTCGCTACGAAGCCAATCTGACAATCCTCGTGACCCCAAACGGTGCCACACCGCTTGCATGGCACCTTTATCAAATCTAGTCTCCTCGCCCGGCTGTGACGGGTTGCCTATCGCAATGCCCGTGCTTTTCGGGGTTGGGCCACTATCTCATTTTGTAATTTCGTCGTGGGGAACATTTTTCGTCGCCGATACCCCTGACGCCTTGGTCCGTACCCCCGCGACCAGATGGGTACTTCGCGCGCACTATACATGTATCTTTTATGAGGTGGTCGCATCCACACAGCCAGCCAACCCTTCACGGAGATCGTCAAGTCTCATCCCAAGGCGCGTTCGCAACTCGCAATATTTAAACCTGCCCACCCCCATGGGACTCACCGCGACCCTTGGAGCACCACAGAAACCTCAAATCACCTGACGCGCAATCCACGCTTTGTCCGTCAACACGCCAACACTACTCTGATATACCATCATCTCGGCCTTACAGGATCAACCACCCGCGACAATTCTCACCATGGCCGTCCAAGAACACCAACCTTTGGTCGATGCTTGCTGCACATACTGTTGCAGGTCTGTCGACTTCGGCACCCATGACTACTGTGCACACTCGGGCTGCCATCGATGCCCCAACTAATCGAGCACTCTTGGTCCCTGAGAGCCACTAAGAAGTCTCGGCAACACACACATACACATACACACCCCCAGAGGCACCAGGCTCATCTCGCCAACGCTGGTCTACGCCCCATTGTGGTGCTATTACCAGAACGTTCGACTGTCATGAGACCCCCGCAGCACTTGACGATATGCATATCTCTATTAGGAGGAATTCGGAGGTCTGGCATTGCACGTTTCCTAGCTTTCCTGCCACCCCGCATGCGAGGCTGAAGATACCTGAGAGGTCCTGCTGGCCCTGCATCATGTATGCTGCATCATACATGCACTGCAATGCTAGCAGGCATCTTCAGTGCAGCAAGCGGCTGTGTCTCACCGAGACCTCGGCACTCCTCTACTGCTGCTCTTTCAGCACTCGCGGCCCCCCATGTACTCATATCTTTGTGTAACACTCGTTCTTCTCGCACTACACAAGCATTGCATACTTTCGCTACCCTGGCGTGGGCGTTTCAAAGTGTAAGCGCGGGAACATACTGGAGTCGGGATCGTTCAGTTTGGGCTCTTTCGGTCGCATAGCATATGGGAATGGGCACACAGGCGCTAGGAGTTCATCACGGATCATTCGGCTGGGACATTCACTGAAGCCCTCCCCACCCTGTTTTAGGTGCCCCAGGGGATCTCGCCGCCCTTCGGCTGCTCACCTGGAGGGGGTCGCCTCGGATGGAATGGGTGGGCTCGATTACGCAGACCGCGGGGGCAGGTCGTTTTGCCATTTCTCCTGTGTATGAGAATAGGTCGCAGCTGGGGTGTTGGTTGCGGAATTCTGACCAAACACAACTCGAGCTGGTTGGCTACGTCAGCCATCCATCTGGGCACCGATGGACGAGGACGGGCGGACAGGATGACGGGCGGATACTCCCTTTACAAGTCTTACCTACGGTAGCCTTTCATGTTTTCATGCTAGCCCAATCGCAATGGCAGGCAGACTGGGAAGGCCACAAATGCAACAACATTGCCAAACCACATTATGCACGGTTGATGTGCTTGAGTGATACTTGTTACTGAAATGCATGCAACACTGCCACCATTCCCTGTGAAGTCCTACAACCCGCCTCCCATTTCTTCTCCTCTTATGGTGGCGGGGTGCTTCCTATCTCACACGCGTCGTGCCATACAGGCGTTTGGTGCGGCTGCAGAAGGCAGTCGGCCAAAAGTCCTACAGTATTTCACTCAGGTCTTTCTTCCATGTACTACTTCTCAGCACCGCAACTGGGTTGTACTGGCACGGGTACCAAGTTACCAGGTAAACGGCTACGAAGTGCCAAATTGACCAGCATCACCTGAGAACCCTATACAGAAATTAAGTTGTGAGATATAGCAGATTCCATATTAGGGCGTCCCCGCCGCCCGCTTCAATAGTCGATCCGGATCAAGCAAAGCGAACTCCCAGGCCTTGCCAGGCTGATCGGCCCCCTGTCTAGCTGCGACTAGGGATCCAAGATACGCACATCTCGATTTCCATACGACAGTACAAGGCTGCCAGATATTGCGGCCGACTGTGCCAATCAGACGGGCGGGGTGCCTAACTGTTTCGTCGCGATGCCGCCGCTCCTGTTCCCAGACGAAGTTCAGCCCACGTCAGGTCAGCGCTACTTTGCCGGATGAGAAGAGCAAGCTACAGCGTCGCACACAGGAAACGCTGTGCAACGCGGTGCCTACCCAGCCAGCCAGTAGGCATGTGCGTGCCTGGCGGTCAGCCCGCCCGCGTCCGGCTGCCTCTTTCCTGCTCGTCTCTGGGGCGAGACATGCATAGAGACAGACAGGCCGGGCGTTTGACTCAGCTTGATAGCGATTTCTCGGTGTGAGCCTGCAGGATCAGTTCATTGGTTCCGCCGGTCCCTCCGCACTCTTCTCTGTCTATCCCTCTCCCTGATCATCAGGTTTCTACTCGGTAACACCCAGCCGACCTGGAGTGGCTGGCTAGCTCTCATGCAAGCAGAGGCAACCCTGATGAGGATCACCATCCGTACGGGGTGCTGCAGCTTACGTGCCTGTCTATCGCAGGCCACGCATGCAATGGTCGTTAACCAAGCATCTGCGCCCCTATGCACGGGCGATGATATCGGGCACCCAAGATAGGATACCTGGGGACCGTCTAACGGAAAGGGAGACTGCAGGTCAAGCCAGCAAAGGTAAGTGATAGACAGTCTGTGCTTTCCTGACAGTCTCAGATTTTTGCACTTTGCGATGTAACTCCTCCACTTGTTCCTGCCACGGCAGCCGGAGAATTCAGAGATGCCCACTTACAAGCAAAGGCGACAATTCGAAAGACAGACATGGGTACGCAGCCACGGCCGGTAGTCGTGATGGTCATCGTGGGTATGTCTTATGGTTTTGGAGCTAGACAACCCATGTCTCGATCTCGGTAGCCGTCCGTGAGACCCCAGTCGCGACGGTGCGCCCTCATCAGAGGGCTAGACTTGTTGATACAAGTATGCAAAGAGGTGCATTCGTCCAGCGCTACCTGGGAGTTACTTGGCCACCTTACTTCTTGGATCTGTTTGTGTGCCCGTCAAGGACGAGGCGACGCAGTCGGACAAACGCGATACCGCTTTGATCTCTGCGTGCAGGCACGGCCTAATGTCGCTGAGCATTGTCGATCGTACACATCTGGGGCCTGTTGGGCCAGTCAGTCGTCTGGGAAATTCGACCTGTCGGATACCTAGGTATCATTGAGGCTCTCGCTACGAGGATCTGGTCGTGAAGTATTGCCTTGAGCCTTGGCTCGTTCTGCCCTACCCCGTCCAGACACACGTCAGGGGTCCCCGGTGAGTAAAGCTCAGACCGAGCAAGGTGAGAGAGTGGTGAGGGGCAGAGGGTATCGTCTACTGGGCAGAGGAGAAGCCCTGCAATGCACGTAGACCGAGTTGGCAATATGATGAGTCCGTTATGCGCTCATGCCTAAGCTGTGCCTTCTTTACTCACAGCCGCGTCCTTAGGTACTGCAAGGTTGAGCTGTCTTGTAGGGAATGACCATCCAGGTAGACGCATGCGTAAGTATAGGTGAAGCCATCTATGCAGGCCAAGAGCTGCAAAGCAGCATAGAACCAGGTAGTAACACTAGCAACAGCGGCCCGTACGGAGTTAGGTAATATTGTGAGAGTAGGGATCTTGTTACAGTAGCACTGAAGAGGCACCCTTGATCACGTTCAAAATAAAATAGTGGATTGCCATATCACTTGTCACATATCACACTTATTTCTAAACTGACAAGGCCGGTGCATTGCGTCTCTGACAATTCCTCAGGTCACGCCATTATCAAAATCAGATATTATTATTCCCGTGTTATGATGTGGTCACTCCAAACAAGAAGCATGGCTCACCAACATCATTCCAAACGCCTCGCCGGCCCGAATGGGTATCTTGTAATCTTACAGCCTGCCATCGCCTTACAGTATACCTTTATGTATCCTTCATGTACTCCCAAGTCTCATAGCGGCCAAGCAATCGCATATCATTAGTGTAGCAAGACATGGGCGTTGCATGTCTCTTGTTTCCGTATTGCCGTTTGCGGAGCATAACTACAGGGTTTCCGCCCTTACTCCACTCGTTCCGAACTTTGACAGGTTCCGGTACCGGCAAGTGTGAGTTCGATTCGGCAACGTGCAGTGAGAACATCCTTGTAGATTGTACATTCGGCCGCAAAGGCAGTAGCTCGATGCTACCGAGGCCGTATCTGTTGGCACGGAGCTTGCTCCGTCTGCGCGGAAATAATGCAGAAGCCGTTGACTGCCAAGAATGCGAGTTTGATCCCTTGTCGAAATGCCGAACTTTGTATTAGTAAAGGGATAGGAAGACGGCAGCGATACTCGACTTGTCGTACTTCACGTATTTTCCTTTGCCCTTGTCGATTTCGTGATAACGATCCCAGAAACGGTTGTATAGAGGCTCGAGCATCTGTTGAACGTCTTTGGCGAACATGTTGCGGACCTCCCGCTCCATACTGTAAGTCTTATGCTTGGCTACCAGGTCATCAAACCCAGCATTGAAAGACACAAATTTCCCTTTGATGCTTTCCTTATCTTTGCTGCTCAATCCCTTCAGAATGGAGGCCGAGTCAATACCTCCCGATGGAGGACGTTGTGTCCGATTCGTATGAATAACATCAAAGAGCTGCATTGAGAGATCTTTGCACGCCTCAGTATACATGGCCTTCGCCCTCTTCCGCCAAGTGTCCAGCACAGCGAGTTTGCCATCCAGAAGCGGTGCAAGGCCGGACTCTAGGATCATTCGCTCGATGATGGTAATGCTGTTGGCGAGGAAGACACCCATGACCGACTTGCCCCTCAGAAGCATTTTCGCCTTCTGGTCCAGGGCCGTTAACAATGCATCGATAGTGTCGGTGCAATAGTGCGCAAAGATCTCCTTGCCGTCTGCTCCGATATCGAACGAGGCGAGGCTTGGGATAGCATCTGTACTGCGATTCGCTGCGGCCGCAGACTTCCAACCGCCATCGCCTAGTGAGATCATTACACTTGATATCGGCCGCAGGAATTCAACCATGGACTGGAGGCGCTGCATAGTCTCGGAGACAATGGGAATGGGTGCACCATCCGAGGGTATGGACTGCAGCATGGAAACCTTCCGTTTGGTATCATCCAGCAACTCGGCTAAAGATACCTTGGCCGTCTCCCTGACAGGCTTCAACGCTGCTGCCAAAGTGCTTTTTAATTCTCCGGTGCGTTCCTCCAACGTGGAGGCCAGACTAGACATGATCTCCACCACCTCGTATGCTAGGAAGCAATCTGTACTTAGGTGTGCCTTGATATGGTTGTTGAGCTCCCTGATGGTGCGGGCAAGCTCTGCCATTGGCACTTGGCATGCAAGCTGCAGGACCGACCCCCAGTCTTGCCTCATGAAGATGCTGCAGATATTTTCGTGCTCCGCAATGCACATGCCCTCCAGAGCCTTTGCGTATTCACCAATGCCATTGGTGCCCGCTTTGTAGAGAGCGCCGGGGCTAGTCTTCTTTGCAGTGTTGACACTGGCGAATGCCAGGTTGACCAGTGTCTTCTGGAGATATTGGCCGCGGACTTCGGCGTATATCTTGACCAAGGGGTTTTCCGTAGTCGCATTGCTCCCGACGTACGAGTTAATCAGGCTCAGCCGGGCGATTTTATCCTGGGATATGACAGGGAACGGCCTGCCCTTGGTGGTGAAGTTCAGAGGCTCGACGGACATGGGCGTCTCCCCACGCAATATCTTGTCAAAGTGACTCTCCAGCGAGCTGTTCCCGTTCTGTATCAGTCTTTGGAGGTCGGTTCTTGTCTGCTGATTGGCGCGCAAGTTGGCGCTCTCCATGTTCTGCAGCGATGTGCTTAGCCTCTGGATCGAGTTGAGATAGTTGGACAGGCCGGCCTTGTCGGGGCCTTGCCGGATGATTTGCTCCTCGTCATTCTTGGAATCGGCGGGCTGACGCAGCCGCTCGATGGCTGCGATGACAGCGTCGATGTCTACCGGCGGGGGAAGTACGTTAGCGATATGGTTTCTAGCGCTCGTGGTACGCCTGGAACCAGGACAGGGACTGACTGTTTCCCAATATCTGTAGCTTCTTGGTCTCGCCGTTCAATGGCCCAGACACATCGCGCACGCTCTTGCCCGTGGCCTCGAGCCTGCCGAGACATGCTTGGATCTTCTTGGTCAATTGCGTCGTCTTCTCGAGGCGGGAGTTGAGCACGTCGACCTCGGCGCGCGCCTCTTCGTCCGCCGCGTGGCGACCGCCGGTGAGTCCCACGGCCATGATGCCGGTATCGAGATGGGTGTGTCTCTTGCTGCCCAGGTGGCGGTGCAGAGTCGTGATGGTGTCGTTTGGTGTTGGACGGGCCCCTTCAGCTGGGTGATGACAGCGCTAGGCTTGGGAAGACAGCTCGACCTTAGATTGGAGGTGGGGAAGGCTAAACTCCAAGTAGCCTGGCCCCGTTGGAGGCTGGGGTCCCGGCTGGGTAGGGTGCCTAACTAGGTACCATAGGGGGGCTCCCACAGCGCATGTGCCACCGAGTTCCCAGTGCTGCAAAGTTACCGTGCTGTGCAGAGGTGCTGTAACGCGACGCCCACCGAGACGCCTGACCCCACGTCTCCAGTGGTCAGACTGGTGATCCCAAGCCTGAGACGCCATTCGGAGCCTTTCCAGCCTCTCTTTTGCGCCAGAAATTGCGAATGTTAAGCCATGCTTATTTGGGTCATGCCTTACAATAAAGATCAGAATGATGGCAGACCACTTAAGAAACAGGTCGGCGGTCCTGCTAGGCTGGTGCTGGAGTAGGAGATATCACGGGATTGGATACAGCAGAGTCACGATAACTACAAGGTTGTCGGCCTGGCCTGCTCGTCTGCCTCTAGCCTCTGAGCTTCCCGCAACCGCCCCAGAGCGCGCAGAGCTTGCCCTCAGCGCCCCTGCACGTGGTGACAAGGCTGACTCTTCTTTTCCTCGGCTTGGCGACTCACACCATGCAGAGAGACTGGTCGGTCCCCTGCAGCTTCGGAGCTTATCCACGCCACCGGTACCCAATGACGAGTCTCCCTGGCGCACCTCACCTGGCCAACAACGTACCTCCGTGTACGTATGTTGGCTGGCAGTGTTACTCTCTGTCGTACGGTGGATCGACAGTAACATATCTTTGTTCATAAGTCATGGCTGTGAATCTCAGGCAGATAGGAGAATAAAACGATTCCCTGTGTTTTCTTGTGTTGAAAGAGAGGGAAAGATATATATATGCAATTCTATCGTGTTGCTTTGCATGGAAGAAGTATTCCGATAGCCAGGCCATTGAGCCTTGACCAGACTAAGCCTACATGACAGCCCGCTGCTCAAATTAGCAAGCGATTTTCTTCTCCTTGAAGTAGTCGTTGACAAGTCTTTCGATTGTGCCCACAATCTCTTCAATCTCGTCCGCGGTGGTATTGTACGGTGGTGACACTATAACATGATCTCCACTAATACCGTCGACTGTGCCGGTGCCAGGATAGACCGCAATACCGTAGGACTCGGTCAAACCGAGTTCGGCGATCCCCATGGCGACGCCGGCCTTGTTTGGAAATGACTTCTTGGTAGACTGTTCGGAAACAAACTCGATCCCCCAAAACAGCCCTCGTCCACGGATGTTGCCTACGTTGGGATGCGACGATAACCGTCGAATCAGACCTTCTGAGAGCAGCTTGCCCATCTCTCGAACGTTTTCGAGCAGATGATCCTGACTGATGATTTTCTGGACTTCAAGTGCCGCAGCGCAAGCAACCGGGTGCCCCTGATAAGTGTGACCGTGAACAAAAGCCCTAGACGTGTCAGCCGTGCCACAGATCGGCATATGGGATTAGGGAAGAAGTACCCTGAGCCCTGAGATAGAGCATCTATGACTTTGTGGTTAACGAGCACCCCGGCGATAGGTTGATAACCCCCACCAAGACACTTTCCCATTGTTTGGATGTCTGGGACAACATCTTCTTGTTGCCAGGCATGAAGTGTCCCAGTACGTCCCACTATAAGGGAAACAATGGGTCAGCGTTATGTTGACTTGAATATAGAGCCGACATGGAGCCTTGGGGACACTTACTTCCGCACATAACTTCATCTAAAATCAAAAGTGCGCCATGCTTTTCGCATACTTGTTTCATGGCCTTGAAGTACCCAGGAACAGATGGTACGCATCCAAGTGCCTACGCCATTTGTGAATATATGACGGCTGAATTGCGGGGGCTGACTTACAGCACCAACGACTGGCTCGGCCACGAAAGCGCAGACCGTTTCTGGGCCAAGGCGCTGGAATTCCTTATCCAACTCCTCTGCGAGCCTTGCAACGTACGCTTCAGCATTCTCATCCTGCCCTTGCCCTCTGTATGCGAAGCAAGGTGAGACCCTTGATATATTCTTCAGGAGCATCGGCTCGAACTTTGCTCGTCTGAAGACGTGACCGCCCATGGACAAGCTTCCAAGGGTTGTGCCATGGTAAGATAGGTGGCGTGCGATGAAATTGACCCTCTTAGGCTCTGAGTCAGGTTTTTCAAGGAAGTATTGTCGTGCAAGTTTCATAGCAGCTTCCATCGCTTCCGACCCTTGAATGGCTGTGAGTAAGGAAAGAACCCGACAAGGTCTGCCGAGGATTGTGTGACGTACCAGACGAGACGATGAGCACCTTGGACATCTGCCCATGCGTCGATTGGATAAGCTGCTTACACAATTGCTCGTACACGTCAGTGGTGTAGAACATGGTTGAGCAATATGAGACTTTGTCAAGTTGCGCCGCCATGGCATCCCGTACGCGGGCGTCACCATGCCCGATGCAAGCCACCGCTGCACCGCCAGAAGCATCTATGATGCTTCGGCCGTCCTCCAAGAACAGCCGGCTCTTGCTTCCATGTGTAAGACGCAGAAACTGGTGCTGTAGGTTACGATGCAGCACGGCTGAGCCTTCTGAATCCATGGCGAAGTATCCTGGCTTTTTGGAGTTCTGGGACTGTTCTTCCTGTGTTCTCGAAGGTGATGGCGTGGGCGAAGGGTGTGGGTTCGGTAGTTGGTGGTGCCTGGCCGGGCTTTGTAGATTCTGAATAAATGGGGTGCGAAAGCGTTTAACCAAGCTCAGCGTGAGGCTTCCCCACGATTGGTTGCCGGCGTTATCCATTTTCGATCTCGCTTACTAGTTAGTATACGTACTTGTCACAAAGCGCAGAACTGTGCAAGGGGCGTTGGATCTCTGCGCGACGCTCAGGTGATCTGTAAAAGCTCCCTAGCTGCCCCTTGAGGTAACACTGCGGCGAAAGCACATGAAGGATTGGTATTAGATCATGAGGCACAGCAATGAGGATTGCAGGATCAATTGCTTCTTGTATGCACAACCGTGAAACCCCATCAATTCAGGTACCTCTCAAGCCGTATCGAACCGGGAAAGGCTATCGCATGCCGCTATTCCTGGCCCATGCATGCATCCATCTACCCAACCCAAGCGGACCCAGAGGACGTTCAATATGCCAGCCACAAGGTTCGGATACTGCAGGTCCTAGCACCCCTGCCTCTGCTACTCCTCATCTGAGCCAACCGCGATCTAGTATCTGACCAGCCGTTAGGAAGATGTTCCCGATCAAGGTACCACCGACTCGGCAGCTGAGGACGCAGGGGTATTCAGGATGAGCCCCTTGTGCTTGCAAAAGCAGCGCCGCACTAGTTCGCCAAACCGAACGATCTGGTTGGGTCTTCTCTAATGAACGAAGAGGGAAGCAGGAGCAACCCCACGCCGTGGAGTATTCGTCCACGTGAGACATAAGCGGCCGGGTGCGTGATTGGGCGAGGGTCTCGCGAGGATCCGGTCGGCATCCCGAAGTCGGGCGCCCAGTCATCCTTCTTCCGACTCCACAGCAATAAGCAACCAGGATGCAATAAGGACTCTGCAGGGTAGGGTGGTATTGAAGAATTGATGCTGCAGGGCGAGAACAACCCGGCGCGCGTCATTCGTTGTGCCGGCCGGCTGGCCAGCTTGGAGCTCCTATGCGAAGGGTAACTAAGCCAATCTAGTACCAAGTCCGCTTACACCGCTTCTCGACAAAGTTACCCACCTGTTAATATATCTCAACTGTTGCAAGCCAATGGCTGCTGCGTCGGAAGCTAGACCAATCCATGGAAGGGAGAGTTTGCCGATAGCCAATGCTCAAAGCCAGGATCTTTGGCAATTCGGTTGCCTAGTCCGGAGAGCCTACAGTCAGCCTAGAAGCCTAGCTAGAACGATATTTCGCCAAGTGGAAGGACGAGTCATCGTCACGCTACGGGATCGGCGCGCTCGACCCTGAAAGTGCTGAGCAACCACTTGTAATGCCGCACACCTACATGTTAAAGATTGCCACATTCGACAGGTCCTCCCGACTCGAAGCGCGGTTGCCAATGAGGACGTCGAAATTACACCTAGGATCTGGGAAAAGTCACATCCCAGAATACGACAGGACCGCCGCTCCATTTCGAGAAATGATAACCTGCCCTGGTGAGGCCTAAACGCAATTTGGTTCTCGCATTCAGAAATGCGAGATGTAGTACGGGCCACGAAAATGCCAACAGGTGGTGTGCCGTTATCGGAGGTTTCCTTAAGATACCCAAGTACCTGTCATTTTTTTGTGTTATTATCTTGTTGCGTTTAAAGTTTTGTGCTTGCACTGTCGAATTAGCTCGGAGATAAGGCCTTGGGTTGCCTATATCTACGTTCCAGCAATACCCAAAAAAATCATGCAGATTCGGGGCTGATTTCATGCCTGCCGCGGCAGGATCTCGGAGTGGCCCATCATGCTTGTGACACCTTGCAGCTAGGATCCTCTTGCATAGGATGTACATCCACAAGACTTCATATAATACATGGCTGACTAAGATCCGCGCAATCCTGTGAGAAGTGCCAATCCCTTTAGTGGATTCGTGATAAGTGCATGGTCTAGTTTCGAGAAACTATCGAAACGTACTGGTAGAATTCATATATCGGTCAACGAAGTCGAGAGGGATCAGCTATACGTGGTTTCATGAAAGACTTCGAATGCCAAACTCTGGAATTCTGTTCGCAAACTATACCACCCTTGAATGAAGGCTGGAACTTCCTTGGCCATAAGACTTGGTTCTCATCAACGACTCGTCGGTTCTTCGGAAGCACGGTTACCTAATCTAATGCAACTCTAGGGGACTGTGTCGATATGCCGATGCTAAATTCGGGCACGGCATATTGCATACGCATGGATCACAGTATGTAGCGTATGCAGACCAGGTGTCACCTTGGACATGATTATTGGCTAGGTGGGAAGGAAAAGGATCTTGCTCAAGAAGCTCAGACTGGGAAACTGCAGCAAATCCTCCACCCCGCAACTCCGACGAACAAGGAGTATCTACAGCTTGTCTGCTGATAAACTTGCAGGCCAATGCTGGTGGAGTGCTTCGGGAGCCACAACGTTACAGTGCGTCTCATTGGCCTGCGCCGCAGTATATAACCTTGCGGTTCGGGCCAGAACCCGCTGAATTGAACTGCGCCATCGAGCGGCTCTTGGCTAACCCAATCAAATCCTCTGGAAGGATTGACTTGCAGAATCCACTTGGGAATCATGTGTTACCACCCATGGAAACGCTTGCCGAGATCATGAGGAGATGGCGTGGGTCCAGTCAGGTTAAGGAGTGGTCAATGACCACCCTTTATAGTCTATCGCTTGAAATCCAAGCGAATACCACTAGGCAGCATACGAGAACAAGAGCACATGCTTTCAAGGACAGGAGAAGGCGTGATTTATACGCCACAGGAGTGCATTTGTGCAATCTTGTTTCTTCCTCTCCGGAAGCCCGAAGTACTCTGCAGGGGACTACCGGCCAAACCAGTCGTTTTGAGTATGCTGGTCATAATTTACTAACTTGATAATGCTCAATCGTCTTGTCCCCGATGCAGGCTGGTCGGGACACATTTCGCTGCGGTGGTTCGCTTCTATGATTTGGGGTTCAACTTCCTGGGTCTAATTTGGTCCTTGTCCCATCACTCACGTTGTTCATCATATGAGTTATTGTAGTGTCTTTAACAATTCATCGTTGACTCATTCAGCTTCTCTAGTCGTACATACATGTCTAGTTGTACAGATGAAATAGCAGCATTCCACAGCCCGATCTGAGACTGCCTTTAACCTTTAAAGCGTGTAAAATCCTCCTCTATTCTGTTGATATCACCGTACTCTTCTCATTCTCAGCGTCTATGATGACCCAGCGTCTTATCGTATCAACGGCATGCCCATATTCTACGTGTACACTGGGCTTCGGTACCATTGGAGGTGGTTTGTCCCAAGCATGCTTAGCTTCCTTCACTGCCCTCACTGTAACCTCCTTCCCAGCGTCTTCTAACCTGTTGGCAAACGCGCGGCCCTCGGCATGTAGCATGTCGTACTCGCAGATGCATAGATGCAAAGGCGGCATCCGTTCGAGCGTTTCATCTGACATCAGTCCGGGTGATAACCGTGGGTCGTCGCGGTCATCCTTTGGTATCTGCGGATAGAGATACGAAGCATCGAACAGATCCGTTAAGTTCTTTGAAAGCGTGAGATCTGGCTTTATACAAGATAAACGTTTGTGGGGCCGACTTATGGTCCAGTCGAGCAAGGGATAAAACAGAGCGAATCCTGCGATGGTTGGAGGCACGCCTGCCACTTGATATCCCCATCTTTCTGGGTCCTGCAGTATTGCCCAGCTCGCCAGAGAAAGTGTGCCACCAGCCGAAAAGCCTGAAATGATGATGCGGTCGGCATCGATGCCGAACTCTTCCGACCTTCTCGCAATTTGAAGAATAGCATCCGCGCAATCCTCGACGGCTGTTGGATAGGGGTACTCAGGAGCGAGGCGATAGTTCACCGAGAAGACGACGGCATCAAGGGCTTTCATGACAGCGCCCGCCCAATGGGCATCGTCAGTTGCAGTGCCGACGACGAAACCGCCTCCGTGAAAGTTGATGACGGCGGGTCGCTTTGATGTGTGTGACGTGTCGCGACTCTGTGATGCCTGAGGGATCTTCTTCGGATCCCATATCTTGACCTCAATCTTTCGAGTGCCCTTCCACGGACCCAGGGTTGAGTTGAGCCAGACGGTCGACGTCGGATTGACAGCTGAGCGGTTCATGATGCCGAAGCCGATACTGGCGCCGGCGCGGATGGCGCCTGCACGGGCGGACAGAAGCCATCTCGCGCTTTGCTCCAGAGGGTTGGTGTATTCGTCAGCGGGATCGATGTTGGATACTGTCTTCCTGAGCGACAGGGACGGCCTTTCGGAAGTGACGGAGTTCTTGCTTCGCATGCGCCGGAGTATCCTCTGCGAGAAGGTCCTCCTGTTGGACAGGGGAGGTCTCAGACCACTGCTGTTAGTAGTCTGAGCATGGTCCAATGCATTAGACATGCCGAACGGGCCGCGGAGTCAGCGGCAGGAGGTGGTCTTGGGTGGGTGCAAGGTTGGACGGAGTTTGGGCTAACGAGCGCTCTGGGGACCAAAGAATAGAACGAACGGCCGACTACTCGAATTGGCAACAATTGGCAACAAATCAACACAGGCAGAGGAACAAACAGACAGTGACGGCCACAGCCTTGAATTTAGCCCCCGGGGCATCCGTATCCCAGACGGGCGGACGTGCGTCGTTCCCTGGCAGCGATTCCAGCGTATGCGCAGTGAATCGTGAAATCCGGGCATATCGCGCCCATCGCCCAGCGGACGCCCTTGTGACGTCAGGCACAGGGAGAGCCTTGACGACCCCTGTCAGAGCCGAGGCGCTACCGGGTCCGGTGCCGAAACTAACTGAATTAAGGACCGTACGGTAGTCTCCCTGCCACCTGGGATTGCAAGCTGGCAAGGGACGCAGACGTGTGCTGTAACTAACTAGAGCACTATATACGCCCCTTGCGCGTTCACTCCCTTGGGAACCCGTGCAGTTACAGGTCGCGAGTATTTGAGAAGAAGCAGAAGAATATCAAGAAGACAACCTTCGGCTCCGGTTGTGCCGTGCCTCCTCCCCGTTTTGCCGTGGCTCGAAAAGCAGATGTGTCGTGGAAGCCAACACTTGTCGGCCAAAGCTGTCGGGTTCCTGGGAGTGTCAGGTTTTCTAGCAGTCAACCGAATCAACCTTGCGTCTGTCGCGGGCGGCATGGCAGGGGGGCTGCGACTGGGTGCAGGGATGGGAGCAAAGTCTCCGGCCATCCGGTCCAGGCCGCGAGGTACGGGCCTGACAAGATGGATTGACCCGTTCCTTTTCTGCTTTCGAGACAGAAAAGCCAGGAACTAGCCACAACAATCGTCGAAATCTCGATGGGCTTCGACGGTAGGGCTGGGTAGTGCCTGTGGCGGCCCAGCTCGTTGGTCGCGCGGGATCCGCAACCATGACTTGCTACGGAGCCCCATGACGACATGGCCGCTGGGAAGTTACGTACCGGACGTGGCCAAGCACCGTGTCACGCTCAGGTACCGGCTGCAAAAGCTTGTGTTGCTTGTCTATCCCGCTGTGAAAAGCTATTATTAACCATGCCGCCACTCCGGACGGCTTTTCTGGGAGCACACTTTGTCTGTTGTGTTTCCCGCTTCCAAGCATCCTCTCCTTGCACCATCACAAAGGTAGTTTATTCTACCATCTTCTGCCACTGCCAACCCTGACGTAGGCGCAGCTGAGGCAGCTTACGCTTCTCGCGCTCCTAACCCAAGGGCCACCATGACAACAAAGGACCCACGCCCAAACACCCTGACGGGCTTTGCGCTGCACATCAAGGGCAAACTGAGCCGGTCAAGCAGCCCCAAGGCCAATGGCAACGGGACCGACAAGGGCAAGGCTGCACAGCGCCACGAGGCCAAGCGGCTGGAGAAGCAGGAAAAGGCAGAGCGCCAGTCCCGCGATGTCCAGAGGAGAGAGGACAAGCTCCGCCATGAGGAGGAACTGGCCAAGGAGGAGGACGACGAGGCGACATACGCCCGCTACGGAGACGTGGCCGAACCCTCGGAGCTGCCGTCCTATCCCAAGGACATCTCGACCATTGACCAACTCCCGACACTGGCGGTAGGGACCGACGTCGCCTTCCGCGCCAGAATCTTTACCCAGCGTCGCCTATCGCCCAAGCTTGACTTCCTGTTGTTCCGCGACCAGGAGTTTTCTGTCCAGGGAGTGCTGGCCAACGCAAGCCCCCACATGATCCGCTGGGTGCAGCGACTGCACCCGGAGTCGCTCGTCCATGTTACGGGATGCCTGAAGACCCCGCATCAGGACGTCCGCTCTGCGACCGTACACAACCTCGAGGTCGAGGTGTTCTCTCTGCATGTTGTCAACGAGGCTGGTCACCTGCCCTGGAGCAACTACGACGCCCCCGAGTCGCTCCACACGAGAATGCAAGCACGGGTGCTTGACATCCGCCACCCCTCCAACATTGCCATCTTCAAGATCCGGTCCATGATCGTTCGCCAGTTTCGACGGACTCTTGAGGATCTGGACTTTATCGAGATCCAGACTCCCAAACTGCAGCCGGCGGCAACTGAGAGCGGCAGTGAAGTTTTCAAGGTCAACTATTTCGGACGCACAGCTTTCCTCGCCCAGAGTCCGCAGTTGGCGAAGCAAATGGCCATCTCAGCCGATTTGAGAAAAGTGTTCGAGGTAAGCGCCTGTCCATTATCTTGTTTTGGGAGTGTTTTGCTGACTTTGGCGTCCTAGGTTGGTCCGGTATTCCGAGCTGAGAACTCCAATACTCACCGGCACTTGACCGAGTACACTGGACTTGACGTAGAGATGGAGATCACAAAAGATTACCACGAGGTGATGATGACAGTCGACAAGTGTTTGAAGAATATCTTCACCGCAGTCCAGTCCATGCCCGAGCTCAAGGTTGTCCGGGAACGATTCCCCAGTGAGGATTTGGTTTGGCTTGAAGAGACTCTCGTGCTTCCATTCCCTGAAGGTATTCAAATGCTCCGGGATGATGGAAGAGACGTTGCGATGGAGGATCTGTCTACTCGGGATGAGATCCGACTCGGTCAGCTGGTCAAGGCAAAGTACAAGACAGACTACTACATCCTCGACAAGTTTCCCGCCAACGCACGACCATTCTACACGCACAAGGCCGAGGACCCGGAGTTCACCAACTCGTACGACATCTTCGTGCGAGGACAGGAGATTTGCACTGGTGGACAACGTATCCACAATGCACAGCTGTTGCGCGAGAGTATGAGGGCGGCAAGGATAGCCGAGGGAGACATGGTCGAGTATCTGGCAGCATTCGACCTCGGACCGGCGCCCCATGGAGGTGCAGGTCTCGGCCTCGAGCGTGTGGTAATGCTGTTACTGAACCTGGGTGACGTGAGGAATGCCACTTTGTTCCACAGGGACCCCAAGTCGTTGCCCGCACGCCCGCCAAGTCTCCCGCATCCCGAAGCGGACACCACCAAGCATTGGCAGTACCAGGAAGCGCCGCCGATCGAAAAGCTTATTGCGAATTATGGAGACGCCTCCAACACTTCGTGGCTCGATCCGCGTTTTGATATTTGGCGTCATCCGAACGGTGCAGCTGTGGGCTTTGGTACACAGGACGACAAGTTCGCCATGACCATTGGTGATCCTCTTTGCGACCAAAGCCAATACGAGGAGGTCATTTCTGCCTACACTAAGTATGTCGAGAAGGACCTGAAGCTCACTCCGGTTTGGATGCTGGTGTCAAAAGAAGTTGAGGAGATCCTCGCGCGTAACCACAAATGGCGCACACTCACCTGCGTGGAGGAACAACGCATCAACGCCGACCACCACAAGGAGCCCAGCAAACACGATATGTCCCGCGTCGAGCGGGAGGGCATCGACGTTGATGAGGTGCACTTGAACGAGGACTTCAAGAAGCGGGCCGACAAGGCCATTGAAGAATGGAAGGCAGCTCGCAAGGAGAAGGGCAAGCAAGTCCATCTGACGGAGATTCGTCCTTGGGTAGACTCGGAGCATCGACGCTACTTCTCGGCCGAGAAAGATGGCAAGGTTCACGCTCTTGTTGTGCTGGCGCAACTTGCCCCTCGCCATGGCTGGCAAGTGAAGTGGGCCATGGACTTCCCTGGTTCCCCGAACGGTACCATTGAGGTGCTCGTCGAGAAGGCTCTTTCCGCAGTGACTGGAAACGTGACTTTCGGCGTCGGTGTGTCAGAGAAGCTTACGCCGGGCAACCAGCTCCATGGCGTCCGAGCCAAGTTCTTGGCCAACACATATGAAGTCATCATGAAGAGTCTGTCACTGAACAAGAAGGCCGGATTCAGAGAGAAGTTTGGCACCTTTGGTGAACAAGTCTGGATTTGCTACCCACGGTACGGAGTTGGCGTCCAAGATCTGAAGCAATTTGTCAGGTTCTTCGAGGATCAAGAATAGATGGCTGTTGCTTCGCATAGCATGCGTAGACTAGACTGCATGCCGGTCATAGACAGAAAGACTTAGAGGAATGGTTGAGAGGAGGGCGGACGTTATAGCGGTGGCTGGCTGCCGGGCATCGACTCTCTTCTTTCGGTCTGCACAGCGTCATGGAAGCGATTCACTGGTTTGCTTTGGTTATGGGAGATGATGTCGTCAACGTCATCCATTTAAAGTTCAGATTGGCGTATCATTTTTGCATTTGTTTGAGATATCCTCTTCGTTGCGATAGACATCTATATTAATTCATATCTTGTCGAGAAAACACGGATCGCTCCGTTTCAAACATATGTCAGGCCTTAATTGCCATAAAAAAAAACCGAGTTCGCAATGGAGATGTAGTGTGAATGGAATATGATCAGCCAAGCCGGCAACAAATGCTGTCATATTCTCACCCAGTTTCGGAGCATTGGAAATAGGAAGCTGTACAGTGGTGCTTGGGCGATGATCCGTTGATGTAAGCACAGCATCCATTGGTCCATGCACTAAACAGCACTTAGGTGCCCGGGATACATGCATATTTGAGACTGATAAGATAAGCCGCACGACGTCAGAGCAGAGATTCCAGCCTTGCCGCCCTCTAGGTTGCATTGCATAGGCTCCTGCACCTGCACAAAAGCTTTCCCTGTCTGTTGCAAGATCGATGAGCTGTACAGTCGTGGCCCATCTCAATAGTCCATCAAGATGCCCTCGGACCTCTCATCGTACCTCGCCACACACTACCTGACTGCAGACCCGAAGCCTGCCTCTAAGAAGCGCAAGCGCAACAACAAAGACCCTTCCGCCGGGCTCCTCATCACCGACGACGACGAGACCGGCTGGTCACGCAGCAAGGACGAGCAAGACGACGACGACGAGAATGTCTCCGCCACCGTAGCCGGAACGTCCGCCGAGTTCCGCAAGGCCAAGAAGTCCGGCTGGAAGGTACTGGGGGCGCCCATTCCTAAAGAATCCGAACGAGCCGGGGCCGCCCCGGGAAACGGCAGAGATGACGACGCGGCTGCGGACGCGATCCTAGCCTCGGCCGCCGCCGAGTCGGCCCAGGCGGGCGGTGGCGACGACGACGACCCGGACGGGGGCGGGGCGCCGCTGGTCATGATGTCGGACGGGACGCACGCGGGGCTGCAGAGCGCGGCGACGGTGTCGGCGCAGCTGGCGCGGCGCAAGGCGGCCGAGGAGGCCGAGTTCGCCAAGATGCGGCGGCACGAGAAGGAGGCCGAGACGGTGTACCGCGACGCGACGGGGCGGCGGGTCGACGTCAGCATGAAGCGGGCCGAGGCGCGGCGGCTGGCCGCCGAGGCCGCCGACAAGGCCGAGCGCGCCCGCGAGGCCCTCAAGGGCGACGTCCAGCTCGACGAGGCCCGCCGCCGCCGCGAGCGCCTCGACGACGCCAAGCTCATGACCCTCGCCCGCACCGCCGACGACGAGGACATGAACCGCGAGCTCCGGGCCCAGACGCGCTGGGGCGACACCATGGCCGACTTCGTCGGGCGCGACAAGGCCGGCGCTGGTGCCGGGGCAGGGGCCGGGGCAGGCAAGAAGAAGAACATGAAGGGCCGGCCTGTATACCAGGGCGCTGCGCCGCCGAACAGGTACGGCATCAAGCCCGGGTATCGTTGGGATGGCGTTGATAGGGGAAACGGGTTTGAGGCCGAGCGATTCAAGGCCATCAATCGGCTCGAGAGAAACAAGGGGCTCGAGTACAACTGGCAGATGGACGAGTAAGCCCGACTGGAGCTCACAAGGAGAGCAAGGCGAATACATTCCAACATCACTTTAAGCATTGGCAGACACACACCATAGATACCCAATTGAGACCAATTTGCACATTCTGATGGCTACAAGCCTCCGACTTCTATGATATATCTGAACTAGAGACGGGAGACTCGCAGATGGCGCGAACCGTCCCGGTCGAAGAAGAAAAATATCTGCATGAGGCTGACGATGCAACACTTACCATTGTTTCCGGTTTTCTTCGTATATGCTTCTGCAAGCGTAGGACACCCTCCTATAGACTGAAATATCAGGCTTCCTGGGAGGCTTGTAGAGCCTCAGGGTTTGTATAGCTGCACAGGTTCACAAGCCTAAAGATTACAGATGCTTGTGGTCTAATACACGCTCCTTCTGAAGAACCCCTTCTGAAGAACCCCTTGGCTGCACTTCCCACGCTGCAGACCATCTGTGATAACGTTGTCTGAAGGTGGACATTTGCGGCCATGCCAGCAGTACCAGGCCTCCGGCCTGCTATTGAAACCGTTACAGCCTTGTGTAATAAGAAGTCGACTCCCGTACAACCCTCACGACAAGCCTATGAGGAATTAGGCTTTCTGTAAAACGACTTGTTTTCCTTGTTGAAGACGCCGTGCTTTTTCAGGAGGAAAGACAGCTGTTTCATGGCATCTTTGCTCGGCGGCTTTCCACCGCCCAATCGCGATCTGAACAAATTCGTAATTGAGCCCAGCGGGATCGCCTGATTCGGATCTTCAGGAAGGGCGGCAATGACCTCTTGGGCCGTAAGCGGGCCCTGAACAGTGACGGGAGAGCGTGCGCCTGAAGGCGGGGCGGGACTACCAGCCCGGCTACCTGTAGGCGTTCCCCTCGAGCCAGTACCGGTAGCAAGATGGGTAGCCAGCTTCTTTTTCTTCTTCTTTGCCAGTGCGCCGTCTGACATCTCACCTCCTGTCGCCTCGGCGTCACTGCCCGAGCCAGCGCCAGCGCGTCGAGATTGGCTACCTGGCACAGGCGTACCGCTCCGGCTGCCAGCAAGGGAGGCCGTCGATGGTCCGAGTTTCTTCTTCTTGGTTTTGCGCGTAGACTCGTTTCCGCTGGAGTCGGAGACCATGGGCGACCCAGGACGCTTCAGAGACTTGCCCTTCTTAGCGGCATCTGCGAGGTTCTTTTTCCCCTGAGGGGTGTTGTTGCCCTTCGAGTCGACACCGTTCTTGTCCTTATCCTCTTCTTGCTTGACCTTTTCTGGATCCGACTCGGAGTCGGAGTCGGAGTCGTCCTGCTTGCGTTAGCTTTGGCTCGGCGCCGTGCGTTGAATCGAACGAAATGACTTACAGAATCGGACAGGAAAGGATTGTTCTCGCGCTCGGAGTCGTCGTCGCTGGCGTACTGGTGTTGCTTGTCGCGCTTCTTAAGCGATTTCTTCATGCGCTTGCCGAGTAATCGTCTCTCGAGCTCCTCTCTGAGTTTTTCAGCTTCTTCCTTCTCAACGGTTTGCTCATCCGCATCACCGAAGAGGTTTGCTCCGAGCTGGTCACGGCGGATCTTGTCCTTGGATTCCTTGGCGTCGTCGTCTTTCTCGGGCTCAAGACCGGCATTCTCATCGTCGTCTTGGAACTCATCGCCCGACATGTCAATGTCATCATGGTCCTCCTTCTCCCGACGCGAGGATTGCTTATAGGTTCGACTTTCCTGCTTGACCATGCCGCCACCGTTCATGATGGTACGAGATTCGGCCATGGCCTTCTCAGCTTGCTCGCGCAGAGCATCTCTCATTGCCCATCTCGCGACAGGGGCCTTCTTCTTCATGACCAACTCAGCCTCTTCGATTGTGAGAGGGTTCAAGGCCGCCCGTTTCGACGAGAATTTGTACCACTTCTCCAACGGCACCAAGGTGAACTTGCCGTCCTTGAACGTAATGGCAACCTTGGTGTCCGAGAGGGGCGCCTCGTACTGGCCGACCCAGACGTTCTTTCCATCCGCGTCCTCCAGATGCCAGGGCAAAGCCTCCTCGTATCTAATCTCGGACTCTTTCTTCTGTTGCTCAGTGCGCGGCCCATGGTTAACCTTGGTACCCTGCGGCTTGTCCTTCTGTTTGGGCTGCTTCTTGTTGGCACTGGCGCCTGGCGCCTTCTGGGCATCGTCAATGGCGCGCTGGGCATCCCTATCTGCCTTGATCTGCGCTAGTCTGTCCTTCTCTGCAGTCTGCTCGGGGGTCTCCTCTGGCGTGGGTTCTCTAACGGCGCGGCCAGGAGGAGGCTGCCGAGGATCGCGACGATGGAGAGTGACGGGCCGGGTGAAGTCGCTCTGGTCTGCAGGATTGACGCCGGCGTGGCCCTTGCGAGGAGGCACCAGCCTCATAATGTGGGATCGCAAGGCGTCGTTGGTATCCTTGCTGGTCAGAACCAGATCGAACTCGGCCATGCCTTCCCGGAGCGGGAAGGACCAACCGCCATTCTGCTGGCGCAATGCCTCGAAGTTGGGTTGGGATTGCGCGGTGGGCTTGGCCGGGGGCTTTGGCGTGGCAGATTTCGAGGACGTGCTGCCGTTGGCGCCGGCGGGCAGCGGAGTTCCAGGAGCATGGACGGCGGCCGGGCGAGCGTGTGGTTTCTGTACAGGGCGGAAGGGGTTCGGCTTCCGGCGGGGAAGAGGGCGTTTCCCTGGAGGAGGCGTGGGGACGTGGCCATTGGGGCCACCCGATGGTGAAGCACTCATGGCGAGGACTTGCGACCGACTTGGTGGGTTGAAGGCGCAAGGGATATTATCGATGAAGCTGGCTGTATGGCGAGCGGCGGCCGACCAAGACGCCGGTCAAGTGCAGAACGAGAGCGGCACTGGTGCAGAGGCTCTCGGTAAGATGCAGTGCTACAGATGCAGTTCAGTATCGGATAGAGGGCGACGCATCGAAGTCGAACAACACAACTGCGACGAGCTCGCCAGGATCGGGTGGCTTCGGCAATCCAGACACCGCCCAAGGGCTCGCGACGGCCCTCGACAATGTGAAGGCGGCGGATGGTGACAAGGGCGTTGCCGTTGACGCGCTGCGCAAGATGGTGAGAGAAAGAAAAGCAAACGGATGCAGCGACGACAACAAAGGCGCCTGGAGTGCGTCGGGTGGTGGTGTGGCAGAGGAGGCTCTTTTTGCTTGGCAGCTGGCTAGAGGTAGGGAACTTACTGTAAGGGAAAGGTAGGCGCCAGCGCTGTGGGGCCCTGCCTAGAACCTGACTTGGAGCTGCTGACCGACCTGGGGGGGTCTGGGCTGCTGGGCTGCTGGGGCTGGGCTTGCAGGTGGTGACTGACTGGATGGAGCCAAAGCGACGTCAGACCTGGACGATGACTACACAGTAATTACTAACTAACGTTAACTCACATCACAAGCTCGGGTAACTGAATCCACCTGCTTTTGCGCAAATGCCCTTCTCTGCCTCATCATCGTAAGAGCTGGGCACCAGGTAAGGCAGCCAACCATAAGCACCGGTGCATGATCTGCGTTTCCAAGAAAGAGAAAAGCGTAAACACATGTGGCTCCCGTGCAATTCTGCAGAGACATTTGGCCATATGAATCCCAAGTTGCTCTATGCTGAACCCGCCAGGTAGCATGGATTTAGCAATAACTACATAACTACCTTGAAGTACCTGGGCACCCGTCTATCCACTATACCCAAGTATTCAAGCCCTAAATATGGAGGGGCGCTCCTGTCCTCTGGTTGACCGTGGCGTTCGCGGGAGCTCAAGATGCTTCCCACCTTGATTTTGAGGCAATGGTGCAAGAGTGCAATCACCCGGACTAGCGACAAGCCAACCGCGAAAAGTAAGGCTTGCCAAAATTGGTGACCCCTACTGTTGGACTATTCAAGTCGATTTCATTGACGGCTCCTGGGTGTTTCAACGACCAGACGGTATCCACAGTCACGATGCCATGGACTATACAGTACTACACCTCGGCCCAATTGGAGACGCGATGCGTGCGAGCAAGACTTCAACTAGAATGAGAAGGATTCGCACACCTGCTCAGGGCCTTTGATATAAGTGCTGTGTCCGCTTTCCGAAGGCGAGCTGGCGGCACATCGGCTTCTATGCCCAGTGTTTCGCTGCGGTACTTGCGGCAACAAAGTCAAAGACGTGGAGCAGCATCGTAAGGATTGTCGCGGTCCACGCGAGAAACGGAGGAAACAGTGCAGGAAATGCAGGCAATACTTCGACAAGAATAAGATTGAAGAACATGTTCAGGCTTGCGAGTATTGGCTCTGCAGGCACTGCTCAACAGTAATGTTGGCTGCAGAAAGAGACGAGCATTCAAAGATCTGCCAGAAATGGCAGTGCGGTATTTGCTGGCAAAGAATGAAAGCCTCAGAGCGGCATGAGCGCCTGCCGAATTGTCCAGTGTGGAGGTGCACGCACTGCATCAAACGGTTTCCGCGGTCAGCTAAGGATGAACACATCCAGTCTTGCGAGTTCTGGCCCTACAGAGCGTGTCTTCTGGTTGTCTTCAAGACAGACAGAGACCCCTACTTGCAGAAATGCGATCGGTGGTGCTGTGGACGCCGCTACATGAGCATGTTGAAGTCTGAGAGAGATCAGCATCTGCAGAACTGCGAGTACTAGAAATGCTCCCGATGGAACAAGCTCTATCCAACATCGATGAGGGATGAGCATAAGGCTGCATGCCTTGAAGCACGGCCAGCGCGTTGCAGCTACTGCCGCAAGACTGGGTAACATGAGGAGATTTCTCAGCACGAAGCTGAATGCGATACTCGGATGTGTCCAGGCTGCAAGCGCGCCCTCAAAGTTGACACAATTGCGGCACATTGGGCAAAATGCACAAAGATGGTTTGTTCTAGCTGCTCCTGTATATTTGAGCGTACATTGGATGATTCTGTGGATGATTCGAATTAAAGATGCCTTTCAGCTAAGGACGAAGCCATGTTTACGAACATCTCCCCTTATATCCAGTTCGTTTACAAATGTTTTGTTCGACTTTCTTGAAGCAGATATCTTATTGTGTTCTTTTCTTTGATCTGTCTATCCTCTCAAAACACATCTCTTTCCACAAAATGAAGCATAATTCGTGATGTCCATCCCAAATTGCCTTACTCCACCCTCATCCTGCACCAGGCTACTAGACCTCTAAGATAGCACGGAGTTCCTGAATCTGCTGCAGCACAGCTGATCGACTAGTACCGCCCTTGGCCGATTTCGCCTCAACACTCGAGTTATATTCGAATGCCTTCGCAATGTCCGCCGTGAATCGAGGATCGACAGCTTGCAGTTGCTCCAGGGTTAGCTTATCCATTGGGGTTTCCGTATTTTCTGACAACGCGACAACGCGTCCGGAAATGTGATGAGCTTCCCTAAAAGGACATCCATTTCGCACCAGCCACTCCGCAACATCAGTAGCAAGCATCGTCTTATCTAGGGCAGCTAACATCCGCTCAGGCCGCACGGTCATAGTAGCAATAACCCCGTTGGCGATTCCTAGACTGTCTGAAACAGTTTGAACTGAATCTAGCATGGGTTCCCATCCCTCCTGAAGGTCCTTGTTGTAGCAAGTCGGCAAGCCTTTCACGCTCTGTCAGGTATATGTTAGTGGCTGCTCTCGATCCGCTCCTGATCACTCATGAGCTGGTATGTCTGTATGCGAACCCACCATCATCAGTCCAGCCATTTGACCGAAAGCACGGCCTGACTTTCCGCGCAAGAGTTCCAAACTGTCGGCGTTCTTCTTATTCGGCATTAAACTGGACGTGGATTAGAGTTTTTCGGGATTGTCTGGGAGTCGCGATAGATACAACGAACCTGCTGCCGGTACTATAAAGATCTGCCAAACGACAAAACCCAAACTCGGAAGTCGAGTATAATATGAGATCTTCAGCCCACCTGCTGATATGGCTGGTGAACATTGAGTTCCAGGTCAGGAACTCGATAATGAAGTCACGATCGCCTGAAGTGTTCATAGAGTTCAGAGTGATTCCGCTAAAACCAAGCTCTGCAGCGATTGCGTCTCGATCGATGCCAAACACATTGCCAGCTAATGCGCCACAACCAAGTGGGCTAAGGTTAACCCTTTCAAAGACCTGGCGCAATCGCTCGAGGTCCTGCTTGAACGAAGCAGCATGTGACATTATCCACTGACCCCAGCGAACCGGCTGGGCGCGTTGTAAGTGGGTGTATCCGGGCATGAGGTAGTCGCTAGGGATGTTACTCAGTAAGGGGCTTCGTCCGGATGCGGTGCTGGGCTTACATTTCAGCCTCGGCGCGTTTGGCAAGGACTTGGAGGAAAGCAACGAGTTGGCTATCGATTTCACGGATGCGGTCACGTAGCCACATGCGCATATCACAGACGACCTGCTCATTACGGCTGCGACCTGTGTGCAGCTTGCCAGCGGTGTCCTTTCCGATAACCTCTCCTAATCGACGCTCATTTGCAGTATGAATCTGATTTACCATATTAGCCTTAGGGGGTCAAGTGGCGTGGGCTAGGTCTTACGTCTTCGTCATTTGGCATAATAGCGAAGGTTCCCTGCTTCCATTCTTCCATCACTTCAAGCAGGCCACGCTCAATCGTCTTAAACTCGTCCTCGGTAATAATACCAACCTTTGAGTTAGCCCTAGCGAAAGCGATTGATCCAAGGATGTCCTCTCTATAGAGAGCCTTATCGTATCCGATAGAGGCATTGTATTTGTGCATGAGCGGATCAATCCCACCTATAGTTGGCATCGCAAGTCAGTATACTGGATCTGAAGCTTGCGTCCGGGGACAATCGAACCTGTAAACCTGCCACCCCAGAGCATATTGGTTGCCGGGGCGTCCGTCCCTTTTCCAGCCATCTTTCAGTATTTGTTCTCGGCGCTCGTCGCGATCGTTGCGTTTGATAGTGCGTTGCGGTTTCAAGCCCGATGGAATTGATGGAGCCAAATGAGGGTAGAGCGCGTGGTTATAGCAATTGACATTCAAATTGAGGGACGCGAGTCAGTTCGAATGATGTTGCTTGATTGAAAAGGTCGAGAACGAGAGCGTGGCTGCCAAGTTCGAAAACTTTGTTGAGCTTAAGGGCAGCGAGTGAATGGGAAAACTTTGTGGGGCCGACACCGGCGGTGTCAGTCACCTCGCATGTGAGGACCCCTACTACTCTTTAGCATGGTGAGCATCTTCCCATAACATCGGTCGACCACTAGTAGGGTGAAATCTTGAGCATAAATCACCTCGAGGCTTCAAGGAGCCCGGCAAAGATAAGATGTGATCGAATCTGGTGTCGTGCCCACGCAGCGTCAAAGTGTCATGCCCGACAGCACAGCAGTTGCCTTGACGGTGAACACGCGCCTCAATCTTGTTCTAGCCATTGACTCAGCCTGGAACGATTTTCTCGGAACAGAAACCGATGAGCATGACAATGGTATCGGAATCAATCGAAAATATATACGGTTCTTGTTATGCATAGTTCCTAACTTATTGCGCGTGTGGATTGCTCTCGCCGTGGGGATCCAGGGTCAATAATCATATCGTAGCACCCATGGCATGTTCGACTGGGCTGACCTCAGAGACGCACATTGTCCTGACAATGTACCTCCGTGCGTGGGCAGCACTTGACGCGGTCGGACAGTTTATAATAATTCAGGAACGAGCGCCGAAGTCAAGGGTTCGGTTATTCTGGCACTGGGCAGCCGGCATGGTAATGGTGATATCTTAGGTAACGGGTAATTCCCTTGCACGAGGTATTGTCTAGAGTGACCATGGCCATAAAATAACTGCCCGATGGTATATCTCCTTGTTGGCAGTAGGTCGGCCCCAACAAGCAACGCAAGGACCTACTTGCATGGCTAATAGCAGCGACTTGGACATGGCCGTCCGATAGTGCTGCGGTTCTCCCCAAGCGCTGCGATGTTCTAAGCGGAAATGTCTTCGTACAACATTGTCAATATTGATGCTGATTCGAGGCTAGAGAACCCTGCTCCACAAGTACTTTACTCTAGATTATCTCAAGAAAGGTGAATCAGCCTTGTCCGCTGCGTGTCCTGCTGCAACATGCCTCACTAGTGGTGATCTTCGGCGCTTAAACTGAGAACTGGGCAATGCTCAACTAGCTGACTGCCGAGGACTAATCTGCGCTTTCTGCAGGCAGACGCCTTGAGCTCTAGACATGTCGGCGACAGCGAGCCTCCTTGATCAAAGCACAGGCCATCCTCCACGGGCCGTCACGTCAGCCAGCCTTCTCTGCCTCTCCGTTCATGGCCTTGACGTCACCTCAAGGAGGGCCGTGAAAGAGCCGCACGCGCTCGTGTGCGCATTTCACTAGCGAGGCATCTCCCTCGCTCGCCAGGTACGGCTGTTACTGTTCCGACTGAGTGTCGATGGAAAGCACCCTGAACGGCGCAACCAAGCTACGCGATCAGGCCGCCTCAGTCGCTGAGGGTAGGAGTAGGAATTAGGTATAGATTAGTGAGCAGGTAGGAAGTAGAACGAGGTTAAGGATGGGCGACCACAGCCTCATACACGCATCCTTAAAGGGCGGAGCGCCGTTCCGCATGTGGCATGCGCAGGACCTGCCCGCTCTCCGAGTCTTGTGGCTAAGCATCCAGCAGGCATTTGGGTGTCGAGGTAATGAGGAGGGTCGCCAGAAACCGAGCGCGACCAATCTGCCCGCTCCTCGTCCCTGGCACGTCCAACCGGATCCTGAACCATGGCGAGTATTGCATGAAGTAGGGGGAAGCACAGTGCAGATTCAAGTCGTGTAGGTGAGAGGTGAGCATGCAGCCCGTGAGTGGGAGAGGGAGGTTGAGGTGATTAAAGGTGATGCTCACTGATCAAGGGTGATGAAAGCCTGAGCAAGAACGGCCGTGCTGGCTAACCAAGCCCGGCGGCGGGTCTTCGGGTTTCGTGGCCGACTACCAAAAAAAAGCTCCCACTCGACTGGGAAGCAGCTCCCAGCTCCAAGCTCCAGGTGGTCTCTGGACAACACAAAACCGTCCCCACCCCGCTAAGGTGAGAAAGTTCGCGACAGTCTGCACAGCACAAAACGCAGACGCAGCCCCACGCTCAAGAATTACATCCCCAAGACCGTCATGTCTGACCACAGCTTCTAGGGCCTTGCGCATTGCATCGTCAGCACCAAGGTTCCAACAGCTGGAATATTGTTGGAAACAGAGGCCAGCTCCGAGGTGGAGTCATCCGGCACCTAACCCGTGTCCTCCATCTCCCGTGGCGCGCTCCATGTACACGGAACTGGCTTATCTGTTGTCCATGTTAGCAGTCCCAATGGAATTGGCCCATAATTGAGACACAAGTTGCCAACCGCCTGTTCAAGGTAATCTCATCACTATTCCTGTTTACCGCTTGTGGTTGTCAACCACCTTGTTCTGGCACAGAGAGTCACAATGTCGACTGCCCAAGACCCCGGACGACCCCTGGAGGATCATCTTCGGAATCTTATTCTCAGCAACAACGAGACTTCAGATGTCTCCGGCAAGTTGCCTGGCTCTGCCGGTGATGATTTGAACCGCACCGAGGATCTAGCAGCTGCGAACAAGGGGCCTAAAAAACGGCCTAACCAGGCTCAACGACGACAGATGAAGTCACAGCTGACCATTCCCATCGACCCCAGAGCAACCGGTCAGCAGCCTGCGAGACCGAATGTCACCTCATCTAATTTCAACTCACGGGGGGGCCGCGGTTATCATCACAGCGCCTCCTCTCGTCATCAGCCAGCTGGTTTTCATGGGGGTCCCCAGGGCCACTTGTCAGCCGGCCAGCGTCCGCAGGGCCAGGGGCCAGGCCGGCAGCAGTATAATCGTGGCTACAACGCGGCTCCATCTCCGACTCAGACGCATCAGCACGCTTGGGAACGCCAATATCACCCGCACGCTGGGCAGTCCCCTCAAGGGGCGAATACGCAGCAGTCAGATACGTTTGCGCCAAGGCCCTCACGGAACGCTCATGGGTCTCTCTACAACCCCGGTGGCTATAGACAGTATGTCGTAAGGCCAGAGGAGCTGGCTGCACAAACTGAGCTATTGGAACACTTATGTGCACGAGTCGTCGAGGGTGCTGAGATTGAGCATGGGGAGATCGTGGAAAAGGAGACATTCCGGGTCTACGTCGAGCAGATCTGCCGCAGTGTTGTTTCGGACTACGAAATCAACGTCAACGGCGCTTCCAGGTTTGAACCCTTAAGTGTCCAGCTCAGGTGCTTCGGAAGTCTCGCTTCAGGCTTTGCTACCAAGGCTGCTGATATGGACCTGGGTCTCCTGTCGCCTGCCTCGGCCATTCCCGCAGATTCGCCACAGTCCCATCTCCCGAGACTCATTGAAAAGGCGCTTCTCAATGCTGGATTTGGCGCCCGTCTCCTCACCCGGACAAGAATACCCATCATCAAATTATGCGAAAAACCTACTGAGAAACTCAGAGAGGACCTTCTTCATGAACGATCAAAATGGGAAATGGGGTTAACAGATGATGATCTTGAACAAGGCGAAGATGAGACCGGTGCTGATGACGATGGTAACGGGGCTGCGGGGAGTGTACAGTCTAAACCCGACACCAAGACTGAACCAGGTCATAGCTCTGGGCCCGGCAATGAGAAGGCCACCAAATCGCCACAACGGTTGCTAGCATCAGTAAAGCAATCCGATAACCAGTCTCTACTCGCCTATCACAACAACACGAAGAAGCTACTGAGGCAACTCGACGGTCGTGATGTCACCCATTCCAATGTGGGGGTTTTCACGGACAGTGATTACCTGCTCCTCGACGACATTAGCAGGGCTTTCGTTGATGGTCTCGACGACGAGGCCCTCAAGGGTCGCATAAAGGCCCATCCCTCGTTCTCTGCCGGGAGACAGGGCCCGAATTACAGGACCCTGCATGGAGTCTGTAACATGGCGGAAGGAGAGAAACTGGTGATGCTGTGGGAAACCAGAGCGATACCTGAAGGGGATGCACGTGCAGAGCAATCCCACCTGAAGGCGGTTCAATGGTGGACTGAGTTTCACAGCAAGCGGGCATTTGGCACCGACCCGCTGTCGTTCAATCGGGAGATGTTCCTAATCCTGGAGAGACTTCGCAAAATCCCTTCCGTTCAACTGATGCAGCTACAACAGGATCAGTATGAATCAGCGACCGAGTACCACGAGCGTGCGCGGAAAGCCATGATGCAGCTTGACGCGAACGCACTTGCAGGATCCGAAGCGGGTGTTGCACCGCCGGCCATACAGTACTACGTATCTGGTATACGGGACAAGGATATTAGGTCCGAGGTTGAACGCTTTGTTCTTGCTACTGGTACCAAGAATTTGAGAGCAGTAGCCCGAAGACACAAAAGCCTGCACCTCGCCGCTGACTACGTGAGAGCTCTCGAGAAGGGAGACCTCTACGGCGATGACGATACTGAGGCCATCAAACAATACGTTGGATTTCTCCGTTGCGATTTTGTACAAACGAGCAACCCCAACGAGTTCGATTTCGGTCTGCCTCTCCATGATGCCATGATCGCGGTCTATGACAGGATCCTACAGTTACCTAATCCATCCGCTTTGGCACCCAACCAGCCCAAAGACCGTTATCATGACAAGTTGGAGTTTCCACAGAAAGGGGTAGGGGTCCAATGTGACATCAACTTCTCTGCCGACTTGGCTCTTCAGAACAGCCTATTGCTACGCTGCTACGCTGCTACCGACCCCCGAGTTAGACCGATGGTTCTTTTCGTCAAACATTGGGCCAAGGCCCGAGGTATAAACACGCCATATCGAGGTACTCTAAGCAGCTATGGCTACGTGTTGATGGTACTGCACTATCTTGTCAACATTGCCCATCCGTTTGTCTGCCCGAACCTACAGGTTCTCGCCCCTCCCGATCCTGATTTACCGCCCGAGGTATTGGAAGGCATCGTGACTTGCAAGGGCCGAAATGTTCGCTTCTGGCGAGATGAGCAGGAGATTAGGCGCCTTTCGCACGATGGCGTGCTGAACAACAACCAAGAGTCCCTTGGGTCTCTTCTGCGCGGCTTCTTCGAGTACTTTGCCCAGAACAACATGATGAGCACCATTCAGAAGAGGGGATTTGACTGGGGGAGGGATGTCCTAAGTCTCAGAACACCCGGTGGTCTCCTCACGAAACAAGACAAAGATTGGGTGCAGGCGAAGACAACTAGGCAATCTCAAGCAGGCGCTCCTCCTACGCCGACAGATGTTGAGCTGCTTAAAAGTTCGAAGTCGCCTGCTGGGACAGGGGAATCGCTGTCAACCAACCCTGATCTCTTACCGGAACAGCCAACCACTCCGAATACGCTGACAAAACCGCTGGAGAAACCCGCCAAACCAGTGGAACTGAAAGAGGTGCGACACCGCTTTCTTTTCGCCCTCGAGGATCCCTTTGAGCATGAACACAACGTGGCGCGCACAGTCACACACAACGGCATTGTCTCTATCAGGGACGAATTTCGGAGAGCTTGGCGGATCATCAAAGCCGCAGGCAAAACTGCTGTTCAGGAAGATTTGCTTGAGGATACCAAGATGCACGCCGAAATACTCGAGAGGCAACAGTTCGTTAATCTCTTAACGGATATCCATGGCCTTCAACCGTTGAACCCTGACAGATAGGGGTTCTCCGAAGGTCAGCACATGTGCAATAATGGTCATACATTGTTGTGGTGCTGGTTTATTTTGCTCTAATGTGTTAAACTATAGACACGAAGAAGAGTCAATACGTGTATTATATAGCTTTTGCTGCCAGTCAAACTAGCTTGCATTAAAGTTCATTGTCGCGGCAGCTAGACAGCCATGTGCATGGAAGAGCAATCATATATCACAAATGAGCCAGCCAACGTGGTGTAATATTTCCCTTGAGTTCTAGACTTCTTATGTATCGCCAATGTGAACGCGCCGTGCCCTACCTCAAGCCACAGAAGAAACTTTACTAGAGTTTCTGGAGAGGCCCTCGGAAGGGGAAAATTGAGGCGAGGACGCTGATGCACCAGCCCTTCAACCCAGATATATAGCCGTTCGAGTCACCGGTGTTCATGTCAATGTCCAGAGGTTGCTCTTGGAGTTTATGCCGTTGAATCTTTCCACTTGCGAGTTTGGGGATCTGCGTCACGAAAACAACACCGCCGGTCAGTTGCTTGTAGTGGACCAGTCGTTGGCGCGCGAACTCCTTGACGTCCTGTTCTGAGACGCTGCGATCCCGCCGTACGACGAAAGCCTGCGGCAACTCGGTCCCATCCTCTTTCACGACCTTCGACACAGCGCAGTCATCGATCTCTGGGTGCTCGAGGAGCGCTGCCTCGATCTCGGTGGGAGAGACTTGGAATCTGTCGCCAAAGTTAGTTCGGTCTCGGTTCAAGAACGGGTTTCACAAAATGACAGCACATGGGTCAGGAACACTTACCCGTTCACCTTCATGATGTCCTTGGCCTTGCCAGTGATGTACAGCTTGCCGTTCTCCATGCAGCCCAAGTCGCCTGTGCAGTACCAATCCACGTCGACCTTGCTGCTTTCGGAGGTGCCACGGTATCCGATCATGCGGGATTCAGCCGAGATGAAGATTTCGCCAGAAGCATTCGCAGGTTCGCCGCACGTCGTAGCCGTGCTGCCGTCCTTGGCCGGCTTCCGAATCTGGATGTGGACACCAGGCGCCGGCCTTCCTACCGAGCCCGTGGTGTCTTGTTCGCCGTATCGAAACATGACGATGGTGCCCAGCTCCGTAGCACCGTACACGCCGCTCAATGTGGCGTCTGGATGTAAGCGCGTCTTGAACTTGGCCAGCGTCTCGGCTGTAATGGGAGCGCCGCCCACCCCAATCCATCTCAAGGTCTTCAGGCCGTCACGCAGCGCACTGCTGTCCTCGAGGCTATTGAGCTGCGCCACTATCGGCGGCGCCATGGACGTCTCTGTGGCGCCGTACTTGGCGATGTAGGCGACGTAGCGGTTGACGTCGAATTTGGCGGCGTTGGACATGATGTACATGGGCTGGCCGTGGCGGATCGTGTTCGCCAGCGCCCAGGCGCCGCCGAACATGTGGAACAGGGGGAGGCAGCTCAGTCGAACGGGTGCGTAGGGCACTTGCTGGTGAATCATGCTGAAGTGCGCGACCATGGAGTAGTGCGAGAGCGTGGCGAGCTTGGGGCACCCCGTCGTGCCGGACGTCAGGAAGTACGACGCCGGCGTAGCCTTGACTTCGTGTTCGGAGCGTATCTCCGGCCAATCCTCCTCTCCATGGTCCATGAGGGTTCTGAACGGTCTCAGAGATGGGTCATCCAAGATCGGTACTCTATGTGACTTTTTGGAGAGACTTTCGGAATCGAAAATGATGACCTCGTCGGAGGCAACTGGAGTCCACTCTCGGAGCTGCGCGAGAAGCTCCTCGGTGGTGATTATGAAGCGCGGCTGGGAGAGCGCCATTATGTTCGCCAGCTCACTTTTCAATTTGGGATTGGTGGCGCAGAAAAGGCCTCCAGCTCCGACAATTCCTAGGAACATGGCTGGGTAAGCGTACTATTAGACATTAATCAGTGTCTCATTGCAGTAAGTAGAAGCACAACTCACATTATTGAAGAGGTGCACAAGCACCGTCTCCCCCTTCCGCAAGCCATGAGCACGAAGTCCCGCTATTATGCGCCGTACGAGCTGTCGTGTCTGTGTGTAGTCCAAAGAGCGCCGAGGATCCTCAGCATCTATGTATAAAGGCTTCCCGTTATCGAATGCCTTCTGCTTGTCAAAAGCGAAAGATACGACGTCGATGAATGGATATTGAACTTGCTTGGTGATTTCCGAGTCCATGTTGACGAGCGCTTGGTAGCTGATTTGGATGTATGGTTCACTGATGGTATTGTAGCGTTCTTGTAAATAATAAGACGAAAGCGAGAAGACATGACTGTTCTCGTCGTCATTATTTAAGCGCCGTTTCGCTGCTTTTCATGCCGTTCTCCGAACGTTTCTTTTTGAGGCTCTTGTGCTTGATATAAACTTCAGGGGCAAACCCACTCACGAGCAGTTTAGCTTCCGCGGCCACGTGGGACTGAACAATGTCTCGGTGACCTTTCGGGGACCAATCTATTGGGATGAATAGTCTGAAGCCTAGATATCAGTTTTGATGCTCTGTGTTTTCTTCTGAAGTTGTGGATATCGAGAGATCAGCTTCCAAGTTCGGCGAAGGCGCCTGGGAGTAACCATGATGGTGAAGCTCCCAAGATGAGGTGGCTTTTCGCTTTGGTAGCAACATCTCTGAACTTTCTCGAGTAAGGTGGAACATTGATCGAGCTCAGGCAGTCGTATGATTAGACTTGCCTTCTGCAGGCCTCCCGGAGGTCTCACCGGCCTTGTCAAAAACTTTATAGGAAATTGACACGCGGAAGAGAAGGAAAAGAAGCCGGGCGCAAACCCCGTTGTGAACTAGGTTTCTCCGATCGAGATATTTTGAGAGTGAAATACTTATTGGTTCCCGCTACCCGGTTGTTCCTCCTCTGCCAACCCCATACATGAAAGTCCTTGTTCAAGTAGTGAATCTTGAAGAACCCTGACTCACGCCTACGATGGACTCCTCGCGGGACTCCCTCACTGACCGCGCCTCCGCGTCGGTCTCATCCCTATCTTCATGCGATACTACAGTTAAAGATGATACGAAAGCCGCAGAAGCGGGCGCACACGCGACTCCAGATTTAGAGAAAGGACTACAGAATTTGGAGCGGAAGCCATTGGCAGAACTTCGCTATAAAGACTTCAACACGTATAAGAGGCTCTGTTCTCTGATAATAGTGGGCAACCTCGCGGCCACCATCATCATACTCACGAGAGCGGGCATAGAGAGGAACATGCCGACGTTGGCATCTCTGTGCATCCACATGGGCGCTGCCAACACAATGGTGTGCTCACTGATCCGTTCGCCAATAATCATCAACATACTCTTCTCCCTCTTCAGCGCCATCCCCAGATCCGCCCCCTTACGACTGCGTCGTATATGCTGCAAGGTATTCCACCTGGGTGGCGTGCATAGTGGAACAGGCACTTCTGCTTTGATCTGGTTCATCGGCTTCTTGATATCATACGCCATGTCCAAGCCGTGGGAGAACCCTCGGCCAGCAGCAGTTTTCGGTCTGGCCCTGGCTGTGATGGTATTACTGCTGTCCATCGTTGTCGTCGCTATTCCTGGTTTCCGTCGGAGGTTTCACGACACATTTGAGCTGACACATCGATTTGCGGGATGGGCCACATTGGTTCTCTTCTGGGCGCTGTTATTTCTCCACGCGTACGACGAAGCCGTCGTGGGAAATACAACCTCGGTCACCACTTTCCTCGTCACCTTCCCGACTTTCTGGTTCCTCTCCGTCTCTACGGTCGCTGCGATCTGGCCGTGGACGATGCTGCGCAAGGTGGACGTCACTCCTGAGAAGCTCTCCGCCCATGCAACGCGACTGCACCTGCACCACCTGCCAGATATGGGATTTGGTCAAGGTCTATCACTAGCCAAGCATCCACTCAAGGATTGGCACAGCTTTGCTGCATTTACTGATCGCTTCGATACCTCAACGCCAGGCTTCTCTTGCCTGGTATCCAATGCCGGTAACTGGACGGGATCTGTGATTCAGGGGGGTCCAACACAGATCTGGGTGCGTGGTATTCCGGTGTGCGGATTTGGACACGTAATGAAGATGTTTCATCGCATCATCATGGTGACGACGGGTTCGGGCATAGGGCCATGTCTGTCTTTCATTGGAGATGAGAATCGGCCCGCTATGCGTGTTGTGTGGCAGACGCGAAGCCCACTGCGGACGTACGGGCAGCGTACCGTTAACCTAGTCAAGAGGCTGGATCAAGATCCTGTGATCTTGGATACGGATGTGCAAGGACGTGTGGACATGCTGCCCCTCATTCGGGACATGGCCAAGGAGTTTGAGGCCGAGGCAGTATGTGTCATCAGTAATCCACGGCTCACGGCGCGTTTGGTCTTTGAGCTAGAGTCCACCGGCATACCGGCTTATGGGCCCATCTTCGATAGTTGAGAATCGTTTGTATATAGTCGGAGGCATTATTGGCGTCGCTTAGGGTTCAGGACGCCAGCTGCTTTGTTCTTTGTTCGCATTGGATCCCCAAGATATTGAAAGTAATTGCAAGTCATCTCACTACATCATTTTTGAGTTAGTTCGTGAAAAGTGAGTTTGCTGTGCCTGGCTGGAGGACCCAGCGGGCTGGCTCGTCCTGCAAGCCATGATGCAGTGGCTCTGCACAGACCCTCGCCGGTTCTAGATCCGTGGCCGATATACTCGAGACATTCACGGGACTACCGACGGCACATGCTTCAGCCAGGTTGTCTGAGAACGCTGCAGATCCCCTCCAACAATTGACATGTGTCTTCTGCCTGTCTTCGACGACGCCTGCCTGAACACGTCAGGCGCGTCTGCGCCTCCGTGGAAGCTTTGGCGAAAAGCCACTCTGAGGACAAAGCAATGGGTCAACAGATGGCTCAGCGCAGGCGTGCCCAACCATTGGGTAAAAAGGACGCATATGTGTCTCAAACACCGTCGTACGATCGTTCACGATGAAGTATACGGAATACTCTTGATTATCAAGCACGCCGTCGACTGAGTTACCTCGGCTAACGTGACCGTCCATGCGCGGATTGACGCTCTACGGAGGTAATGAATGATGACTTCTCACTGGCAGCAACACGAGGGAAAAGGAAATAAAGTTCACAGCCAATGGTGATCAGCTGTGGTACGACTTCGCACTTGCGACGGAAGTATGTCTGCTAGTATCTCAGCATCAGCAGCTTTTAGGTTTGCATCCACAACAGTATATTTAGTCCTTTGCTCATCACTAGTGTTCCTGGAACGGCGGCGGTCGCTATTTAGGAGATCGCTCAGTGAAACCAAGTTGGTCGACGGTGAGAATCTGGAAGTTTTCAATGCGTGGAAGAAGGAAGCAAAATAGGGTCATTAGAAAGTTGTAAGTCATCAATTAGCCGACAGGTCTCTTGAAAGAAAATAGCTGTCGAGCAGTTCTCGCTGCAGTCATGCTTGCGGTTCTGGGTGTGACACCCCTGAGTGGACGTATACTAAAGATAGCTTAAATTATCAAGATGCCTTAAGACGGTGCTAGAAGATTGTGATACCCTCAACGCCTCCCAAAGACAATATTGTAATCCATACGCTGCAATTATCAATATGAGGCGCTGCAGAGATCGTTGCACTCTTCAATCAATTTGGTAATCATGCCTATGGCCTCATCGCAGTAGCGTATATATCTGGGGCCCAAAACCCGATGGCGTTGTCTTAGGAGTCGGAATGGGTGTAAAAACAAATCCTCACATCGTGGCTAGGTCGAACTACGCTGCTTATTGGCCTAGCTTGGGGTGACTTGGGAGCGTGATTGTGCACGATCTCGCCACTGAGCGTCGAAAGTGCTACGTCCAATTGACAAGGCTCAGTTTGAATACCGACATTTCGGAATTGCTTACCATATATGCAGTTCATCCACGGCGCCACTTACCACCATTTAGCAATGCAAGATCCTGCCACGGCTACTTTTTTTTTTTTTTTTTAGTGAGGCATGTACTCTGGGGGAGTGCTAAGCCCCCTGGCCACTAGGTGCATTGAGCACCCTAAGGGAGGCCTGGACAAACTCGCTACTGTGGCGTTCCTGCTAACCACATTTCTCTGATACTCAATCACCCAAAATCAGTGTCTTTCGTCAGCGGTAGCGACACAGACTATTGGCTTTCAAGCAGACGCTATGACTAGGTCGAGAAAAGCGATGATTGCTATTGACGTGTGCTTTTGACTCTTGCTTGAGGCAGCCGGCAACAATGCCTACAATAGCATGTGGTAGAACCGTTGCTGGATTTGACGTGGCTACTCTCCAGATGAGGACCGGCTGTATCTTGGTAGAAGCCAACATGTTGAGATGCAAAGGCAATGTTTGAGACAGTGCATGTAGTGATCGGTTGATGAGTTAATCCGCCAAAGCCGCATGGAAATTCGATACTTGCCCCGAGGTGCTAGCACAAAGCCTTGCCCTGTCACCGTCGCAACTCGGCCCTGTTTATGACATTCGTCTCTACGTGTCTGGACACTTCTCAAACAAAGAAGCGTGAAATAAAAACAGGATCAGCAAAGTAATGCCTTGGGCGAAACCTGTTCGAAGGCTTTTCACCTAGGTTGCAATGCCATAAAGACAAGACGCAGACTTGCGTCCCTTACATGTCAAATGTGTCCGATCGAATCACTCGATATGCGGTAGACAATACCCTTGCTCTACTAGGGCTTCGAGAGATGCTTCTTGTCAGAGCATAGATGCCATCGTTCGAGTCTCAGGCCAGAGCATTGTTATATAGTGGAAGAAAGAGCCCAAAATGTGCAAGATGTACGACGTATGCCAGGCTCAGAAATTATAACAAATGCGGAGTCCGTTGCATCTTACAGCGGCTTAGCAACAGGGATCGATAGGGGTTGGTTTGACATCAAGGGGGCCCTGTTACGTACCAAACTAGATGAACTAATCTGAGGCTTCCTATGGCCGCTCTACACTTCGAGTCTGTCTCAGATCCAACCAGGGATGAAGATCGCATTACCGCTACTACGTATTGCTGTCGATTATCCCCGTGAACGGTTACGTTGCTGATCACAGGGGAACCCGCCACCGACTTCCACTGATTACGGGCCGGGGGCTATGACAATGGTGAAGCAGAACAGGTGGGATCCGAACATGATCGCGATAGCCGCCAAGCCCATACTTTCCTACAACAGGAAGTACCTACCTCACTCTTCGCAGCAATACTTGGTAACAGGCATCGTGTAACCTCCTGCGATGTACCTTGCCTCTCGAGATCACATACATGGCCGAGAAGGCTGTTTCCATTTCTAAGCGTTGACCATGTGCTCCGCTCCGGATACGACTCTCATATTCTGACCCCTGCTTTCCCCTTTCATACCCAATGGGTGCCGATAGCGGTGGTCAGTAACCAATTGCTGGTGTATTACTGACCGCCATTGCTATGTTACAAGGCTTTCCCTCATCAGGGACCCGTTATACTTCAACCAGAGGATGTTACCGACCTTCATACGACAACAGGAAGCTCGCGGCCGAAGAATCATTCCGACAGGTTTTCTCCAGGTACGTGTCCACTACAAACCTACAAATGTATCATATTGGAATAGACTAGGGAGTCGCTATGAATTACTAGTAGGCCTCTCAAAGTGCCTGTTTGGTGAAAAGAAAATGGAAAGGGTTAGTGTCACTATTTGAGAATCAGTTGGGCTATAGTGTAGGTTGGTTCAAATACGCTGAAATCCAAACGATTAGCTGCGACAGGAGAGTGACGTTTCTAAAATCTAAGACATACATAGAGTGACGAGTAGCGGAACCTGGTTGTGCATCGTCCTGAGATACCACTGCTCTCCCATCGTTGCTTGAAGCTGCTTTCCTTGAGAGTACGGTATGTAGCCTTAGCTCTTGGTTAAATCCTTCTTAAGCCAATCATTGCGTGATGCTCCAGTACCTGTTAGGTTTTAAAACTGGAGGCTTCTAATAAAGAGGTGCGAACAAATTGGGAGCTGGGTACACTAAGCTGTGCTGTGCTCCTCCGGGTGCGGATGTGACACTTTGTGGGCTGATAAAGCGCTTCATGCAATCAACTATCAGCAGTAACTTCAGGTTGATATTTTTTTTGCCTGAACAAAGGAATCCGTCCTCTGGTAACAGTCTCATACCTTTCCCATCTATTTTATCCTAGGCGCAGTTCTGAATGAGTGCTTACCCTTCTCAGTTTTCTTAGAACCTGAGACAATGGACAACCGTTCAAAGCCGGGAACTATATCTTTAACATACCGATGCGTGGTAAACACATCAGGAGGTAGTAACACAGGGGAAGATTATTGACTACGGCACGGCTTGAGCGACGTTGCCAATTTGAATACTATTAGCAATATATAGGATTTGTTTGAGTAGGTCAACGTGCGGCTCCAAAGGTAACTACCCAACTCTGGCACTTCGAAATCGTTTCCTTAGCCAGCTTGTCAGCCTTGTAGCTCGTCAAGCCAGGACTCAGAACCCAGCTTAGTGACTCCTGTGCCTCAAACCACTCGTTTAAGAACGGCTTGTTAGCACAGGGCTTCTCAATACTGGGAGCTAGATTCTCTTACCACGAAGTATCACGTTCATATTGGATGAGCTCATGCAGCAGCTAAGCCACGCGCACAATATATTCCCAGCTTCGTAGCCTTTTTGTTAAAAGTGAACCAACCAAAGTGAACGCCGTTGAGAGCAACTGCGGCCATTCTGATGTCATGGTCACCCATCCGTTTAGTCGCCGAATGCGTGATGACGTTCGCGCCAAGTTAGACGGGTCAAAATAAGTTGCCCCATGCCGAAAGATTTATCAATCACGGGAGCTATGCCGTTCTTGGGACAAACATCTCCATTCTTCTCAAACTCCGGGACATTCTGAGTGGGGTTCTCAAGGGATTTGATGTAAACACACTGTGTGTCTCGCCAATTGCCATGTTGATGAGTTCCAAGCCGTCTTCTTCAACGAATATATCGTTGATATGTGAATTTTCTCATGTGCAACCTTTCGCATCGCCATACAGGTTTCGTAGATGGCAATGACCGGATTGCCCCATGAGTGTAGACGGAAGCATATCCACCCCAGGAAAATTGCTCTTGCCGTGGGCAGCATCCTCCAAGGTTGGCAGGGCAGAACAGCGCCTGTGCCGTTACTGGGGCCCAGCTCTTGTCCGACGTGAGCGGATAGAGAGAGAGTAGCAACGCAAGGTGGAGGAAGGCGGAAGCGCCCAGTCGGTCAGTACAGCCTCCAGCCCTGTATGTTGCATTAAGTAAAAAGTCTACATTTAGATTATCACGAGTTCCCCATCCGATTCCACTTGACTCAGCATCTTCCATATGTGGCGACCTTGAGCAATATAGAGGAGCTAATGCAACTTCCCTCACATAACACAGACCGTGTGCTTGTACAACCCCAGTGGTATAATTGGGGTTCATATCGTGGACCAAAACGCGTTGACTTAATATTTGAGGCAAGTCCATTGGCTGCAGTAAATCCTTCAGGTAAAATTCGCGATCTGTATGCCTAACTCAGCGTCTTTTCCCGCATGCACTCCCTGGTGTGGCTAGGGTCTTTTGCACAGCATCGTCATGGATACACGCCAAGGGTGGTTTGGCCACGCCACGGTGCTCTACTAAGTAGGGATATTGTACCTGGGTAATGTGGTATACGTTGAGTAACGTGAAACTGATGTTGTAGAATGCGACTATTCTGTTATTGAAATTTGTTGCAGCGAACAATTGACGAAGATCGCTAACGTAAATGGATAACTACACCTGACTACATCTACTGAGTTTAAGCTTTGCGCTAATGCAGGTCGTGACTACATTGGTCGTGATTTGGTCCAAGCCTAATCCAACGTTTGATCAACGTTTGACCCAGGCCGAATCCGACTTTTATACGACACAAATGCTTGTATGAGTCGTAAGAGGCTATCGTATGTTCTCAATTCTACAAGGAGTATTATGGAGGCGGAGAGGAAAGATCAAGAGGGGAAGCTTTCTGGATGAGGGAAAATGTACTTAGTCGCTGTCCTTTTACTCCCTGGCTTTTCAGTTAGTTTAAATGCAGTTATCTTCCCCAGGAAGTTTCTACTCAGCGAGTTTCGCCAGCCAATCTGGGTATACTACTGTTTATTTGATTTGTCTTCTCCCGTACCGACTCTTCGTGCGGCGCACCAGCCATGATTTCGACACCACTTCAGCTGTATGAGGACATCAGCCCCAGTTTCTCGCCACTGATCCCTCCCAACGAGAGGTCCCACCACATCCTGGTTATCGGTGGTGGTGTTATTGGTCTCACCACTGCCTGGGCTCTCCTCGACGCCGGCCATCATGTTACAATACTGGCCAAAGAATGGGCGTCTTGGACTGAGGCCCAACGCTTGACCTCTCAGATCGCGGGTGCACTATGGGAATATCCCCCTGCGGCCTGCGGCCAGCACACAGACAAAATCTCTCTACAGCACTCCAAGCCCTGGGCCATGGCTTCATACCACATCTGGAGACAACTTGAAGGCACGCTTATTGGTGGAAAGAAGAGCGGAATACGCATGAGGCCAACAGACTTCTTCTTTCCTCGCCCACTTGAGGAGAGCCCGGAAGACCTGCAGAAGATGAATGAACTCATGAAATCTGGCGTAAGAGGCTTTTGTCGGAAGTCGAGCCTCGTTGAGAAGCGTCGAGTAGATCCACTCTATGGGTGCAAGGATGCTTACGAAATTCTTTCTCCTGTAATCGATACCGACGTCGCTATGGAGTGGCTGATGGAGCTCGTAAAGGCCAAGGGGGCAATCCTTGTAACCGAGGAGCTACAAGCGGACTTGCTTTTCATTGAGGACTCATTGCGTCACCGGTTTGGCGTAGATGCCATTGTCAATTGTGCCGGGCTTGCAAGTGATAAGTTGGCTGGCGATGACAGCTGCTATCCAATACGTGGCGCAATGATTCGGGTGATTAATGACGGCAAGGATTTTCCAAAGGTCGAGGCTGCGCTTGTGATCACGGCAGATGTTGCAGTGAATAATGAGATGGTCTTCATTGTTCCACGGAATAACGACGTGCTTTATCTTGGAGGTATGCTCGCCCACTTTTACGTTCACAGCCTGATTGTTAACCATTCAATGCAGGCATTGCTCAGCCAGGGAAAAGTGATTTAAATCTCACCATTCATGACGCAGTCATAAAACGCATGAGGTCGAACTGTGAGGCCTTCCTGCCTGATCTAAAGAACGCACGTTATGACGCAAAATATCCCCTTGCACTGGGATTACGCCCTTTTCGCGGGAAGAATATCCGTGTCGAGCGCGAGCTTCGCCATACTCCAGCCGGGAAAATCAGTCGAATCGTGCACTCCTATGGCCATGGAGGCGCGGGCTGGAGTCTGGCGTTCGGTTGCGCTGGTGATGTGAGGCATCTTCTTCAAGAAGCAGTGAAAGACCAGCCGCCGGAGCCCATGAGAGAACTTGAGTATCCAGGGCAGGGTAATGGGGTCGTAATTCGGGACCCAAACATGCAGCCCGAGACAGGTATCAAGGACGTGGGCGGCATAGATACAAAAAGCCAATCGACAGACGAACACAAGTCAAAATTATGAGTGTACTATAGACAGAAAGATGAGCAGACTCATGGAGCTTTTAATGTGAGCGCGAGTAGGTTTCATCACAAGAGAATGCCTCCCTAGTGTTCTGGTAAGGCCAAGCCACTGAGCCCTGACAAGGTAAACCCTAACAAAACTCAACGGGGTCTCTCAATTCTTGAGAGTACCAAACTGGGTCAGGCATCTCATGGTTTATTTTGAGATAAACTTTTTACTGCTCTGAATAGAAAGTGCTAGGCTGTCTGATAGCCGACCGATTGGACTCTAACGTTGCAGCACCGCGTGCGGCAGCCTACCAATGTTCGATGATCCTCCGTATGCCTCTGCTTATAATACCTTAGATATATGTCTCTTGTGACTGGTGGTAGCACTTACGCCACGATTTCTGAAGCAAGTGTTGTAATTATTACATAATACTTCCACACCATACGACAAGATACTCATCAAGTCGGCATTCCCCGTGAATACTTGGCTGTGCGGAATAGTAATCAGATTGCATCAAATACAGTTTTTAGCTGCGTTGACAAAATTTTCTTGGACGAAGTGTGAAATTTAATGGACAGGAACACTGCAGAGTCAAGTAAAGAGAGACATAATTAGCAGATCACATATGAATCCCAGAAAAAGGTGCAAATGGCAAACCTGTTTCCGCCACCCGTTTGAAAACTTAGCACCTATCAAGGAGCCCCTGCGGCTTGGTGCAAATGTCTGGTTTCTATCTGCGCCTCCTTAGGTATCGCTGCTCGGCTGCGCGAGCTCTGTAAACTAATTCTCGTCTGCGAGGAGCTTACTCCATTCACCAGTTCACATTGCTGGGACAGGTCGATGGGCTCGAGATCGCTGTCGTTGAAATTAAGCAGTTATGCACCAGAAAATGTAACAAGAAAGCCGTCAAGCAATGGAATTAATTTGGCATTGTCTGCCACATTGAATCCTTGAAAGAGGATAAAAGAAGCTACGAGCACGGCGGACGTGAAGGTGACGTAGTAGACGGGACTGACACTGGTCACGGCATTAGCGATAAAACTGGCAGTCGGGATCAGTGCTTACATGGACTGCGGATAAACGCTGAGTGCCTTATTGAAGCATTTCATCTGCACGATGATACTTCCAGCGGCGAAAATGCCAAACATGTAGTTTGAGATGTGAAGAAATTGGTTGGTGCCGGCAATTGTCAACTTAACGGCGATGCCGAAGGCCTTCAGTGCCATTATGGATACAGCCCCGGTTTCGGCACCCATTGACAAATAATAAAGAGGTTTAGCGTTGCCGTAGTGAGGACAGACCTTGTATATCATGAACAAGCAATAGACTGCGGTGAAGATGCAGAAGGCAAGGAAACCTATCAGCCAGTCAGTCACCCAGTAGACCATACACACCGAGTTGAACAGCAAATTTGAGCATCTCATCGATCGATCCAGGTTCTTTATCCGGCAGCGCATTAGCGACAATCAAAACAGAGCTGACCAGGCACGTAGCGCAACCTAACTTACCGACGACATTAAGCCGCTTTTTCAAGAAATATGTACCGAGTGCGGTACCCGTGAGCACACTCAGCTCCCCAAGAGGTGTAACCAATACGGCGGGGGCGAACGTGTGGGCGGTAAAGTTGAAGAGCTCACCCACTGCGTGCATTAACATGCCCGTCCACCAGTTCCAGTTCCGTCAGTATTCATGGCCATCCCCATTGAAGCCATGGCGCTCAATAGCATCCTCGAGCCCAACCTTGAGCCCAATCTTGATGGTAACATAGCTGGCGCCTATGGCCACGGATGCACAGAGTGCTAGGATGACCCCTATATACCGAGTGTCCGGCATCGTAGCGTCCGCAGAGAGGAAAGCTGGCCGGGCGCTTCCGCACCGCTGAATGGTTCTTCGTAGGTGTCGTCGCTTATGCTAGTTGGAGGATATTATACGTCAAGTCCCACATCCCAATACCAGAGGATAGAAGAGGACTGGCGATAGAACTGCTTGGCCGAAGATACCCGCGCAGGGTGACGCCACATGAAGGAAGCTGACATGCGAGGCGCAGTCATTACTAGGCAGTAATCCCGGGTAGAGTTGTAAGGGGCAAGTATACATGTATCTGGTGGACTGGAGTCAAACAGCTGGGTTTCAGGGCGCTGTGCTTGCGTGTTCTAGGCGTCTGTCTGACTTTGTCAGGTATCCTGACTTCTTGCTTCTGGTCTAAAATGGGTATATAAGCAATTGAAAGCCAGAGGCAATACCAGCTTTCAGTTTAACCATCTGATAACTTCAGTTCGAAAATTGAAACCGAATGATTACTTAGCCCTAACTGTACAATTGATATCGATCATCAAAGATGTGCAACACAGTCATCACATGCATGGAACTAGGCCCTGGAATTCTTCCCTTCAAACCAAGCTCCTTTCCGGGACTGCTCATCGTTATGAGACTTTTAAAGTTATATGGTAAGGTGAGGTCAGGTATGTTCAGGAGCCATACAACACGGGGGGCTATTCCAATAGAGACCGAATTTTTCCCATCTTACAACGAAGGGATAGGATGGAGTATAGAGCATCATCCGTGCGGTACTTCATCGCATCTCTAGCAAGCCTAAGGCCCTGCCGTGCATCAAATTTACTCGCGCTTTATAATACAATTTTAGAGGTGATATATGCTGGGCCTCATGCTGACTGTCCTAATGGAAATTTGAAGCAAAGTATGCCGTGCAAATTCACTCCTTCAGATGTCAGTGTTTCACCAGCTTGTCGCAAGTCGTCTTATGGTTACAAAGGAAACTAAATGGTATTGTACTCATGGAGTAGGTCGCCATAGATAGAGTCAAATCACATGAGATTGTACAACGTCAAGTTCACTCAACGAAGTGTAGCGCGGGCCCATCTCCATTGTGCATTACTATGTCCGCCCAAGTTTCAATACCGGTTGTCAATTGATGAAGCGATAAAGGTACGCGAATGAAGTTCTAATTTTATTCCAAAACGAAATGTGATGTTGAGAAACCACTCAAAACTCTTCTGTTGCTGAGTTGGCTCCATCTTTCTAATGTCCGACGTATGAGCTCCGTTGGTAATTTGCTTAACAGTACTGCATTCTGCGATACAATTTAATTGAAGCATGTCTTCTTCATTCGTAGCCTCAAGAGAAGTCACTGAAAGTTGCATCAGTGTGTGCCATCCCAATTGAGACAATTTCCAGCACAGTTAACGAACCGTAAGTTGAATCAACGGGACATCACAATCAGCAGAACGAGATTTTGAGTTGTAGACCCCGCGATCGTAGTTTCCAAGGTTTAGGTGGATAGTCACACTGAAATGATTGAGAACAATGAAAGCTCTGCAGCGGTGACTCGATTGATTGTGATTAATGCTTCGGACTCTAAGAGATGGCAAGAATCGGCAGTAGAGAAGAATCGGGCAGTTTCTATGAAATATCTCAACAACCCGAGCCCGCTGCCATCTCTCGCCTTTTCTTCTTCCTCTCTGCAGCCAATATCACTTTCAGCTTCATTTGGGATCGCAGCTGAATTTGACTTGTTGACTTCTTGGACATACTCGTCTATCTCTACGCCATTGCCACAGCGGGTCACTTCGGAACAGTGTTCTTTCCTTTTCGCCTGTTGTCCACACTCTGGGCTCCCAAAACTCGTGTTAAGCAAACAGCCAGCACGAAATTCTTCGGTCTTGCTGATAAAGAGCGTTCAAACTGACTTCACGGCATTCACGACACCCTCAAGTATCACACAGCCTACATCAGAGTGTGTCTAAACCGCAAGTCACCTTATTGGTTTCGAGACAGCTGGTCTGGTTTCGACACCAAATACTGAATCCGACTCACTTCCAATCTTCACTTCCCGCCATTTCCGTCGATATTTGATCACCGTGCTAGGAGCTTGCATGTAGCAGAGCCTCGATATTCATTCCACTCACCAGGTAATAAAAAGCGATTCGGACTACAGAGTCTTATGCTTCTTTTTTCACTCACAGCACTCGCTTGCAAATCCCCATTATTCTAACTTGAGTTGCTCACTCCATTATAATTTTACATCACACGCCATCCTACTTCATTGACATTCACTCAACGCCATCGTGCCACTTTCACCAATGCGAAGGTCATGATAGAGTCCTTCCATTTCTTGTTTCCTTGTTTCATGTCTTATCGTGTCAATGACTGATCCTTTTCATTCAAATATACCAACATCTGCTAACTTTACGACTGCCAGAACCCAATCTCTAACCCAACATTCACTTACCTCTGCCACAATGCGTACTACAACGCCGACCAAACGCAGCGCTAGTCAAGCTGGCCTTGACATCTCAGCGGCCCAGCCCAAGCGTGCCTGCCGCAACCCGTTCATTGACGACGAAGAGGATGAGTTGGAACTTCCACCCCCGGTCGCCGCCCCGACTCGTAAGGTGTCGGTCCCGTCGACCCCTACCGTCAGCCCCCTGAGCCCGTTCGACAGCAGCCGCATCATCTCGTCTGACACATTTGCCGAGTATCAGGCACAGCGCCAGGACGAGCTACAAGTGGCCGAGGAGGCGGTCTTCAACTCTGTCATCAGGCTCAAGCATCTGAACAACGACAATCTCACCCTCACTATCCACAACTTTCTCGAGAGGGAAATCCGCCAGTCTGTCTATAACAGAGCCATCCCCTTTACGTCGCCTTCTGAGACAAAAACCAGACCAGTCCAAACTGATGCGTCTGTTGCCAGTCTCAGAAACAGTACGGTGCAGACCGAGTCTCTGACTGGTATTCTCATAAGCAGCACAGTTCAGACAGATGCCTCAGTGGCTACTCTTACAAGCCACGCAATGCAAACCGAAGATACAACTCTTGCTCTCACAAGCAGCGCTTCGCAGACAGAGCCGCTTCCTATTTGTGAGAGTCGCGCGACACAGACAACCCCTATCGCCACCCCCCTTCCCCCCCTTGAGCCTACCTGGGAGGACTTCTATAAGAAAGATCTGGAGGCCATCAAGATGACGCAGCCGTTTGTGCCAGAAAACAAGGTACCTGTCTTGACGGTCAAGAACAAGCTTCGCGAGGCTCGCATCATGACTCGCAATGACTCCGTGGCCTCCTCTGTTGCTGGTAGCTCGCGCCGCGGCAGTTCTCAGTCGATCAACAAAGGTACCATTCATATGTCATCTTTCTCTGCACCCGCCCCTGTTCCTGCTCGCAAACCTTCCACTGCGGCTGCGCCTACTTCCGTCATCAGCATCGACGATTCAGATGATGATGATGATGTCCCCTCAGCGGAAAGAAACAACCTCGACGCCAGCACCCGCAGTTCTTTCCACGTTGGTGGCACCTTTGGTCAGGGAGGATACACTTACGACGATGACACCGAAGGCGAGGATGGCTACGGAGCGTTCGACAACGGCTACAGCATGGGAGACTACAGTTCCCAGGGCACTTACCAGGTCGAGCCGGCCGACTTCTACGGCTTAGGCAAGGGGCCACACAGAAGCATCGACGATCAGCTGCGCTATCAGGACCGCCAGTCTCAGATCGGTTCTTACCCAACTCCGGCCGCTGGTCACCGGCTCCAAATGGATGCATACTCTCGCGCCGTGGGCTCGACCCATCGCCGCCGCCCCGGCCAACAAATTACCAAGATCCTCGAGGAGACATCATGGGGCTGCCCTCGCGTCCACGACGAGGCGCGCTCGGTCCAGCTCTCCTGGGCCAGAGACAACTTCAAGCTAATGAAGGGCTTTCCGCTGATCGAGGATGTCGAGTTCATCGTGCCGGACAACAAGGCGTGCCCCGACGGCGACTGCTACTGGCGCTCCATCGCCTTCCACCTGTATGGCAGCGGCAAGCACTGGGACCTCGTCAAGGCGGAGCACCTGTCGTACGCGTACCACGTCCTCTCGACCCCGGGCCACGCGCGCCATGATCTGTACAGCAACGAGCTGAACCAAAAGTTCTTCAAAACGGCGAGCACGGCCGATGGCGGCCAGATCTTCCGCGCCAACATGTACCAAGGGCTGCACCTCGCCCACGCCTGGACCCCGGCGCTGATGCAGCAGGTGACGGCGGACCTGTACAACATCTGCGTGATCGCCTTCACCCGAGGCGACAACATGACCATCACCGAGACTGCTGTCCGCGGAAGTTACAACTCACGACACATCTTCCTGCAGTTCGTCGATGACAATCACTTCCAGCCCATGTGTCCCAACCGGTTTGCGCCATCTGAGTTCCGCTACCCTCGCGTAACAGCCGAGGCCACTGCCAGGTTCACCTACGCACCCAAGGCCAACTCCAGCAAGACTGGAGTCTTTCACCCATGGCGAAATGATTTCACGAGAGAGGTACCGGGCCCCGTGCCGCGCCTTCATGGTTGCGATGTCGAGAGCTTGCGAAGCTTTTTGGGAAGTCATCCGACATCGTGAGAGGAGAAGTCACAGCTTGAAATATTTTGGAAGGACAAGGTTGTGTTAAATGAGGTCGAACATTATCAATTTAGAATACTGCCATTAAAACTTAGATCTGATGCCAGTCGTTTAGTGACTGCGGTATGAGGATAGATATCGCAGGCAATTGACTCGTACATGAAATTGCATGGCTAGATGTTTGATAATTTCTCTTGCCCATCACCCATCGTGAAAACGTGATCTGAGATCTAAGTGACGGGCCTTCTAGAAGCAAAGTTTGATCTGCCAACGTTCCGTTCTGGACTCATCCTAGAGGGATTTGAGCCCAGGCTATCACGAGGATAGCACCGTTGGGGGGTATTCATGGTTTGCGCGGTCACTGAAGATGCATGGTTGCATAGAACATACCTCGAAAACAGTTGAATGTGGTATCTGGATTTGTTCCTCACATCTACTGCCTGACCCATTGGCCGTGGACCTTCCTACTCGATCCCCAGAACGCCATGCAAGTGAACCGCTACCGAACCTCGTGATTCTCATGAAACGCATTTTACAGCTCGATGTGTCTTCGACCGTGGCCGAAGAGCCTACGCCCTCTAGTCTGCGATGTGTGCAAATAGCGGCGAAATGGATTCGCCATAGTGATTTCTCCTGATGGCCTCCGAGAGCAAATATGAGAGGTCCAGGATGACCAACTTACTTGCGCTCTTGGCCTTGCGCTCACTGATAGGGAAGCTGTTGGTAACAATGATTTGGTCGATGCACTCGCATGCCTGGAGTTGTTCCAGCGAGTCACCTCCGAATACGCCGTGCGTGGCAATGCAATACACCTTCTTGGCGTGACCTCTCTTAACCACTGTCTCAGCGGCAGCAATCCAGGAGCCGGCCTTGTCAATCATGTCGTCGACAATAAGGACCGGGCGGTCCTTAACATCACCAACCAGGGTGATCATGTGCTCAAGCTTAGGATCTTGGAGCTTCTCATCTTCCTCGTCGGATGATGCCTCAGCATCGCCAGATCCACCTAGAGCATGTGGCTCGGGTGCAAAGAACGATGAGGCATGAGACATGGTCATGGGGTCTTCCACCTCAGTGTTCTGGGAGCTACCTTCTCCGCCAGCCTCCGATTGCGGTGCAGATGGATAGTCGTCAGGGACAATGTGGCCTTGGACCAGTCGACCCTGGGTGACGACCTGGGCACGCTCATCAGTGTAATCCTGAGTCTCAGCATCCTCTTCCTCGGGCATGTCATCGAAAGGCGAGGCCTGAGATGATGGATGTCTGGCATTTGGGCGTGGTGTACGCGACAGACCATTAGTCCGCAGCGGCGGGCCGTTAGCACGCCGAGGAGATCCTTGCGAGTCTGCTATGGTGCGGGATGGCCTTGCCGAGCCATTGACCTCTTGGACAACGGTGTCTTCCGACAATACCCGCGCAGGCTGCGAAGGGCGCCCGTTGATCACAGCTGGAAACCCGTCGAGGTGATTCATGATCATGCTAGCAGTCATGTTGCCCGTAGCACGTTTCCGATCAGTCGTGACGATACCAAAGTTGAGCTTCAGAGCGTCGGCCAGGGACGTGACTCTCTTGGTGCCTCCAGCGTTCTTCGAAACGACGACTGCCTCTTTCCAGTGGGGGATGTTCAGACGAACCCAACGGGCGATCAGCGGCTCGGCATGTAGATTGTCCACAGGACACTTGAAGAAGCCTTGCATCTGCGAAGCATGAAGGTCAACGGTTATGACATGCTTGACACCGGCCACATGCATCAGGTTGGACAGCATGCGGGCAGTGATGGCGCCACGGTGCGACTTCTTCTTGGACTGTCGGTTGTAGGGGAAATACGGCAGGACAGCTATGCAGCAGAGGAGCCGCAGTCAGTCATTGATCCAGGGAGCGATTGGCAGAGCTGCTTGGCGCCGGCAATGCAACTCACCAGTGATCTTGTTGGCCGAACCACCCTTGCACGCGGAGATCATGATCAGGAGCTCCATGATCGTGTCGTTGATCTTGGGGCTGCCGGACTGCACAACGAAGACATCCTTCTCTCGAACGCTGGTCAAGATCCGGACGCTCGTCTCGCCCTGGGACACCTCAGAGTCAGCGGCAATGCCTCATCGACGGTCTGACGGATCGGACAGTGCTCTGGCCGACCGGGCAGCCGGGCGATCTGGGCGAGCAAGCAGGATGCCTCGGATTGGACGTACATTTGAGAACTGTGACAGCTCGGCCTCGGCCGGAGCCATGCCGAGATTCTCACATATCTTCCCGGTGAGAAGCGGGCACGACGAGCCCGAGAAGACCAGCGTGTTCCTCATGATGGTAGGGGCCAGAGAAGAAAAGAATGAAAGTCGAGAAAAGTTTTGGCGGGGGGACGAAGGCTTTCAAGGCGCAATGTGGGTCGGCAGGTCAGCTCTTCTAGAAATTGAAATGACCCCCAAAACGCAGGCCACCCAATTCGACAAGTGCCCCTGGAAAACTGGAGCCTCTGCCCAGAGCCTCAGGTGCCCGCGGGCCGCTAGTTACTGTCTGGCAGCCCCGCGGACGTTTTGCTCTGGTGCACTGCACCTCCCACCGCGCAAGTCTCCAGATACATCCAATATGTAGGTAGCTACCTAGCAATGTGACTTACACCTCAGGAGCTCATTTCGTGCATTGTTCTTTCGTGCAGGACTCAACCGGACGTGCATACAGCGGACTATTGTCCTGACACGGCGGCAACTTGTCCGTGTACGTTGCATTTCTTTGTACGTATGAGCTTAGGGCCTCGAACCCTTGAAAACTGTGACCCAGACCCAGAGCAGTCTATGAAGGTATCGCGGAGACAAGTAAATCTGACATTGGCAAGAACCAAAAGTCTGGGACTGGACGTCGCCAAACCGCTCAAAGCGTCCATTGGTACAGTGCCCAATTTCATGTCCAAACATAGTTGCAATTGCGTAAAACCACTCCGTCAACGATGGGCATCCCCGGGCTCACCAGAACACTCAAACCCTATGCGGTGGACACAACGCTCAGGGGCAAAAGCGTCGTCGTAGATGGGCCAGCCCTCGTGCACCGAGTCTGGGAGACTGTCATGGCGAACCAGACTAGAGCGAGTGTGATCCTTGGTCACATATCCTACCAGCAGCTTGTTCAAGCTGTCATCGACTGGCTCGACAGGCTGCGAGCCTGTGGGGTGCATGTGTGAGTCTATTGAACACCCGAACCAAGGAACATGCTCTGAACATTCCATATAGGCGGCGGATCTACTTTGACGGCTATCTACCGCCCCGAAAGTGGGAAATTAGACGGAAACGTCTTGTCACTCAGTCACAGCAGATGCAACAGTTGACCACTCACTACCGGGCAACAGGGGTAAAGGCAGCTCACGTAGATCCTTCTTCAAGTTTTGCCCTCCATCATCCGATAAGCGACGCGCAAGCACTGCCAAAGCATGCGTTCCTGGTACCCGCTGCGGTTGAGGCCTTGATGCAGTCCCCAGACTGGAAATCTGTCGTCCGAGTTGTGCCGGGCGAGGCTGACGCCTTCTGTGCTGACGATGTTAGGCAAAGTGGGGGCATAGTACTGACTGCAGACTCAGACCTCTTGATTGAAGACCTTGGACCGGAAGGATCTGTAGTGTTCTTTTGGGACCTTTTTGAAAAGTCCGCGGATGGAAGGGAAGACATAAGCGCACAGGAGTACACACCTCGAGACATCGAGGCTCGTCTTGATCTCGACAAGTCCGGAGGACTCTCCCGCCTTGCCTTCGAGCTCGGCAGCAACAAGATCAGCTTCAATCAGGCGATTGAACACGCTGCGTCAAAAATGTTCACCAACCCGGCACGGGAAATGGCATACGAGAAATTCCTCCAAGATCACATGCCAGAAGAGTATATTCCTTCGGACCACCCAGTTGTCTCTGTGCTATCCACGTTGGACCCGCGGATCTCGGAAGTGACAATACAGTCCTTGAATATTCAACTTTCCGAATCGGCCAGCGTATCAGCACCAGATCGTACGCCCCGGGGACCAGAACATCTCTCAATGTTCCTCCCTGTTCTAATCGAAGACCACCGGCGAAAGAGCGCCTGGGAATCTAGCCAGACTATCCGGCAGCTGGCATACGGCCTTGCTCAGCCACCTGGCCAGGAGACCCATAGCACCACCATCGAATATCGAACGCTGCTCTCAGAGTTAGGAGGACGCCGGGCCACAATACCTGCACCAGAGATAATGGACGAGTGGTGCGAGCAGTTGGTGACAACTCTAGACCAGATCGAATCTCACGTCACGCCACCTGAGTTGAGGTGGCTGGCTTTCGCGGTGCTCCAGGAGATCCAAGCTTCGTCATCAGAAGAGAGATATCCTCTAGCCTTGAACGCGTTGAAGGGAGCTGTTCAGCAGCCCAACAAAGGCAAAAGAGCAAGCACGTATTCTTGGGATATTATCCATTTCACCGCAGTATACCAGGCTTCGCTATACTCGCTGAGAATGCTCCGGCAAGTAATGGAGGCAAGAATAGCCTTGTCGCTGGTGAAAGTCTCAGACACTCAACAGCAATTGCGCCGGCGCCTCCTTGGTTTGCCGAGTATTGTCGAATACCCTGCTGTTGAGGACAGTATCAAACTTTTGCGTAAATTCCAGGAATCACGATGTCTCTCGGCCATATGCAAAGTCTTGGGCATTCCCATCGACTCATTTGAGATTCCGCCTAAGCAGGGATCCAAAGCAGACGCTAAACAACACGCCTCACGCGGTAACGGCGGCAAATCAACTCAGGCAAGGTCGACGAACCCGTTTGACATCCTGGACTCAATTTGATGGAAGTTGCAGACTTCTTGGGACGAGCACAAAGGAGTACGATTAACTATATCTATATTCTTTCATTATCATCAGTCCAGGGCTGCGCCAAGCAGCATTGACACCACGAAGCCAATAACAGGTCTTTCGACCTCGTTCCACAACAGCTGTAGCAAATTCCCCTAGGCCTTTGCAGTCTTATTGGCAGCAACCATCCGCCCGATCAGATTCCGTCCTACAGTGATCGTCTCATCCATTCCCTGCTGGCGTTGCCAAAACCTGTCGCAATGTTAGCATGGACACAACTTCAAAAAGGAAATACGGTACTTACGCTTCCTCAGGTGTACCGCGGCCCTTGAGGGACGCCTGTCTGGCTTCTTCCTCCAAACCCTCACGCGTGATCTTCTCGCCCGTCGGGACGTCTGGCAAGGGCTTTTGTGTGATATCCTCACCCAAGGTTTCTTCGAGCGTGTGCCTTCTCATCGCAAAACGCTCCGCTCTCTCCTTTTGCAAACCCGGGCTATCAAGCTGGTTCAGAACATGGCGGACGGCAAACTGCACTGCTAGATATAGATGTTCTGCGCCCAGGATGCTGAGAAGAAGACCCCATGCTGAGATGTTCCAGGGCTCACCACCGGGTCCTTCCGGTCCATTGCTGAAGAGGAAGACAATGGCAGCACTGATTATACTTCCGAACCAGGACAGGAAGCCAAGAGCACTGAGCCATGGGCCGATCGAATCAGCTCTCCAGGGAATAGGTCGCTGACTGCTAACTGCGATCTTCATTGCGTCGCCTCGGAGTTCCACCCAGTTGTTGATAAGGAATGAAACTGGTGTTAGCGGCCAAATAGCAGAGAAAAGTGAGAGATATCCTGGTCACAATCAGCAAGAGTTAGGAAGTTTACTGGTCAACAAACTCACCGAACTGAACCACCATCTCTCGGTAGTCCACAGCTACATCATAGATATCGAGCTCGGCCTCGTTGCGAACTCTTTCCAGGAACGCCGCTTCCTCAGGGACATCCTGTTGTGTAACTTCTGACTTGCCATTCTTATGGGCCATCTCCGTCTGAACCGACTTGACCTTCTTAAAAACCTTGCGCTTGAGATACGGCGTCAGTGTCTCCAGGGCGAAGTTCACCACTTGAGCTGTAACTGTGAAGTAAATGATCTGCTTCTTGAGCCGGTCAGGGTTGATCTGGAAGCCCTGAGTTGAGACCTTCTCGCTAGCTGAAATTTTCTCTGCAGTGGCCCTCCAGATGTCGAGGTAGGGTACCAGAAGGTTGCCGAAAGGCATGTAGACAAAAGCCGATAAGAAGAGTGGAATGTACGATGTTATGAAATTAACGACGAAGATCTTTTGGATCAGAGCCGCCTCGTGAGCTAGGAATTGTTAGCGAATGATCCATCTGAAGATGTGGCACTACTTACCATCGTGCGTTTCATAGTTCTCAGCGTCAGTGAGCCTTTCTGCCAGGTTACCCAAGATGGTTGACAGAGTGGGAGTACACGCCGTCAGGATAATAGTGGGTAGGAAGGTCTTTGTATTGTCAGCCAGTATGCTTCAGAAAATCGTGGTAGCATACTTACTAGATAGGCCTTGAAAGGACCGTTGTAAATCTCGCCGATAAAGATTTCGATCGAGAAACAGAAGACGTAGAGGGCTCCAAGCAGAAGGGTGCAAATCAAGGCGAATGGAAGTTGGAGCAGTTGGGTTTGAAGTCTCTTGCGTTTCGAGTAGACTTTGACAGGCTCGCCGGTGACAGGGTCGGCGGCCTCATGCTCCCACTTGTAGTGCGGTCGAGGATGCTGGATGCGCGAGACTCCTCGGACGCCCCACTGCACCGCGAGGTCGACCTCCTTCTTCTTCCAGTACTCGAAGAAGATGACGGACCAGAGAGAGTTGACCATGGCGTAAAAGACCGAGTACTGGCCAAGAATGAGCCAGGCGCCGAATCCAAATGCTGCCGGGAACAGCAAGAAGGAGAAGTAAGATTGCAGAAAGGCGAAGTAGAAGGCAATTCTCTCGCCAAACTTGTCCCGAATCTGATCGATATCCTCCTCCTTCAAGACGTACTTGCTGCTCCACTGCTTGATCCACTGTCGGTTGAAATCATGGTTGTGCAGCGGAAACACGGACTCGACATACTTCCACTGCCCGGTCTTTGGGGTGATGCCAGCACCGCCGTCATTCTTAGGCAGAGTCAGGAGGAGGTACACCAGGCGGAGCCTCTCGGCATCGGTGATGGGCTCCTTCTCGAAGAAAGTGTTCACGTCCTTCTCGGGGGCCTTGATGCGCACCCCATACAGCCAGTCCTGGACCCTCTCCTTGTAGATCTTGGACTTGAGGTATTGGTCGGAGGCGACCTTGACGAAGACAAGGACGGAGTTGTTATCGACACCATTTCGAACTTCGGAGGCGAGGCCGGCTTTGGTCAGGACTTCGATCAGCTGGGTGAAGCCAGCTTCGGCCTCGGCTTGGGCTTTGACTTGTCAGAGATCGTAGTTCTTTCGAGGTTTCGGGGTACTGGCAAATTACCATCGGAGGGAACCTTGTAGTTGATCACAAAATCAACACTAGAATGACGTGTCAGTGCCGGCATATTGAAGTGCCCGAGATCATGGTGATGGGGCGCACTTACTTCATATTAGTCTTGAACTCGGGCCGGCTACCGTCAGAGGCATACAGTGTCCTGAGACTGGACATGATTGCTGGCTTGGACGACCTCCCGAATGATAACCTAGGTGCGAAGAGGGCAGGTAGAATGTGAAGAATAGGGAGGGGATCTCTAGGTTGAGGTATACAGGCAGGAGGCCTTAAGTCAAGGGCTCATTGCCAAATTTAAGCTTGAGGAGCGTTTTGGGCAAGCTGAAGGGTGATCAACGTCATCCCGCAGCCCCCAAAACCCCAATCCATGACCAGGATCTGGCAGATGGTCCGTGCCGGCCCTGTCTTCCCAGATCTAACCTTGGCTGTCCCATAAAGCCAATTCACGTCAATGACAACGTTGTGCATTCCCTCACTTGTATCGCCATGGGTTGGTTCAACTAGTACTGCTTCGCTAGGTAAACGGCTTTCATGGGCTAGGTGCGGCGAAGCTTGCATACCATTTGGCCTGCTTGCGTCCATGATTCCAGTTCCCTGAGCGAACTCTGCCCAGTTTATGTAAAGGTGTACAAGTTGCACTATCGTCGCATACAAGGGCATCCTTAATCCACTAACAACCGACCTCCCTGCATGAATGGATGCCGTTACATATCAGACCACCAGCAATCGCATGGGAAGCAGCATATTCGTCGAGAAGCCTGGGTTATACATGCACCTGGCCGGCAAGGATAATGACCTAATTGCCATTAGGCAGTAATTAAGTTGCGTACTTCGTAGAGCCTCATCGCTGTTACCCTCCAGCTGGGATAGTCGTGCATAATTACAAGGACATGATTGGCTCGCTAGCGGCGAGCCTTCCCAGGGCCCAAGGCGTTTGTTCTGAGGGTGACGGCATAGGAATGATCAGCAACAACAACTCAACTGCAGCCCGCTTACCAGCACCTGTACAAATATTACATACTCTGGTCTCTCGATTGCTGTATCTCAACGAAACCGCATATTGGTCTTGAGACTCAAGTCGCAAGTCTCCAGTCAGTCATTTCCAGTTGATCGTCAGCGGCCCATGGGATGGGGATCCTCCAGAATCTTGGCCTCCGTCGCCGAATCAAGTGGGAGAACCTCACACTCCTGGATGAGATCCTAAACTCCCCCCTACAAGCCCTAGTCCTCCGGATCTACCTGATTGTCCTCTGGCTGCGAGGCAACCCGACCAGACCTCCGCCCAACAAGACTCCCATCCGAATCGTTTGTCTGGCGGACACGCATGACGCGTTTGTGGAGGACGTACCGGAGGGTGACCTCCTGATCCACGCCGGTGATATGACCAGCATTGGCACAGCTAGCTCCATTCAACAACAGATCAATTGGCTGGCAAATCTGCCACATCGGCACAAAGTCCTAGTCACTGGCAACCATGACAGCTGGTTTGATAAGGATTCCAGAAGGTATGTGTCTCGGAGACATTGTAGGAGCAGCGGCCAATCCCCTTCCTGACCACGGCCGGCAACACGCATTCCTCTTCCCTCTGGCGATTCTTTCACTAAACCTGATTCCGAACAGTGAGGAAGATGTTCTCGCCCACAAGGAAGTACAGTTGAAGGGCATCCACCTGCTCAACCACAAGGCCGAGACGTTTCACTTCAAAGAAGGCCGTAAGCTCGTGGTATACGGGAATCCGTCTCTGCCGAGGTGCGGCGGCAAGGACAATGCCTTCCAATACGACAGGGACCAGCATCCATGGGCCGGCTCCATTCCTCTAGACACCGAGATCCTCGTGACTCACACACCTCCGAGACATCATCTCGACCTTGATATTGGTTGTGCCGGCCTGACGGATGAGCTCTGGAACCTCAGGACGAAGCCGAAGCTACATGTCTTCGGCCATGTCCACTGCGGCCGTGGGACACGGTCTGTTTTCTGGGATGATTGCCAACGCGCTTACGAGGACCTCCAAGCGCGGGACCAGGTTGCAATACTCGGTTTTCTGCCCAAGGCAATAATCAACCTCTTGCCCCGAGGTATAATCGACTTGGTCCCGAGCTACCGTTGGGTTGACGCTCTCAAGGTCTTATTCTATGGCTTCCTGAGTCTTGTTTGGCAATTTTTATGGCAGGGTGGTAAAAGTGAGGGCAGCTTGATGGTCAACGCTGGATGTCAAGATGGAGTCAAGCGACGTTTGAACAACAAGAGACCCTTTGTCATTGAGATTTGAGAGCCGTGGGGTACATCGTGTACGATCAGTCATGGCTTCAAGCGTGGCATCACAGATCTAGAAGCTTTGTAGTCCGGAACTGGTCCCATGTGTCACCGTCAATGAGAAGCAGCTTCGACTCAGCGTTTTTATGATTTTGATGGACTTTCTCCAGCAATAGCCACTGATATTCAGACAAACGGAACCCTCATACCCATGCTCGTCAAGCTCCATCGTATACTATACCTACCTTGTTGCGCTTTGCACCCTCAAAAAGAAACTCCAAACCTTTCATAGAAGCGCATACTCGTACATCCTCACATCGCTCACAGAACAACCATAATCCCAAATACACCAAGCCAGACCATCACGCCCCACCCTATAACACCGCCAACGCCGAGTCCGTCGGCGCCGGCCATCACTGGCATCTGGCTGGCTTTCGCACTGACATTGGCAGCCGCGGCGGCGCTGACATTGAGCGGGATCACCATTGCAGTGGCGAAGGCGGTGACCACCACCTCGGGACCGCCCGTCGCCACGGCCTGGGGCACGGTCAGCGTCACGGTGTTCTCGCCACGGATCCCGCACGCCTTGCAGGTCTCGGTCAGCGTGACCATGGGGACGAGGGTCTGTGCCGGGGCGACGGCCGTGATGGGCGCGATACCGGTCGCGTTGGGGAATAGGGCACCGCTGCCGGGCGTCTTGCTGCACCCGCATTTCTCGATCGTCAGGGTCGTGCAGTACTGCAGCTCGACGAGGGTGGCCGGGTTGGTCGCGCAGATTGTCGTGTACTTGACCGTCACTGCGGTGGTGATCGTGACCATGTTAGTCACCGTCGTATTCCTAATTGCAGTTGTGGTAGCTGCCGGATTGCCACCGCCGATGCCCGGAGCCGGAGGAGCGACCTCGCCGGTGATGTTACCATATAGCGTCAGCAGAATGGTAGCCGGAGCAGCACGGCGGTTGTGGTGGGTGCGCACCAAGATGGAGGCGGTGTCGTTGGCACCGGTTGAGTTGAATGGCGGGATCGTCACATTGCCCCCTGGTCCGGCTGGTCCTACGACGCCGCCGCATGTCTGCAGTGCGCTGCCAGGGCACCGATGGTCGCAGCGGCCGTTGTCGGTGGCCACGGAGTCGCCGAGGGTGTCGGCACAATAGCAGGTGGTCTCAAAGGTGCCTGCGAATTTCTTACCGTCGGCTGCACAGGCTGCGACACAGGCATCGTTGTTCATGTCAGGCAAGTCGGCAGTGGCCTCGAACGTCTGGTAACCCCCTGTGGAGCCGAAGCAACCCAGGAGCGTGTAGTCGCCGATGCTCTCGGGGTCGATCAGACCGCCGTTGGCACCGGTAGGTATGGCCGTTGTATCTACAGTCGACAGAGTGACCATACGCGTGGTCGAGGGTATGGTGGAGTTCGTTGGAAATGGTGGTGCTGTGCTGTTCGAGCCTGTCGTGCTGTCTGGTCCGGAGCCTAGTCTGTTCCAGACCTCGATGTAGTTGATTTCCCAGTACCTATAAGTTTAGCATAATACTATGCCCATAATCGATGGCTTCGGCTTACGTTTGAGTAAATGCCAACGGATTGTCAGCTACATACTCCTTGCAGGTTGGAGCTAAGGCGCTACACCTCGGGTTGCTTGCCCAGAGGTTGCCGGCATAATCACCACAGAAATTCTACTCGATTGTTAGCAGGTTACAAGTGTGGTGATAGTCATTTGGGGCGCACAATATTAATAGCAAGGCTCAAATCGTAAAAGTAGGTGTCAGTATCGCAGTTGGATCCGCCGAAGATGGCTTGAGGAGTTCCCCAAGTTTCTGGGTCTGGAGTCAAGCCAGGGGCAAATTTGATGTCGTCAGGGATCATGTCACGGCTCCAATGCCAGATCTTGATACCGTCTTCTTCCCACTGCATGGCATAGACGCCCCCGCCCGCGGCGTTAAAGGTATCGCCGTACGACGTGTCATCGGACGGTGGTGGAATATAGGTACATCCAAGGTTCTTTGGGCTTCATTTAGCGATGTTATCGTCTACGAGAGGTCTTTGAGAGGGTTTTACTCACCATTGGATCTGGGCCACAATCCATACGTGTAGAGATTCCACTGAATCCGGAAGCAGGCTGGGAGCAACCAGCGGTTCTAGAGCAGTCAGTTTCGTTGAGTAGAAATATTTTGTTGGCCAACCTACGTATGCGCGGCAAATAGGTTGCTTCGAACGTCATTCTGTCCCTCTATAATGTCCAGTTCACCTCCGACAGGCCAATGGATGCCATTGTCGGCGTTGTTGAGGGCCCAGACTATACACCTTTAGAGATGGTTCACTCTTGGTATGGAAAAGTCGGAAACTTACACGCTGGCCAAGTACCGCAGGTGGATGCTGGCATTCGGTTGAAGTCGGCGATGAATAAGCCATGGTTGAACGCCTCTTTAGTCGTCAGTCTTACACTAGCTCTACCAACGTCCGTCAAATTGTAGAAGTTGGTGCTATCGACGCCCAGTCGAACTCTACTGGCGGTGTCAATGGAGACCAGCTTTTGAGCATGAGCGCTAGCTTCGTCTAGATAACTGTCGCAGAATTATTAGTTGTGTTCGGATTCGCAGACTTGTGGGTTGGGTAATGCTTACTTGACGAAACCTCTGCTCGGGTCCGAATCATGGAAGAAGTTAAAGGCGTCTAGCAGCCCCTGACCCACCAGGTGGTGCCCAAGTGTATAGGCTGCCATTGCAGGAAACGAATCCAAATACAACAAAGATCAAAGGAGTGACTAGAAGAGAAACCAAAAGAGTGACAGGTGTTCCGCTAAGCGACTCACATAGACGACGGCATTTACCCCTGGGATGCTAACTTCAGGAGTAAAACGTCGTAGGCAGACGGGGGAGCACCCTCAGTATTTCAATGGACTCCTGCTCGCAACTTACCGCAATAATACGCGTCGTGCACAAAAGATTCCTGAGCGGCCATGGAACGGTTCAGGTCAAGAATGCAAATTAGACTTGAAGCTGCTGGGGCATCGCGATGCAGCAGCTGAGACATTGGGAGCCGTCCGGATGGGATTCCTCCTCTCGATCAAGGGAGGAATCTGGTTCAGATCGGGCCAGATCTCTGGGGTTTGGCTATTTGATTTGAACCGCAGCCATCTCTTGTTACCATGCTCATCATCCGCTGACGCACCTGATGATGGTGATGGGCATATTCACGTCTCCTGGAAAATCCAGCCACGGCTGTCATCAGTCGTGGTCATCGTCAAATATAGGATGGCCCCAAAACGCGTCAGAGCCTATTACACGCATATAAGCTGGAAGTCTACTCAGGTCATGTCAGATTTTCTTCAGCCACATAGTGACCGTATGTGCACCGCGAATGCATGTAGCTATTCGTTGTGACGGTTCTCTCACCATTCAATGATTTTTATTCAGAGCATTGAGACAAGAGAAACTTGATCTGAACATAGCGAAGGATTTGGCTAGTCAAATGTTCGTTCGTCTCTCAAACACGCCAGGCGTCTGCGTGATCAATTGGCGTGAGCGTGTATAATCTATTTCTATGTCCAAATCCTGACAGCTGGCCAGCAACAGGCCCAATGGATAGCCCATGGCATGTGAAAGTGGCTTCCAGTGAAGCTCACGTGTGGGTGTCGCATTTGGCCCCCACATTCTGGACTGCACCAGACTGCTGCTGCGACTGACCTCCTGGACGAACGGACGACGCGAATCGCCAGGTCAGCATCCATGGATGGCGGGCATGGATGGTCAGATGCGGCCAAGCGAGCCAAGGCGCCCCAAGCTCCATTCTGCCAGTGGGATAAAGCTGGCGGGCCTGGCGGGTACCTCCATACTTTACCTCGGCTTGAAGGGGACACACCCACTGGGGCGCGCGGGCGCTCGGTCGACTGGGGAAACTCGAGCGCAAGGAGAACGATAGGCCGGACGTCCTACCGGGGATCTGCTAAACGTGTCCGTGGGATTTTTGGCTGTGGACGACGAGCATTTGTAGAGCGGCTATTCCGGCAGGCCTCGTTCTTCTGTGCTAGCCCAACTGGACACTCCGACCGACGAGGACGAAAAGAATACATACGGCAGGCAAACAGGCTGGCTACTTGGTGACAATCAACAGACTTGAAAGAAAGTACCTACCTAGGCACGTACTGCAGACCGCGGGCCCCAGCCAGACCACCAGACCACCACCTGACTAGCTGCCACGCTGTGCAACCCCAGACCTGGACAGCACTACAGTAGTGGACACCACCCCGAATTACCTAGGCTTGTAAGAGGGCGACTCACGGCATTCGGTAAACCCACCGCGGCTCTCCCACCAACCATCAGAAGCCGTTGCCGTCATACTACATCGACGGCCGATTTCTTTTCTTCTCCTTGGATTATACTTGACAGTGGTATCCCCCCCCCCCCCCCCCCCCCCCCTAGAAGCCATTGGGATGTTGAGTTCGTTGGCAAAGAGTCGGGCACAGGCGACCGCACTCAGATCCTCATTCAGACCGTTGCATACTCCAAAGGTACTGTGTTCTCTATCCGAATGCGCCCATTATGCGCATTATCCCTGTAGTCTCGGAAGAACCGCACGCTGACGAGAGCTTCCTCCAACAGAGCAGCATACTGATGGCGCCCGCAAAACGCAGCAACAGCTCCCTGCCAGCTGGTTAGTTCTATGCGACCCCCCAAAAGCCCCGGGGAACCGACTTGCGCCGCAAAGCAGCACTAACACGCGAGGAATAGGATATGTAGAGGACAAGTCCAAGGGACCGATGCTTCGGTTCCAGGAGTCCCTCCCCAAACTCCCAGTCCCGACCCTCGAGGAGACGGCAGCCCGCTACCTGAAGTCCCTGAACCCCATCCTGAGCCCGACCGAGCTCGCCGCAAGCAAGAAGGCCGTCGAGGAGTTCGTGAAGCCCGGCGGCGTGGGAAGCAAGCTGCAGGAGAAGCTGCTCGCCCGCCGCGAGGACCCCAATGTCAAGAACTGGATGTACGACTGGTGGAACGAGGCCGCCTACCTTGCCTACCGTGACCCCGTCGTGCCCTATGTCAGCTACTTCTACTCGCACCGCGACGACCGCCGGCGGCGCAACCCGGCCAAGAGGGCCGCCGCCATCTCGACCGCCGCCTTGGAGTTCAAGAAGCAGGTCGACAGTGGCACCCTGGAGCCCGAGTACATGAAGAAGCTGCCCATCTGCATGGACAGCTACAAGTGGATGTTCAACTGCAGCCGAGTCGCGGCGAAACCCGCAGACTACCCCGTCAAGTTCGACGCCAAGTCGAACAAGCACCTGATCGCGATCCGCAAGAACCAGTTCTTCAAGATCCAGCACGAGGTCGACGGCCAGCAGCTGAACACATCAGAGCTCGAGGCCCAGTTTGCCCGTGTGTACGAGCTCGCAACCCGGGTTCCCGCCATCGGTGCTCTCACATCCGAGAATCGCGATGTGTGGACGGATGCCAGGGAGATCCTGCTCAAGGCCTCGCCGAAGAACAAGGCGGCTCTCGAGGCGATCGAGTCGGCTTCCTTCGTGGTATGTCTCGACGATGCGGCACCGGTGACCCTGGAGGAGCGCGCCCACGCCTACTGGCACGGCGACGGCCAGAACCGCTGGTACGACAAGCCGCTGCAGTTTATTGTCAACGACAACGGTACATCAGGCTTCATGGGTGAGCACAGCATGATGGACGGCACCCCGACCCACCGCCTCAACGACTACGTGAACGACCTCATTTTCAACAACAAGCTGGACTTCAGCAACCCCTCCGTCCGGTCGAACCTCCCCGACCCGGCCGCAGTCAACTTCGAAGTCACCAAGGATGTTCAGGCTGAGATCAACCGAGCCATCAACGATTTCAACAGTGTCATCGGCTCGCACGAGCTCGCTGTCCAGGCGTACCAAGGCTACGGCAAGGGCCTGATCAAGAAGTTCAAGTGCTCGCCCGATGCTTACGTGCAGATGATCATCCAGCTAGCCTACTACAAGATGTACGGCAAGAACCGGCCGACCTACGAGTCCGCCGCCACCCGGCGCTTCCAGCTCGGCCGTACCGAGACGTGCCGCACCGTCTCGGACGACAGCGTGGCCTGGTGCAACGCCATGGCCGACCCCAGCGCCAGCGACAAGGACCGCATCGACCTGTTCCGCAAGGCCGTCAATGCCCACCTGGAGTACATCGGCGCCGCCTCCGACGGCAAGGGCGTCGACCGCCACTTGTTTGGCCTGAAGAAGCTGCTCGAGCCCGGCCAGGAGGTGCCCGCCATCTACAAGGACCCCGCCTTTGCCTACAGCAGCTCCTGGTTCCTGTCGACCAGCCAGCTGAGCTCTGAGTTCTTCAACGGCTACGGCTGGAGTCAGGTCATCGACGCCGGCTTCGGCATTGCCTACATGATCAACGAGAACAGGTGAGCCTTGAACCTTCCCATATAAGACCCCCCACCCCCTATTCGCGCCCCGGAGTGCTGGCCATCACGTGAGATTTGAGCAAAAGACTAATAAACTGTGTAGCATCAACTTCAACGTCGTCTCCAAGGGTCTCGGTAGCCAGAAGATGAGCTACTACCTGAACGAGGCGGCCGGCGACATCCGCGACCTCATGTCGCAGACCCTCGAGGCGCCCAAGGCCAAGCTGTGAGGGGTTGGTCAAGTCGGGCGGACGGGATGGTGGAATAGACCAGGGGCTTGCAGCGAAACTTTTCCCTTGTACACTTATGTCTTATACTGGGCGACCCCTGAGCTCTTGCTTTCAGTCGTTTTGCTTATCGCCCATGTCATCTGCAGTCTATACTAGATCTCCTAGCCTAGATTTCTCCAGCCCATCTAGAAACTCCTTTAGCTGATAGCAGCATGAGACCCCGGTGTTGGCGGCTTTCGTCATGGCATGCTTATCGAATACGAGACGGGAATAAAAAGCACAGTAGACATTATGTTCATTGGCCAAGTTCTCCCTTTTCTAGCGACTTTTCCGCTCCCGCTGTCTGTTGGCTGTGGTACTGCTGCTTGGATTTCCAAATGCTCTCTACGTAATACAAGATCTACTATACTTTGATCTGAATGCTCTGCTGAATGCTCCGCAAGACAGTCGATGGCCCTGCACTCAACCGCACGTTCCTACTCATTCGATCCTACAACTTCATCTGTTGCGGGCGCACCAGAATTTACACTGCCGCAACATGTCCGCTCTAGCCGGCATGGTCCACGATCTCGTTCACCAGGTCGCCCTTCTTCTCGTCATAGAAGCTGCATATCTGGCTCGGCAGGGGGATCTCCTTGTAGTCGTCTTCGTCGCCCGCGATCACGTTCAAGTTGATGCCGGAGCTCTTGCTGCTGAAGATGCGGGTTTCTATGCTCTCTTTGCTCAAGTAGACCTGCGCGCCGTCAAGCTGGTCGAGCAGAATGGTCGGCAGGGAGCCCATGACCTGGAGGGCAAAGTTGGAGGACTTGACAACGTCGACGGTGGACACGAGGGAGTCGATGACGAGGGACAGGCGCTGGGTGTTCTCGATGGTCACGGCGTTGGCCTTGCCCTTGACGATGATGGTGGTGTGGGAGCACTTGGAGATGAGGATCGAGTGGCTCATGCTGGCTTCGATCTCGATAGGCTCGGGGTGTCTCTCGAAGTTTTCCTAGGAGGGGTCCATGTTAGCACCACAAACTGACGGTTAGAGCGCTCTTCTGTAGCTTACAATAGTCCACTTATTGCCATCAAGCTCCTTCTTGGGCGGCTTCTTAACACGCATGCTTTCTGGCTTCGGCTTCCTTGCCGGTGCTGGGCTCTTCCCGCGCGGCGAGGCTTCGTCCGAGACGGTGGAAGAAGCTCGCAGAGACGGGTTCTTGTGGGTCATCTCTGATTTATCCACCTTTCTCAGCCCCTTGGTCACGTCTGAGCCTTTGTTAAGCTCGCTGAAGACGGCGCCGAGTCCACCGGCAGCGTTCGACGGCGCCTTCTCTTCCTTGATCTGCAGAATAGGGGGAGGACCCGGAGGCGGCGGCGGCGGAGGCAGGCCGCCGGCAGGAGGTGGCGGGGGAGGTGCTGCTGCCGAGGCCGGTGCAGCCCCCGAGACGGGTATGCTCTTGGCGACTTCAGCGGCGGGCTGACCCTTGGGGTTCCAGGGGATGCCGCTGGGGAAGTTGGCCTTGACGAACTCGGCAAGGTCCCGGAAGACCTGGTAGAAGGCCTGTATCCACGCCACCTGGTCCTGGTCCTTGTCCTTCTGCTCTTTCAGCACGCGGTTGCCAAAGAACTGGGCAGACTGCAGGGACTCCTCGACGTGCTTGTACGGGCGCATGTCGACCGTGACCCAAGCCAGGACCATGATGCCCTCGGCGACGGCGCTCAGCTGGCTGAAGACGGGGGAGCCTCGGTTGGACTCCTTGATGCTGCCCACGGCCATCAGGGCCTCGTTGATGGGCTTCAGCAGGTCCTGGTAAGCGGCCATCTCCGATCCGGCCAAGTCAGGCTTCTTGGCCTTTGTGGTGATCAACAGGAAACGGCGCTGCTGCTTGAAACCCTCCAGGACCTTTGCGGCCTGCTCGGCAATCAGGCCGCCCAGCTTGTTACTCGTCTGGACATACTTGTCCACGGAGCTGTCGAGAAAGGCATCAAAGTCCTCGATGACCTCGGGAAGGGGCTCTTCGGGGGCGGCCTTTGGCGCGGACGGGGCCGGCGGAGTAGGGGCCGGGCTGCCGGCAGCTTGGGGCGTCGGGATGGTTTGCGATAGAGCAGGTACTGCTTGTGGGAGCTCGGAGGTGGTGGAGGCGATGTCTTCTAGGCGAGAGGTGGCGGCCTCCAACCTGCAGCTGAGCTTAGCAAACGAGTCGGCGAGATCCTGGGACAGCAGGATGACGGGCATGGCCGCAGCAGGTATATGGCTTGTGCAGTATAGGTCGGGACAAGGACATGACGGAGAGATGGACCGAGAGATCCATGGATGCTCGGGGCAGTGGGTGACTCGGTGGCTCGGTGGCCAGGTGAAGGACGACTTACCGCTTGATCAGTGTGGTTAGGTTGTGCATGTTCGTCGTCGCCATGTTGAGAGAAGGTGCAAGGCTGGCAATGGCAGCTCAGATGCTCAGGTTCGGGTGGGTTGAAGGTGCGATGGGTCAGGCCAGGTCAGGTCAGGTCCGGTCTGGTCTCTGGAAGGGAGCGGCTGCGTTTCAGGGGTGGCACCACAGGAGACGAGACGTCGAGGCGGGTCGCTGGATGGCGATGACTGGCGCAAGGTTGGCAAGTTGGAGCCTGGACTGGAGGGTGGAAGGGCTCGGAGTCTATATCTATGCGTCGAGTTGGCGGATGCCTAACGATGAAGCAGCACCAAGTGCGGGTTGTACACGGTGAGCAGATGCTATTCTGCAAGGCAGATGGATTTCGCCAACGATGAAGTGAGAGCTGCTTTTCTGGCGGCCTTGGTCCTGGTCGTCGCAACGTTGACGGGCGCGGACGCGGACCCCTGCATTAGGAGAGCCTCGCACCCATCCGTGGATGGGTCCAATCCACTGGGCTGCCAGAGCTTCTGGAACGCATCCAGGTGCCTAAAGCCTCAAGGACCCTCCCAACTCCAAGACCCTTCAAGGCCCTTTGGCCCTGGGCCGGGGGCCAGTCACTGATCCCAGCATCACGCCCCCCTACCCAGCCGGCAGAATTGGTGCCGCTGGCCGCCTGATCCCTGCCGTCGAAGCAGCCCGTTAGTTGAGTCGGGCACCCGACTCTGCTTTGCTTCTGTGAAGGAACCCCACCAACAAAGACGAGTACGGTGAACTCGCTCTACCCAAATAAATTCAGCTTTCATAGTCCGTTGGTCTGCCCTGCTGCTGCATCTCATACCTTGCGTGAGCTGCCGCCGCCGTCGCTGCTGCTACCCGGACATATGCACCGGGAAAGCTGGTCTGCTTGTCCTGATGCACCTCTGGCCTATCACTCTGCTGGCCCTGCAGCCTTGTCTGACCTTCCAATTGCTGCCCAGTCAGAGAGACGCTGTATCTGGATAGTTGTGCACTCAAGCATGTGAGGTTTTGAGATCCAAGCGTCTCCCCTCTTCACCTTCTTTTCTTCGACACATCCCTCCGCCGCCGTGTCTGCAACGGCTTCGTGCGCGTAACGGCTGGGTGTCGCAGCACCCACACCCACCACGTCCCCTTCATGGTTCTAGACAGCTCTGTGCCGGCCACGATCACGGATTAGATACAGGGAGAAGAAGCCAGCATGGCCGACGAAAGTGAACCCAAGGTCGAGCTTGACGTCAAGGTCCTTGACGACCAGGACCACGACCAGGATCTAGCCCGGGGTATCGATTTCGTCACTCTGGGCATGTTCATCATCGGTAAGATACCTCTTGACTTATTGAAACTATGCTGTTCCCTCGGGCGTGTCCAACAAGCCTTAGCCATCCTTGCCAATCAGCTAGTGCTGCTTCATACGGTGACATTCACAAAAGAGGACGGCATTGAGAAGCAATGTCCCCTGGAGATTGGTGAACTCGTGCCCCTTGGAGTATCCCAGGCCGCGGTGATTCATTCCAACTGTGTTGCGGTCAAGGTTACCGCCACAGCATCCATCCCCAACTGTCTGATGGCGTGCTACAATCTCTTCGGCTCAACTAACACGTCCCAAGATGAGATAGAGTATTTACCACCGACGCCGCCGGTGAAGGACATCCTTGGAGGCGCCGGAACATACTCTGCTCTCGGCGCCCGACTCTTCTCGCCCGCGCCGGAATCAGCGTCGGTCGGGTGGATCATTGACCAGGGTTCGGACTTTCCGGCTGCCTTGACCACGCTCGTTGACACTTGGGAGACTTCGGTTCTCTATCGCTCTGATCCGGAACGTCTGACCACACGTGGTTGGAATGGTTACGATGAGCACGAGCATCGGGCTTTCCGTTACATGACCCCAAAGAAACGCTTAACAGCCGAAGATCTCACACCGTCACTTTTGGCATCGCGATCCTTTCACCTAATCTGCTCACCGACAAGATGCAGGGAGCTAGTCACCGAGATCAAGGAACGGAGGAGTGGTTTGACGACTCCCGATGGGAGGGGACTTCCTAAACCAATCTTTATCTGGGAGCCAGTACCTGATCTGTGCACCACCGATGAGTTGCTGAACTGCACCAATACCTTGCCGCTCATAGATGTTTGCAGCCCAAACCATTCTGAGCTGGCTGGTTTCATGGGAGATGATGGTCTCGATCCAGAAACGGGCGAGATCAGTATGGAGGCTGTTGAACGGTCTTGTGAGCAGCTCCTTGGCTCCATGCCTTTGCAGTCTTTCTCCTTAGTCGTCAGAGCCGGTGGCAAAGGCTGTTATCTGGCTAAGAATGGTGGACGGAAACGAAAAGTCACATCTACTGGGAAGAGGAAGAAGCCCTCTGCCGCCGTCCATGGCAGCCTCCAGCCAGACACGGACATGATGGCCTTGTTTGCCGGGCTCCTTCAGGACTCTGAAGGCTCAGTGGCTGAAGAAGAGATAGAGGTCGACCCGGGCATCGAGAAATGGATACCCGCATATCATACAGACAAGGAGAAGGTTGTGGACCCCACAGGTGGCGGAAACACTTTCCTGGGCGGCCTGTCTGTTGCTCTGGCGAGGGGTAAGAGCCTGGAAGAAGCGGCTACATGGGCCAGTGTTGCTGCTAGCTTTGCGATTGAGCAGGTGGGCCCTCCTATACTCGGGAAAGATGACGAAGGCAATGAGACCTGGAATGGCGCATCAGTGAACGAGAGGCTTTCAGAGTTTAAGGCTCGTTTAGATTCGGCTTGAGATTAGAGATGGATGTTTTTTACTTTCCACAAGCGGGTTACGAAGTATGCGATTCGGGGAACAATAGACTGGTCGGCACGGTACTGGGCAAAAAAAGACTTACTGGCGAGGCGCCGGTAACCCCAGACAGGGGCACACGCGCAGTATTAAATTAATAGACATTTGCTTCATGGCAGGGATACTCGACTTGGTACCTCTGACGTCTAACGCGATCATGATGGCAATTTTCTTCACTGTCAATTGAATGGAGTTTGAGGGTTTCCATAACTTCTGACTTGGCCTGCATTATAGAAAGGGGCCCATAGAAACTAATATTAGAAAGTTGAAATCCAACTAACATCCAAGTGACCATCTCGACTCAAAAAGAGGCTGGAGAGCCGGCCAGAAACCCATCCAATTGTCTGTGCCGCTTCACCGCGTGTTCAAAGTCTGCATAGCTATGTGGTCTTCCTTCAGCGTACGCATCATAGAGCGCGCCAATGTTGCGAGCGGGCTGAGGAAGTTCAGCATAGGGGCCCCATTCCCACTTGACGCTCTGCACCTCGTCGGTATCGTGGTCGTGGACATCGATCGTGAGATCCTCGTGTGCGCTAGCGCCGATGGAAGCGCCGGATGCGACGACGCGAATCTCGCCCTTCTCGCCATTGATGGTCCAGACCAGCCCCGGCTCGCCCTTGAATGGCTGGCCTCGCCGGGAGCGAATATGCAGAGTCGCGCCCTCCGCGGTGTGCTCTGACGCGGGGAGCGAACCAGTCACATGAACCAGGTCCGGGACGTCGGACCTGACGACCTCCAGAATCTCACCAGTGGATCGATCTCGGATCTTGACGTCGGGACGCTGGATCTGCAGTTGTGCGTGAGGCGCCTCAAGCTCACCCAAGACAAACTGAACCAAGTCAGACACTGTTTCGGGTGTCAGTCTGCAACGAAACCACACCAGTCAACTTCGGCGACGAGCTTACTGTGGCCGAATCCAATCGTGACAATGTTGCCGCCAACCTTCCTATCTACAAAGTACTTCAGCCCCGGGGACAGGAACAGCCTGTCTATCGATCCGCCGGCGGCAGCCACCTCGCTGCTTAGGACCTTTCCGATCCGTCCGCTGGTGATTAGCTCCCTAAGCTTGACCACAGCTGGTGCAAACCATCCCTATGTCCACGTTGAGTCAATGACACTGTAATCAAGAAGCTCCAAGTTCCTGCCGAGGTGGATCACAACGCTCCACACAGGAACAAGAAGGCGTTTGGATATCCAACCCAAAGTCATCATTTATAGGGCTGCCAACGCGGTGTTCGGGCGCCCGGAAATCTACAGCAGGACGGTGTCTTACCTGCAGCCCCACGACCGTCCTCCCCCCTTTTTCCTTTGCCAGGGCGGCCAACTCGCCCGCGCGGCCTGCATTCTCGGCCAGCGGCCATTCGACGTAGACGTCCTTTCCGGCGCGCACACTTGGCAGCGCAGTATCATAATGGTTGTCGACCCTGGTGCAGACGGCCACGAGCTGGACGTTGGGGTCCGCGGCAATATCCTCGGGTGAGCCGTAGGCCCGGGTCTCTGAGTCGAGACCATATTTCTTGATGGCAGCCCGCGCGGCGTCCACGGACGAGTTGCACAGCGCCACAATCTGGTACTTGGACCGCCCCGCGGGCGAGAGCAGGTATGGCAGGTGGGCGTTCGAGGCCCAGCTGGTGATGGCGTTGGCCGAGAGGCCGATGATTCCGAGGCGGATTGGTGCCATGGTATCTCCAAGTACGAAATTGTGAAACCTTGGAGCAGTGCAGTATTGGATTAGAAAAGAGACGTGAGCATACCATATATGTAAAACTGGCTTTCGAGTATATTAGAAAGCCGCTTAGTGACGTCGATTATAAATCAGGCTGACCATTTACCGTTTTGGGTGGCTGGCCAATGCCATCAGTAATCAAACCCCCCGCAGTGACCTTGAATGCATGTCGCACAACGATAGAACGCTGCACTTGGAATGATCTTTCATGTAACAATACTGATATCTGTGCTCTAATCTTTCATTCATCCGGCTCAATTACTTCTCAATTGTAATGTTGACGGGCTGAAATCAAAATCATGTTGTCGCATCGTGGGGAGTATAGCCATATTGTACCATAAACAATAACTGCCCTGAGCTGTATCCCGCGCGCATTTCGACTTCTTCCTCGGTTCGTTCCGCTCAAAACAAATGGATGATGTGTCGAGCTTTGAACCGTATCATACGCATGAACGGCGATTGTATGGAAGGTGAAGAATTCTTTGCCCAGATATGGTATTAGTGATGGATCCACATTGCCCAAGTTTCTCGCCTAAGACGCAACACCGCTGTTGTCCGGTAATAAACTTATCCTCGAGACAGTGGGTAGCTGTTCAAGTATATGCAGGCAAGTATTGCGTGATGCCGATAGTCTCCTGAGCATGGCCCATGGCAAATTCGCAGGGTAGATGGTGCAATCATGTTATCAACATACATCAGTGGTTTTAAGGACATACGACATGCTGTAATTTGATCATTAATTTAGCAACGTGTAGTCAGTGTCCCATCTTGTAAAAGGCCGTCAGAACGTCCTGAAATCAAAAGCGATCCAGGCTCCGATATGGATGTACGAGGTGCCGCGCGAGGTGGTGCACCAGTGAGCATTAGTTCGGCTTCGGGTGACAACAATCATGGTTCTGTAAGAGAATCTGTAGGGAAGTTGCCAGATTTGGAGATACAAAATCTCCCTGAGAAAAGACGGGGGAGTTTCTGGCGTACCATTCGACGCTACATCTGGGACGACCCAGATAAGCCAGAGTACGAGAAGAAGTTCCTGCTAAAGCTCGACTTCTTCCTCCTGACATACACGTGCTTGGGATATTTTTGCAAGAACCTCGACCAGGCTAACATCAATAATGCCTATGTGTCGGGCATGAAAGAGGCGCTTGGGATGTATGGCAGCGAGCTGACCTATGCCAGCAACGTCTTCACGGCCGGGTACGTGATTAGCCAGCTGCCGGCTGTCATCTTGGTCACCAAGCTCCGGCCCTCGTACGTGATTCCCACGCTCGAGGTCCTGTGGGCCATCTTCACCTTCTGCGCCGCGGCTGTCAGGACGGTGCCGCAGCTGTATGCTGTCCGTTTCCTGATCGGGCTGTGCGAGGGCGCCTTCTTCCCCTGCATAATCTACCTCATCGCCTCCTGGTACACCAAGAGCGAAAGGGCGAAGCGGACCACCATCTTCTACTCCACCGCGACGCTGGCCAGCATGTTCTCCGGTTACCTCCAGGCCGGGGCCTATTCGGGCCTCAACGGCAAGCTGGGACACGCCGGGTGGCAGTGGCTCTTTATCGTCTGCGGAGTCATCAGCTTACCTGTGGGCGTCATTGGATATTTCTTCAATCCTGACTTCCCCGAGAACACGCGCGCGTTCTACCTGACCACGGAGGAGGTCGAATTCGCCAAGCAGCGGCTTGTCAACGATGGATACAAGCCCCTGGGCGCGTCGGCCTGGCACAAGAAGAAGATATTCAACATATTTGCCTCATGGCAGTTCTGGGTCCTGTCGTTCGGGTACTTCTTTGTCCAGTCGAGCTTCGTCTCCCAGCAGCCATTCTTCGCTCTGTACCTGAAGGCCGAAGGACACAGTACCTACGAGGTCAATGTCTGGCCAACAGGACAGGCTGCCGTGGGCGCCGTCACCCAGATCGTGGCCGGCATGCTGACAGACTCGCCGCTCCTGCGCGGCCGGCGGTGGCAGGCGATCGCGGTGATGCAGGGTGGGACCATCTTCTCATGCATCGTCCTGGCCATCTGGAACGTGCCGATCGGCCTCAAGTACGTGGCCTTCTATGCATCGTACATGTCTGCGGGCGTGCCGGGCATCTACTACTCGTGGTTCCCCGACTTGATGCCCCATGACCATGAGATGCGCGGTTTCATGACCGCGTTTTCCAACTGCTTCTCGTACATCAACCAAATCTGGGTTGCTGATGCTTTTTGGAGGACGGCAGAAGGGCCTGAATTCCGACCTGGATTCGTTTCTGCCGCTGTTTTCGGAGCTGTGCTTATTGGCACAGCTCTCTTGATGCGCCACCTCGAGCATAGGGACGTGAGCAAGAGACTGGGCCGGCAACAAGACAGTCCGTCCAATGAGCTCTCAGATCCGGGAAATGTGGATAGAAACATTGTCTAGACATTGTGGTTCGACCACGCATCACATTTCATACCCAATTACCGCCGTGGGTAGCTGTTGAAGTGGGTATTTCTGTCTATCAGATTCTATACATATATACGTACAATGAGCCGTTGTCCAGCTTTCCATCTCTATTCCAAACGCCGTGCAAATGCTTCTTCGTTAGATCCCAATGTTGGTACATCCCAGCAAGAAGCCGACACTCCTCACAACAATCCATGCCCCTAACTGCTCAAGTTGATTATAATGCAGCCTCAGAATCCCCGAGAGGCATCCAGACCTCTAGCTTTCGTAGAATGCTCTGGTACAAGAACAACATGCACCCGCTTTGTACACTGGTCCATACAAATCGTGGACCAACACCTCTAAACCAACCGCCAATACCCTCCGTCTTGTATATTAACTTTAAGCCTTGGTAGACGGAGGATGTGTCCAGTGTAATCGCGCCAGGTCGCGGTGTATGGGTTGAGGGCGAAGAAGTCGAAATAGGTCTTCTCTGCTTGGAGGAAGGAATGCTTTTCGTCGCTGCCTCTTTTACTCCGGCTTTAGCATCAACAGCTGCACGATCCTTCGACTTGACTGGCGTTGGCGGAGACTCGATCTGTGTTTGCAACCGCGTCTTAACCACATCGAGGGGGCATGTCATAGCTCCGGCGAGACCTCCTCCGGCAGCACCTGTAAGCAGCTCAAGAGGAACCCCAATGTCCCGGCTTTGTTTCCATTGTTTGGCCCAAGCCTGAAACTGTTCGTAGAACATGAATTGTAGCGCGGAAAAGGGAAGGTCCCGGTACAGGGTTGCCATGTAGCCATGGAAGAGTGCCGATGGGCCTTCGACCCGCACGATAGTCCTCGCGGCGTCGAATGTACCGCGGTAATTGTAGCCTGACGTAAAGAAAGGGTTGTTGTAGCGTCCCTGGAGCTGTAGTCGTGTCTTCAGGACCTCTGATGGGACGTAAACCACGGACGCGGCCAAATCGCCGAGGAAACCTGCGGTCAAGTACGCCACGTGCGGTTGGATCCCATAATCCAGCATGTGCCTCTTACTCCATTCGTAGGTCCCGAAGAAGAGGACTGTGCCGGGGAAAGATCCCATCATGGCGGGCAGCCATCCGCCGTACAGACCGCGGCGTATGCCCTCCTGGCGCCATATTGTGTAATACGAAGAACCCAACGAGGTGTACCTCGGAGGGAAGTGAGGATCGCCTTGCTGCCGTGTCTTGACGGTGTCGAGCGAATGCATCAGCATGTCTCCTGTTGTCCCTCCTAAGCCTCCGGCCAGCATGGACTGTTCGCAGCGAGTCAGCAAGGGGGCAGGCCGCGAAGAAGAAGGGTGCGTGGCGGTGCACCTACATGGAGGATTGGAGGCCGAGTCTCCAACTCTTCGTCTGGGGTCATGTTTGCGTCGAGCGATCGTGTAGCAGCAGGGAAATCCGACAGGGGGCGCGGTTCCTCATAAGGTCCATCGTTGAGCAGGCCAGCAGAATGAGCGACTGGGTCGGATGTGGCGGCGGTGGGCACGGCGAAGTAGTTGGCGATGCGGTGGGCCAGGGACATGGCCCTTTGTGGCAGAAGATGAAGATGAATGTGCCGCCGCGGGCCGCTGGCTGGAAGGAAATGTAGGCCGTTTGATGTCGTGGGAGGTTGACCGACAAAGAGCCTCTCTCCCTCAGACCCGGCGCAACTTTTGTCAGATAGGCCGGTCCCCTAAGGCAATCGAGAAATATTTGATAGTTAGTTGACGCGCCCTGACGTTGGCGGTGGCCCGTGCATTGCGCTAGTGCTATAAGTCGCTACTGCTGACTAGCGCAGCATACGGTCATACTGCCTACGGTACCGATGTATATCCATGGGGGCCTGCGTTGGAGGCCGAGCGAGCAGACATGGAATCCTGAGGTTGAGGCTTTCTTGCTGTGCGTGACGTTGCCGTCGTTGTTATCTTTCGAGAGAGTTTTACATACGGCCAGAGGAGTATCCCGGAATTCCCCTTGGATACTACCAGCTCTCTGTGCCGGGCAGCCTTTTGTTTTCCTCTTTCCGAACCTTGACCTCGACCTTGCTCGAAATCCACATGCCCGCCAGGAGGAGCATGGTATAGCTACGATTGGCTTCTGATATTCCTCGCAAACTCCCACCACCGGACTTTTTGGGCTCTGTGTAATGGATACACGATGTGGGTTACCTTTCCAATGATCAATCCTGTGGAGATTGGCCCATAAGTATTGCTGTCAAGACTGTCCCTTGTGCCTCCGTCTCCTTCGACCCAGACGTGACCCGGCGGCACCTGCACCGTACGGACAGGGTATGGCTCCCGAGTCCTCACTACGTCGCCCTCCAGCCCGACGATCCTCTTCACTGCCGTCCTCTCCGGGTCCGAAGGGCTCCTAGATAATCCGATTAGTCTCACACCCATCATCCAAATCACAGTGAGCAGTCTGCGGCGTACCAGAACGTGACGATCATGCCATGAGCCAAGCCTTCCTGAGGGCTGTACTTCCAATTCAACACGAGGTCCCTTTGCAGCGTCTGGTCCTTCTCGGGGTTCAGAAAGGGATACATGGAGGCGCCTTGAATCCAGGTCAACTCGGCGACAAACGAGTTGAAGGTGATGACTACCGGGATCCATGTTGCAAAGGCGAACATGTGGAAGCTGAAATCACCAAATGATCGCCATCGGGGACTGGCTCGCATTCGAGCCCATACCGAACCGACCGCCATGAGCCATGTGACGAATACAATATGTTATCTAGGTGAATGTCAATCTCGAGACTGGTTGTGAAGTGACATATGAAATATTCGCCTCGCCTATTCAAGTAGCGGGGCTTTCATCTAAACCCCATGGCCAACCGGCCGGCCAGGACCCGTGGACCTTACTGCGACGACACCTCAAGGCGGCTGAAGAACTTTTCGGTTTTACGTTGATCCCCCGTCTAGAGCAATTTCCAGGGGAGCTAGCCCACCCAACGACCCTGGCAGAGCTAATTACATCGAACGATGTTGAGGGACGGTCCAGTTTCCGAGGTTTGCGACGCCTGACCAAATGACAGGTCTGTCCAATTGATATCTCTGAGGTGTCAGGCCATCACAGCTGGATCGCGAGATGGCCGAGAGACGCCTACAGCCATGTCGCCACCCCTACCCGTGCCATCGAAAGCCGCGATACGTGCGCTCCGCGGCCTCGCGTTAGGCACCTCGTGTGCACTTGGCCTCATCGTGGAGGACCGACGCCGACGTATCAGCACTCTAAGGACTGCTATAAGCAATAAGAAGAAATTGAGGACGTCAAGGAAATATCATGGATCTGCAGGGGCAGCCGAAGCCACCAAATATCCCCTCGACGATCTGCACATCCTGTCGGGGGAAGAGCTACACTGGCATTACCAACCAGACCTCCCTTTGCGCACTCAGGATAGCGCTGCAACACCATGTCGCTTGCATGGAGAAGATTCCACGAAACGATTGCGCCTCGAAGGCCGAGCCGACACTCCATCAAAATCGACCGAGTCGCCTATCGCGATGGAGGATAAAGGGCACCGCAAAGAAGCATCGAGGCCAGCGCCTGGCAGACAAGCACGAACGGAAATACCACCGCTACACCGTGCTTTTGCAACCTTGCCAAATGTCAAAGATACTGGTGGATGGGCCCGCTCTCCTGCCACACCAAGAAAACCTCTTCCGAGCTTGAGGATCGAGGAGATCTCTCGACTTCCTGCCGTCGAGATTCAGGAGCGGCTCGAGACGAAAGAGCTTCTTCCTACGACCTATATCACTGCCTTTGTCGAGGCATCACATATGAAAAAGACGTTCAGAAACGGAATAGACAATGGGTGGCTCAATGTCTCGGAAGCTCTGTGTCTTCATTGCCAGGCAACCGGTCGGTGGCAAGAGGCGCAAGATATCCTCGCTGCCATCGTCCAAGCTGGTCCAATAAATGAGGAACGCTTTTATGCGCACAACCCCGTTCCGGTTGTTGAGTCGATACTCTCAAGTCTTGACGGAGTAGGAAAGGATGAGGCGTGTGGGAAGCTTCAAAAAGCCCTTCAGCTGTTCCTCACCAAGTTCTCAGAGAAGCCGACCACACATGCGGACGAGGTAACAAGTCTTGGGAAGGCTATTATTTCTCGTCTTCTCGAATTTCATCGCCCAGGACTGGTCCACCAAGTGTACTGGAGGGTTCTGGGGCAACAATCACAACCAGAGCACTTCGTCGCTTGGTTTATTAAAGCCCTCTTCGACCACCACGATCATAAGTCTGTCGTCAATTATTTCAAGCTCAACTTTTCAAAGCTATCGCCTGCTCTATCTTCTTTCCGAGCCGTTGTTCAGATGGTGCTTGAATCTGTGGATGCAATGCAGGGAGCACAGGCACAACAAGTGACACGTGCGTTGGCCAGCATGTGTTCTGCTACAGGATTGACCCCGGAGGCCGTTTGGCTTACCAAGCTTTTGCAAGCTCACTGGAGTCGCTACAAAGACCTCGCAAAGTCCCAAGAATTCTTCGACGAGCTGTCATCGTTGGGACTTCTTGATAGAACCAGCAACCCGGAGCAGATTTACCAGATTATGGTCAAGCTCTCGGTCCTTGCTTCTGACTACCCTACAGCTAAGCATTATTATCAGAAGACTGTCATTCTGGCACCGCGGATGCAAAAAGACATCAGGCTCAATGGCTCAATGGCTCTCATGCAGGCCAAGAACGGGGCTTGGGATGAAGTTCTCACCGAGTTTTCCAAAATGAAGGCTTACCGAAAAACCCAGCCAGACGCATATGGTCAGACCTTTGCAGCAGTGTTCAAAGTGTACATGGAAACACATCCGATTTCTGATGTCGAAGATTTCATCAAGCTCTATATGGAAGAGATGGATGTCTGTCTTCATCGCTACCTTGTCACCATGGTTGCAAACAAGTACAGCGAGATACACGACCATAAGGGCCTTTTAGCATGGCTACATTTCTGCAAATCGGAAGGGTTCGCCCTGGACCCTGCATTCGCCAATGCAGTGCTCCGTAACTGTCGTTTGAAATGGCATGTCCCCTATCCTGTTCTACGAAAGTTGTCTCTGGAGATGCAGAAGCTAGACTCGGCTTGTGCTGACGACACCACAACGAGAATCATGCACAATGCAGCTTTGGAAAGCGGCAACTATTCCGGACGAAATGTGCGCCAACGACTTCGCTCGTTGCCTACATCGCCGAGCAAGCTCCCCTACTCGTTCAGATCTGCAAACGAACGGGACGTGTTGCACGCGATGACGGAGGAGCTAGTTCGGGGTCACGCTGCCAAGGTTATTATTTTATACAAACGAGCCTTACGCTATGGCATGTCGTGGTCCCCCGATTGCTTTCGTGTTGCGATCAAAGCTTCCCTGCAGCAACATGGGGAGAACTCGGTGGCAACTACCATCAAACTCATCAGTGATACCCACGAGAGAGGCCATGATGTCACGGCAGCAGTCGCGGTGTTCCTCAAGGCGCAAATTGATCACATTCGTGGCCCATTTGAAGAGGTCGTCCACAACCTTCGAAAGCTCATAACACAATTTGAGGCCTTGGGGATGCTCATAGATGCTTCAGTCCTCACACACTTCGCCATCGCATCTGCCAAGTTTGGTCATTTTCACAAAGCAATCAATCTCTGCAAACTGGCCATGGAGAAAAGGGGTACTTCGAACCCCTGTTCCTCGCGGCAGAGTCTCAGAGCTTTGCTCATGGCTTATTGGCAAACCTTGGATGTTGAGGGTATACGCTGGATTATTGAATCGTTACCCTCAAGCCCTTTGGCAGCAGACAGGACGGCATTCAGACTTCTCAAGGAAACAAGGAGGCATATGAAGAAATGGCAACAATCAGAACGTGTTGTGCAGATCACCGAATTGCTCCAGCAAGGCATTGACGTGGCCAAACGGAGGCGGGCAGAACGGATGGAAGAAGCGTCGGAAATTTATAGCGAGACGCTTCGCATCATGGGCGACGCGGTTGCCAACTTGGAGAAGGAACAGCGCAATCAAGCAGGTCTGACGAGAAATGATTCCCACATAGAGCAGCAGCCAGAAGAGATACACTCACTCGACAGAGAGCATCGAGTTCCGCTGGAGGCATGCGGATAGCCGTGTATCAACTCTGTATATTTTTTGTAGCAATACAGCCCTCCGTCCGTACATACAACAGTTACTTGACAAACTTACAAGAAGTGAATCGATAGCGGTATTCAACGTACAATTCTAAGCCGCCTCAGCCTTAAGGCAAAAGACTATGCGAGTGCAAACCAATGAACTGGGTGTAGGTTCCAGACTAACAGAAACTATCAACCATGCATATACACCGGAATACCATCATGCTCGCAAACTGTGCGCCATCCAGCAGCATTTGATGTACAATCGCCACACAACATTGTTTTATATATTCGTGCAAAGGAGAACTTTCTTCGTAAGGTCAATGACAAAAAAAGGGGACCTTATTGCAAGCGGGATATCTAATCATGCAATAGCCAGCTGCGCAAACAGGTCGAAGTACGGTATAATCAAGATATGTAGTCATCTGCCTCCGCCTTTTCAACGTGTCAGGTGACTGCTTGCCGATGCGTTCAGGCGATATCAGCCAAGGAGGCAAGGACTGAAAATGCTCCACCAGCTCCTGCAAAAATCAACTTCCTGTCCCTTACGGCCATGTTGTCGATCAGGGTTGGAATTTCTATATCACCCTCATTGCCTAGCCCAGTGCGTCCGCTGGCACCGAAACCCCACGTATAGGCCTTGCCATCAACAGTAAGAGCAAAGCTGTGATCCGTGCCGGACGCTACCGAAGCGATAGGTGGAAGATCTAGGTTATCGTCAGTAGCGCTCACGTGCCAGAGATATATATCTCTCCGCATACTCACCTGGAACAACAAGTGGAATCTTCAAGATGCGAGGTCTTCCGTGGCTGTCGAAGACTGTGTTGTGTGGCGTGAATGCATGAGCCCGGTGTCCAGCTTGATATCCATCGATACGACCCCAAGTAATGAGCTCTCCGTTGCTTGTGCAGGCCAGTGAATGATGTTCCCCGGCCGCGATGTCGACCACCTGATAGTCCTGCAAGTTCTCAACTAAACGCGGCTTCAGTTGAGACGCCCCGTCCTCGCCAGCGTCGTCTGGAATGCCAAGCCCGCCATAGTTGTTCAACCCCCAGGCATAAACGCGTCCCTGTTGGTCAATGGCGAAACTGTGGTACGAGCCGCAGCTCACCCGGACTGCCTTGGCCCCTCGTACAGGCAAGGCTCCAATGCTGGTAGGTCTCAGCGCAAGCCGAGGACGAGCGGCGAACCACCTGCGGGCTAGTTGGTTTTGTTCGCCACTGCCCCAGGCGAACACTTTGCCCTTCTCATCCACGGCCAGTATGTGATTGTTTCCAGCGGCCAGTTGCCTGATGTCTCTCAGATCTGGGACGAGTACTGGTGTCTTTTGGATGAAGGAAGTACTGCTGAATCCCATGGTTCTTTCGCTGGACTGATGCCTACGTTAGCAGATCGCTTGCTCGTAACGATATATGGATGCGTACCCTAAAGGTGCCCCAACCGTATACTTTCCCGTCTTCAGTCAGGGCGAAGGAAGCGTTATCACTTGCAACTACCTGGGTCCATACAATCCCAGAGCCAAGGTGCTCAGTATCCACGGGACTAGGCGTACTTTCTGCGGGATTGAGCAGGTCATCTCCGTCCTCCTCAACCTTGGTGTCGCGCCCCAGAGCACCGAGGTCGTTGACGCCCCATGTCAGGATTTTGTTATTTTTGGTGAGCGCAACGGTGTGCATACCGCCACAAGCAATTTGAACGACGCCAACGCCATGTGAGGAGAGAAGATTGTTCAGACGAGGATACAGTGTTTCGACCGGCGACACCCCGTCTATCTCCTTGCTACCGAGCCCCAACTCGCCGCAAGATCCATCCCCGAAGACGAAGACGTCAAGAGGCGCTGTGGGAGCTTCGTTAAGAGTGAAAGTCTTACCGGTCTTCCGAGCTTTCGATTCCAAGGAGCTACTAGTGAAAAGGGCGGAAGATGTTTTCACTTTCTTGGTTGGCTGGGTCGGCTCAACCAGTTTAGTAACTTCGACCTGGCGATCAGGTTGGTCTGCTCGCTTGCGCTTGTTGAGTGCTTTCTTCCTTTTGTCTAAAGACGCCGCCTCTTCTACTTTATGGTTTGCATCATGAGTCTGAGGCTTCTCTCTTCGTGTGTCCGACTCCGTCCTGGAAGAAACGCCGTTGGTGCGCGCTGGCTTGGAAATTCTACGTATAGGCATGTTGTAGATATGTGGGATGACAATTATTGACAATAAGTGCAAAGTACCAAAATCAATGCTTCACTTTTTGGATTTGAAGTCTTTCCATCCGCGTCAGCTGATGGATCTTTCCAAATGTAATAACCAGGCTGCTGCGCCCCAGTGCATCGCATACCCGCGCGTTTATAGGCGCCAACTCGCCTCATTCCCGTACGAGTGCCCCTTGTTGTCCTAGAAGTAGAAAATTTTCAGCTTAGGCAGCTCCGTCTTTAAACACACCGGGTGATAGTTGTCGTATGTGTTGAGAAGCCACTTAATTGTCTCTCCGGTTATGTGCTTGAATCGTTCCCGTAGGGTTGCTACTACCCATGTAATCGTGGAACTTAATCGTCTATGTATTCATGAGTTGCACCCTGGTTTAAGCAGATGGATATGTTTCAATATGACAAAGCTCAACAGCTCGATCAACACCAATAGCCATGGGTTTCCCGCGATCCCTGTGGCCCTTCCGGTATCTTATCCTCAGGGTGAGGTCGAGATCTGCGCGGGAAAGGCACTGCCAACGATACTGGAAGGTGGAGTTCGGGTAGTAACTTTCTCCTCGCAGTATCAATATGCTGTCGTTTCACCTGCAGCATAAAGACGTGAGCACCCTGAGCACCCCTAGGAATCGTCGCACTTATGCACGCGCTGACGACCTAACCCGGAGCAGCGAATGGCCCGGATCAAGACCATGGCGGAACTTTGCGGCAGGCGGCGGCACTTTATTCGCTGGGCCTTCCGGGTCAGTGTCGATATATACAACGGCATGGGAAACTATATCAAATGGCCGTTCAACCCCATGCTGTATTGTTGACTACTGAGATTTTGTCTGTGGTTAGCTTGACTGTGTAATTAGGGGTTGTTGCTGTCTTCACGTGCGTCATGACTTGGCTGGCTCAGGAAAAGTCGGGCCCGGAGCCTGCAGGTGGTGGCGGGGGGAGGGACCCGGAATTTTAGGGGCTCTCCCCGGCCGATCAAAGAAATTAGTTTGCGATGGGATGATCATGATCAGGCGATTTATGATTTGATTCAGGGTCTTCTGGCGCGATGAGTGACTGACACCTACCGATTATCTTTCTCGATCCTCTGGTTGGCTCCCAGGCTCCTCATTACCATAATAACTGACGCATTCCCCAACACATAAGCAAGAGAGCCTCTTGGTCTCTCGTCAGAGAACCTGTATCGTCCGAATCTCCAGCAACCGTCGATCCAACGCCACCCACCTACCCACCCATAAACACCCCCCTTCCCACGACGCTGGAGCCGACGACCGGCCTCCAACCCACATTCACTCCGATGAGTACGCACACAGCTACACAACAAGCCCGTGCCGAGCGCCGGTCCACGTATCATGAGGCCGACGTCGTCGTAGTCGGCGCAGGCGTCTTCGGGTGCGCCGCCGCCTACGCGCTCGCACAGCAGGGCCGGAGCGTCCTCCTCCTCGAGAGATGGATGAAGCAGCCAGACCGCATTGTCGGCGAGTTGTTGCAGCCAGGAGGTGTTGAGGCCCTTAGGAAGCTCGGCCTGGGCCACTGCATCGAGGGGATCGACTCCATCGTTTGCAACGGCTTCGACGTCATCTACTTTGGCGACCAAGTGGTGATACCGTATCCCAAGATTCAGGGCCTCATGGGCGGCTTCGCGAACGGCACGGCAAACGGCACGGCGAACGGCGAGGCGAACGGGCAGGCAAACGGGCAGACAAATGGACACGCCAACGGTACCGCGCACAGCAAAGAGAAAGACCCGAGGCCACAGGGGCGGAGTTTCCACCATGGGCGCTTTGTACAAAAGCTACGAGAAACCTGCCTGGCGCATCCCAACATCACAGTTGTCGAGACGGAGGCCGTCTCGACGGTCAAGGGCGAGCACACCTCCGAGATTCTGGGTGTCGAAACTCGGACAGTTGACCCTGCCACCGGTCAGAAGGTCCCCGACTATTTCTTCGGGCAATTGACTATTGTCGCCGACGGCTATGCTTCTATTTTCCGCAAGAAGTATATTGACAGGACACCAATCGTGCGCTCCAAGTTCTACGCCTTAGAACTGATCGATGCCGACCTCCCACAGCCAAACTTCGGCCACGTCGTCTTGGGCACCGCTTCTCCGGTTCTTCTCTACCAGATCGGCACGCACGAAACCCGTGCGCTCATTGATGTGCCCCTGGAGTGCCCCGCAGCCTCAACAGCAGCGGGTGGCGTTCGCGGCTACATCACCAACGTTGTCATCCCCTCGTTACCGCCCCAGGTCCAGCCTGCCTTCCGCGCCGCGCTGGAGAGAGACAACAAGATCCCGCGCAGCATGCCCAACAGCTGGCTGCCCCCATCGAAACAGTCCCACGCAGGTCTACTGGTGCTCGGCGACGCCATGAACATGCGACACCCGCTCACGGGTGGCGGCATGACGGTGGCGCTCAACGATGTGGTGATTCTGTCCTCGCTGCTCGCGCCGTCCCAGATCCCCAACCTGGGCGACAGCGCCGCCGTGCTGCGGGCCATGGACACGTTCCACTGGCAGCGCAAGTCGCTGACGTCCATTATCAACGTCCTCGCGCAAGCCCTGTACTCGCTTTTCAGCGCCGCGGACCCGAACCTGGCCAAGCTGCAGCGCGGCTGCTTTGCCTACTTCCGCAAGGGCATCACCGACGACCCCATGGGCCTGATGGGTGGTCTGATCCACCGCCCCTTCGTCCTCGCCTACCACTTCTTCGCCGTGGCCTTCCTGGCCATATGGATTGACGCCAAGGCCACGGGGCTCTGGAACATCCCTGTTGTGCTGTGGAACTCGATCAGCCTTCTCTGGACCGCATGTGTTGTGTTCTTGCCAGTCATGTACAAGGAGGTGTTCTAAAGAAAAGGCGTCCCATTTCCCGGGAAACGTCGTCTGTGCGGATTACAGACACTGCCAAAGAATCATCTGTCGATGAGAGTCCGAGTTTACGAAGCGATTAGAAAGGGCTATCAAGCCTTAACATGTGGCGTATGGGGTGCTTGTATGAATATGCATGCGATATGGCGCCACTGAAGAGCTTCCTTGAAGACATAGCATAGAAGAGATGGCAAACCTCAGCTCGGTCGATTTACCCCAATAGACATTCCTGTACATACATTTTGGTATCGGGGAGCGGAGCGGAGCGGAATGATTTGCGCCTGCATATAACTCATGAATATAGTAATCATAATAATGCATTATACCATGTCTCCGAGGTTAACTATATGGCAAGTGGAGGGCCGCCTGTACGACTATTATAAGCACATGATAGCCACGTATAGCGAGAAGTTGTTGATCGTCTATATTAATTCCCACGCGATGCTCTGTTATGGGAAAGTAGGAATCCTCACTATCTCGGATAGATTCACTAGAACTTAATGTACAGAGTTACCTCAGCAAGGCACTATCAGGGTCTGTATAGCACACGTATAGCTAGAATACAAGCCGGGTCGCATTGTTCGCCAATTCTGCCTCTTTTCTATGTGAGCCGTCGTCTGTAGACGCCAAACATCCAGCTCGCCCGCAGCACGGCCAGACCCAACGCCATGCGGATGCTGTCCTGGATGACGTTGAGCTTGCTCCCGTCCACCTCGTGCCAGTCGATGGGCACCTCGGCGACCTTGATGCCGGGGCTGCTGCCAATAACAGCGCCGTCGCTGCCGCGCACAGGCACGGCGGGAGCGGACTCGGCCAGCATCAGCATCTCGATGTCGAAGATCCAGCCCTCGGCGTGCATGTAGGGCACGATGTGGGGCAGGGCGGCGCGCGAGAACAGCTTGAAGCCACACTGGGTGTCGCGGATGCGCGACGTGGCCGGCGGCGTCAGGATCATGAGCACGAGGTGGAAGCCGCGCATCAGGAAGTTGCGCAGGGCCGAGCGCTTGACCACGGCCTCGCTGCCCACCAGGTGCCCACGGCTACCGATGGCGACGCCCCGGTCGCCGGCGTCCTTGACGTCGTCGCAGCCCTCGATGAGCTTGCCCAGATCGCTGAACTTGGAGGCCCCGTCCGCGTCGGCGAAGATGACGTACTCGCCCCGGACGTGTCGCAGGCCGTGGGTGACGGCGCCGCCCTTGCCCCGGTTCCGCTCGAGCGACACGAAGCGGAGGATGTCGTGGAGGCCGTTCTTGGCCGCAAAGTTCAGCACCACCTGTTCCGTCTTGTCCCTGCTGCCGTCGTTGACGATGATGATCTCATACCCGGCCAGGTCCACACTGGGCGAGTTCCTAATCTTCCGATGGGATGTGGTCGGGCTAGTGATCTTCTCAGCGGTGACCGCGGGCTTCGGGTCGCGGCCGAACTTGGCATCCAGGTACTTCACTGCCTCCTCCAAAGCAGGCAAGATGCGCTCCTCCTCGTTATATGCTGGGATCACGACGCTCAGGCGCAGCGAGGCGGGCTCGATGGCGCCGGTGTCGGGGATGTAGACGTCGTTATTGGTTCTGGTCTCGCTGGCGTGGCGCTCGGCAAGCCAGCGGTCGTGCCAGCAGGGCAGCTTGCGCACCACAGTCTTGCCATCCTGGGTCGTGGTTCTGTAGTGCTTCTCGCTGCGGTATACTGGGCGCGGCCGGGGCGCGACGAAGTGAAGAGCGACGTAGAGCTGCGGTGTAAGCGTTAGCACTGTAGTGCATCGGTGCAAGGAGATATCTTGGGTCCTGCGCCTACGGAGAAGAAGCTAACGACGCCTACGGCAACGGCGATCCTAACGAGGATTGGCGTAGGGGTCGCGGTGTAGAAGCGTACGAGACTGTCCATGGTCGTTCTCTGGGCGGGCAGTTGGGTGCCCGGCTCGTGGGGTTCAGGTTGTCATGCGTTGCGTGCGGTGTTGGGACGGAGAGGTACAAATGACGGCCCTGGGCGGGACGACGGGTGTTCTCTTGCGTCGCTCTCAAGGGATTTATTTCATCGAATATGCTGTCCGCCTCCCAAAGAAGAAATGTCTCCGGGACGAGATTCCTTGCGGTCCTCTGCAGGATGAGAGGTGCGCTGCGCTTATGTCTAGTTGTCGTCGGGCACGTCTCAACATGAAAATGCCACGAAGGTCGTTTCGTAACGCGTTGAGGCTGACGTATGATGCACTAAGGGTCCGCCCTTCAGCGGGGCTGCTTAGCGTGCACGCCCCTGTAGATCTCAACGGCCCTCCCCGCATCCTGGAGCTTGTGCCTGCAAGCTGCCGCTGGCACGACTGGCGAACCACTAACTTGCTGCATAGAGTCCCGTTCACATGCTTGTCTCATGCGTGCTCCAAAAGAGTGCACAAGTTTCTTCTTTTTCAAACAAAGACGTCTGACTTGATGCAATGCAAACAATCAAGGGGAATAGCTTGCCCCTCAATTCGACCACCCATTTCAAGCACCACTCGGTGATGCTTCAGAGATTATACTGCATCTGTAAAGCAGGCCATGGCACTTATAGAAACCCGTGCACTGTAACCATCATATGACACTCAACGCCGTCCCAGGGTCTCTGGGACTGCGATCCTGCACAGTAAACCAAGGCCGGAAACCGTGTTATGGATTTCGTGATTCTACCAAAAAAGCAAGACCATTCAGAAGCCATGTGCCGCCTGGAGACTGGCGTCGGTGCATGGAACTGCCAGCATCCCCAAGGAACAAGTCAAGGTCAGCTACGACCTATATGCTTGCTACATGAATATCCATTGACGCTCAAGCACACATACTGTAGACACAATGTCTACACAGCGAAATGGTGCTTGGGGTGCACTGGTACACCTGCTAATTTCATCAGACCAACAATTCTTGGCTATAGCACAGGGGGTTTTCGAACACTCAACTGGAAATCCCAACTGAAAGCAGAGTATCTGTCCAATCCGTATCCCGCGAGGCCTGACTAATGGATTAAATTTCAAGGGCAAGCTTGAGATTTCAAATACTAGAACATACAGTATTTACTGGGGATGTCATGCTATACCTAGGTAAGGAGCTTGCTTGGCAGGTGGGCCGGCTCTCTCCCGGGGCCCGGCTCATCCACCACTGGCTGGGTAGCTTCTGTCTAGCGAACCTCGGCATAAAACCCCCAGATTTCCATGCCCCGGATCTAATCCTGGCCGCGTCCCACGTCACCCTCCGACGTCCGCACATCAGACGCCGCGGCCGCGATGCCCTTCTCATGAACAGCCTCAGACGAAGCGCGCCCTCCCGCCCTCAGATGCTCCATACGCCGCCATGGAGTTCGTCACCGCCCTCCGGGGCACCTTTGACGACCAGAAGCCCTCGCTCTTCGAGCTGCTCTCCGAACAGCAGCTGAACGCGCTCCTGCCGCCCACCCTGCGCTACCTCCTCACCGTCCTCACCCAGCGGTACCCGCGCTACCTGCTGCGCGCCCTCAACTCGTTCGATGAGATCTACGCCCTGCTGATGCTGCTCGTTGAGCGCCACTACCTGCGCACCCGCGGCGGCGCCTTCACCGAGCACTTCTACGGCCTCAAGCGCGAGAAGGCCCTCGCCGCCGAGATCCCCCGCGCCAGCGCCGCCGCCTCGGGCCTCGTGCGCGAGACCCTCAAGCTCGGCCATGCCGACGTCTGGAAGAACCTGGCCGTCATGGTCGGCGTACCCTACCTCAAGCGCAAGCTGGACGAGAGCCATGAGATCGAGGCCCCGCGCGCCCTGCTCGGCGCCAACTACACACGCATGCCCGCCAACCCGACGGTGCGCCAGCGCCTCATGCACTACTACCGCTGGTTCATCCGCAACGTATACCCATCGGTCCACGCCGGCTACTGCTTCGCCGTGCTGGCCTTCCACCTGGCCTATCTGTTCGATGGGTCCAAGTACCACAACCCCCTCATGTGGCTGATCGGCACGAGGGTGCGGAGGATGAACGGCGCCGATTACAAGGCCATCGAGGAGCTCGGCAAGCCAAAAGGGGGCGTGCCTCCTGCAGCTGGTCTGAGCATATTCTCACCGAGAACGCTAGGCCCGAAGATATTAGGAAGCTTGTCAGTTCTATTACCGACAAGTATCTTTGCCCTCAAATTTCTTGAGTGGTGGTATGCGTCCGATTTTGCCAAGCAACTGACCCGGAAGGCGGCGGAGAACTTGGAACTTCCTCCACCGGTCGTAAGCGGGTTGTCGGCCTCAGGGCTGAAGACAGCCAAGAAGGGCGCCGAAGACCCCGGCAAGTCGAAAGACGAAGCAGTTCCAAAGGAGGGAAATACAGAAAATGCGCCAATCGCGACGCCTTCACTTATGCCCATCTACACGGTACCGCCGCCCGAGGACTCAGAGCTGTGCCCCATCTGCGAGGACGAGATCCAAACCGCCACCGCCTGTCAAACAGGGGTTGTCTACTGCTATTCGTGCATACATAAATGGGTGGAGGGCTCTCACCCCCGGCAGGAAGCTTTCATGGAGGAGAGGACGGGCAAATGGGAGAGCGGCCAGGGGAGATGTGCCGTCACGGGACGCCGCGTGCTCGGCGGTACGGAGGGCCTGCGAAGGATCATGGTATAGGAGCATTTACGCCTCTCACTTGTATATTCTTGTTGCATTGCATTGGCGTTATGGTTGAAGAGAATATGTCCGATGTTTCTTGGAAGGCCCTGGGAAGCGGGGCCTGGACCGCGAGCCTATAGACAAAGTTTATTCGAATGGCTCACGCTGCACTCGGCATGGCAGTTGGTGACCACTAGCTAGCAAATCACGAAACTAGTACCCAGCAATAGAGCTCGTCGTCAAAGTTACCCGACGGCACCGTGAATTCTTCCGAGTCCTCAACGTCCTCGGGGCACGGAGGTGGCCTCGGCGGATCTACAGGCGGTGGTGGGAGGCTACTTTGCGTGGGCGTCCTGCCAGAAGCCGGCGCAAAGCTGTCGTCCCTGGCGCTCGCATCTTGTTCTTTACCCTGGTCCGGGCCGTTGTCTTCTCGGCTGACCTTGCTGATGTTGTTCCCCATTACGTAGTCTCTGGATGCTATGTGTGTATCAAACGTGCGCTTGTACTGTAAACATGATGAAGGTGATAGTTGAAGGACTTCTTAGGTCAGGCTTCGAGGCTTCCTATATACGTGCTCTCTGGGGGTGGTGACGATGTTAATGTTCCGCAGGCCGAGGTTATGAGCAAGTGTGCACCTGGAGCCTCGGGCAAAGTGTCACTCGCGGGCTTTGGTGATTCTTCAACTTCATTTTACACACGGTATGATTCAACTTTCTCCATTGAGACACAATTAAGAGGATTTGTGCGCAATAGTTGGGGTGTTCACCATGGATTTAGTCACGCCCTCCTTTGCCGTCGAAGTAGGAGAATGAGATATGGCCTGTGGCTAGAGACCTAAAATATACATTACCCCTTTCCAATAGAACAGACGCGCGGACGATGGATGCTGTCGACATTTTCAAAGAAAGCAAAGTAACGATTGTCAATGCCGAGCAATTTTCTCTTCTTGAGTCTATCTACTATGGCCGAACAAGACGTTATACAAGGGGGTATCCGATCCATAAGCAGCACCGTAGCTCCAAATTGTTGACGTCCAAATCCAAAATGCAACGTGCGACACTAGTTTCTAGAGATATCGCCAACACACACCTCTTGTCAATGGCTTCGGAGAAGACTCGAAGAGGTTGTCACCGGTGAACCCATCTGACGCTGGTGCAGATGGTTTCAAACTGAGGGAACCTTAGTTCCTACAGCATCCTAGGGGCCAGGGCGCTAGTTCAGAGCTTGCACCATCTTCCGGTCACCCTTCTTCTCGGTATTCTTCCTGATTGAGAAACGACCCAATGGTCCCTTCTTCTCCGAGCTGCTGATGCTGTCCGTGTCGGGCCGCACAATCTTGACCGAGTGAGGCTCAAGGTGCGACTGCGGGAATATGCCCCAGCCCTTGCCCGAGGTACCGGACCAGCACCAGTGGTCCGAGTACGTCCAGCTGATGTTCTTGACGACGTCTCCCTTGTTGAGCTTGAGCCAGTTGCCCTCGCCCTTCTGGCTCCAGTTCCACCGCACGGTGGCCTGCATGCTGCTCGTCCCCTGCATCCTCGTCTCGCTCTTGGGCGGCGCGTCCAGGTGCACCGACTCGGCCTCGAAGGCGGCCCGGACTCCATCGTGCCACCCGATGCCCCATTTCCCCTCGTACTTTGCCGGGAACTCGATGCCGACGATCTTGGCACCTACAGCGAACTGCAAGACGCCGCCACGGTCCGGGGGGCTTCGGAGGATACCGTGTGCGTTTCTCCTAGTCTCTGTCGCGACAGCTGTCGGCAGTTTTCCCACCTCACGCGCGATCCCCGACATGACCGACTGCATTGGGGGGTTCGGGAAGTGTAGGTCGAAATTATTCTGGTAGATCCGAGGTATTTCGGGACCCTCAACGATAGTTACGCCTGGTATGGCCGGAAGGGGTCGCGGATGGCGTGCCATGTGCGCAAAGAGCTGCTTTTGGCTGAAGAAAACTGTTGCATCGCTCTCGTCTAGTGTCCTCCCCTCATGGATACAAAACATGCACCCATATATCTGCTCTTCGATATGCCTTACAGGCAGGTGGCTCTTCTGTAGGATTCGCAGACGAAACCCAACGTTATTTGACGTGAAATTACCCGATGCTGTAAGAAGATCAGTCAATGAAGCCGACAGATGGGGGTAAATCATGGGATGGTCTTACGTTCATTTTTTAAGTCCTTTTCCACAACACTGTAGTCAAGTTCGTAGAGACAGCTTGTGCACTTCGCCACCGTCGTGTGCGAAAATCCCTGTATTGTGTAAGTAGGGATTCAGCTTACCCGTGGACAATTGCACTTACTCCGACAGGTTTTCTAATCTTCTTGAAACCCAGGTCTCCTCCCATTACTTCCTGTGCGCCCTTGCAAAAGCCCTTCAACTGGTAAAACGACGAATGGGGTCCTATGCTGCAGTCCGGTTGCCTTGATGGCATCGGCAGGTTTTCAGGTGTCTCAGATTCGACGGGAATAAGTCCAGAATCTTCGAAACCTTGGGGTGAGAACGGGGCAGAGAAACTATTGCTCGTAGGCGGTCGAGGTTGTGTAGTTCTAAGTGTTGTAGATGAGTGATTATTGGAGCTTTCCACGGGAGAATGTACAGGTGATCTGGTATTGTTCGTATACATAGGCGGCTGGGCAGAGTACTGAGGTAGCTGGCCTCCCGGCGAATAAGGGCTTCCCGGTGTCACTGAAGGCACAGAGGATGTGCGTTGCGTACTGGCCACCGGACTTGTTGCTCCATCGTAAGGCACTAGATCGAATATGGAGCTGTTGAGAGAATCGACGGAGGGTTGGCGAGCCGGATGTGTATTTGCGTTCAAGGATGCTTGTCTTGGCGGATAGTTCATGATACCTGTATGGCCCAACCGATGAGTATAGTTGTTGACAACACTATCCTCGGGGATTGCAGGGGATGGGTTGCCAAAATGAGGAGACGCGTTGGAAGGGGACCGACTTGAGTCAGAGATGGAATCGAAGGACTGACCGGAATATCTCGGCGGCTCATTGCTACCGACGCTGGTGTAACTAGGTCTTGACCTTGCCGCAGAATCCGCGCGTAGTCGTCCATTAGTCCCAAAGTCGGTCACGGGGGATCTGTCATGCCAGTGAGAGGACTCCCTGTCTGCTTGATTCGTGGCACCGGCGTTGTAACCCCAGCTAGGGTTGCTATTGCTAGTGAGACGCTGGGTATGACTTCGAGAACTGGTCGAGGAATTTCTCTGGTTCACCCCAGGAATCGTGGGCGGCAATGTTGGTGAATCACCGCCTCCATGCACTGGTCGTCGTCTTTCTACGGGGTTTCCATCTTCAGAAAGGGCGTTTGGACTGAGCGGCGGCGGCCTGTCCACTTGCCAAGGGTCTGCGGACGGTGGCCGAGGTGGAGGCTCCAGCGGTTCCTCAAACACTTCCGACTGGCGAGAGCTGTGCCTATCAAGGTCACTGACTGACCGAGAGGCCGCTCTGGAGGTGGCTCTGGGGCCTGTGGGTGCATCAACACCCAAGTCTGGCCCAGCTTGTGCGCCCATCACGAGCATATCACTCAATTGCTGCTCAACTTCGTCGATCGTCCTGTTAGGACCTGATGGCGGGTCTATGATGACGCTCGCATGCCTCGAGGACTCTGACGGTTCGGAAGCAGCCACCGGCGCTGGTGCCGGCGCTGGCGCAACCAGTTTCATTCGCTTCAGAATATCCATAATCTTTGGGGCGACTTTTCTCGAGGCCTTCTGTAGCTCTTCAAACTTCTCAAGATCGAATTCATCGACCTCAACGAAATCGTCAAAGTCCCATAATAGATCGTCCAACTCAGACCGGAATTGCGCAATCTCGTCTGGACGCTGCTTGTCAATAACTGCTAAGTATAATGACATATAAGGCATACTCACCACTCTCTTTCATGGCGTCCACAAAGTTGGATCCGTATGTCGCATAATTCCGCTGGCACAGAGGTTCTATCTTCTTCAAAGCTCTCTCGCCCTCTTTGACCAAACTCTGGGCAGCCTTGAGCATAGGCGCCGCGGCTTCCTGGTCGTCCGCATCCGTGGCATTCTCAATAGCAGTGTTCGCCTTCTCGACAATCTCTTTGAAAGGCGACAGTACGAGCCGCTCTATTTCGTCCGACATCGTGGTGCGCAGGTCGCAGTCGATGCGACGTCGGAAGCGCACCCGCGTGGTGGTATGCCTAGTGCACTGTAGGTGGGGGTGGTCGATAACACGGACGGACGTGGGCTGCTTTCTGACAAAGCTATAGCGAGGACTGGGCCAGTGACGCTTTTAACGTTTTGACGATCAACTCAAGCTCATCGTCCAGGGCCAGCGGGAAGGAAGACGGCGAGAAACCTTGGGCGCATCACAGGAAAGACGAGGGAGTCTGAGAAGGACGCCAGAGGTCCTAGGAATCGAGACAATGCTTGCTTCTTGCGGAGAGGCTGAATCGCGGGCAACTAGGTGACCACAACTGCCACAACCAGTTAACGCCCTCAATTTCCCCCGGGGCGGAGGATAAGGGATCCCCCACTGTCGCACTTGGGACCCGGACGGCTCTGGAGTCTCGAAGGCTGAAGCGCCGTCTTGCACACAGATTGGGCGCCATCGGGGTAACTAGGCACCCCCTTGCTACTGGCAGGGGCCCTTTTCCCAGGTCATGCAAGCTTCACACCATCTAAACCCACCAAGATACCGGTCTATTGGTGACTGGACCATGCTGGTCCCTGGGGAGCCGTTGTGGGTAAACCTCCGTGACGATAGAGGTCACTAAGTGCTCTGCAGGGTCCGCAGCTGAGTGGCCCCGCCCGTAGACTGCGCGACTATCAACGACAGGCATCTCTAGGCTCTGTCGTCCAACCGACGAGGCTGTGTCCATCACGCAGGCGGGAACGAACACGGTTACAGTAAGCGATTGGCGACCTGGAACGCTGCTGAAGGAGAACTCTCAACGTGACTGGCCACGCGACCTCGACCTCAACGTAGATTATCCGTCCGTCGCAATTAATACCAGCTTGTTCAGTACAGACATATGTAGATGTAGTTGGACGATTGGCAATTCGATTTTCTTGATGCTTGAGCGCAAATTGCTGACTAGATGTGTTACATTGACTTTGACTGCATATGTGGCACGTATTGCTGACCTCTAGGGAGCCACGGGCTGATGTGGTGCAACAGCACCACCGGCGGTAGATGCAGGGCAAGTTGGAGTCATTTCAGCCGGATTATCGCGAGACGCAGCTTCTACGTCCGAGGATGGCGCTCTCGATTCACTACATCTTCCCATATGAACCCAACCCTGTATCTACACGATGGGCAGGTTGAGACGCGCTGTTTTCCACATGTCGTTTGAACTCATATACACCTCGGCAGCAGGAACGGGCCAGGGACCGAGACCACTCTCGCCTCGCCGACTTCATTTCGACTGACGCCTTTGTTGCGCTCGCTCATTGACCAGCACTAACCTTCGGATAATCCTTGCAGAGAGTACCATTGAGCAATGCGACCTTGGGGCGCCAACCAACGGCTTGCGCGTTGAATCAACAGATGGTAATGAAAGCCAACAGCCAGCGGTCCGATCCCCCAAGAACGGAAGCTTCGTCATCATATCAGCTCTCTGTGTCTTGCCAGGAGAGAGAGCCACGGATAGGACGTGATTGAGCCTGGACGGATCATTTCCGGCATGCAAGAACGATCCTCACGGGTACCAAGCGAGAGTAGCACAGTGGTCCTAGTGGAAAGTTCCGAGTCAGCCTCGGGCCCAAAGACAGCCACGCACTTGTAGAGACAAGCTTTCCCTGAAACGATCATCGTCCACTTCACAAGACCACACGCGGACATCAATGAGTCGCCCGAGGAATGCGGTTCTAAGATTGCTATGCAGGTCTATTGGGTGGCTGAAGGTGCCTTATGATTCAGAGCCCAGCTACCATCCAGCTTTCAGCACGTTGTCTATCGGGTGGGGAGAGCCAGCAGAACCACTGGCAAACGAACCTGAGAGACAGCCTTGCCTTGTAAGAGCGATTTTGCTGCCAGAGATGTTTGGATTGATGCCCCACGTGGCTGTGTCTCAAGCTTTCGCAGGTCAGGCGAATTCCGATGCATCCAAGATGCTAGTCTGCTTGGTATAGAAGGCTTCGAGAAGCTTGGAAGCTCTAGCGAAGGCGAAGCAATGGGGCTTAAGCCCAGCTTGCCGATCCCATTGCATCATGGCCCTCAGCTCGTGACCATTGGCATTGGCGAAGACGCAAATCGGTCATCTGTATCGTATTCCATGAAAACAAGGCAAAATAAGGCGCACAGTCGAACAAAGCACAGGATGCTCGACCAGCTTACAGAACGCAATTTAGTGTTTGATACCTTTCTTACCTTGGAATCACCCAGCTTGCCCAACTAGAACCGACTCCCAAAGAGCACCACGGCTCCTACATAAAAGCCACTTTACATCATTTAACTTACGACATAGACCGGTGAGGTTATCTGGGAAGTTTGATAATGACGTATTTAATACAGAAATTCGAGACATGCACATAGGGGAGAGCCATCTTCGAGAACAACGCATCATCGCAACGGTCCAACGCGCTAAAGAAACAAAGCCTGACTTCCCAACATGCTCGTCCAAACATACACTGTAGCATAATGCGCTTGGCTTTGGGAGTCATTGTTAAAATACTTCAAGCGCAGCCTGATACTGAGAAAAGCCAGGAATCATCTACATCGTCATCTGCTCTCCAAAGCCCCTCGGGACGCCATTCTGGAGGACAATTGCCATTTTGATATCTGGGTACGCTTTCTTACAACACGTGCCTATTATAACATGTGGCCCCGTTTGACAAGCAGCCATTGCCAGCGAAAGACCCCCTTCTTGATATATCAATACCGGTGACACCGATTACCGTAGGTAGCATTTTGCCTCTTCAACCCCAGTTAGGAACTATCGTAGATTACTCTATCGCGTCTCATCCTCATATGCATCATATCCGGCCCCTATCGAGAAACTTCTTGGGCAAATCGACCGTTTTAGCCCGCATGTACTCACCCGCAAGCTTCCCAAGAGTGTCGTAGTTACTGCAAGCATTGTACCCCCTGTCCAGATGGTCATGGAGCAAGAAGTGCACAGCCCTAGCACCGGGAATCTCAAAACGATCAATTGGCTTGCCCTTATACTCCTCAGGTCCTAGCAATTTCTTCACCCTATCGATGGTCACTATAGCATCGAACGGTCAGTTTCTCTCCCTACTTGGACGTATTATCATAGGGTAGGACGACTCCCGGGCTCACTCACTGAAGCTGCGCAACCAATCCCACTCGTCGTCATGGCGAACGAAGAATCCCACGTTGCAGTCCGATGCCTTGTCCCCAGATCGAGCCATAACAATGTGGCCCAAAGGTGCCTTGGCTGTCTGTCCGAAGGAGGAAAGGTCGACAGCACTCTCCGTTTCATACGACGGCTGCTGACGAGGGTAAGTCTTTGTGATCTTAGGCGCATCCATCTTGAGAACCTTGTTGTCCTCGAAGAGAAGATGCACACGGTGGTTGAGCTCGCTTTGTGGGAGCAGCGATACCCAGTATTCATAGTAGGGTTTGGGTACGATTTGCCTCAGATCATTACTTAGAGATGCACTAGGCGCCGACTGTAGGAATATTTCAAGGACCCAACGGTTGAACCCGTTGGGAATATCCGGACGTAGAACTTCCGGGTCAGGACTTTGTGCAAAGATCCGAAAGTCGACTGTTGCCAAGTCTTGGTTTCTGGCGTCAATGGGTGAAGTGCCGTTCTGGTGAAACTTGAGAAGACTGAACTTCGATATGTCATCCCCAATGGCGTACCGAACTTGATCCTCCGTGATCTTACACTTCTCCTCTATATCCAAGCCACACATGTAAATGTGCCATTCAGCTTGGAAGCCAGCTGGAGCTGTGATTCCCACCTTTGTGGTAGGAGGTGGTGGCATACCTTTTACACCAGTGATACGTACTTTGTCCTCGCCAACCTGCTCCAACCGGACCCCCGAGATATCCGCCGTGACATCACAATTGTAATACCAACTAGCAGATTGGTCAGCATGAACTCATGGGTATTGTCGTATGCATATGTAAACATACGGGCCTTGAATCTCGTAGACAAGTTGCGATGTGACACTTCCCACTGTAACGCAACCTCCAGAGTCCTTTTCCTTGACCAATGTACACTCTCCTTTGTGGTCTACCTCTGCGATAGGGAACCCCATATTGACGTGCTTTCCCGTCTTCATGAGGTCTTTGAAACCACTGTAATATCCTCCAGTGACGTATGCAGAGCACTCTATGAGATGTCCAGCCACAAGAGCTCCTGCGAGCTCATCAAACTGGTCCGATCTCCAGTCATGCCACCATCTTCGCAACTGTCAGCATAGAGCTTTCTTGATCGTCATATAGACTTACGCAGCAACGCCAATAACTGGAGCAGCATCCGCTACTCGTCCGCAGATGACTACGTCCGCGCCACTTCTCAACGCCTCTGCTATGCCCAAACCGCCCAGGTATGCCTGTGCACAGATTGGCTCAAGGCCCCATTCCTCAAGCTTCTTCCCATGCATTAATGATTCGAACTTCTCGCCTTTGCCGATGAGACTATTGACTTGCGACGTGACGTCGTCACCCTCGACCCATGCGAACTTGAGGCTCTGTCCTTTATCCTTGACCATCTGATCGCACACAAGCGTCAGGAGCTCCGTGTCTGATGCTCCGGCGTTGACAACGAGCTTGCACTTGTTGTTGGCGAGGTTTTCTATGGCTGGCTCGAAGCATTGCAGAAATGTCTCCGCGTACATGGCTGTTTCCTGACGTTCTTCAAGCGTCAGTTGGACTTTCGATCCCTCGGTTGCTTTGAGATTCCGGATCTTGCCACTCCCGTGCATCGTCATTGTCTGTATATCAATCAGCCCCGATATTTACTGTCGGCAGTGCTCGGTTACTCGCCATCTCCGAGAGCCAATCCCCAATCACGGCATCTACATCCGGATCTCCTGCTAATGAAGTAATTGCCCGCGATCGGTCTGTAAACCCACCACTACAGCCCGCAATGCGGACTGGACGATGGTAATTGGTTGAAGGAGACATTGTTTGCAAATCACTAATAGAAGTTTCTTGTGGGAAATGAACGAGTATCATGTACGGAGTAAGTAGGTTGACATTATGAGTTGACTTCAAGCGATATTTAGTATATAAAACCCTAGGCTGAATTGAGCCGAAATAAGTCAGATCCTCATAGGCCCAGCATAAGCTATGTTTCCCTATCCACGGGTTCGATATCCACGAACCTCTGAATCTGCTTAGTAACGCAGGATGAACAGTTGCTGCGGAAAACGTAGTCCGAATAGCTTCAACGTCGGCAGCGGCTAGCGCTTGCGGGGTAGATAATCATTCGTGACACGCCCCTGCACAGTGCTTAGCAGTGTGAAATGGGAGATCTCTGAGAAAAAGAGTCTATGAGTAAGACTTGCCTCATTCAATCTGTGTAGAAGGGTTCAGTTATGATTTGTGAATTCATTGCGCTGCAGATGAGTATAGCTTTGTCAAGACAACGAGGTCAGGCGCCACCTCAAGTCACTTCTTAGCCAGACGGGCAGGACCCTCATAGATTTTCTGGTGCAATTCAATGATAATGAACAACGGGCTTTCTAGACTGGATTCATCCAGTCTACTTGAGGTGTTTCAACAGGAGCCCAGCCGCTTCAGAAACATCTGCTATGGATTGATTTCGAGCCCTTTCGAGTCTTACCACTACAGCATACAGAAGTTACTTCTCGACCAGTGACCGACAATCTATTGATCTCATCTTCGAGAGAGATTGCATTGCGCCGATTCAACACAAGTGTTCACTGATATGTTACACAGTATTCCCGACTTACGGAACGCATCCAAGTGCAACATCATGTAGCATTGCAGCATGCATCAGACTTTGTACGGCAAATGTACGCTACTTACCCTGATGTTCGAGAGAGCTACATATTTCTTTTTGAATTGTTGTCTATAGTTGAAAACCAATAGATTACTACCATCCGGTGACTACGCGTAGGATACAAGACATTCTTGCCAAACCTTGGGCAGCCGAGAATAGTCATACAAAGTTCTATAGGGATGCTCGCTATGTCATTATCTAGTTGTTCGAGCTCCGTACCTACCTATAATGACACAGTCATTCACAAACACTCCTTGTGTGTAGAAAATACGTCCACTGTAGATACCACTCTTTAGGAGTAAAGATTGAAGCGGCGCCTTGACCAAACAGCAATGTCAGATCAAGCAATACAGTTCGATTCACCAGAACGATTAGGTTTTCAGATGTAGATCCGACTTATCGGTCTACTGATTGATAGTTCAGAGTGTAGAGGATTTAACTTTAAGCGAAATCGTGACAGGAAAAGGGTATTACCGACAATGATCTAGCTCTTAACGAGTGATTCACCTCAGGGTTGTTCCAGCCTGATAGTCATTCAGTAAGCTGATCAAGTACATGACTCCCCAATTCGGGAAAGCTTGCGTAATGAAATCGCAGCGGCGGGCTTGACTCTGATATGATCAGTTTTTACAGAGACAACGCGTCCTCGGCAATATCTTGGCCACGGGAAATGCACGACTCGGATCCAGGAAATATCAATATCCAACGGAGATAAGGTAGGAACGGCTTGCCACGTGTGAACCTGCCTTCCGGGCTATTCTGGTACCAGCTGCGGGAGCAGTTTATGTGGAGATGTGGGCATGTTCGTCGAACTGAAGGACCCAAGCCAGCAGAACCCTTTCCTTCTGGCCCTTCTCTCGGTCTTTCGGTAAAGCTTCTATGGATTGGACTTACTGCAGGCGGCTAGACTGGTCGGCAACCGGTTGTGGCTCTAGGTGATTATACATAGTAGAGTTTAGCTACGGGAAGCCTGCTTCCGTAGCTTAGAGTAAATAACAGACGAGGTCCTGGAGGTCTGTTTTTGAAGCTCGCGGTTTCTTTCCATCGGAGCCAATGGACGTGCTTATGAGCTACTGGAAAGATACCAACATGGTGCACGGGCCGATAGGAAACTTAATGGGCGTTATTTGCTGCTCCCATTGTTTCACAGAACCTGGGGAACGCGTAGTTGCTATTGTAACGCCGTTCGTGAGCGAGGGAATCTGGCTCAGCTTCCGTGGAGTGAAGTTCTAGACTTTGCACATACGACAGAACACCATGTGGTGTGAGATCTTGACCCGTTACATGGTATTGTATGAGGAGGCTGGTGGACAGGTGTGTTTCTGCTCCGCGCCGCACTTTGAAATTTGGTTACGCCACTTCGAAGATCGATATAAAGCGAAATATTATTCCTTCAGCACACTTCTGCATCTGTACAAGTTTTCTTCATGCCATGGCTCTCCTTGGCAGCTGGAAAAGGCTTGTTGCAGTATTAGTATGGGCCTACATGCGTTAGTGAGGCTCGTATCAAGAAGTGTGGGCTCAATTGATGAAGTGGAAGTTTGTGCAATCTCTGTTGGATGCTCTGTATTATGAGGTTTGCAGCCGAGTGGAGAGGCATACCAACAACTGGCGAATGAGACTGAAAATCCGCCGATATCCCTGCGACGACACGTGGATGCACTGATGCCCTGGTATTTGATCTGCAAAATCATATCCACCGAGCGCAGCCACTTACCAGCTTGTCGGGGTCGAGAAAAGCAAAGCGCTTGTGTTGAAACGACTCCATAACCTATACACTACGTAGGTAATTATGTGATGGTGAGCAAAAGTAGGCTAGCCTTTGGCGGTGGCAGCACGAGAAGGGCGTGAAAGCAATAACCAGGCGAAAAGCGGAGAGCTGGAATTAGAGAACAAAAACAATGAGGCTGTCTTTCTGGGGATATGAGCTACGGGGTGTAGTGCGCCGATCCAGATTTCCAGTATGTCACTCGACGCTCACGATTGCCCGAGAACGAGCTTTAAATGAAGACTTCGCTACACAATACTTATCATCATAGTAAGTGCACGTTCCTTCTCGCTCTTGTCATGCATGGGTACAAACTCTGAATAGCTAGCATGCGACAGACGTGCGGCAGCATTTGCTTGGCAGTCACTGCATTGATAAAGTTGCTAAAGAAAAGAAGCAAGCTGAGCCATGCGCGTTATATTGTGACCGCAATGAAGATGGCAATCCCAGTGTTGAGTTTGGGTTCACTGCTCGTCAACCACGATTGGTGCAGAATTGGTCAAGATTCATATCAAACTGTTAAAATAGATCTCTTGACCCCTGGGTTGAACAAGGGTACTCTTTGTGACAGGTGGTCCCTCTGGTCTGGCGAACATCACAGCCATTGGTGGTCACTCTGAATCCCTGTCTGTATTTTGTGTCTTGTCCCAGCGATGTGGGATGCTGTGGATAATTGGCCATTGGCTCCATATCTAGATGAAGGAGAGGGAAGCCCAGGATTGATCTGGCTTTTCATGCCGTTGCCCTCGGTGCTCGTGGTGTGAAAGGTGCTGCTATTGATCCGGTGGCTGCACGGCTAGCTGCAGAGAACCTGGGCGCGTCAGCAGGATTGGGACATCTGCTGATCTGGAAACACGTGGGAGTATCGTGGCACAGCATCGGCGTCAATGCTTCTGACATCCCCGGCCAGGAAGCGAAATCTGATAGGTTCTCAAATCTCAGCCATCCTGTCCACACAAAGCGGTCCAGTCGGTTATATATCAAGTATACATTCTCGGTACACAGGGGACCAGTTGTGCTCTAGCTTCTAGGGCCCAGCTAGTTCTAAACCGCCGGAAACCAGTAAAGCCACTGAGCGAAATGGTAGGAGATAGCGTGTGCAGAAGCAAAACACTTCTCGAACGATGGATGGATCTTCAGCCTTCAATGCCGGTCAAAGGGTGGCTGGGAGGTGTGTAATGTACCATACATAGTAGTGAGTCTTGTATAGCCCCGCATTGTTGGGATGCGTGTTGCTGTCCGGCTGACCGGCAGGCCTGTTACACGCCTGCATGAGTTGGGGGAGGGATTGGACATGATGTGGATGCTCGTACTATGTAGACGGCCCCAAGAGAGAGAGAGAGAGGGAGGGAGGGAGGGAGGCGCAAGGCCAACGAGATCGGGAATAGGCTTCAAGAGTACATGGAGCCAGGCCATGACCAATGGCCGATGGTGACGAACAAAGCGCCTTGAATCTTCAATGCTCCCCCGGCGTTATTCTGCTTGGGAAGGCATGTCTCGTCCGATTTCACGTTTGAGTTCTGTCAACAAAAAGCCGCCTGGTGGCCACACTCCTGGAAACAGCCCTTGGATACCGAAGGGACGCTCTCTGCCTCTTGGGCGTCGTCACGTCAGAATTGGCACTTAATCTTTTGGGGCACCCGTTCTGAAAGAGGAGCAATATCCCGCTTCCGAAGGACAAGTTACCGGTGTTGGCGCCTGCTCCACGTTTATGCGGTCAAAACTCCGGCCTAAGTACACCCATACATGCATCAGAGGCAAAGCCAAAGGCAAAACCATTGACCCAGTCGACGATTCCACACACACCAGCGCCCGCTCTTCTGCCACTTGAAGGACGCGCATCTGATTGAGCTTTACCGAGCAAGGCAGGCAGGACGACAACCAGCATCTGGCGAATGAGACCCCGGCTGGACACCGCCATTGGCATTGACTTAGCAGATAGGCTGTGTTCGTTTTCCGTTTATCGTCAGGGCATTGCCAGCCGTGATTATCTGGCACAGCGCAGCCCTGTATCGAGGGCATTTATTGCATGCTAACTTGCTTCTTTCTACAAAAGAGAACGCACGCAGGTTCGGCTTGTTCGGTTAGCTGGTGTTTTTACCGATTTAGTTTGCCAGATCTGTGTCTCCGTTCTGCAGTAGCCTCCAACAACAGACATACCCGATCCCGGGCTCGTTACATTGGTTACTGGCTTGCCTGTGCTGCGTCGCTCGCCTTGACTCGCCGTAACCAGCTCATCGCAACGTTCATCAGCCCGATAAGCGTGGCCTTGTGGTGCCGGCCATTGGGAGACGTTGCACCAAGCATCCAGAACAACAGACGGGATCCCGGCCTTGTTCGAGTCGAGCATTTGCACCGCCTTGACAGCTACACAGTAGCCGTCTCGTGGGCTGCCTCGTCACATTCCTGTCGTGGGGGGAGATCTACTAAGATCAGTAGCCAATCGCTAACTACCGTTGCGACATTGCTTGTGGCCGACGGCGCCCACATCCAGTGGACTCCAACAATAACTGGGCTGCCCGCTCGCCCGCTTTCACGCCGCGCTCCAGTCGGTCAGCCAGACAGCCAGTCAGCCAGTCAGCCAGTCAGCCAGACAGCCAGACAGCCGCGGCCGCCCAAGCTCCCACACTTTAAACGATCGACGGCTCTTCACTTAGACTTATTAGCAGCAGAAGGTGTGGAGTTCCCAAGTCGCTCCGAACCGCACCTTCAGCTAGGTGCGCTACCGCTACGCTTCGCTGTTACCTACTAGGTAGGGACATTGGCGCAGCGCTTGCTCGATTCCCGCGCTCTTCACCCGCCCATTCCCTCCATTTCGTCATCCGCTGTCTCTTGGAGAATTCTGTCCACCGCTGTGTGCCCGTCTCAACCGAAGCCAGCCTGCGCTGCCGAGTAGGCTTCATCAGTCGCACGTACACAGCTGGGAAGGCACCCGAGCACCATCATCGATCCCGACGCTTGCCGGTCCAGGACGGATCGAGCTCTGCAAACCTCCAACCACCCGGACCCTGACCGCGTGGGTACCAGCTAAGCTGAGCCTCACCACACCGACGTTGGAGTCGCGCTCTCACGTCAAGGTCCCGTCTGTCATCTGGCACCCCAATACCGAGCCAGACGAGACCCGAGGGAAATGAGACTGTGACACTCGCGCCTCTCATCGTTGGCGGCGCGAACACCAGGATTTCCTTACCGACGAGGCCGGGCAAGCGCGATTGGATCAGATGAAGATGGGTTCTTGTATGAGCACGAACAAGGAGGAGGAGGAGCAGAAGAAGCGGAGTCAAGCGATCGACAGAGTTCTCGATGAGGACTCGAAACGGTTGCGACGGGAGTGCAAGATCTTGTTACTTGGTGGGCTACCTCAGAAATCCTCCCCAGATCCAAAACAAGAAGCTGCCGGCTAACATGGTTTTGTCCGATCAGGTTCCGGCGAGAGCGGCAAGTCCACGATTGTGAAGCAGATGAAAATCATTCACTTGAGGGGCTATTCGGAAGATGAACTTTACAACTACCGGGCTACGGTGTTCAAGAACCTCATCGAATGCGCCAAGGCCGTCATCAATGCCATGGACCAGTTCGATATCGAGCCCAGCACCCCCGTGAACAGAGAGCACTGTGATTATCTGCTCACCTACACGGTCGAGTCGGGACCGTCGGCGCACATCGACTCCAAAGTTGGGCAGGCTGTCCAGGCTATATGGAGCGACCCGTGTATAGAGAGGCTGATGGAGCACCAAACCGAATTCTACCTGATGGACTCGGCCGGATAGTGAGCATGCACACGTCGTTTTGAGCCACATGACCCAGCTGACTGGAGAAACAGCTTCTTCGATGAGGTGTCAAGGATATGCGCACTGGACTATCTGCCGAACGAAATGGATGTCCTACGGGCCCGAACGAAGACGACGGGTATCTATGAGACCCGATTCCAGATGGGAGCTCTCAGTATCCAGTACGGACCACCAACCACAAACCCTTGTCCGTGTGTTGCTAACCCACCCCCAGCATGTTCGACGTCGGCGGCCAAAGGAGTGAACGTAAGAAGTGGATCCATTGCTTCGAAAACGTCACATCCATCATCTTTTGCGTGGCTTTGAGCGAGTACGACCAGGTGCTCTTGGAGGAAAGCAGTCAGGTATGCAGCTTTTTCGTCGCCTTCTCTAGCTGCTTGGAACGCTAATCTTGTATTAGAACCGCATGATGGAGAGCCTGTTGCTCTTTGATTCTGTCGTGAACTCAAGGTGGTTTATGCGGACTAGTATCATCCTGTTCCTCAACAAAGTCGATATCTTCAAGGTGAAACTGCCGAGGTCGCCACTTGGCAACTACTTCCCAGATTATTCGGGGGGCAACGATGTCAACAAGGCCGCCAAGTATCTCCTATGGAGGTTTAATCAAGTGAATAGGGCTCATCTTAACTTGTATCCACAGTAAGCCGGCTCACATTCATCGAACAGCAGAATGATATTAACCTCTGTTTAGTTTGACGCAAGCCACGGATACATCAAACATCCGGCTAGTCTTTGCTGCAGTGAAGGAAACGATCCTCAACAACGCACTGAAGGATTCCGGCATCCTGTGATGACCCACCTCTCCTTAGTATTCACCTACTTCTCTCGGCGCGCTGGGTTCTCACGATTCGGGAGTCCATGACTCGCAGCATTGACGGCGTTCATTGTTTGGGAGCACTCTGCAGTTTGCCCCCCCTCCTCTTTTCCTTATTTTTATATTTCCCTTTTTGAAGCTTTGGCATGGCGTTCCGGTTTCGGCGTATATAAACCATCTCTATAACGTGCTGACGACTAGAGGCGGGACTGGAAACCGGAGGGGATGGGCTCGACTGGACATATGATACCATGAACAATGGGACTGGTGCACGCTGTGTCCCGACGATGCGCCGCTTACGGTTGCGCATAAATAATGTTGGACATGGACACGCGCCCGGACGAGGTTCAGGCAGCTCCAAGCACGCAGCGTTGCGGCGAGCATATACGGATGGCTAGATAGGCCGCTTTAGCTGCCATGATATGGCATAAGACAAAAACTCAGGCGTGAGATAATAGTAATTGGACATGATGCCAAGACAATGCCGTACTGTGAAGATGTTGCAATCCAATCCACGAGGTGTGCCCGTGTCTGTTCGACGACGTGCTGGATGGCTCCTCGGCTGAGACGGGTCATTTATGCGGGATGCGCAGATGGCGGAGCAATTATCACGACATCTCTGCATAGTCGTAAACATTGGCCATGCCCCGGTGCCATGCCGACCGCAGCAGGTTGGGACATGATGCAGAGGGCAGGACGAATCCAACTTGCTAGACATTGAGCTTCACAACCAGGAGGTATATTGGATCTGATGCGGTATGACATCGGCGATTCATTATCGAGCAAATCAGGGGAGGCATGGTGATGTCCCGGTATGCACTCCGAGAGCTCCAGTGACCAAACGCCGGCCTGCAGAGCAGATGCAAGAATGTGGGACAGCCAGTCGTACCACCATCACCCATGGCATCGCAGATTCACACCGGATTGACTGGCGCTTCATCCCCATAATTCATGGTTTTTGCAGAGCAGGGATATCATATACGTGGGGACGAACGCCTGCCCGCTTGGCGATATAAGAGGCTGGGCAAGAAACGCTGCGACCCCACGAAGAGGCTGGATGGCGCTCGGTTTGGTCGACTTGGTAACCAGACATTCCAGCACACAAATGACGGGCACTAGGGGAGGTAAGGTGCCTCAACTCTACCTAGTCGAGGACTGGCGATGGAAGCAGTATCCGGGCCGGAAGAGAGCTAAAGCTTGCAGATGTTGGCGGTGGAGCTACTGTGCCTTTAGCTGCCCACCCCGCACTCCCACACCCCTCCCAGCTCCGCCTTCCGACCACGACCAGACTAACACGAGGCTTGCATGGCATGTTCCCTAGCAACACCACACGACATCTCTGGATGGCCTGGTCGCGCGGCGGTTTCCCTCGCTTGGCGAGCTCGGTTGGGCGAGGGGATTGGACGGCGGGAGACGGGCAGGTTCACGAGGAAGCACCAGCAGAGGGGTCAAGGCAGGTCGAGGCAAGACAGGACAGGGAGCCATCCGCATCTCACGACCTGTGCACCCTGGGGCTTGCATCTAATCCTTTGACCGTCGTCGTCATTGTGCTGCTGTGCCGGCCATTCCCCTAGCTTCTCAGTCAGCCCATTTTCTGAAGCTCCAGGTCGTCGTCTCCCCACGAGCCACCCGTCTGGCCAGCCCTCTCTTATATATCGGGCCAGCTCCCTGTCCTCTTCAGGAACAATCAAAGCTCTGTTCCTTGCTCCTCTCTTCGTGAAAGGACTGTGCTCGGATCCTCACGCACGTTTGCGCGTGTGCCTTGCCCCACGGTGACCCTCCGTCCAACCCGAGAGACACAAGCAGCTATCCCCAGAGCTCTGTCGTCTTTGTACACCAGCTCCCATACCCCGCGTGTCGTGGCCCCCGGTTCCCGCTGCCCCCCAGCGTTGCAAGCGTTTAGACTGCATTAGAGTCGAGCTTTGCTCATTGGCATGTAGGTGCCGTGCCAACAGTTTCGCATGTCCGCGACGAGAGTGGGTCAGTGGCATACGCGGAACCGCCGGCTGACACTTCGTGATAGCTTCCGCTTTCTAGATCCTTGATTCTAGACCCCTCTTCAATTTCGCGGCTCTCGTTTTCAACCTACCCGCAGCTCTCAATCCCCCCACCTCAAGATGGCGACCGAACAGCGTATTCCCCTCAGGGAGCGTAGGCCCTCGACCTCTGCTCCAATCGTGGACATTGTTGGGTCCGTCGGCCCGGCTGGAATCTCTCGGCCCAAGCACAAGCGGACTTACACCGGGTTCGGTGCTGGCGATGTCAAAAGTGTAGAAGGTGGGTTGGCTGCTACAGCTCTGCTTGCAGGTCGTCCTACACCAGAAAGCGCCCCTCATTTGCCCGGGTCCACATCGTATAGTGCGATCTCAAGGGCAATGCTATAACAGTCCTCCGCTCTGACTCGAGTCCTCATCACTAACACTGCTCCTCTTCACTAGCTTCGATCCCCGAGCCGCAGAGGGAGGCCTGGACCAAACACCAAGTCAAGGGTTTCACCGACGCAGACGGCTTTGAGAAGGAGGTTGTCCGCCATGTCGAAACCTCCCTGGCCCGCAGCTTGTTCAACTGCGACGAAGGCGCCGCGTATTCAGCTGCCGCCCTGGCCTTCCGCGACCGTCTCATCACCGAATGGAACAAGACGCAGCAGCGCCAGACATTCTCCGATACCAAGCGTGTTTACTACCTCAGTCTGGAGTTTTTGATGGGCCGCGCGTTTGACAACGCTATACTCAACCTTGGCCTCAAGGACGTCGCAAAGGGTAGGCAAATTACGTCTTGAAAGCAGAGAGTGCATGGAGCTAGACTGACTTGACCACCTGCAGAGGGCCTGACGGAACTAGGCTTCCGCATCGAAGACATCATTGAGCAGGAGCACGATGCTGCTCTGGGCAATGGTGGTCTCGGCCGACTTGCTGCCTGTTTCCTCGACAGTCTTGCTTCTCTCGACTACCCTGCTTGGGGCTACGGTCTGAGATACCGATACGGTATCTTCAAACAGGAGATCATCAATGGCTACCAGGTTGAGGTACCCGACTACTGGCTCGACTTCAACCCCTGGGAGTTTCCTCGACACGATGTCACTGTTGATGTAGGCTGCACTGCTGTTGAAACATTTTCTGCTGTCGCTCTTACTAATTTGTGAACAAGATCCAATTCTATGGCAGCGTCCGCAAGTCGCAGGACGAAAACGGCAAGTCCGTCGCCCACTGGGAGGGCGGCGAGATCGTGACGGCTGTTGCCTATGATGTCCCCATCCCAGGATATGCTACTCCCTCCACCAACAACCTGCGGTTGTGGTCCAGCAAGGCCTCGAGCGGGGAGTTTGACTTCCAAAAGTTCAACAACGGAGAGTATGAGAGCTCAGTCGCTGACCAGCAACGAGCTGAGACCATCAGCGCGGTTCTCTATCCCAATGACAATCTCGACCGAGGAAAGGAGCTGCGGCTCAAGCAACAGTATTTCTGGGTGGCCGCGTCACTGCATGACATTGTCCGCCGCTTCAAGAAATCCAAGCGCCAGTGGAGTGAATTCCCTGACCAGGTGGCCATTCAGTTGAACGATACCCACCCAACCCTTGCCATCGTTGAGTTGCAACGGATTCTTGTGGATATTGAGGGCCTGGAGTGGGATGCAGCCTGGAATATCGTCACATCAACGGTAACCAAACCCGAATCTGCGTACTTGGATCGTTGATCGTGTCTAACTTTACTTAGTTTGGCTACACGAACCACACAGTTCTGCCAGAGGCATTGGAGAAATGGCCTGTCGGCTTGTTCCAGCACTTGCTTCCGCGACACCTCCAGATCATCTACGATATCAACCTGTTCTTCTTGCAGAGCGTGGAGAAGAAATTCCCCGGCGACAGAGATCTCCTTACCAGGGTCTCCATCATTGAGGAGTCTCAACCAAAAATGGTGCGCATGGCATTCTTGGCCATTGTCGGTTCTCACAAGGTCAATGGTGTTGCCGAGCTGCACTCCGACCTCATCCAAACCACCATCTTCAGGGACTTTGTCAGTATCTTCGGCGCTGACAAGTTTACCAATGTCACAAACGGCATCACTCCGCGTAGATGGTTGCACCAGGCGAACCCTAGGCTATCTGAGCTGATTGCAAGCAAGGCGGGCGGCCACGACTTCTTGAAGGATCTGACCTTGCTCAACAAGATTGAAGAGTACGCGGGTGACAAAGAGTTCAAAAAGGAATGGGCCGAGATCAAGTATGCCAACAAGGTCCGTCTGGCTCGATACATCAAGCAAACCTTGGACGTAACAGTCAATCCGGCCGCTCTTTTCGACGTTCAGGTGAAGCGAATTCACGAGTACAAACGTCAGCAACTGAACATCTTCGGCGTCATCCACCGCTATCTGACGTTGAAGGCCATGAGTCCCGAGGAGAGGAAGAAACAGCAGCCGCGTGTCTCCATCTTCGGCGGAAAGGCAGCACCTGGCTACTGGATGGCCAAGCAGATCATTCACTTGATCAACAATGTTGGTGCTGTCGTCAACAAGGATGCCGACATTGGCGACCTTCTCAAGGTCATCTTCTTGGAGGACTACAATGTCAGCAAGGCCGAGATGATTATCCCAGCTTCCGATCTCAGCGAGCACATCTCCACTGCTGGTACAGAGTAAGCACCACTGGTCTTCTCTGTGATGATTGAATTGTGCACAATGCTAACGCAACTGCAGGGCTTCTGGCACCAGCAACATGAAGTTCGTCCTCAATGGTGGGTTGATCATCGGCACATGCGACGGTGCAAATGTAAGTTTTGATACACCCAATGTATGGGCTGACACTGCTAACACATTCTCAGATCGAGATCACCCGGGAGATCGGACAAGAAAATATCTTCCTCTTCGGCACGCTGTCTGAGGACGTCGAGGAACTGCGCCACCAGCACACCTACGGCTCACACAACGTTGATTCAAACCTGACCAAGGTCTTCGAGGCGATCCAAAACGGGACATTCGGCGAGCCTAACGACTTCGGCGCCATGGTTGCCGCCGTTCGTGACCATGGCGACTACTACCTTGTGTCGGATGACTTCCAGAGCTACATCGACACACAGAATATGGTCGACACCGAGTACCGGAACCAGGACGAGTGGGTAACCAAGTGCATCCGCAGCGTGGCGAGGATGGGTTTCTTCAGCTCTGACCGTTGCATCAACGAGTATGCCGAGGGCATCTGGAACGTCGAGCCGCTTGCCGTCAAGAACTAAGACCTAGAAGGGTGTCCTGGGTCCTTCAGGCTAAGAAAGGGGAGGCAATATAATTCTGCGCTGAAGAATCGTCACACTACTCGTAGATGACAGCCTGAGCGCGAGCAACGGTTTCCTCTGTGTAATGAAATGGCGAGAAATGGACATGGTTATGAGGTATCCATAGGGGACAGACAAATACTTGACGATTCAGCTTAATGAACCACAGACTATACCAGATTGTTTGAGATTTTGGTGACATGTGAAAGTGCATTTAAATGTCAAGTCAATATGAACGGTAGCAAGACGATCAGGGGAGGATACTTATCTCGGACCTAACTACTGAGTACATTTGGACTTTTGGTTCTTTTTTTTTTTCCTTTTTTTAATTTCTTCCGCTTGTGTTTAGAAAGTAGGGGATTGACCTAGCATTGCCCTGACGTTACCATACCTATCCGCACGCTGTTTTCCACTTCATCACACGCAGAGGGATACACGGTGCTTCATTTTATAATTCGTCAATTCATCGTAGGTGCTCGACTTCCCTCATAGGAAGAGTCGAGCTGTCTGCCTCATGCTGCGCTTCTTGGGTCCTTGTGAAGCCGTGCCCCCCAAAGCTCTCGGAAAATACGTTCGGTTAAGTGTGGAACGCGACAGGTTTGTTTCTATCAATCCTCCCTTGCTGAACGCACCGGTTTTCTTCGTCTGATGCGTCGTTCCACATATATACTACACTACATACGCCCACGGCGAGCGCCTCGTCCATGTCTTGCTTAGTAGCTTGACGGATAATCAGGGTAGGGCGTCCCGGGCTACTACGCGACCAAGCGAAAACTACTCAGGCATCTCTGCGCCTTTCGCCAGGGTCAAGGGAGGTCAACAAGTCTCATGTTCTGTCATCACGGTGAAGACAATCTCTCCATATCGGGTTGCTTCGCCTAGGCTGCGGAGCCCCCAATGCAGATGTCATGGACCTGCTTTATGATCAGTACTGTGAATGTTTGCCCCGGTGCCTAGACAGCATGGTTCAGGGATGTCTTCTGTCTCTAGAAGAAAACGAATCCCTGATCCGGCTGAACAGTCCGCCGCCGCCGCCGCCATCGCGACTCCTGTCGCTGTGTTGTGATCGACGTCCCGAGGGCGACGAGCTCCTATCTCTTCGCGACGGGTTTGCTTGTACCTGAGGGGGCGAATCCGAGTTTCGGCGGGATGGGTTTCGCCAACTTGACGATGACGAAGTCGCTGCTTCGTCGCGAATGCTTGCCAGACGTTCTGAGCCACGCTGGCGCAGGTTCGACCGCCGTATTTCCGACTCGCTAGGTCTGGACGATGAAGGGATCGGAGGGGGAGCGGGCTGAGGAGTTGCTGGCGTGGCACCCAGGTGGCCAGCTGCGTCGCCCTCGATGGGCGCTCGGCAGATGGGGCAAGTGTTGTGTTCTTTAAGCCATAGGACAACACACTCATCGTGAAACCAGTGCTTACATGGCAGCACCACGGCTTCGTCGCCCAGCTTCATCTCGTCAATGCAGATGGTACATTCGCCCTTCAGCTCCGGGCCGAGCATCTGCTCATCAAGTTTCTTTCGTGGCAGCTTGGCTATGGTTTCCTCCGATGCAGGCGGCGGGGCGTTCGACGAGGGGTTCTGCTCCATGAGTTGCGAGATGATTCGATCCAGCCCTTCTTGCGAGTAGACAGCGTCGCCATGAACAGCCCCGGGACCTAACATCTGAGCAAACAGTTGCTGGAGAAGCATTCCCAGTGGAGCATTGGGTGGTGCACCCTGGTCGCTAGGTCCAGCTTCACCGGCATGGCCGTGAAGGCCGCCTCGACCCACCGGAGGCGGACCCATCTGACCGAGAAGATCGCCAAAAATACTGAAAGCTGGATTAGCATCTAGTCCTAGAAATACAGGGAATACACGTGGCTGACATACGATTGGAAGTTGTCACCGCCACCGATCTGGTTGCCGCTTCTGATAGTTGTCCGAACGGAGCCATCGCTGCCAGTGCCGTAGAAGGTAGTTACTTGACCGCCAAATCCAGGGCCGGAGAAACGCGTGAAACTAACACGCTGTGGTCCGGCATTTTCGCTTCGGGAAAAGAGTTGGTCTGGACCCGACCGCCCAACAACGCGCTGGCCTCCAATATCTCCTAGCAACTCGGTGAATCTGCTGATGATTTCGTCGGCCTCGCCAGGATTTGCCCGTAAACGATTGCCGTCAGCCGGGCCCTCTGGATTTCGGAAAACCATTCGCCGCCCGTAGAACCCGCCGGGGCCGCCCATCAGGTGCTCCTCAATGTCGTCTTCGTCGGGATCCGAGTCACTATCATGGACGTGATGAGGATGATCATGGCCAAAGCCCGGATCATGACCTGTCAGGTCGCGGGGATCATTGCCAGGTGTGATCTGCGTCGTTAGTCAGGAAAAGATGTTCCATGTGAGAAACCCGGGGGCACTTACAATCTCGGTGGCTTCGCTCTCGCACTCGGGTCTGGGGCAGATCAGGCCATGTCTATCCCGATACCACTCATGGCCGCAGGCATGGCAGTAGACCACCTCGCGATCGCCAGTGGCGTCGAGGTGGCCGTATTCGGATTCTTCGCCCGAGTCCATCTGACGCTGCCTCTGTTCTCGGTTTCCGAGAAGCGCGGCCAGTCCCAGGCCAAGTGCTAGGCCGCCGAGTGATAGCGCGCGGTAAGCCAGTCTGACGAATTTCGCTTGGCGGAGTCTGAGTAGACTATCTGTTGCTCTCCTCGGCCGACTTGTCGGTCGGTTGGCAGTAGCCAGGGAGTTTGGCGCGCAGAACCAACCTGATCTGGACGAGTGTCGACGTAATGGGGTATTACGAGCCCGGGTGTCTCCAATGACTCATCTGTGAGCAAATATGGTTGAGCGTAGGGGAAATGGCGGCGACGCGATGCTGGGAGGAGGGCAGGTATTAGGCCCGGTGGCTCGACAAAGGTTCTCGGTTGATACCCGCAGGTTAGACGTGGAAATGCAGAGAAGGGGAGGTGCGGAAGTTGCAACGGCGGCGGTGCAGCCTGCCGCAAGCCGGTGGGACAAAGGACCCAACAAGGCTGACTGCAAGAGGTGGTGGTAGTGCTGCTGCTGGTGCTGCTGGTGCTGCAGGCTTCTTCGGTGTGACTACGGAATCGGGCCCTTTGAACCGTTGCTTGGGTGCTGGAAAGCGTTGACGTGAGCCTGGGGAACTAGTCAGCTGCTCTGTAGCCCGAGCCTCGGAGTCTCTAGGTGGCATATGTGTAGGCAGCAAGGAAAGTTTGTTGCGTAAGGATGGCGGCCCTCTGGTGTTGTAGGCATGTAATGTATTGTCCGGTTGTGAATGTATATGTGTATGTGTGCGCGTGTGGATTGGATGTGGTGGGAGGAGGAGGTGGGAGCTCTCGTTTGCCTACCCCAGGTACCGTACCTTTTGAGTTGGGCTTCTGAGTCGGAGCAACAAGGCCTGTTTGTACAAGGCAGGCTCCCTGTATGCAGTCGCTAGAAAGTGTGCGTCAGCAGGGGCCGATCCTGCTGGCAGAGATGCAGCATTCAATGAAGATCAAGAACTGAAGAGAGAAGGGAAGCCGACTGCTGAGTCGATGATGGTCGAGCTTCGGCAGCCCGGGGCGCTATCGATAGTTGTGAAGATAACCCGGCGCCCCATAAGTTAACTCGATGCAGGGTCGCGAGATGGGACTTACGTCAAGGTCAAGGGTGTGTAAGTGATAATAAGTGAGAGAACAAGGGACGGGCTTCTGTGGCCGGAGCAAGCGTGTGGGGGATGCGTGGCTCACTAGTCCCCTTTCTTGGGGGAAACAAAGAGCAAAAGGAAATGCTGCTGTTCAAAAAGAGAGAAGGAGTCACGAAGGGTCATGGTCAGGTGGAATCTGTGAATCGGTGAATCACGGTATTGCATTTCACCGCGGCTCAACCTGGCCACTTCGCCCATGACCATAGTTAAGTCAATTGTCGGTACCTGGCTTGCTGGCGTGAGACCTGCTCAGCTGCTGGCCGCCCCCCAGCTGACCTGAGGTGCGCTGGAGGAAGTATTCCGCTGCTTTCGTCATGCTTCTGTGTCCCAGTCCCAGACAGGGGGGCCCGCGGGGCAAGCAGCCAAGTTAATCGCAAGGGCCCTAGCAGGCCTAGGTAGCTATTTCTTTGCCCCCAATTTCAAACTAGCAAACGAACTAGCACCGTCTAGACTACCTATGCACCGCCACACGAAGAGAAACGTGGAAGAAACAGAAACGGGCACGGCGAGACCAACCTGGCTGTGGCGCTGGATTAACGTGCCGAGAAGAGAAGCCGCGCTCTCCATACGCCTGGCGTCATATCGTACTGTGTACGGGGATTATTGCCCATCTATCGGACGACCCAGAGAGGAGTATGAAAAAGCCTTCGGTGGTGTCTTGCGCTGGTTCTTCCATCTTTGGTCTACGATCTCATCCGTAAAGAGAAACACGTATGAAATGTGGCCCAAGGCCAATGAATACACTGACTTGGTCAGATACCCAGGTAAGAAGCGCCTGGGGAAAATGATGAACAAGCTTTCCGTGTATGTGTATATATAAATTATATATGTACCATGTTGTAGAGTACAATCCAAAACGAGGAGATTTGCCATCCGTAACCGCCGTTGAACGCCTGTCGTCGATTTGCGACGACTCATAAGACCCTGATCCCCTCCTGTCCTTCTACCCGTGCCGTCTCGCTCCTCTTCGCCGGCTATCTCCTCTTGCCTCTGAACAGGATGCCGCCGACCACGCCGGCCGCGATGGCGACGCCGCTGATGATGGCGACGCCCATCAGCCCCTCCTTGGCGACCTTGTCGTCGATCAGCCGCCTCAGGTCCGCCGCCTGGAGGTTCATGGGCTCCTTGTCCAGCAGCAGGTCGTTGTACCGCCTCGCGTCGCCGTAGTTGCCCAGCTTGTAGTTGCCCAGCGCCAGGTAGTAGAGGCACTCGCGGCGGCGCTCGGGGGAGACGCGGAAGATGTCCGAGAGCAGGTGCACGCCTGTCTGCTGGTCCCTGCGGGCGTCCGACTTGACGAGGCCCTGCACGTGTGTCGCTTGTGGTCAGCCACCATGTTCGAGCCAGGCCGTAACTGAAGACGGAGGGGGGGGCGAAAGACTTACCCAGGCGTAGTTGAATTTGGTCTGCACGCCGACCATGTCACCCTCCTTCTCGTACTGTGCCCTCAGAACCTGGAGCTCCGAGGCCTTGAGCGGTGTTTCCGCATCCACGGCGTCTGGAACAGAGATCGGGTCAGCTGGCATGACTTGCGCCGAGCCGGAGCCGAGGAAGACGGGGGGCCACTTACGAGGTAAAGACGTCATGTTGGCCTGTGTTGATTGCCGGTCTGTATCGAGTTGCTGGGGAAGAAAGGCGCGGTGGCTCTGAAAAGATCAGAAGTGTGGTAGGTATTGGGAGGAAAAGTAGTCGGCACTTTGTCGTGACCAAGAGTTTCCACAGTCAAGTTTCTAGCTGGTTGACCCGTGGTGGAGTTGGACGCAGTGCTGTCGCATGGGTACCTAGGTCACTGTGGCGGGAGCTGTCAGTGGATCTGACCTGCGGGTCGCCCAGCGGCCAGACGCTCTCTTCTCCCTGTGGCTTCGTGCCGCGGGCGCGGTTGGCAGGCGACTTGCTTATGACGCACCTCGCACGCTAGAATAGCGAGCGAGCGAGCCGAGCACAGGGGACCGATAAGCCGATAAGCCCTCGATAATCGTCCCGGGTGATGGGCGACCAGCATCTTGTTGTGTACTTACCCAATCGGGCCTAGCGCATCGAGGCGCGAATCGCTGCATATCAACCAAGCGTGCGAAGGTGAGGCTAATAAGTTCATTTGGGCGTGGATTTTGGCCCTGAAGTTCAAAGTCAACCATCGACGACAACCACAACGACAGGCGAACAGCCGCAGAAGCCTCAACCCTCTTCTAGCAGACCACCCGACCAGAAGCAGCAAGGGCGCCTGATCCAACATACGACCGCGACCATGATCCTCGAAGAAGATCCCGCCGCCGTACGCCGCCCCTCCCTCTCCTCGCGCGGCCGTCCTGGTTGCTTTCCGACATACTGACAGTTCCCAGCTGATCCGGCACACGATCCACAACTTCAACATCGCGCCGGACCGCAACGCCGTGTCGCGCGTGCAGGACTCGCTGAGCACGCTGCAGTCGGCGCGCGACCTGCGGCTGGGCGAGTCGGCGGCCCAGCTCAAGAAGCTGACGCGCACGCTGGCGACGCTGTCGGCGCAGCACGACGAGCTGGTGGGCGCGCACTCGTCCACGGCGCACGCCTCCGAGATCGCCCGCCTCGACACGCAGAAGTTCCGCACCGCCAAGGCCTGCTCCGACCTCGAGATGGAGGGCGAGCGCCTCGCCGGCACCGCCGCCGACCTGGCCGCCCGCCTGGCCGAGCTCGAGGCCCAGGGCGTCGAGGGTGACGCCGCCGACGCCGCCCGCCGCAAGGACCCCGTCGAGGACGAGGTCCTGCTGCGCCTCAAGGTCTACCGCAGCCTCGGCATCGACATCGAGCGCGACGCCAAGGACGGCGGCAACGGCGAGTTCACCCGCGCCGTCGTCCGCAACGATCGGAAGGGCGATGTGCACGTCGTCAACATGGACAAGAACTTCTCGCGCTTCTTCTACGCCAACTATTTCTGGAGTTCCATGGGGGATTGAGGAGCCGAGGGCCTCCCCCTCCCGATGAAGGCCACGGGCAAAGTTACGACACCGACTTGTTGACCGGGATTTTGTCTGTTGTGGTCTACGATTGTTATGATGGTTACATGGAACGGCGTCAGGAGTTGGATTACCACATGATACCTGGAGCATTTGAATAATTTGATTCATCGTTGAGTATGTCTGCTCACTTAGTTCACTCTACACCAATTCTAGCGCCTTGGATCGTAATATCGTGAAACTCCCAAGCCAGAAGCCGGCATCGAGCCCCTCAAACGGACTTCCAGAATCAGTCCTGATCAGTGGTAACCGACCTACCATGTTCCAACAATCCCATACAGACGCCCAATGCGTCATTATAACCCTTTAACGCCAAGACCATTTACACGACGGCTTCCTATGTGCCCACCAGCCAGTTCATACGGGCTTCCGTATCGGACATTGCCATCCCGCCCCGAGTTTGGGTCCCTTACAACATTCCTGCGGCAGGCCGAGCTTTTCTATACCCCAATAGTCCCACCCAGTCGTAAAAGTCATCAGTCGTTATTTGCCGGCGCCGGGCATGTAAAACGAACAGGAAGATCGACTTGATTCAGACTCCCAAGATTTTAGCCGCATTTTGTCACACTATCCAGATAGAGGTGAACTCGCAACTTTTCCCAGATACTCCTGGTTATGATTTATTTCGACCCGACTTGCTGCAGCATCCTATGTGGCGATCTTTCTAGGCTGCGTGGAGGTGAATGGGGGAAAATAAGACCCTTGGTCCACGTTGGTGAAAGGCTCGACTTTGGCACGCGAGGGCGTCCTACTTCTGGGGCTATGTGAATTCGACCCTATTGCCAGTGTGACTCTCTCGGGGCTATGGGGATTGGACCTCGCGCCGGACGCGTTGCTAGATCCAACACGGCAAGCTCCGGCTGGCGCGCCGGAATGTGTTTGCGAGCGGTAGTGATGGCGGTGATGGTCGGGCACCTCAAAGCGGGAATTCAGACTCTCCCAGGCCTTCTCGTCGGCCGCGTTCCTGCCGTCCTGTAATCTCCAGCCCCCGAGACCCTCATAGTCCCTGTCCAGGGCACTGCTTGTCGTCAACAGTTGCCCGCCGTAATGCCCGCTGGCTATTGCTCCGTTGCTTCCAATGCTTGCAGTACGCCTCCGCAGCCTGTAGCTTTTCGGTGACAAGGCTTCCGGGGATAGCGGAGGTGACATGGTTGGTGAAGTCGGTCTACTAGACCGTCGACTTTCCGAAGGCGATGGTACAAAGTGTCGTGGCCGGCCATGGCCCAAGAAAACGTAGCGCAATGTTTCCAGGAGCACTGCGAAGTTGGCCCATATCAACTGCAGCCACAAGACGAAGAAGGCGAGTATCGAGGTAAAAGCAGCAAATATGGCAAAAGGAAGGGCCGCAAGCACCGCGAAGGGTAACAAGAGAACCAGAACGAGATTGGGAAGCGCCATTGGAATGCTGATGCAGCAGGATGCAGTCCTCAACGTGGTGCTACGAATTATGTTCAAATGTAGAGCCCGCGCGATGGGGTCCAGCGTTGAGGGAAGATGGAGAGAGGAGATGTGACAGCCACTCTAGAGCGTCTGTGATTCATTCCATGATAACAGCACCAGATTGTTTCCAAAGTGAGACTTGGGTCAAGGTCAACCCGTATCCAGACGAAAAAGCGACGACACACGCTGCTGATGATAAATTGAGAAAGATAAGATCGAGATCAGCGACAGTCTCTAGCTCGCACGTCAAAGTCGTACAGGGAAGCAGAGATGGTGTGATGGTGGTGCCAGAAATCGGGGAAGATAGACGGATGGCACAGGTTGATGGTTTCCTGAAATCCCGAGCGGTCCTGAACGAACTCGAGGCTAATGCATGGCGATTGCTCCCCAGAAACGCAAGCTCAGTGGAGGCGACGGCCTCGAACGCATGTGCGACGTGGTAGTACTGTGCAGTAGGGGTTGAGTGGTGAAGGACAAGTAAGCTTCCCGAAGAACCCCAGCGCCCCTCCTCGGCATAAGATGGCTGTCGAGAGTGTGTGGAAGTGAGGACGACGAGACCCGTGGCACGGTCAAGGGCAGGTGGGCAGGCAGCTTTCACATGCCTGAGAGCCGGCGTTAGAGTTCGCGCACGTCTGCCACCGGCCGCCACCATCGATTGCCCCTAAGCCCGGAAGGGCCCAGTGAAAAGCTGGGGAGTCTCACCCATCATGCAGCTAATAGGCGGGGAACACCTTGGTTGGTCCCCTAGCAGGTCCGAGGTGCCTGGGCCCTGGTGATCCGGATCCTAAGGCTGAGATGCGCAGTACTGTAAGCACCTAGCCATAGCCAGAGAAACAAGCCTGTGACATCTGTACCTTAGCTTCCTAGGTCTGTAATCTAACCGCCATGGCCCTGAGGTAGTGCCTCATTGTTGCCACAGCAAGCAACTGTGTCATTAGCTGCATCTCTAGCTGCCAGGGTGGACTGCCACCGACAGAGTGGAATTAGGCCAAGGTTCTGGGCCAGGAGGTTCAACTGAATGCCATATGTCGAATGACGTCCCTCGTACTTATAATAGAAAATAGGGGCTCGTTGAATCCGTAACTAAAGATGGGGACGCTGAGTAGGTAGCGAGAAGCAGCTGTGTTCTTCAGAGACGCGCCATGTCGATTGTCTGAGCAACGACCTTTACCCCCGACGTTCAACTTGGTGGTGATGCCAGAGAAGAGGGGAGTAATGACTTTAGTAACTAGACGACTGGCTTCGTGGCCCGCAACGTATTGCGTATGGCAGAGCTTCTGTGGGGCAGTTCCGGCAATGACGAAAGCTGGACCCCAATTTTTAGTAAGGCGGGTCCCTGACACTTGAACTCCTCGTGATATAATCAAGAATGGCTGACCATTGATTCATCTGTACGACGAGCTGTGGGCCAGGGCTGCAATAAATTCAGAAATACTAACCGTCATTCGAATAGAGGTTCCATTTACTTTCTCTTGAACTTGACAGGTAGTCACAGGTAAGATGCCCATAATTTCACACACGCTCAACCCACGTGTTCCAGGCACTCGAGCGCCCGTGAGATATGTTGATGAGTCCGGACTGCCTAGTTCGAATCTCTGATTGAGACTTGCAGATAATCAGGAATTGAGCAGCTCATCTGAGCCAACCAAGGCGACAAAGCTTTGGCTATCTTCGAGTGTGCTGTTTGCCTGCTTACCACTCGTAGCTCAGTCGAATGCCTTGCGCCATATCCCGGCATAGCACGGATTCACTAGAACTGGTTAAAGTAACGCTTAGACATCACTGAACCATATAATCTGGAGTTTGAGGACCCCTGAATTACCGAGGCCGAGGAGCGAGCTTGGGTAAGCAGCTTCGAGAAGATCGAGGAAGCATCGGAGGAAGCATCGAGGTGGCCGCAGAGCGGTAGTGCTCAGCCAGTGAAGTACAAGCTTTACTCGGGTATGCAACAGCTCGAAATGTGCCAGCAGCACGAGCATGGGACCCTATCAGGGGCACGAGAGACACGACTGGCTGCTGACACCACGCAATCTCGAGAACCGTTCCCCTGGGATGTGGGCGTCTTTGACGCCCACTGTCACCCGACAGACACCCTGGGGTCCGTGTCGTCGATTTCCCGAATGAAAGCCCGGGCCCTGACGGTCATGTCCACCCGATCCCAGGACCAACACCTGGTTGTCGATGTGGCATCGGAACAAGGGGTGACAGGGAGCAAGGCCCTTTACTCGTCGGGTCAGGAAGATTCAGGGCGGCGCATCATCCCATCTTTCGGGTGGCATCCATGGTTCTCCTACCAGATATATGATGATACCGCTCCGAACCCGACATACGACGGAACACCAGAGGGCAAGGTGGCCCACTATGACAAAATCCTATCCCCGCCGCCCACGTCGAAAGACGCGTCTTTCAGCAAGGGCCTTCAGGACCCGCGGCCGCTGTCCGAGTTCATTAGCGAGACGCGGGCTCGCCTCGAGAAGCACCCTCTCGCGCTGGTCGGCGAGATCGGCCTGGACAAGGCCTTCCGCATCCCGGACAGCTGGACCAAGTCGGCCGAGGTGCAGCGGGACGAGGAGCTGACACCCGGTGGGCGCGAGGGCCGGCGCCTGAGCCCGCACCGGGTCAACCTGGACCACCAGACGGCGGTTCTCAAGGCGCAGCTGCGTCTGGCGGGCGAGATGCGGCGCGCCGTCAGCGTCCACGGCGTCCAGGTGCACGGCGGCGTGTACAACGCGCTCGCGGACTGCTGGCGGGGCCACGAGAAGGAGGTGCTGTCGCGGCGCGAGCAGCGGAAGGTGGCCAAAAACGCCAAGGACTTTTCGTCCGACGACGAGGACGACAGCGGCATCGCCGGTGGCCAAGAAGAATTGAGGCCATTGCCCTTCCCTCCGCGGATATGCCTCCACTCCTATAGCGGGCCGCTCAACATCCTGAATCAGTATACGCACAAGTCGGTACCGGCCAAGGTGTTCTTTTCCTTCTCGACAGCTATCAACTGGGACCCCGAGGGGGGCGACAAGAACAAGAAAACCGAGGAGGTGATACGCGGGTGCCCGGACGACAGGATCTTGGTTGAGAGCGACCTTCACACGGCTGGGGACCAGATGGACCAGGCTCTGGAGGACATCTGCCGGAAGGTATGCGATGTCAAAGGGTGGGAGTTGCGAAAAGGGGTCGAGCAGCTCGGCCGCAACTACAGACAGTTCATCTTTGATGAATAACCTAATATACAAACCATCATGGGTAAAGTCAATGCCATACACCTCGATGCTCGTATGTGCATGGCAAATCGGTGGGGGTTTGTAGTATAGACGGCATCCTTTACCACGCCGAACCCCTATTTCATCATGTGGACACCTGCAACCAAGAGCATAGTATCCATAGAGCCAATGAAGCCGTTACCTGTAGGGTCGGGCAAAGAGGTTGATTGCACATCAGTTGAGGCTGAACCGCAAATTTGTTTCAGGCCTGTTTGGTCTATTTCTTTTTCAGTGCCACGAAGCAATCAAGACTATCTGGCTAGCTTATCTACTCGACGTAGAATCTATTCAGCGGCTGCATCAGCTGAGTGCGGTCAACAAACCCCGGCCGCAAATAGAGAAAGCAAAGAGGTATCATCGCATGCAAGGGCAGTCCTGTCTTCATCAAATTCCTTCCTGGGCAAAATCTTTTGCCCGTTAATCATGCCTTGAACGCCGTTCCCCTCCTTTATTATGTTGTATGCAGGTGGCATCAACCCAAAGGTACATGCTGATATGCATCGCTCTGTAGATGTTCCTTCCCGTATCATTCGTGTAGAAGCAGCCCACATATGACTTGATTCGGTATATGTGCAATTAAGGGGAATGTGTTGTGCCACCCCTCAAATGAAGTCACTTTCGATTCCTTCGTCGAAATCTGGTCCACCACCAAGGGGACTTTTGCGGGGGCGGCCCCGAGCATTTGATCTCGAATTTGAGCGCGCGCGCTTCTTCCTGCCTCCCGGTGTGTTGGCAGCTTTTCTCTTACGGCCTCGTGGATCTGAATTGGGAGCGTCTTCGTCGTCTTCTACGTCGGCCTCGGGCGTCCGTGGCTCTCCGTCTGCATCTTCGTCTTCCTCGTTCGCGACCTTTACCTCGCTGTCAACATTGAGAAGCTCGATGAACGATCTGCAGGTCTCCACCATGCGTTCTCGGGATTCCAATCCCGTCATTATATGGTCGATGTCGTCCCAAAACTTTTCGCCGGTGACGCCGGGCGCCCTGGTTGGGGCTTTGTCTTTGCTAGTATCTTTTACCGCAGTCTTGGCCTTACTCTCACGATTGACTTTCAGGGTGTACAAACGTCTCATGAACGTTCGGGCTTCCCAGAGGGCAAGAAGAATCATAGCACTCGAAGTAAGCTGACGTAGTCGCTTTGCATCGACTTGAGGTTCGACGGGGGCGGCTGACTCGGTGTCCCCATTCTCTGCTTGCTGCAAGCCCAAGACTGTGTCGACGCGCACCTGGAAGACCTCAGATTCGATTGACTGGGCAATACCAGAGCCAGCACTTGTGACAAGCTTTTCCATATTGGTAACCAGATATTGTAGCTCATCGACATTGGCGAACTCGAAGAAAGCCATATTTTCAATTAAGAACCGTGAGAACTCCACGTGTTGCGGCACTGTCATGCTGACATCCAGGGTTGAAGGATCAAACTCCACCTGACTTATCAACTTGTCAAAGAAACGTTTTCTGTTCTTGGATTTACTGATTTTGAGGACTTCAATGAGAAGATGAAGCTTCGATGTGAAAGGACTTGTTGTCGCGCCGCGAGGGTCTTTACAGACGTCCCGCTGGTACTGGTAGGCTGATTGAACTGCCTTGGCATACTCCCGTTCAAGGACTGTCTCATGCTTGTTGTGCAATGCACGGTGTTCATGATACGCGAGTTCGGATATCCTGCTGACGGGGCTCGTCTCAAGGGTCATAAACGTGATGCCAGTCTCCTTGGGATGGACCAGACCTTGTCGGTTGATACTGGCCAATACCTCCGTCGCTAAAAACCCATACTCATCATGCGATGTCAAGGTGATCCGTGTGATGTCTTTGAGAAATCTCTGTGTGGTAGCACTCGCCACATCATCAAAGCTAGTCGATGCCATGACCTTGAGATCTTTCTTGCCAGCGTCCTTGTTGTCCTTTGCAGATGCAGCCGCTTGTTCTGAGCGTTGCTCTTCTGTGAACAAGAACTCTTTGAAAGAACGCAGCACCATCGATTCTAGAACCGGATTCTGCTCGTCGAAGGCCTGCTGGAAGATGGTATAGACGTTTGGAGCAACAAAATTCCTGGGATTAGATTGACACACAAGACCGATAGCATCGAGTGCTGACTTTCGAACGTCTGCTGGTTGTGAAGAAGTGGCGAAAGGCGCAAGGACATCTACCATCAGTTTCGATACAGATCCGCCTGACCATTTGGCAAAGCTTGTCTTGAAGATTGCTTCATGGCTGTCCAGGTTACAATGCTTGCCGGCCATGCCGACAATAAGCGAGTACCGGTCGAATTGTCGCGTTCTCTGTTGGTCGAGCGGACCTTTGGCGGACAATGCTCTGATCTTTTGAATTCCTGCCAGACTGGAAGACACGAGACGAGCCAGATGTTCAGACGTCCCCAGAAGCTCGCTTATAATCCACAAACAAGCAATGACGTCGTCTAAAAGCGCCCTTGTAACTTTGGAGACAGCCGGCATAAGGTCCTTCCGTATGTCTGCAAGGAACTGAGAGTGAACGCTGGATACTTGAGGAAGCACGCGACGATAGATGACAACTACAGCTCTTGAACCAATGAGATCCTCGTTGGATCCCACACTTGATATGCGAGGCTGCAGCATTCGGATCTGCTCGAACGTGAATAGTTTTGGATCGGCTTTGGCAAAGATCATGAGCACCTGCAAAGCGTCTTTGCCAGAAGGGACTGATGGGTCATCAGATTCTGGATTGTGGATCAGGTCGAACATACTTGAGACGAGTCTCGTACAGACTTGCTGATTTGCAGTTGCCAGCTTCGCTTCGGGTGATAAGATTGTCTGGAAGACCTTTTCAAGGATGACAGATGAGTTGCCTTGTTTCACAGTTTGAACCATTAGGGAAACATGGTCAGTGAGGGACTGCTTGTACGCAGTGGATTCATCCGCCTTGTAGAAAGGAAAGATCCAGACCTCCTCGATCATCTGCCGTGCAATGTCGCGGACGCCTTCATCAGGATCTTGCGCGCGGTGAAGAAGACCATTCGAAATAGCGCTTCGCACCTGCTTGCTGCTATTATTCAAGTAGATATCCCTTGCGAGTTTCATTGCTCGCTTACGCACACCAATACCAGAGTCGACGAACCGTTGGATAACTGTAGGCATCATTCTTTCCTCAAGCGCAGGTCGCATGCCGATGCATTTACCTATGAGACTGAGGGCTGAGTCTCGAACTTGAGGTGATAGGTCGTTGGAGCATTGCAGAATCATGTCGATGACAACGCTATCACCATCGAGAATAGACGGATCTGTTTCTAGGACCGAATTGATGCTCTTGAGGCTTCTACTGCGTACCGTGGCAGCATCTGTAGTCATAGATTGCATCAGGATATTGAGGATCCCCTTGAAGGAATCGCAGAAGGGTGAACGGAGAAGTATGATGGCATGGGACAGCCTTGCGTGGTTTGCAACGACTGACTTGAAGCTGTACTCAGTGGTAAGCCACCTGCGATCGTCCACCATGTTGCGAAGTCTGTAAGCAATCCTGCCGTATTCAGAGTTGATGTCATCTGCTTCTTCCTGTTGACCTTCGGTGTAAGCACTGCACAGCCATACAGCCCAATCGGTGACCAGATATGATATCGCACTCCTGAGATGGGGATCTTCTTTGACTCGGTCTTCGAGGTATTCGAGGACGACGCGATAAGGCCCAAGCCAACTGGTCATCTTTTCGGCTGAGAATCTGCGCTCGAGGACCATGGCAGTGAGATCCGCAAGCCAACGACCTAGATCATCGGCATCGCTACCCTCGAAGCTGTTGGCGACCTTCCGTACATGAGACCGAAGTCGGGAGATTGCAGCAGCCATATTGCCGAGGAGCTCGAGGGCCATATTCTTTGCCGGTACAGATGTCTTTTCGCCTTTGAGGAGCTCCAACATCATGGACATTGTTATTCGAAGCAGAAGTTCCGCGGCTGGCCAGTCGGGCGAATCCAGACATATGTTAAAGTCTTCAACAAAATTGTCTAGCAAATTGCGGTATGGTGTATCACCAGTCTTGGTAGACTTCTGCGCGCGCTTCACGAGGAAGTTGATGACGTATGACCCATTCCTCTTGGCATTGTCAAATAGAGGATTCGACAAAGCGTCAAGCTCCTGGACAGCGGTCAAATGCTGCATAGCCGCGTAATCGTCCGTTTTGACAGTATAAATCTGATCTGCGAGCTTTCCGGCATCATTGGACAGTACTTCTTCACCCTGGTCCGCTTCGGCGAGTGTCTGCATGATACGTCCGCTGCTTCCTGCTCTTGGATCGTCGACTTTGCCGGCACTGGCTTGTATCAACCGCATGATAAGTGCAGACACAGGCTGGATGCTCCCACCGTCGGAAAGCTTGAATTGACGGGTGCTTTGCTTTGCCTTTGGAAGTTTCTCGAGGGACGTTAGGATATCAGTGAGGATACCTTGTCTCTGCGACGGGTTCATCAGGAAGATCTGGCATAGCATATCCATTGCAACTAGACGTAGCCCATCAAACTTCTGGACTCCCACGACCGAATCTCGTTCAGTAGACGCGTTCTCAACGAATATCAGTTGGGATGACGCGACCTCCAAGCTATTGACCACCTCCTCTGAGAGGTCAACGGTAGTAATCAAAGACGTCATGAGAGCAAACAGCTTCTGGCAAGCCATGAAAATTGTGCTGATGGACTTCTTTTGCGTCGCTAGACGTGTGAACAGGCTGCCCTGTGAGCCACGCATCTCAGCTAGCGGAATGATGACACCATCCAAGACTGATCGGAAGAGACCCAGTCCCCGTTGGATCAAACCTTCTGAATAGAGCTGTTTCTCTTCTCGTCCGCCAGTCATGATGACAAGAGCTAGACGCGCAGCTTTGAGACCGGCCTCGATGTCTGGAAGCTGCTGCAACCACATATCGACTTCGACTTGGCCCCAAGATTCGTCAACTCTGAGCTCGAGTGAATCGGCATGCTTCAGAGCAGGGTCACACAAGGTCTGAATGTCCAGCAAGTCTTCGATGGGCACCAACCTAAAGCATCCAAGCTCGAGCGTTCTAGCGACCAACTTGTGAACCCTGTTATAGGCAAGAACCGTCATGGTAGGCTCTTCGTCGTTGGTCAAGGCGATCCACGAATTGGCACTTCTCCCATGGCATGCCAGATTCCTGGCTTCGAAGATTTCTTGTAGGCATCTCTCCAGTTCTCGGTTGGCTGCATTTGCACGATCTCGATTGTTCAGGCCGCCGTCCATGAGATCTTCATTGTCAAGCTCGGAACGTTTTCGCTTTTTCGAAAAATCAGCGGGCGCTGCTGGTGTATCATCCACTACCATGAACTCAGATTTGTTGAAGGTAGCGGCCGGTAACTCGATAGTGATAGCACCCGTGGACTGAGATTGCAGTTTACTATCTACCGGCGTAGGACGCCTAGGAGGCGCCTCGGGAACAAACTGGGGAGCAGCTTGAGAGACGAGACGTGAGCTCTCACTCGGCTCCGCTTTGGGGGGCAGGTGATGGGCCACCTCCGGAGCTGCCTGCACCGTGGCTTGCTGGGCGGGGGCGGATTCGGACTTCACAGCTGCAGGCGCCTGAGGAGCCAGCATGAGATCTGACGGCGAGATGGTCTGTGGCTGCGTTGAAGCGGGCGGCGCGGACAGAGCTTGCTCTGGATCTGGCTTGGGTGAGCTGTAGAGAGAGGCAGCGGCGCTGAGCTCCCTTTGGGACGGCAGGTGAATCTTGATGCGAGACCTGTTCTTAGCGACGGCCTGAGCATTCAGCGAGGCCGGGTTGTGCTTAACTACCTTTGGCGGCTCAACCTTCCGGGACTTGGGCGATCGCTTTATTGTCTTGGGCGACATGGCTTGACCATTGATGGCAGCAGGCGTTTGAGCTTGGGGTGTATCAGGCTGAGGATATCGAAAGCTGATACTGGTGCTGTCGTAGACCATGCGGGCGAAAGGTGACAGGCCATTGGCCAAACTCTTGGCCGGTTTGTTACTCGTTGCCGTCACTTGGGGGGCGGTCTTGAACTGGCTGTGGTGGAGGTCAATATGGGATCCAAGTGGCGGTCATGGAACGTGCAAAGGTCCAGACAATCAGACGCCCATCCGAAGGCGCTGGGCAGAGGTAACAATCCTAAATTCTAGGAGACTCACAACTCGGTAATCTTTTCGCGCTTTAGTAGATTCTGCACATATTCCAGACTGGCCTCGAGGCGTTTCGAATGGGTTGAATTCTCAGCTTCTTGATTCAAGGCATCGTATTCCTTGTGAGAAACAATGCCCATAACAGACGGCGCTAGCTGGCCAGAGCCGATGGTAGGATTGTTGATAATGTCTGGATGAGAACGAGCGTTAGAGCCGATCCGCAACGAATCGAACCGAGGGAGAAGGATGGCGCAGGCAAAGAAATATCACAGCTGCGGGAGGAGAGGGTTTGCGAATCGAGGATTGGAATTGGGAGTCGGGCTGGCAAGTCTCGCAGGGAAGGCGCGCGATGGCATGGTCGGAAGAGATCGCACTTACCGGACTCGAATGGAAACACGGTTGTGAACGGGGTGTAGGGCAGCGCTTCGTCCAGAGTGAAGGGCCTCGGATGATTTGCATCGCGCCCTTGGTCAAGCATCGGGCTTGGTGCCGGAGCTTGACTCTGGATGGGCTGGAATTGGAACTGCGGTTGTTGCAGAGCACTCGGGTCGATGTACTGGGACTGCTCGTAATGGGGTGCGAAGCCATTCGGGCTGCCCGTTCGTGGATCGGCCATTCTGCTGTAGGTATCGACGGAACCTCAGCTAGGTTCCGCTGCCTATATCCCAAGCTACTTCGCTACAGTGGTCACCCAGTGCATCGCAGTCAACCCTGTCCTCCTTCTGATGGTGCGGAGGCACGTCGCTGTGTGCCATGCGCGTCGGCGGAATGATCGTGAGGCCGGGGCTTATGAGGAATGCATCGTGCGGGTCTAGACCGGCAAAAGGGTGCGGAACAGCCTGAGCTCGGGGGTCCACTGTGCAGTCGAGGACACGTCAAGGTATTTTAGACACTGGCCGTCGACAGATTGCTGGGCCTGAGCGGGAGTGGGAAAACTGTGGCTCAAGGGATGTGCAGTTGCAATCGCGACATGCAGCCAGGGAAGTTGCGACAGCCTTGCGCTAAGCTCCAGGCGGATGGCCAGCGACAGTTGGCCGGGCTCGAATGAGAAGCCGCCCTCTGCCCGCTGCTCGCGACCCCCCCGGCTCCTGGCTCCTGGCTCCTGGCTCCGGGCCTCCTGTGCTCTAGTGGCCCTTGGGTGGACAGGGAATAAGCTATGGTCTGTGCACGGCATGTCGGCGTTTCCTCAGCGCCCACGCCGACGACCAGCAGGCAGGTGGCAGGGGTCCGAAGCTGGGGCGGCATTCCAAAACTTTTTTTTTCCTTTGGTTGATGGCCGATGGCCGATTTGCGACAAACATCTTGACAGCCCCAGCACATTGGCTACTCCCTGACCACCAGCGACACAATTCCAGCTACTCGCTCCGTCCCAAGACTACGCCTCCAGCCGGCCCCAGTCACAATGACTTCAATCGGCTCCCTGGTCTTCTGCACCGATTGCGGCAACCTCTTGCCTGCTTCCAAGGGCAACGAGAAGAATATCCTCAAGTGCGAGTGCTGTGGTGCTGAGAACCAAGGTCAGTCAGCCATGTTGGCTTGACGCCCAGCCGCGTGGCCTGACTCCGGTAGAGTATATCCCATGACTGACTCCTGCAGATTCGAAATTCAAATCCATCGTTACAAAAAGCAAACCTTCCGATTTCCCTTCGCTGCTTCGCCAGAAGCTATCGACTGTCCAGACTGTGGAACGACACAAGGTCCAAACCGAAGCTTTGATCGCCGAAACTTGTGAGAAGTGCGGCCGTACAGAAGTCAGGTTTTCCAGTGTTCAGCTGCGTAGTGCCGATGAAGGCGCTACAAACTTCTACACGTGCGACTGCGGTCACAAGTATGTCACGTTCCTCGCAGAGACCTTACCCTTCGCTAATCATATATGGCAGGTGGAGCGCAAACAACTGAGATGCCTACAAGCTATACCACGCGAGCATACGAATCCTCCGACCGGGTTGCAGTCCCAAACATGGTCGACGATATCTATTCTTGGTCTACTATCTTACAGCCTTCCAGCCGTTCATGCCGCCGCTGTCGTCTCAGCCTTGGCTGACTCGGGAATCAGAGCATACTCAGCCTGCCCACTTTGCTCATAGTCCACCATATCCAGAGCCACGATCACACTCTCACGAACCACCTTCTCCTTGTCGTTGAGGAAGCGCTTCAGTATATCCTCCACGCCTTCTTCTTCGCCAAGACTGCCCAACGCCTCGGCGGCTTCGTGTCGCACCATGCTGGCTTCCTTGGTATCGCTCAGCGCGGCAGTCAGAGCAGGTATCGACGCGGGATGCGACAGCTGACCGAAGACAAAGGCAATCTCGTGGCGGAATAGAGCAGACGAATCGGCGAAACCCTTGGCAAGAGCGTGAACCGCAGGGACGGCTGTGGGGAGGTCCGGGGGTGAGGCCAGGTCGCGGAGGGCGAACATGGCTCGGTATCGTAGGAAAAGAGGTGCACTTGTGTCCATCAGTGTCTTCTCGAGCTCCTCGACCGTTTGGGACGACTCGGGCATCGATGGCGCGGGGTCTATGGACGCAAAGTCACTGGGGCCTGGTTAGCTAGCAGTCCTATGCAGTAGGGTCGCACTGAAGTAATAGCAACACGCTTAGGACTCACCTCTGGCGCAGCTTCTCCTGCTTTCTTGCCTCCGAGTTCTCCCATTCTATACGATCAATGGCAAGTTCGCAAGTCTCCTTGATCACAACCTCCTCGCCCTCCTTGTCTCTGAATTCCTTCAAAAGCTGCAAGCTGTCAGCGTCGCCGAGCGCACCGAGGGCCTCGGCGGCCTCATGCCGGCACATGGCGTCCTCATGAACATCCGACAGCACGGCTCGCAGCGGCTTGGCGGCCTCTAGGTTGCCCGACTGGCCCAGGCAGTAGGCCAGCTCGTGCTTCAGCAGGGCCGACGGCGAGCTGAAGCCGGCCGCGATGGCATCGATGGCCGCCTGCGACTCGGCGCCGTCCGAGTGCCGCGCCATGTGCTTCAGCGAGAAGAGCGCCCGGAAGCGCAGGGGCAGCGCCGTCGACTCGGAGACGAGGGACTCGCGCAGGCTCTGGACCGTCGCCTTCGAGTCACCCATGTTTGCCGAGGGAATTCGTGTCTATGGCTGGTGTGCGTTCTTCTGCTGTGTCGCTTTACGGAGAAATGGCGCCCGCCGTTTGCTTAGATGAGGCTTCTGAGGTTTTAGGTACGAGGCCAAGGTAGGGAGGGTAAGGTATCGAACCACCGTAGTAGAAGGAATAAGGCGCCTAGGTCTGGCGAGACATGCCTAGCAAATTCCCCCACCAAGGTGCTGCAACTTTTTTTTCTCGGCTGATGGCGGGGCATATCTTATCGGATCTATGGACGATCTGGCTCCAGAATTCTGTGGGACTGAGACACGATAAGCCAATGAGGCAGAGAGGTGGTCCGGGAGAATGGACCGAAATCTTATTAGCTATAGATATGGTCATAGCCTGCTGACTCTTCAACAATCAAAAACCACGGTCGATTAGTGTAGCTGGTTATCACATCGGATTCTGATTCATATATCATGACTTTCCGGTAACCGGGGTTCGAATCCCCGATTGACCTTTCTTTTGCATCGTATCTCAGTGCTGGTTGCGACAAGGTTTGTGTTCTTTGAAATGAATTGTGTTTTTTGACGCTCGTTCTACTCTGGATTGCTTTTAATGGTCTCACTCTTCGTCTCGTGGAGGACTAGGCCAGTTTCACTTGTATACTCGGCCGGCCGAATATTGGGTGGCATCTTGGGTCAAGTCAACGTGGATACATTAGGTACAGCTTATCCCATTGATTCAACTATGAACCGAAATTCCGCACTGCCTGTTGCTGCCTTGTTGCTCATCTTTGAAAACTTGGCGAAGCATTGCTTCTATATCGCGCAGGTGTTTGACAGTCAAGCATGCAACTGCTCCGAGTCCTGGCATCCTGTAATGTGTCTATCAAGCCCTGCACGCAAAGAAAAATAACGGAAGAGTTTTTATGATCAGATTCATTTTTTATGAACTCGAAAGACTTTATAAGTCCTTTGCACTGATGCTGGCGTTTGAGGGCTTTCGTAACCATAGAATCCTGGCAGGTGAATTCCGGCTGCGGAAGCCGCAGCTCCACATGGGGAATGCGTCATGATCTGATGAACTGATGTTCCCTCCACTTACACAGCTTGACACGGCATTTATATCAAGAACCCTACGCAAATATCCAGGTCAAAACGCGCGTGACTTCTTTGGATGCAATCAACCATCTCCCGACTTTTAAGGTCTACAAACAAGATGGCCCTCCACGCTGCTAAGGAGGACGCCAAGCTCATATGTACGTCTGTGTCGCTGCCATGTCCATGCCAGACGGCATCAGGATCCAAAAAAAACTCACCAACGCATACAGTCGCACCTGCGGGGACTGAGGCACACGGCCAGGCTGGCCAATTCACCAAGGGCCACCTGACACGGACGGACTTGGACCCCTCGTCGCCCATCCGCCAGTTCCACGCCTGGTTCGGAGCTGCGCAGCATCCCGCGGCGCAGGTGGCCCATCCGGAGACCTGCACCCTGTCCACGGCATCACTGCCCTCAGGCCGTGTCTCTGCCCGCATGGTCTACCTGAAGGAGCTGGATGACCACGGCTTCGTCGTCTACAGCAACTTTGGCACCAGCCGCAAGGCCGCGGACCTGGCGACGAACCCCTGGGCCAGTCTTACGTTCTGGTGGGAGAGCATGGAGCGCCAGATTCGGGTGGAGGGCAAAGCGACCCGGCTGAGCAGCGAGGAGAGCCAGGTCTACTACGATACACGGGTGCGAGGCAGCCGGCTGGGCGCCTGGGCTAGTCGGCAGAGCCAGGTCTTGAAGCCCGAGGGTGACGGCGACGATGGAAGGAAGGAGCTGGACGGTTGGGTCAAGGAGGCAGAGGACAAGTTCCAGGACCAAGAGAAGATTCCCGTGCCTGAATTCTGGGGCGGTCTGAGGATTGTGCCGGAGTCGGTCGAGTTTTGGCAGGGACGGGAGAGCCGGTTGCACGATCGCTTCGTGTACACGAGAAAGGTGGAAGGCAAAGACCAGTGGACTCTGGAGAGATTGAGCCCATAGATGCATGTGTAACAGATTTTGTGAGTGTTTTATGCCTGCCTGCCTGCCTGCCTAGCTAGGTATGTAGTGTTTTTGGAAGCGCTTTTCCATTGACTTGAAATCCTCATCACTATCGTAGAAGGGTCCAGCTTGTTAGGACCTCCTGTCTGGACCTTCAAACATCAGATCATATGAGTAGACGCTGGATCTAGAAGCCATGTTCCTGTAACTATGAGTGAACTTGATAATATCGGCCCATCTAGACCTCGCTCTCTTGTGATAATCACTTGAATCGCAAGCTCAGTGAGGAATCAGAAGTGGAAATAGCGACCACAAATTACTATTTAAACTCCTTCTCAGTCCCCAGTGTTCTCGCCTTCTTCCTTTCTCTTGATCAAGCAATCGTTCAGCATTCGTCCTCGCAACGCCTGAGTGTCCTCAAGATAATAAGCATTGACGATCAATCATTCGAAGACCTGCCACTTTCGAGCCCCACGACCTTTGACCAGTCTCTGCCCCGGCAAACCGAATGGTATCACCATGAAGAACTCCGTTCAACTGCTCACTGTCCCCGTCTTGGCACTTGCTGCTCCGGTTAGTTCAAGACTTTTGCCGTTGATACTTGATGCTGACCGTTTTTGTAGATGCGCTCTGGCACGGAGAATGGTGACAAGCTTCGCATCCGAGATGTTCGTCAAACCCCTGTGATATTCTGGCCTGCCATTGTGTGTAAGCTAATCTCTAGTACAGGCCAGTAGTGTAACCTGCTCCAACAACTTCTTGGTCAAGGTCCCTTCCGTTCAGGCCCTTGCCGATGACCTCAAGGCCCGACCTGCCGACGACGACTTCGACATTGATGCCAACGTGTGTCACCAGCTCGGTTGCAAGAACGGTGCGGTCTCGTGGCTGTGTAACCGAACCGATATGAACTCCGCGGCCAAGGCCAATGGTCTCGGCGCCGCCATCGACACCATCATCGGCAACTGTCAGGTGCCGGATGGATCAGGCAACATGGTTGTGAGTGGCAGCGCGGACTACGATGCTGGTGCCTACGGTATCACTGTCTCGGTCACGGCCGGTCAATGCTAAGGAGTCTCATATGGGTATCGGCATTTGACTCTGTTGAGCTACTGGCAAACGTTGAATGCCGACAAATGCCGCAACATGCTTTCTCATACTTTTACAATCAAGGAAACCTCGCCGTGCGGGCCCTATCATGTTAACAAGAACTATCTCGGTGACATCACAGTGATACAGTAAATGCGAAGAAGTAGCGTACCGAGGTTATAGACTGAGAATAAGCAGTGTACCAAGAAGGATACGCAGACGATCCCTGTTGACTTTTGTATGACTATCTGGGTACTTTCGTAGGTATCGTCTGTGATTCGAGCACAATTGTTCTCAATTGTTCACCGGTCAGAGGCCGGTAATGGAAAAGTAAGATCGTAATCAAGTCTCAGTCAATCGCCCGCATAAATTACATTGTTCTTTGTCATCTCACGTTTCCACAGTGTTACTAGGTGCCCAGCCATCCCAGTAAGTTTTAGGATGCAGGTCAGGGATCACCTTTTCATGAAGATGGTGGTGAGAAAGTTGCTGTCACCCAACCCCCTGTCTCAACACACTTGAGCTCGGTCAGGTAGAAGAATATACCGACAGAAAGCACTAGAATATAGCACCCGGCGAGTCGGAAGTCAACTCGGGTTCCCGCTCGCTCTAATTGTAAGACATGGGGATGTCAAGGCTGCGTAGCTCCGCATCAGGAACCTTGGCGGGACAGCGGAGCGGAACCGGAATCAGGAAGCCGTCCTTTCCTCCACGTCCTCCACCAATGCGCTGGGTACGTTCTCGAGAAGAAGAAAATACTGGCGGAGGACGGACCCCTGCTGACCATGCTGTTGATTACCGCACAGCCAAGCAACTGTATCGTCAGACCGCCGATCACACTCGTTGTGCAAGCTCGTGGCTAGTGGCTCGTGGCAATGGCTCTGATCAGACGTGACGATCCAACTATCGATCAATGGGTTCGGGTTTCACGTGTCTTCCTGTCATGAATTAGAAAATATTTTACTCTTTAGGGCGGCCGCTGACGGCGGGAAGTGTAGACAAAAAGATACCGAAATCTTGCAAAAGCAATCAACAGACACGACGTAGTGTGAACGACATATCACGCTTACTAGCCCCATAGGTCTGGTCCGCTCGGAGGAGGTCCAGAGATGCAGGCCTTGATCCCAATGCATGAGCTGCGGAACATCGCCAAATGAGTCTACGAACAGGGATTCCCTGGCCATAGAATTAGTCACAACCGCATACGTGCTGGATCAAGAGAGAGTGCAGATGGCGCCCGCTCCTAGGACATGTCTTTGTCATTCGGATAACTCGCAGCCGCGCCATGCGATTCATGCAGTGAACGTCAAGGTCGTCATTATGTATAAGCTGACTTATAAAGTTTCTTATGGGTCCTCTGTCAAGGGGTATATTCTTTTTGTTAGAATAGACAATAGTTTTCTACAGAAGTATCCCCGCCCTGTGCCTCGTGAAACAATCTGCGGGAAGGCAGACCTCGACCACGCGGCTTAGGATCGTGGCGTGCCACGGAGACTGTCAGGGACACAGCCTGGCGCGGAGAACCTGACTCATGGATTAGTTATCCCACTGCTCTCAGGGTGTTCGGGGGGTATGCAGGTATTTCTGGCAAGGCTGGCGTACACCGGCGTACCTTGAGACTTACACGTGACACCAGATCACTATACCCTCTTCGTATGCACCGCCAGACTGGCTTTCAGTCAGCTCTACTGATCTACTCCCGCTGGGCGGCGCTGGGTCCGAATGCGTGCATAATACAACGACCACGCCAAGGCCCTGAACGGGACTCCGCCGCGTATGGGCAAGCCTTCTCGCCCCGTTTGTAGCGCCTAAGTCGTGTTTCCTGTACATTGCATGGCTTGGGGTTTGGCCTATACCCTAGTCGCATGGTGTGGAGTGTCATGATTCAGTTTGGGAACTCGGCTGCTAATTATATCATGCACGCGTTGCAGATAGCCTGATGCATATGCAGGCAAACCCCCACATGGAAATGTACTCGACGATGTCTTCATGATCTAGAAATGACCATCAGATCCCAATTGTTAGTTTCAGTTCTATAGATCGAGTCCAAAGGACCTGATCTGACTCTAAATCAAGATAGCTGCTTCAAACACGAAACCTGTAGCTTCTGCTTATTGCTGGTTCACGAGGCGCTCATCGCAATCTCGATCACGCAGCTAACAATAGACGCTCATCCATAGACTGTACATTTTAATAATGTCAAGTAGCTTGAGAATCATTCAAGTATTTAAACCAGGTCTAATACTTGGTCAGGATAAGTGCAGTGATAGGCCAACAACACCATTTTATCCGGAGGTGAAACTATTGAGAATGTCAGGCAACTTTCACGAAACAAGAGCAGGAAGAAAAAAGTAAAGTGGTCCCACCTATGCAGTCAATCCAAAGCCACTCGTTCCTTTTATGGGCTTAGCACGAGCGGCTCCCCGTACAAGTATTTGGTAACTAGTTTACATCATCTTATATTATCCAATCGTCGTATGGTCACAACTAACGACCGGTACACGAACTTGCTGCGTATTTCTTGATTAATCAACATCGTCTTGAAGTGCAATAGTAGAGAAGCGAATAGAGTTTCTATATTACGTGTGGTCATGTTTACTTTACCGCCAATCGATCGCTAGGGTCTAGGCTCATTCTCTTTTCACACCATAGCGAGTATTGAACACTCGTGCTATATTCCTCCTTCATGATTGACACGAAGGGGCGGTAAAATGAAGCAAACATCTAAGAATCGAAATAAGCTTTTGCAAGTCAGTCCTCAATGTCAATCCTCGTTGAATAATTTACCATGACTACTGACCTTGGCGTTACAGGACAGGGCCTCTCTGGACCGAATACGTGACAATCAAAGGCGCTCCCGGCTGGAAAGAAGACAACATGTTCAGAGACTACAGCAGAAAGTTGCACAGTACGAGGCTGAAGGTGTCAAAGCAAGTATTGAGATGCAACGCGCGGGACGTATGGCACTAGAAGAAAACAGGATGTTGCGATGTATCCTGAATGAGCAGGGAATAAGTGACGGCGATATCACAGCAAGACTCAACCTGTTACGGAAATCTCCGGATTCGAATTCCTCTTCCGGAAACGTAGCCCAGGTGCTGGAGAAACTACTGGGGCCTTTAACAGGCACCTTCGATGCTTCCCCAGATGAGTTCAACCAGATATCTCCGGGCTTCGAGAGCCAGCCACATGGCCATGGTATCTCATACAACGATATGGCCATGGAGGCTAACATGGGTGGGTATCTGCCTACTCCAGCCTGCGACGATGCGCGATATTTCACCCCATCTGGAGGTTACGAGGTAATGGGCCACGAAGAAAGCGAACGTACATACCAGCACCCAGCCCCAGGATTTACCGGAGTCGGACAGGGGTTCTTCCCGAATTATGATTCTTCTCGACATCGGCCAAGTACAATGGTCAGGGGACGCTGGCCTCAACCGACAAATCTATGGGAGGCGGGACCTCAGATATCGCCCGCTTCAAGCACAGCGATGGGATCACCTCCAATGGTGCAAGACCAGATATCCTTGGGCCCTCCGATGCATCTATCCTCACAACAGGAAGCGAACCTTCCAGTTGCATGGCCTGCGCATATGTACAGCGCGGTGAATGCCAGTTGCGGCTCGATCACCACCCAAGGAAATAGTCCTCTTATTCCGAGCAACAGTTCCGTGTCGGGATATTTCGATAGGCTGAAGATAGAGGACGGGTGTCATGTGGAGGATTACCCCTATAGTGAAAGCAAGAAGAAGTTTCACTCCAGATGAACTTGAGCTTACTGAGCTGGTGGATTTGTTCAAGTACTGCTAGCATGAACGTTGGTCCGCTGGCGGGGTAGCCAATACTATTATTATACTGTACCTATCGTGATGTACTCAATACGACTCTCGGCGCTAGCAAATTGCAAGACTGCCAATGTTTGCGACTTTCAATCATTTGGAAGGATTTCGTGTCTTGAATTTGTACCTAAGGAATGTGATGTCTTGAGTGCGTTCAAGCCCAAGGGGTCATTCTGCTTTCGTACCTGGCTTGGCAATCCTTTGTCTTTAAGCGTACCTACCCGAGACAACATGTTTCTTGATGCATCCAAAAATAATGGATGTCATTAGCCCGAATCTTCCTTCCTTGAAAGACACGTTTAGAACATATGGACTCGTAACACTTCATCCCAAAGTGCCAATTTCTACAGTGTGGCGAGCAGGAAAGATCTTTACATACCATGGGCCCCAAGAAATCAGTCAGTCTACCTCAAGCATCTAAAGCATGTACACAAACATGGTGCAGAATAATGACACATGCATAGTCCAACAAAAGAGGAAACTCGAAGTCCCGGGCGTCTCCACCGAAGAAACCGAAAAGATCCCCAACGTCCACCGTCGCGTGTAATGCAGCTCAAGATGACGAGAATCCGTCAAACACGGAGTTCGAGTTCTATCACGCTGATGACCTCATCTGTGGTCTTTACACCACGGGTGCGTTCAAGTTACCCTCAAAGTACAAAGGCCGGCGCACGGGATCTCATGCTGTAGATATGTGGTTTCTCGGGTATCGACAGTCCACCGATGCAGCGAGGGTTAAAGCATATATCGAAGAGGAAACACGCGACTGGAGAGGTGTCTACGATTCCATGCGAGTCTATAGAGGACGTCGTGACGATCATAAGCGTGAGTTCCCACAGGACACCCCTGTTACTACTACAAGGGCAAGACGGTTCCGCGAAGTTTTTGGAGACGCACGGAAATGCTTCTTGCTCGCTTCGCTTCTCTGCTGGAACGAAAATCATGTTCCAATGGCCCAAAGCAAGACTATGCGTCTAGAGTTCGAAATTGAAAGGTGTCGAGCTTTGATGTAAGCCAACGAATTTCCCTGCTATGCTTCACTCTAGTACACGAGAGACATCAGCTGACAGGTTCGTACTCAACAGACACTACGAGGAATTGGAAGCTTTGCTTGGACCACTGGAACTTAAACTGGGGAATCGTCCCAAAAATGAAGTCCGCGCTCTGTATGCCTTCAGCGAGCAACAGAAGAGCGACAAGAACGAGAGGATTCAGGCTGCCAAAAGGAAGGTCCATCAAGCGTCGTTGATACAAGCAGATCAAAATCAATTGAATGCCCTCTCTTGGCCCCCCAGAATACCGGGTGCCGCCGCCGTGATCACGACTGGCAACCGACAGAGCAGCCACGTGCCAGCGGTGTCAGTCGCCTTCGGCACAGGCAACCCCCTGCTCGACACAATGGAGGCTCTCGACCTAGTGAAGGAAGATTACGATACCAGCCACCCTCACTATGCCGTTCTCCAGGCCATGCGCGAGGACCTGGATGCCATTGCGGGCGGCAAGCGGGCCAGGAGGTATGACGCCGGCGCCCACGCCGAGAAGTCACCCATCCACCCGCCGCCGCATCTGCGCGACCTCGACCGCAGCCAGATGCTCCCCGGCACATTGCCGCTCTGGCACCCCAAGCCAAACCCGGTCCGCATCATCCACATGCCCCCGAACGGAGTCCTGCCCGCCGGTATACGCGTGAAAAACAAGAGTGAGTCGCACATTCCAGTTCGTTTATATGACACGGATCAATTGACAAGTTCCATGCAGAATACCCTACAGCATCTCCAACCGATTCACCGTCACCACTGCCACCCATGCTGCCCACGGGTTCTGGATTCGATCAACGAGGACGTTCCACAGCCCCTGATAACCTCAGTGCCCCTCCCGGGAGTGCTTGCTATCACGAGTAATGGCAGTTCTACTCATCCTAGGGAAGATTAGCCGCATCATGTAGAGTTGGCACTTTTGAAGGAGGGGGTAAAGTGTGGAGGTGTCTAGTATGGATGTTTTAGGCCTGGGTGACCTGTCGTTTGCGGTCAGAGATGAGACTTGGTGATGATTCATAAGCCAGATAGTGAGTGTACAGCCTATGCTATGAGAAATCTACGGGTAAAATTGGCACGAAGTCACAAATAAGACTGGAGAAAAATAGGTCCACTAAGACCGAGCCTCGGGATTGGCGCGTGCTACATTCCTCCAATATGGTAGGGAAGCTTGAGAATAATCTTTGATGATGATTACCGCTGAACGTGATGGCTCTCCAGGTGGCTAGAAATAAGATAGAATAGCAGCATAGGTCAGTGTACGAGACGGGCAAGAGCAAAAGCGGGAGAAGGGTAATGGGAAAGGGGATGGAGGGAGAGGAACACCCCCTCCCCCAAAGAAAAAAAAATTGGGCACACAACACCTCTCCCAAGAATTGAACTCGCGGAGAGACAACCTCTGATAAATCAAAGACGGCCTCGTGCACCACTGTACCTCTGCTGCGCTCGTTGACATATCCCCGTGATTGGTGGCGCGTGCATTGGTGCACCTTCGTGGAAGAATGGCTTGTTGTTTAGATATGTAAACCTCGGGCTCTCATTGACCTCAGGCAGACATAGTGGCCTGGCCATTCTTTCATTGGGATCGCATACCGCAACAGCTTTTGGGGTGGCCTTGAACAAGGTCATTCATTCAGGCGTTGGGCCCCTGTCACGCACCCTGATGCTCTCGTTGCGGCGATAGAGGCTCGATACTCATTCCTGGACGGCGTTTGGAGGCCATTTGCCTTCGCTGCTTTCATGGGCTGTCAACGAAACTATTGAGGCACCTGTAGAAGCACGGAGCAGAAGTCCATTTGTATTTCTGCGCGGTGGTCCTACGGCTCACAAGCGAGGGAAACCATACCATATGACGATAATGTGACAGGAGGAATATTTGACACGGAGATCACGAATCGGCATCAATCTGACCGGTACTCTGTTGGCACATATTCTTATGTTGTGACCGGAAATCTACTGGTCTTTGACCGTTTTACGCCTAGCTCGTAGATGTCGGCATGGCATTCCCAGTCCGCTCATGTCATTGCAAAACCAAACCACCAAAACTCCTGTGAGGTATATCCATAGTCAGACCCCGTTGAAGCCGCATACCTCCGGCCCCCTGAGTAGGCAGCCAGACTTGGCCACGGTTGTACGTCGCTAATTTACACTGTGCTCGGAACCCCTGGCGATAGTATCCTAGAGGAAGTAGTCTGCTACTGGCTTCTTTGCCGGCATTCCGCGGGAATCCTGCGGCGCCGCCTGGAAGACACGGTATCGCCTTGCGGGGCCACTCTTCAGTAGACTCTCGCTCTCGGCCATGACACCCCTGGCGCCTCCTCCGTCACTGCGTCCAATCTCACCATTGCTGCGGGCGAGGACACCCTCGCCACCGGCATCCTCCGATAGCTCGAGAACGGCAGCGACATTGCCGCATCGGTAGCAGTAATTCGGGGCGGACCATACGGTCACTATGCTCGCATCGAACATCTCCTTAAATCCCTCCATCACGAGCTGATGGGCACGTGCAATCAGCGAGAGGTCATTCCTGTGGTTGAAGACCTTGACAATGTCTGCTCCAAACAGGAAACCCGCGCCTCGAGGCGAGAGGCCCCAGCCGTCGATCTCATCGGGGTCGGACCAGAGCAGGTCGCACATGGCTCCTTCGTGGGGGACTTCCTGCTTGCGGTCCAGCAGTCTGATCTTGTCGACTGTGTCGATCAGTGGTGATAGACCACCGTGAACACACAGCACCGCGCCGGTGGGGTTTCCGTTGCTTCCGCCACTCGAGCCCGAGGCGCCAGAACCCGGTGGACCGGTCCTTGCTGGGATGCCGTTCGGGCTCTTCTGGTCTGCTGCCTGCCTGGTGAAGCGGCTCATAATGTCTCCGTCTGCATTACAGACCTCGATCTCGATGTCCTCCTCCTCGTAGACTTCGCTTGAAACGTTCTCGTTGGGCGGTGAGAGGGTGTTGGATGCGCCTAGGACGATGGCGCCCAGGGCCAGGTAGTCGAAGACGTCGCAACAGTAGCGCCAGACATTGGCGCTACCATACTTGCGCAGACACTCGTCGTAGAAGCCGTAGACGGTCGTGATCTGGCGCGACTCGTGATTGCCGCGGATGAGGGTCATGCGGTCAGGGTAGCGGACCTTGAGGCAGAGCAGGAGCAGGAAGGACTCCAGAGAGTAGAAGCCACGGTCGACGAAGTCGCCTGCGAAGGTTGTACGGGTTAGAAACAAAGGTCGTAGAGTCAAGATGGCAGTGTGTGCGCGCTAAGACGTACCCATGAAGAGGTAGTTGGTATCGGGGGGGTCACCGCCAACACGGAAGAGCTCCATCAAGTCGTGGAATTGGCCGTGGATATCGCCACATATCTGGGGGAACGATCAGTTGGGGGGCGCGAGATGGTAGGAGTATGCGCTCGTACCGTGACGGGTGCTGCGACTGTAACGACATTGCCTTCCTCGATCAAGAGCTCGCGAGCCTTGTGGCATAATTCTCGGACTTGGGCCTCGGGGATGGGTCGGCATGCCCGCAGCTGGGCAATAGCACTGTACGGCCGTTAGCGACGACGAGGCCTATAGTCAGAGCGGTGCCGGGGCAGGGACCAGCTTACTTGTCAAGGTCACTCATCTTCGCGACAAGCACAAGCAGGCGACGGCGACGACGACGACGACGGATGGGGCCAGTCCAAGACCCGCGCGGGAGCCAAGGGCCGTGGGGCTGGGTGTGCCTCGGGGACGAGGAGCTCTGTCAAAGGCGGTCACGGCGATCTCATCACCTAAGATGAAGTCGCGGGGTCGACAGGACGTCGGGCGGCCGGTTCGCTGGGTATGCGACGGGCGAGATGTGGACGGGGATCAGATCAGATCGGTGCGCCGGGTCTGGGTCTCGGTCTGGAGTTGCGTCGCGTGAACCCGTCGAAGCCATCGCGGGTCAAATTTAGACTCAAGCGGAATAGTTAGCACCCTGGGCTACCAACTGGGTTAGCAGCCGAGCTAGTGACGCTAGGCCGCCCGCGCTGTGGCTGTAGGGCCCAGATGACGAAAGTTGTCGTGCTGTATCCTTCACTGCCAGACTGCCCAAGCTCCCCCCAGGCTCCCCCCAGGCTCAGGCTGCCGGGCAGGTTTCAGCTGGGTGTGGCTGGGATCCACCGACAACGTGGGACAGCAACGATGAGCTGTACCACGGTACCGTACCACAGTACCATAGTAGTGGCGGAGAGGGCGGGCTGGCGGGCGAGGCGGAAGCTAGGGGAGTACCGTAGGCAAAATTTCGGGGCCATGTGCCAGCCAATTGTTCAATCAGCGCTGGGCAATTGGAAGCAGAAGCACCACCGGCGACAGCTCGCACAAGGCCCATCGCAAGAAGTCGTGAGAGCTCAATCGTACGACGACGACGACGACGACGACGACGACGACGACGACGACGACGACAACGCGGCAGCACCTCCGAGTCTCTGCCATTCACCAACCCTCGTCCCTGGAACCGCATGAGGAGGTGCATCGCCCAGCTTATCCTGCTGTCCCGGTCATGATCCGGCCCCTGGGGACTGTTCTATAGGTACGCCTCTGTCGCCCCGTGAAACGCCCGTGAAAGGCCTCATTCCCAGCCTGCGTGCGCCATCTAACCGCAAATGCAGTGCGCCCCAACCCCCCAAGCCGCGACAATGCCGCCTCATCTCCATCCCCGGTCGCGCATGACCTCGTCTCTGTTTGGACTCACCATAGCTGCGAGCTTTTTCGTCGTCGGCCTGCCCCATGTGCTGCCATGCCCGGCCCCTCGCGTCCGCCTCGCCGACTCGGAAACAACAGCAGACGGCACCAGGAGGAGGCGGAGGAGGAAGTCCGACGCGACCGAGGTCAAGGATGGCATCGCACAGTTCGAAAGCACCACTGAAGACTTTGAGAGGCTGGCCGCAAAGGATGCCGCCAAACGGGAATGCCCTGTACCAAAGCCGGGAGGCGTCATCGGCGGCCTGATGGGATTCAACAAATCGAGGCCGGACAACGAGCAATCACATAACAACAGGTGACAGATGCTTCCTCTACTGCATAGGACACGGTCATGGTGTTTCCCATCTGCTGCATTGGGCCAGGAACATAGGATGTATACTACTCTGCTGTACATGAACGGCTTTTGGAAGGCGAGCATACATAAAAGGATAAAGAAAGAATATACCCCAATACACACCGTGCTGCCGGCATCAGCGAACTTGCCTTAGCCTGTACAATGCGTCATGTCGCACCACCACATGTCCGTTGTTGTTGACGCCTCTCCTGGGTGCGATTGAACTAACGTTAGTGAGAAGACTGTTTTGCCAGGGAGAATATACCTTGTGCCCCATGCGCGAAGAGGATTTCGAACATGGTGTCGTTCATCCAGAACCATCCAGGACTTGTGGGCCATATATCATACGACATCATGCTGCAAGGATCATCCACAAGATCACCCCCAACCCAACTCTGCAAGCCCAGGTGCCGAATTGATTTGCACACATCGTGCAGTTTGGATCATAAGAGTCCTGATGGGAATCTTGGAATCGCCGCGCTCAGGGCCGCCCATTGTGCGAATTTGGCACCGTGTCGTGCCGGGACGGCGATCCCGGGGGCGTACACTGTCGGAGAATTCATCCCCGGAGGGTTGGCACCTGTTAGTGTTGCAGCCATGTTGTGCGGCGATTGCAACCCCTTCCTGCATCCCGGCCTAACACGCCTTGACAGGAGCATTCCTATAGCATGAAGCCGGCTTTCCTTGGCTCACAGTACTGCAAGTGGATCTTTGGCAGAACCAAGCTTTTTGTCAAGTTTTGTCATCTCATCTACCGCTGCACAGATGACATCCATCTGGCCCTTGCATCCATCACTCAATTCAGACGACATCCGAGCCGATCAGGAGTCTTGGGCTTAGTCCTCACATCGTAGAGCTTGGCCTCTGGAGCAGTCTTTTTTCGTGACAACCCGGAGCTGTTATGATCGCCATAGGCGTCAAGGTAGGGAAACACAAGAGGAAAGTCAGGGTGCTCATCTGTGCCAATGGAATTGGAACGTTTCCGTCTCGTAGGAGACTCAGCCACCCGGGTAGACCAGATGGCGGGACTGGGCAATAAGCATATGTCCCCTTGGAGATCTATATGGACAATTTCTGGTTGTGGGATCCGACCGCTATAAGGTATTTATATCCAGATCGTCCTCTCTCCAAATTTCCTTCCATCTCGCTTCTAGCTGTCATATTGTTCTACTTCATCGGTCGCGTATTCATCAAGAGGTAAGTTCTGACTACCACCAACTATTGCTGCTTTCCATCTAATTCTTGGTAGCTGTGCTCTTCACCTTCATTTCTCGTCACTCATTATATCCTAAATCTCTGAAGGTACGTGAACAGCGGCCAAACTTAGCAGGACCGCAACGGCTTATACTCACATAGCGGGCTTCCTCACCCAAAGACTTAATACCCCACCACCATCATAATGAAGTTCATTACTTTGCTCGCTGGTATGGCTATGGCCGTCCCCGTTGTCTGGGCCGAACAGGCAGCAGCCGCCGGCAACGGTGTGGCCGTGGTAGGCCAGCAGGCAGAAGAGGCGGCCAAGTTGAACGGAGCCGAGAACGCTGTGGCTGAGGGCGAGCAGAAGAAAGAAGAGGAGGCCAACCAGCAGTTAAATGGGGCCGAGAACGCAGAAGCTCAGCTCGATGAACAGCAGAAGAAGGAAGAAGAAGCCAACCAGGATGAGGCCAACCAGGAGGAGAACGCAGACGCCGAGCAGAACAACGAGCAAAACAACGAGCAAAACAACGAGCAAAACAACGAGCAAAACAACGAGCAAAACAACGAGCAAAACAACGAGCAGAACAACGAGCAGAACAATGAAGAGGCCAACCAGAACGAGAACGAGAACGCAGCGGCTGAGGAGCTCGGCCAGCAATTGGACAACTCGACTCTTGCTGTTAACGGATCTGATGTCGCCAACCAGCTTGGAAACGAGCTCGGCAACATCAACCTTGACCCCAACAATCTTGAGGGCAGCTTGGGCCAGAATATCGAGGAGCTAATGCTCAACATGGGCATCTGCAACTTCGACAGCAGCATCCTCTCCGGTCTCGGCGTCGGCCAGGAGGTGCAGCTCTTGCTCCAACTCCAGCAGCTGGCTCAGCTTCAGGCTCTCGGTCTCGTCAACTCGGTATCCGTTCAGCAGTTGCTCCAGCAGGAGTTCCTCCTCGGAAATTTCGGCCTCAACATCTTCAGGCGCAAGATCAACGAGGTCGTCAGAGTAAGTCACATTCACATTACATTCGGTCACCACGAGTCTATGCTAACGTCCGCACCAGAAGAGTGCTGGCCGCAAGCGAAGCTACACTTTCGGCAAGCGACAGTGTGCTGCTGGCTCTGCTTAAAAGGCTGGGCTTCCAAATGTAGACAGATGCGCGGAGAGAAGCTGGGCAATTCAGCCGCTAGGCATATCGGCACTGCAACGGGCTGTTACCAAAGCTTGGTCTCGTCTGGTCTTTGACACTCTACAGGGGAAGGTCAAAGCGCTCGCCTTGGCCTAGCCTTGCGTTATCCAGAGGGCGTGACACGCCTGATTAAGTTACATTTGAAGTGGAGGTCTGCACGGTTGTCAATTCTCGGATGAGCTGGTAATGATAACTATATTCACACGACCTGCGATAGTAATATAATTAAATATCATGAACCATGAGACTCTTTAAAGCTCTGTGACATGGCAACATACATTCAACGCTTTAATCAGGTAGTTCCTCTTATATCTTCTACAAGTAGCGGCCAAATATCGGGATGACACAGTTATATGGTGAGATCGTTGCATTGTATTAAACAGACCGGATGGCAGAACCTGTCTAGCTCTGTCGGCGAGTGGCCACAAGGATAGGACGGTGCCGATGTCTGCTATACCATGCCATAAACAGTGCCCATTATAGTTATGCCACGGCGTTGGCTGTCTGTTACCTGGACATCTGTGACAGTTCCGCGCTGGAGATCAGTCCGGATGAGGGAACTTGGGGTAAACATGCATCATTCGGCAAGCCGGCTGGAGTCCCCTCCAAGGACTCTCAAGACTGGGGTAGGAATCTACCCCTGTCGGAGAGGCATATGAGGCTCAATGTCCTCAAACACCCCCGTCCGACCATCACAATTCCTTCCACCCCTGTGCCAACGACCCTGGCCCACAGTCGTCCGTGCAAAGCCTCTAATTGGCCACATAATTCCCCGGCATTTGAGATGGCAGGCCGCTTAAGCGGGAAACCTTCTTTAACACCCCGGCTGCTCGGTACGCATGGCAGACGAAGCTTGACCAATTCGAGTCTGGCCTCCATCTGATTCCGCCAAGACGTTTCCAACTTGACAGCCGTGAAAGCTTGTCCGGCCGTTTTCGACATGCTCAGACGAAGATCCCGCAGGGGCTATCGCGGGCTGCCATTGAGCCGCTGCGAGCTATTCCGCTTGAAGCAAAACCTATACTACTTTGACGAATCCTGCTTGAGCTGCCTACTCGCTTGCTCTATGAAAACATCGCAAAACAAGCGGGCATCCTCGCCGGCGATCATGCAAGGCGAAGGGCGGCACGCTGGTGCTGCCCAGCGTAGGCGCTGCACGGAAGTGACTTGCTCTGACAGCCGGATAATAGCTTGAAAGGAAGTAACGGTGCCGGAGAAGTTACTTGTCAGCCCAGATCAGGTGGCCGCCTTGCTAATTGTGGTCCGAGTAAGGTTATTTTGAGGACCCAGATCCTGGCCGTGGGCCATCACCAAGCCTTTGCGTTCGGCCAGCCGTTCTTCCGTGCATGGCCCATGACGTTCCCAAGATTGCTCAGCTCCCTTCACACACAGCCGCCAGCCGTATGGTGGCTCTGGCGAGGGCCCCCCCTGGAAGAGCGCAGCAGCGCGAAGCCACACCCATTGGTCCCGGTGCCGTTCTAGCGTATCGGACATATTCACTGCTGGGGTTCATCCCACGCAGATATGCTGTGCCCACCAAACAAGCTCCTCTGCACGGAAGCCCGGCCAGCACCAATGAGTCCTCTCTCATACCCCCCCTGTTGGTTCGTTTTACTCGAAAGTCTTCCGTCCAGTAACAATGACAACCTGATACGCACCGGATCCCTCCTTCGAGATACATCCGAATAGTTTTTGCCCCCCAAAAGGCTTGGCACTGTTTCTTCTTCTCATGCCACGGCATCGTGCCGCCCGTGACAGCTTGACTCAACTGATATATAAGACGAGGTCACTTCATGGTGGGTATCCTTCTTGTTTCTCCATCCCATCTTCAGACAATCCAGTCAACCAACACATTCATTCATTCCTCCAGAGGTATAGTTGCTTCCGCGCAATACTTACTTGAGAACGGCTTCACTAACTTCTTCCACAGCTGTGCTCGTTGTTCGCTACATTCCTTAATTCCTTCGTTTGAACATTTGAGGTATGTGAACCAATCCTGGGCCACCTGATCAGAAGGCAATTGGCTAACAGGCGCCTATAGCTGTGCTCCTTTAACCATCTAATTATTTTAATTACTCCAACTTTCAAAATGAAGTTCTCCACTGCCATCGTTTCCGCCCTTGCGGCCGTTGTCTCTGCTGCCCCTACCAAGGAGGTTGCTCCCCGCGGCATCTTTGATGCTTCCCAGTTCAACAACTTCCAGTTCAACAACCTGGACCTGAACTACCTGAGCGTCGTCAACGGCCTCGACTTCAACATCCTGCAGCAGCTCGCCTCTGTCAACAACTTCAACATCAACGGATTCCAGAACGTCTTCGCCGGAAACGTCTTCGACATCAACGCCCTGCTCCAGCTTCAGCAGATCCAGCAGCTGATCCAGCTCCAGCAACTCGGTGTCTTGGGCGGCTTTGACCTCAGCACCTTGGCCCTTAACAACGTCAACTTTGGCCTCATCAACGCCGTTGGTGGTATCGACTTGACGCAATTCATCGACTCGTCTCTGATCCCCCAGATCCAGACCATCGTCCAACAACAGGGTACGTGATCTATTCAAGCCTGGCTCTACACCAGAGTGTTTTGACTAACATGCCCGGTCTAGTTACTACTGTCATCAAGGAATAGGTGGCTGCGAAACGAACGGGGGGTTGATCGGGGGCTAGACAGGCCCCCATCAACTTCCTCCCGAACGTCCAATACCCTTGTGGTGTCTTGTGGCATTACATCCGGGTTTAGATCATGCCACATGGCGGGTACATGGATTAGAGCAGGCGCATTGAGCAGGGTCTGATGGAACTGGTATGGTCGAACATGTACAGCTTTGGCTTTCTACATGTGTATACACACACTTCTCGCCGGTGTTGGCAATTACGTTTCTCTTAATCTCAGGGCACTGGTTGGGTTGTGTGTGGACGAAGGAAAAGGGTTTACGTAGTAACAGGGGGGGATGAATGGACTGGGGTTTATTGGGTCTCCCTATTGTACAGAGATGATTCTCGCACGCTTTTCTGTACGCAAATTTCGGGTTAATTCATGACATCTCAACAACAGCAGCTCCTGTCTCATTCTCACCGTCTTTCTCCCCACCTGCTGCCTATGCGCATTGTGCGGCGGGCTGGGATATCAAATCGAGTATTGCAACGACCCCCCCTGTTTGATCCACATACGGCTGCGAAACTTCCGGGGCCATCAAACATGTCGCTTCAACCCGTCAGCATCACCCGCAAAGCGCAAGTTGATCAAGCAACTCACGACCCAGGGATTTTCTGATAGGTTGAGACTGATCTGATGAACTACGTCGAGCGAGTGGGTATGACAGTGGCCTCATTGGCGAGGGTATGGATAGTATGCGTCAGCATGGGTGCATTTGATTCGTTCTTGCCACTTCTGAGTCACAAAAATGACCTCGCTTGGAAGTAGAGCCTCGCAATTTGTTGCTCAGTTAATGCATGCGTAGATGCGTCGTACGATGCCACTTCCGCTGCGCGCCCCAATATACGTCTGGCACTTTGTAAAGAATGTCATTGTATGGACCCAATAGAACAAAACACCTACAATTGAATTGGTTTTGGTCGGAGATTGGAGCCATACTGTGTGGCTATGTGGCGCTCAAGCATGGAGTCTTATTTCATAAGTCAAACAATCAGCACTGCTCGAGGTGGCATGTCTGATCCCCTGCCGAGGTTATCAGTCTTTGTCCCCTGTATGGCCAAGGCAACCTGCAGAGAAATGTCATACCTGCGTGAATCGTCTGTCTGCTAATTCCCCTAGGACCGTATTGGCTATACTGAGATATTATCTCACCGGGAACTTTCATGCGTCAAATCCCCTCATGGAGGGCGCTGACGGTTGCGGGGTGATTATTTCCGCAATCCGCACCATGCGTATACCAAGAGCCAAGGTATGAATATGGGCACAAGACGCGATCGCATAGCAGACGTTGCAAGGGTTCATCTCGGATTTCTATACCCTCTATTAGATGATTGGTGTTTATTCTTTGTCAAGGTTTTCTGTTCAACCTTGTCTACTAGTAATGCAAGACGACTATCGATTCCCGATCTGGACCGCAAGTATACATAGCATCGTGTTATTGTAGTTGTCAATCGAAAGCTAAGCGGAGTTCAGTGATGAGTTGGCAAATCACTGCAGTGACACGGAGCAATCACCCGTTGGAGCTAAAAGAGCAACAACACATGAATGGGGTTTGTTCTTGGCTTGATAGACATCTTCCACTCCCTTAAAGACTGTGCATTTTTCAATGGCCCAAATCATTTTTGAACCTTTAGAAAATTTTTCAATGGTGTTTGTCGTCTGAATGCGGGGCCACTACATATTCAGATTTTGTCTCATTACGACTATTCTCTGAAATTCATCCGTTGCCTCATTCTTCTTCCGTTCGAGAAAGGGCTTACGACAAAGAAACACAGCCATGAATGCTTATATCTCATTGGCTACAGTAGTCTATGCTACGTTGGCGCTTGTAAGACTCGGTTTAGAATGATTGTCCGATCGCACGAAGCTGATTATTCTTGCAGCCGATGGTGTACGGGTTGATTTGGTGTGTATATAGCCTGTATTTCCACCCACTCGCCAAATATCCTGGGCCAAAATTAGCTGCTGTGTCACAAGTCAGTCTAGTAATCTTCCAAAATGAGTGCGAATAGTAATGATCTCTAGCTATGGTATGCAGTAACTTGGACAAGGGGCAACTGGCCTTTCGTCCTGGAGCGTGTTCACCGCCAATATGGTAAGATCGTTCGCATAGCGCCAAACGAGCTATCGTTCTCCTCTATACAGTCATTTCAGGACATATACGGAGTCCCTACGAAGTCGAGAAAGCTGTTCCCTAAGTCGGAATTATTTTATGACATGGGAAGCACAGCAAATATCGGATACGAACGAGACCCGGAAAAGCACTCTGCCAAGCGCAAGATGTTCGCGCCTAGTTTTAGCGCACAGGCTTTGAGAGACCAAGAACATATTATTCATCAGTATACGGATATCTTCCTCCTACAGATAGAACGACTTGGTACTCAGCCTAATCGCATAAATATCACCGAAGCCCTCGAATGGCTGACTTTCGATATCATGGGTGAGTGGTGTTGTATGCACCAGAAACTCCGGTCTGATTGGTGATTCCAGGTGAGCTCACGTTTGGGGAATCCTTCGGCGCAGTACGAGAAGCGAAGCATCACTATTGGGTCTCTATTCTCCTAGCGGCAGTCTACGGAGCCAGCGTGGCAGGACTGAGGAACCGTCTTTCGGTACTGAAGTATATCATACCCTTGTTGATCCCCAAGGAAACCGCCAAGAGAGCCGCACAGCATCATGCTCTCTCGCTGCGAAAAGTTCGTCACCGTCTTGAAATAGGCGACGCCAACGGACGCGAGGACTTCTTTGCCAATATCATTCGGAATGGCAAGATGGGTGAGGAGCAGCTCACCAGCGAAGCAACCATACTCATGATCGCAGGCGCTGAGACAACTGCCACAGCACTCACGGCGGCCTTGTACTTCCTAGGCGCCAATCCCAGTTGTCTCTCTGAGCTTAGAGATGAACTGAGTCGGGCCTTTGCCTCTAGCAAAGATATCACGGGAGACCGGACGGCAGGGTTTCCTTATCTCAACGCAGTCCTGGAGGAAACAATGCGCATTTTCCCACCTTCTCCCGTCGGCCCTCCGCGGAAGTCACCTGGGGAAACCGTGGATGGGGTTTTTGTACCAGAGGGGATGTACGTCTCAACCGACATAACGAGTCTACACCGAGACGCCCATAATGCCCCGGACCCGCATGCCTGGAAGCCAGATAGATGGATTGGGGAGCAAGGCAAGCATGGGAAACCTTACACGGTGCCTTTCAGCATCGGCTCTCGGTCATGCATTGGAATAACCCTCGCGTACCTGGAGATGCGCATCGTCCTGGCCAAGATTGTTTACACCATGGAGTGGGAGTTTGTCGATGACCCAGGCTACTGGCCGGATCGATGTACACTCACGCAACTGTGGAAGAAGGCGCGCTTGGAAATGAGGTTTCGGCGTCGAGCTTACTCCTGAACGGAACAGTTGAGCAGATGATATGCCTGTCACATTCTTTATCATCGTACCGGGTATGTCTGAGGTTAAACCAACAGCTTGGCTTTCCTTATAGTTCATATTCCAGGAGGGCCATTCTTTGGTAATGCGAATGTTAAGGATTGCTGGGCTCCCAAAGCAGTCCACCAGCCGAAAAGACATATATTGGCCCCCTCAGTTTCTCCTGTCCCAATCTTCGATGCCAACGATTTCAAAATCGAAATGGTCGCAAACAGTCTTACCTCTTCCTAACACTGACTCGAAGAGGGATAATAGCCCAATAGCCACCGTGTCGGCGGCCTTACCGAGCTGACGCAAACGGGGGCTCATGATTCTGCCGCATCAATGACTTTTGTTTAGATTCACTTACTCTCGCCCTCGCATAAGACAACAGGTGGCTCTGATTACAAGTACCGCACAGTCCTAGGTCTGGTCAGTGGCTATTGACGCATGTGTGTATAACAACAAGATGTTGTTAGCGTGGATCAGCATCTATGAGCCTAGCAGCACTGGGGCACGAACACTCTTGCTTAGGGAGGCTTATAGATTGATTAGTAGCAACTACTAGAAGCCTCGCCTTCCAGCTGGCTGATCCGCGTTTGCCATGGATTGCAGTCATTCAGATTTCGCTCGGAATAAATTTGTCAAGATATGGAAACATCGAGTACCTGGTCAACTGCGACCTACAAGCTATTTGTAGGTCGTGGCTTTGCAACTGCTCCAGGTGCTATGCTTCAGCTCTTGTGCAGTTGCTCCAACGAACCATACAAAACACTTATCACGAACGCAGTACGGAAATTCAACGTCGCACTGAGGAAGAAAATGTGGTCCAATGTGCTTTATTTGGCTGGATGAGGGTACTATAGACATGTCAAGGGTCGGTCGATGAAGGCCGGTCTAGCAAACATACCAAGCTGCCTCGAAGTGGGACAGCAGAGGCGGCCTCCCACCCTATCGCCTCCACAGCATGACTCGTCTTACACATGCGTCAGTCTCTCGTGTGGTTTGCACGGCAACTATGCAAAGAGCGCAGCTGCAGTCGCGTTGCGCTTGTCAGCATCTGACCAGCAACGTATATTAGTTTATTGCCGCCTCTGTTGACTGGGAGTCGTCAGCCAGCCACCCCCTTTTCTGCCTGTTTGGGGGCGAGCCTAGTCTGGCCGAGACATTATCCACGGGTATCAACCATGATGAATCGCCAACGGCAGAGAGAGACGTGGTTGGTAACTCAGCATTGCATTCGATCGACCTGAACCACCTCGTCAAAGGGCAGCTTGTGCCGTTCAGCTCGACCTCTGCGAACAATTACGACCTGTCATTACCTCCGCGAGGTGAAAAGCCGTGCTTCCTTTTTCCGTCCGTTGGCTTCTGACCTCTCACCTGTCCAGCTGGGGTGGGACCAGTAAAGAGCTGTCTGGACTCTGCAGGGGACAGTCTGGTCAGTGAGCGACGAGTCGACGAGAGGGCCGACAGGTGATTGGCCGCGCGTGGCAACCCGGCGTGGGTACGGTAGGGTGGCGTGGGCCGCACTCCCCCATCTGCCCCTCCTCCGCGAACTGGAACAGCCAACCGTGAGCCCTGCTGCACGTCCGGTGAGCTGGGGCACAAGGGGACACCACACGGCTGTGACGCTGGTGGCCGACGTACTGGGCTTGCTGGGCCCTTCACCTTGCCATTGAGGTCGCAGATCAAGGTGGCCGACGGTGAGGGTTTCGAGAGGGGCTTCTCAGAGCCAAGTCTCCCTCCCTTCCCCCAGTGCCGGCGACAATTGACTTTCACGGCTTCGGGCGGCAATCTGGAATGCATGCTGCGATCTTACGTTACCTTATTTCCAGACGTCCTTCTGCTCGTCTGCTCGTCTGCTCCGGGGAGCCTTCCCCAACCAACAACAGCGCGAGCTCCCTATGCACTTCTGGCTGCAGCTCCAATCAGCAGTGAGAGGGGGTCGCAGCTTTCCCGCAGGTAGCCATTCAGGAGCAACCAGCTGTCCTGCTCCGCAAGAAGGCCGTTCGGTGCTCTCGCCTGATTGCTGCTTCAGAGCCTGAGGGCCCGGCACCGCCAGCGGTGCTCTCTGCGAATCCATTCCCGTCGAGGCTGACCAAGCGGGCCTTGGACGAATGGCAAGCCTGCGGCATGGAGAGCGCAGGGAGCGGCACAGGCCTCAGCACCATCCACGTTCCCTATCGCCTTCCCGTCTACTTGATTGGGAGGGGCCGCCGCATCCCGCGCTCGATTCGCTGCCCTACCGACCCCGAGCCCATGATATACAGGTGCCCGACAGCAGGACGTCCAGGCAACCTTCCTCGTCCCATCCTCGCCGTCGGGCATCCGAAGACATGCGAGCTCGCGAGAGCATGCCTCCGCCGACTCTGACCCGCCCGCATACTGTGACACATACACATCGGGGTGGCAAGGGGAGGGAGCCGCCCTCTCACGACGACGATGACTCTCGCAAGGGCCGGTCTAGAGTTAGGCGGAGGGCCAGGTCAAGGTCCCTGTCGGAATCGGAGAGGAGCAGGACGAGTAGCGAGGCCACACGGACGCCGAGGTCGGCCCGTGTAAACCATTCAACCCCGGATTCGAGGCGTTCGTCGAGGAGCTATTCCAGTCGCAGACCGTCTAGCGTCGACTCTGCCTCGTCCATCTCGACACAGAGTGAGGTCAAGGAGATACTGCGCCGGAAGCCCGCAGACATCGAGGTGTTGCCGGACAGGGAGAAGGTGAGCCACCGACGGCACCGCCGGAGACATAGGGGGAAGGAGGCGGTTGTCTATGAGGAACCCGATGTCTACGAAGACGAGATTACACAAACTTACAAACACGTCGCTCCGGGTGCTATGAGTAAGGGTGCTCACCGGCGAAGTCACCGGCATCATTCAGAATCCCGGAGCCCTTCACGTAGACGGCATCGCCACCACGATAATCGAGACGAGGTTAAAACATCGTCTAGATCCAAACGGTGTGTACTTTTGCGACACAAGCAGATGGTACTACGTATTGACTGGCGGTATTTAGGGGTACCAAGAAGTACTACAAGTCCGATAGCGCGCCGCTTGAGCGACCGAAACTTCCACGATCGTCCAGCTCCAATATCACCTCCTCTCATAGCGTGAGTGCCTCATCCAGAAGGTCTTCTTCGACGTTCATCAGCAATTTCTTTGGGTCGTCAGTCCATCCCGCACGGCCTGTTAAATAGTAAGCGCTCTCCTTGACAACGTCATACTCTCTTCCTGGATCACTTATCTAATGCTGAATCAGTGTCGAATGTGTTGCCTGCCTGGACGATGAAGTTCCATCTAATAAAACGGCCAAACTCAAGTGTGAACATAGGATGTGCCATTCTTGCATGAAGCGCATTTTCAAGGTATCCATCAAGGACCCGCAAATGATGCCTCCCAAGTGCTGTACAGAACAGCCGATTCCGGTAAAACACGTAGAGCGCCTGTTCGACACCAACTTCAAGAAAACTTGGAACCAGAAATTTCACGAGTATTCTACCCGCAACCGGATCTACTGTCCTTCGCGGAGGTGTGGCGAATGGATCAAGCCGGATCGAATACAGAAGTTCAAGGACGGCCGCAAGTATGCAAAGTGCGGCCAATGCAAGACAGAAGTGTGCTGTGTCTGCAACGGAAAGTGGCACAGGTCCAAAGATTGTCCTCGCGACGAGGCGACCAACGAGATCCTAGAGCAGGCAAAGGAGTATGGTTGGCAGCGTTGTTACAACTGCAAAACGATGGTGGAGCTGAAGGAAGGCTGCAATCACATGACTTGGTGAGTTTACGTCCACCATATTTCCTGGAGAGCGACATCTAATTCGGTTTCTAGTCGTTGTGGGTCGGAGTTTTGTATGATATGTGGTTCGAAGTGGAAGAGTTGCGAGTGTCCCTGGTTTAATTACGACGCGGTCGAGCAGGATCGACTGGAACACATCACTGTGCATGAGGAAAGAGACAGATCCTCTCCGCGAGAGAGCCGTGGGCACAGCACCAGGCATCGCGCGCAGACGTACGAGGAAGAGATTTTAATGCGGCGTGAACAGGAGCGACGCGATGAAGATTTCGCTCGGCGACTACAGTACGACGATACGGATGACGATTATATCGACAGCTATGGCAAACTGGTTGGGATCGGCAATTCGGCCGGCCATTTTATGAATGATGACTACAGACGAACGCCACGAGTAGTACCTCCAGCACCCTCTCCACCTCTGGCGGCGGTGGACAGGGCTAACACGGGGGATTATGTGACGGGCGTCAACCGGGCTCGAGGAGTTCGTGCAAGTTCAATGGAACGACGATTGGCCGATAGATTTTCGGAGCAACGCCACGGTACCAGTCCAACCCACCGATCTTACACCCACCCAATGCCACCTCCGCCACCGCCTCCTCTAGGTCTCGGCATGAGCCCCCCGCTGCCAACTCAACCACCACCAGGAATGCCCTTTGTCAGGAGGCACACGATGGAGGAAGACTTATACGGCGGTCCGTCTCATGTACGGATGGCCGAGCGGATGACTCCCGGCCGCGCTAGGCTTGATTACGAGGCCGAGGCAGCAATCCATGCCCCTATAAGCCGGAGACGGCCTAGGGAGCCGATGCACGAGCCGCCGAGAGATTCGGTGCTGGCCGGGCTTTCCGGCCCACGGACCGGCATGAATCGCGTATTCGAGTGGCGCAATCACGTCGCCCCTGGAGAGCCAGATAATGCTCACGGCATTGCTGCTCGGTAACTGGAACCCGCGCGGCCTCGGGACGGCATACTTTTGGATCGACCTTTATTGCGCTGGACCGTGATGGATGCTGTCTCGCTGATGATTTATGACTGATTTGGGGGCGTTCTAGTGATTTTGCACATATCATTGACCTCGGGGTCGCTGTAAAATAAATTGCCAACGCAACTTACCAGACGAGACGTACCTACGTACTTACGGCAGACATGTTTGATAGGGTTCTTAAGGTAGTTCTGGCGCATTGGTCTTTGTATAATTGACTTCCACCTTTGACTGAATATATTTATTTTTCTGCTGCCTTTCATTCGAGGTACATACTTAGTAGTTCGTATAAATGTCTATTGCTGACATTGCAAGATGTCCACCGCGAATACTCGGCTCATTGTCCAGCGTCACTTTGAGGGACCGGATCTAGTTGAGGATCAGTCTTTGCACCTTGCACCTTGCGCCTCGCTCTTACTTGGGGCCTAGAGATCATCAGGGAAACAGTTGGACGGTTTGTCATAACGCTCCAAGGGATCCCCATGTTTACCAAAGTTACCAACTTGAGCAACAAACTTTGGTAAGTAAGTGGCCAAGTGCGCGCCTCCAGGTCACGTCACAGGGCTGTGATGGTGCGGTCCCTGCAGGCGTCTGGCATTAGCCGCTAACCGCACCATCGGGAACCGGACGCCATCCGCAGAATGCGCTGTGGATCATTTGACCAGGTTGACATCAGCGGTGCGCTGGCGCTGGAAACGCGATCCTCACAGGCTCCACGACAATTTTAGCCCTCGTGATCGTGTCCGGACCTCACGGCGAGTAGCGTAGTTAGTGATTAACAGTCTGCCGCTCACCAGTCCGGCCATCCGTCGTTCATTGCCTCATGTATGGGTTATCAACGCCTGTTCACCTACTCCCAACCTGCATTTCCCTTGTGCGATGCCCAGCATCCGTTCCACTTGCATTGTTACGTTCGTCCTAGGTGTCTAGGTTGGCATGGGGTGCTAGAAACGTCATAATTCGTGGCTACTGTAACTGTACTGTGGACTGCTGTGCACGCGACTACTGAAGCCGCCCAGGGGCTGATAAGATACCGACCGGGCTCTACACCTGCAGCTACAACGGCGACCACGATCATTGACCGCTCGCCCGTACAATACGCCCCTCAGCTTCTTTGCTGATACCGGGTAATCGGCACAGTAGACACCACGCAGGCGCCTGCGCTGCTGCTACTGCTGCTGCTGCTGCTGCTTGCGGCGAGCAATAAGATGCTCCTCCTGCACCAGGTCGGGTCCGTCAAGATCGGCGAGGTCGTCAGGTATACCGTGACGTACCGGCCGAGCCACGACCGCATCCTACCCTCGCCTGAGGCCCTGCACCTACGCATCCGCAACACCTCGGCCATTGCCCTGCGCGCTGCCTTCGTACACGGACCCTACACCCTCAACGTCGCCGCCTATCCGGCCCACTTCGACCCGAATGTCCGCTTCGAGGACCCGCGCCTCTATGGCGTCCCCGAGTTCGAGCCCATGCTCAAGGCCGGCGGCACCTGGACCTGCCAACTCACTGTGCCCGAGCACATACGCCAGACCGCCGGCCAGGGCGCCAGCCGCGGCCACTTCGGCGGGGAGGAGCACGAGCAGGACAGTGTGAGCTGGATTATCGAGATCGACAGCCAGGTCATATTCTCGAGCTCCGCCGCCGTCGGCTATGAGGTTCTGCTCGCCAGGGACGACAAAAGCTTCAACCTGGGCAGTGCACCGGTCATGGGCAGCGGGCAAGCGCAGGTTCCTCAGCCAGGCAGGGTTAGCGACTTCCAGCAGAGCATCGGAGCCAAGGATGGTCATCACCCGGCCCAGATGAAGGGTGTTTTCTCGAAGGCCGTCACGTTGAAAGTTGAGGACACAGCTAGCTTGTGGAATACGCCAAGGTTACCAGGCTGGGACGAGTGGGGACACGGGCGGCCGAAAGAGATGAATCTGGGCAGAGATATCGCGACAGACGCCGCCGGCCCCCCGAGGAATGCGGACAAGGCGACGGCAAAAAGCATTAGGGAGGATGAAGAGATCAAGAACAAGGAGCGCCCGCCGAAGAAGGTGCATCTGGTGGTGATAACGCACGGTCTGCATAGCAACCTTGGAGCCGACATGTTGTACATGAAGGAGAGCATTGATGCTGCGGTCAAGCAGGCCAAGATTGATGCCAAGGCAAGAAGGGCGAAACAAAAGGCTGAAGGAAAAGCAGAGCAGCAACAAAACAACGCTGAGGCTACCCAAAATGAAGCAAAGAGCAGCGATCCAAAGGGGGTACCCTCCGCTGAGGAGGAAGATGAATACGAAGACGAGGACGTCATCGTTCGAGGCTTCTCAGGAAATGCCACTCGCACAGAAAGGGGCATCAAGTTTTTGGGCAAGCGTCTGGCACGGTTCATCTTGTCCATGACATATCCGGACCAGCCGTTTCTCCCGTCTGTGAAATCGACGGCTGAGACTATAGCTACTGCATTCAAACCCGATACCGAGAAAGGGGACAAGCCCGCACACAAGCACAGTTCGATACATCACCCCAAGCATCATGACCATCAGCGGGCTTTTCAGATTACCAGCATCAGCTTCATAGGACATTCTCTGGGCGGGCTGGTACAGACGTACGCAGTTGCATACATTCAGAAACACTCGCCGCAATTCTTCACCCTGATCCGGCCGATGAATTTCATCACGCTTGCGTCGCCGCTCCTGGGTCTTAGTAATGAAAACCCCCTTTACGTCAAGTTTGCCCTCGATTTCGGCTTAGTCGGCAGAACCGGACAGGATCTCGGTCTTACGTGGAGGGCCCCTACCATTGTCCGGAGCGGATGGGGCGCACTCGTCAGCACTCTAGGTGAAAGCGCCCACAAGAAAGTCATGGGTGAAGTCAGGCCCGAGTCCAAACCATTATTGCGAATTCTGCCAACCGGTCCGGCACATGTGGCATTGAAGAAGTTCAGGAACAGGACAGTGTACTCAAACGTGGTGAACGACGGCATCGTTCCTCTCAGGACCAGCTGTCTCCTCTTCTTGGACTGGCAAGGGCTGGGACGTGTCGAGAAAGCCCGCAGAGAGGCGGGGATCGTCGAATCCGTCATCGGCTTTGGATGGGCCGAGTTGACGGGGGCTAATGTTACTTCTCCTCGAAGAGGTCCGTGGTCTCCTGAGGGAGAATCAGGGCCGCCACAACAAGTTCCCCCAATTTCTGCTGTGTCATCTGAGCCTAGTTCGGACCGCGAAGACTCCAGAGAGGTTCCACTGCCCGCCACCAACGCAACAGTTGAGGACGATAGACAAAGCCTCAGTCTTACCACGCCATACCGTGAGGAGCCACCAGCACAGAATTCACAGACTCAGAACGAAGGACCATTATCTGGGTTCTTCAACTTCTTCAAACCAAAGGAAGCACCACCCTCGCCGGCCCCGAAGTCTCCTCGGCCCAGTTCGCCCAAGGGGTCGAAGATATACAAACGAAGCCAGACTCTTAAGCTTGAGAACGACTCGGCTTCCTCAAGCCAGTCCAAGGTGACAAGTGGGCATGAGCTGGACACCGATGAACAGAACCCCATGTCGGGACCTCCACGGACCAGCTTCTTCGAGTCAGCGGGAGATCTACTGAATCCCAAGCTGCCCTCCGTGGAATACTTGATTGATCCATCAAAGCGTCCTAGGGCGATCTTCCATGATCGTGTCTATCACCCTTCTGACATCCCATCTCCACCGCTGAAGAAGCGGCCTACCGGATCCCTTGCGATGCGGCAGAAGTCCTTCTCGCGTAGCGCCGGGTCACAAAAGCCGCCCAAGATAGAGAGGCACGATAGCACCTCGTCCTCTCCTTATCAAACCCCGCATCCCGGTGTCTCACACGAGGGCTCAGGACTCTCGACCATGGATTATGACGACTTGCTGCACACAAGTCCCGATCACGACCCGAACGATGTCATCGACAGTTCCAACATGAGCGTTGAAGAGAAAATTGCCCGTGCCTACCACAAGGGCCTGAGTTGGCGCAAGGTGCTCGTGAAGCTCGAGCCTGATGCGCATAATAACATTATCGTCCGCCGTATGTTCGCCAACGCGCACGGCTGGCCTGTTGTCAAGCATCTCGTGGATGCCCACTTCAGCGATGCTGCTGCTGCTCGGCTGCCCGATAAGAACGAGCAGAGCCAGGAGCGCGCCAAGCCCATGCATGAGCAGCCCGACGAGACGGGCGCGGAGACCAAGCAGGCAAAGCCGCAGACCGAGACTCAGCACGCCAAGTCAGGAGATGGAGCGGGTGCAGGGGATGAGCAAGACGACGCGGCAGACCTGTCTCGTTATGAAGAAATGCCTACCTCTCCATCGGAAGACCGCGAGGCTGAGGATGCTGTGCCTGACCTTCCCAATCCCCATGCGCCATCGCTACATAGCTCGCAATCGCATGATACACATTTGCATTTGGGAGGCTCCCCTGGATCACCGCCACGACCTAGCTACGACCGTCTCGACTCCGTAACGTGGAGCGACCGCGACTGGGCCGACAGCGACAACGAGAGCGAGGACATGGATTCCCTTGCCTACGGTGCCGTGCGGAAGACCTCGAGCGAGGAGAAGCATAAAGAGAAGGGCAAGGACGTCGAGAGGGCCGGCAGCCCTGTCTGGAACTGGACCGAGAAGATCGTGGGCAAAGGCGCCGCTGGGAAGGGGCGAAAGAGCCCGGCGCCGAAGAGTCCTGGCGTCGAGCCGCAGGACGCCGCAGGACAATCCTGAGGGAAATTATGGTTAGATGACAGGCAGATTAGAAGGACATAGAATATATAATACCGAAAGTTATGATCAGGAAATTGTGGCCTCCAGATGCGTACGAGAGATGAAATTTCATAATTATTTACATCATACTCTCTGTCCACTTAGAGACTACTATGAAAGTTGAAACTTTTCCGAATTATTCCAATGTCAGCAATCTTGTCTATGAGGTCCGCGTTTCTGTGGGACCAGGGTTGCTACGGTCACGAACATAACCTCATTCACAATCAGTCATCAGCGGGCAGTAGAGTGAGTGACGTTTGGGCCAGAGTTTTACTTAGGAAGCAACTTTGAGGAGCTAGTAGACTACGGTATTTTCCAAAGCTCATGGCATAGCCGATTTACTCGGACCTTGGCTTTTTGAAATGATGCAAAGCAGAGGTGCTGCCACGATCTCCCGATTCTGACCAGATTCAGATAGTCCAGTCACAGTGTAGGGGCGACTACATCAGGTTTCATCTACGCTTACAGAAACTTCCTTCTTCATCAAGGACGAAAAGAAAGCCAACCTCCCGCGCCCATAGCTGACTAAGGCTGGCACCTTGATAGGACAGTTGCTCATTACCGGATATATCCTTCTGCCAAAAGTCACGAGCTGAAGCGAAAGAGCACAGAAGCCTATCGCGGAACAGGTGGCCGATCCAGATTGTAGCGGAGCATTCGTCTGAGGGCTGCGACCACATCATCGAGTCTGCTTCGTGGCATTCCCAAATGAGGTTCCGACGATCGTCTCCCATCCAGCTGCCGGTACTATAAACGAAAGTCCACTTCAACCGACCTCCAATTTTGTTTCAATGAGAATAGATGTCGGCTTATGCGTCCGCCTATTCGAGAACACGCGGGGCTTCTATTCCCAGTATCCATTATCCTGCTTCCTGCGGCCATGTGCAGTACAGAGACTGCATAGCTTATCTTTGAACTGAGCGCATCAAATCAATCAAGCCACAACGAAACAATGTAATAACCACGAGCAAGTTTTTGTCGTCTGCTTGGTTAACTAATTGGTGGAACACGACACCAGCGCAATGCAGTATACAATGTGGCAGACACTGCCGTGACCAGGAAATCGACTTCAGCGGTGCGGTAGCACCCATGGCACCATTATGAGCCGATAAACATTCGGACATGGCTCGCTCAAAGTTGCAGCGCAGCCCACCAGCACTATGCAGCTGGAACTGTAAATGCGACCGCGACTATAGCTGTACCACAACCAGAATCCGCTCTGCAGCAGCATCTGGCCCCGCGTCTGCAGCAGATCCTGGGGCCACATCCCGGTTTACCGAGCCTCGCGGGCGTGCGGGCGGTATAGAAGCCTCCGAAACACAAGGGTCACCACGGAGGAGAGGGCATGGATCGCCCGGGGAACAAAAGCCGTTGTGGTATATATGCAGGGACTCGTAGGTAAGATGGTAGGATATGCTGATGTTGTGCTGCGGCGATCCCACTGGATGAGGCCAGTAATTCGCCAGGAGGGTTCTGGGTCAGCACTTCCTCAGTGACCGACGACACCTTGCTCGCATATATGGAGGGTGCAATCGAGATCCCCTCTTGCCCGTCAAAGTTGCAGCCCGGGTGTCCGGAAAGTGCCTACGCTGCATCTTGCACATAAGGCCGGACTAGCAAGGCTTTCACCATCTTTCAATGTAAGGTCGTGGCATCCAGTAGTGCCGCATCTCGTTAAAGAGCCGAACAGTACGACAGTAGGGCTGCTCTCCTCGTTTCGTACGAATTAAGCCACTTGGCAACAAAAAAGGGCTGCACTAGAGTGGTATCATAGATGGAGCATGCAGTGCAACCATCGTGGGGTAAGGCTCGATTCGTGAGGAGAAGCACAGTTGTTCGGAGCATAATATATTACAGGGCGAAGTCTCTATAGTACAATGACTCGCGGGCATGTCGCGATGGCAGCCAAAACGATAGCGTTACATAGGCAAGGATACACGCCAAACAACTCTCTCTGCCCTACAGCAAGTCTGAGGATGTGGAGGCAATCAATATAGATGGAGGGAGTGTCTTTATCGAGAAAGATATCCTAGCAATTTTTTCTTCTTTCGCAATTAGAGCTGTACCCATGCAGATGACGAGCACTCCATCCATCATGAGCTCATGGGCCACCGCATGTGAAGAGTTTTATCTTTCGCTCCCCATCGCCTCGCCTCCTTATCGTGCTCACCGTGCATTCGGACTCGCGACGGAGCCTTTTTGTGGTCGCGAATAAAGCCGGGAAGCGCCGAGGTGTGGAGTGATCTGGGGAGGGGACGAGCCGACATTTGACCGATTTAATCGGCCGGGATGCACGCCGTTGGGGACGCGCCAAATCCCAACACTGCTACACTACATCCCTAGGTAGATAGCCATGCTCGCGAGACTTTCCGACTCGAGCCGTATCCGCATTTCATGGCCTGACGTGTGCTTAAGGAATCACGATAGTTCGGGTTCAACTCGGCTCGTCTTTGGCATTATCCAGGTTTTGCTCGCTGGGGCCATGCGGGTCGGACTGCTCGCTGTGGACGGACTCGTCGTCTGAGACATCGTCTCTTCTGTTTCCTTCTTCATCGTGCTGGCCCAACAAGATGTCCTCGCTACCTTGCCATTGCGATGGGTTGGGTGGCATCTGCGTCGTGTCCTCGTCTTCCCACCCGTAGTCCTCCTCGCTATCAGCTATCTCGAAATCGGTGTCCCCAAGCTTCCTTTTGGGGGGAGCAGTTAATAGCGCCAGCGACGTCTGCGTACTGTCATAGCCTACCGCGGCAAGGCCCCTCTGCTCATTGTTAGGTCTGTTACGTAGACAATCAAGGTACGGCCGCGGCTTACAGCTTCAATGTTGAAGGCGAAAACGGGCCCGATGCCGTCTATGTATGCCTTGCCGTTGAGCTTCTGTAGGCCTGCCATATAGACCCCGGAGAGCTCCCCGCCATGAGCCGACCAGTCTCTAAACAGAACCAATCTTGTGGCAATTCCCTGTTCCCATGAATGGGCGTTGATGGCTGGGATAAGGGCGGCACCTCTCTCGGCTTGCATTCGCGTTGCACTGTGACTCAATATGACAATCGTGATATCTCGTGTGGCGGCTAGTTTCTGCAGGCTTGATATGATTGATTGGAGCACCTGCAAGCGGCGTGCTGATGCACTCAATCCTAGTATTATCATATTAGCAGATTCATGGATGGCAGGGGCCTTTGGTGTCTACCTGCTTTGGGGGCTTTGCGAGACTCCTGAACCTTCGGGAAGGCTTGATTTACGAGAGCCGAAAGAGAGTCGATCACGATGAGCGTTACATCTTGAGGTATAGCAGAGGCGGTAGGTCTGCAAAGGAGGGCGATGATATGTGCAAGACTCGGGCATGTGAAATGCAGGAACCTTGTCTCCCTTTCACCTGCAGAGGCCTCGGCACCTGGTGTCGACGGCGTCTCGACTTCTTCCAAGATACCATGTAGTCTTGACCTGCACACCGGACGGAACCCGTCTGTTCTTCGTTCAGTACCACAGTCCAGCCAATTGATTCATGCGTAGACCAAACGAGCTACGATTATGGGTATGGTGCAACTGACCTACCCACACAACCTTTCCACCTGTGCTCAAGGCATTTGAGGTGAGCTGCAAGCTGTGTTAACCCGTCAGATATGGACCGCACCACAAGACATATTCGATCTCCTTACCCAAAACTGGTCTTGCCCGACCCTGGAGGACCCCAGATCTCTATCACCTGACCTCGCTGGAGGCCACCGGGCTTTTCTGTGCCCTCGGATGCGCCATCGTGCTCGATGCTCAAGACTCTGTCTAAAGCCTTTAGACCTGTCGACACAAAACGTGATGGGTCTGTCTGTAGCTCTTCAAGCGCGTCTGCGGCCGAGACTGTGGGGAGACGGTCTGCCCAGATATCAGTCACCACCTTGACTCTACAGACGGAGCTGACGTACGCGTGGACGGCAAGTCGAAGCTTGAAATGTCTTGACCATGAATCGAGTGATAATCCATCGCGCATCAGTTGAGGGCTTCATACATGTGAGCATCATTTGATCAGCGAGACGGTGTACTGGAGGCCGATGGCGTAGGGCTGGCAGACTTCTGCAGCTCGAGGTTGCGGGCAGATCCTTTCCGGGGTGACTACCACCACACGGGACGGCGCATGAGTGGGGTACAGCCAGAAAGAGCCGCACCTCCAACTTTGTAGATTTCCTATGTGCGGAGTAACTAAGTAGACGACGACATTGCTTTGAGAAATTGCATTCGCCAGATAGAGCATCTCTTGCAGAGTGGTGTCGCCTTGTATGTGATCTTGGCGAGTCGTTACTCTGGAGGTCTTTCCTAGCGAGAATCACGATGGGTTTCAAGCACGCTAATCTTCCTGGTATCGTGATAGGCATCATTCGTTTGACGCACTGTCGATGCCACGGCTACGTCGGCATCAGAGATATCGCGGGGAAAACACTTTCGCTGTAGGGCTGCGGTCTCGCGGCTGTTGGCCCGACTAACTGATCCAGCCGTTTGTATTCCGCTGGAGGGTGCTGCCAGGCACGGAGAATCTAGTCATGATGACTGCTCTAGGCTCGCCCATGCTCGGTACTACCCAGGTAGTTCGAGGGCTTATCAGGACGGAATGGAACTTGTCAGAGATCTATGAACGTCAAAAGAGACAAGATAATGTAGCTCCAAGCAACTAGGCACATGCACGTGGTCAGTAGTGTCGAAGCTGGCCTCTATTGCTTGGGCTCAAACTTCCGTTTCGGGGATCGTGCCAGGTACGTTTGCATTTTGAGGCGCTTCAAGTCGGGCCTGATAGCCTTTGGCCCGGTGCAATCCCCATTATTAAAACCCCCGTGGGTATCGTGAGAAACGCCGAGAATGGTTGAATCGTATCAGGTGAAGGTCTACCAATAATTGGGACGGATCTTCTAGCTAGGCCCCCCCGCATTTCGCCCGCCCGCACGCCTGGAATTTTTTGGGATTGGAGGATCTCGGCTGGAAACGTCGACGGGTATAATCATCCCCTATCTCGACCCCACAATCCAGCAGGATCGTGAGATTCTCGAACGAGTCTGTCGTAGAGCCTGTGCAGGATGCAGAAGGACACAGTCGCGCCCAACGGGCGGCAGAAATCTGCTTTGGCCCCCCGACTGCTTCAGGTCGCCTCGCCTCGCCTCGCGTTATCCGAAAAAGCCACCGGCGGTTGACCCACAGGGCCACTGAGGGTCTCATGAGATTCCCGGCCAGCCAAGCATCCAAGCAGGCCCAATGCATAGTCTCAGGGTTCGGAGGGCCTATCCGTGACTGAGTGCATTGATTAGCACACGTTTGTTGCATAACTTCCTATTGAGCCAGGGACAAAATACGATCAAGCCCGCCCATTTACACAATGGTTGCCTGCGCCCAGCCGGTGGCTGAAATCCTGCGAACAGTGCCACGAAAAGGAGCCGGATTTGACCAAGAAGGGATCCCGTAACTACCTCCCTACTTATGTTCACCCCCTAAATCCAGAGCCCCAGATTCTTGATACCGCCCCAAATTCCAGGTTGTCATTTCGTTGCCGCAACGTGGAGGGACGATTGGAGGGCATGATTGGCCACCTGCGGGATGTCGCCCCTGGTTCGGACTCGCATAAGCCCCGAGATTTTCATGCCGGCTCAGCTCTTGGTTCAGACGGGGCGGGCTGTCCTGCAAGGTACACGCGTGTGGGAGGAGGACTGTTTCGATTGACAGGAGCCAACCCCCGGTGTCAGTGCTCTCATCATCCCCTCCAATCGATAGTTCTCGGCGAAAAGGGACGGCTTCCTATCTTGTAGCCGCGGCACTATCGACGGATTTCGTTTCGTGAGCCAACGGTAGTCTGTGAGATTTAATTTGTCCATGCCCGTCTGGGGAAAACAGCTCGTCGCTTGTGAGGCTCGGGGATCTCCGCAGCCTCCTTCCCGCAGGGACTAGTGCACCCATGTTCTTTTAGCCGGCGATTACCTCGCAACTGTACCTCTATCTCAGATGCTATAGCCTGTCAAGCGTGCGGACCTGCGACTTAGCATAGCACGATAACACGACAGCATGGGGGCATCCTGCTTGAGGTCGCCGCCTTCGAGATCAGTTACCAAACGCGGCTGGCGTGACCCGACTCGAGTCGCTGGCTAGTCCTGCTGGAGGAGAAACTCCGAGTTTGGTCCTCGTCACAAGCCTAGGGGCCACCTCGGGTGAACTCGGCGCGGCCGCCATAAAAACTGGGGAAGCTCAAGCCCGCCCAGTACTCAGCTGCGGAATCAGCTTGTCCCTGTCACTCCACACGAAATAGAGCAAGAATTGTCACGATAAAGACCTCATCAAGCCTCAGCCAGGCGTCGGCCGACGAGGCGCCGAGGTCTGGTAATTGCAAACCGGGAAGTCTAGTCTCCACAGATAGAGGGAAATAGCAGTGTCCGGGCATGAGGAAATCATGAACGGGGACTGGGAAGATACTGCTAGTCTACCATCGTACCCGGTGCCAATGAAATACCAAGTCAACATACTTGGTCTGCTCTGTGGGAGCGATCTGACAATCCTTGGCCACCATGCAGTTATCGCATTGAAACTCTGCACAGCATGCCAATGTGTATTCTGGGGAGCCGGCCACAAATGCCTGTTCAAAGACTTTCTAGAATTCGTCATTACCTTGGCTGCTGACTCGCGATAGGGCAAGAAGGGCGAATCTGGCCCAGACCCAGGCTTGCCAGGCAGTGTTGTAATGCCGGGCATGAGGGGATGGTGTCATTTCTGTTGCAGGGATGGGACAGAGCCAAGATTATCTATGGACCCTTGGTGCATTTAGCGATAGCTTCAACCTGGGGAAAGAAATGCGGAGGAAATTCGAGGTGGCTTGTCGCCAAACACACGCAATTGAACCTTCTCCACGAATCTGGGAGATTCTCCGTTATCAGAGCCAGAAGGCAATCATTACGGATCCACTGATACGAATAACTGTGCTGGACAGATCATGAATGCTACATAGTAGAATGCCGTCCAAAGAACCTACGGCCCGGGACCGTCGCTTAGTCACTGTGGTGAGGAGCTAGGGCTATACTATCGCACGAATCTCATACGATCGACCGTACTATGCACGGCAGTTTTGCTTGGACATACTTGAACGGTGCATGATCTTCACAGGGCTGGCATCCTGTCCCCCAGACTCCCCCCTCAACCCCTTCATGCGGGTAGTGCCAACACATACGGAGTGAAATAGCAATCGTGATCATCGTAGAACCCTTGGCACACCTGACAGATACATAATACAGTACTCTTGATTACTGATTATCAGATATGCATGGGAGTGACAACAGAGGATTAAGATAATGCATCGTCACTTTCGCGAGCATGCTACAGGCAAAGCCGTGATAAAGTAGTTGACCGCTTTTATGCGCCGATTATGCGCGAGACGTTGCTATTGTTCCACGAGCTATGTTATACCTGATTTCTCGTATACGTCTGCCTACATACGTGGCTCTCGAGGATTCGCATCTGAGTGGTAAGTTCTGGTCCCAGAATCGCGCCATCAAGTCCCAGCCATTGGAAAGCGATGCACATCACAATCCAAGGTCATCGAGCTTGGGTTTCATCACACTGTGCCTGGGCTCGGCCAACGGGAGCAATACAGAAGTTTAATCATTACGTCGAGAAACGTCACGATAAAACCCATTGTTCAACTAAGTTCCGCCAAGACACGGATCGCAGTCTATTGAATGCCCCGGCCAGACCACATTGTATATTCTGTTTTGCAGCCCCGTACAGCCCCGGCCTCCGGATCCATTGCGATCTTCGCATTGGAGCCGTGCGCTACTGATGCTGTAACACGAAGTTGGCATGACATGGTGTTTCGAGCTGCCCCCGAAAACCCCGTGCACGAGAACTCAATCCCCGGACTTGCGGGAAAGAAATTCTGTCGGGTCGGTTCGGCTATACATTGCGCAAGCAAATACACGTGCAAATCATAGTATCTTCAAGTGCACCGATCCCCAGACCTCCCCGGCTGCATCGCAATCACATGAAGACATGCAATGATGTGAGAATAACACACCAGAGATGGATTCAGAACAGCGCTAGCTTAGAAATGTTGTGATATCCTGGGAAATGACGGGCAACACGGAAGTTACGGGGCCCCAGGAGCCAGCCCCGGATGGAACCCCCACGCTCGCTCTTACTATGGTACCGCTTGGCACCAAATCCCATCGGCAAACCTCGCGGAATTTTCAGGGTCTGGGGCCCAGCCAAGTTATCCGAGGCTGCCATGCTCGCGGCTATGCTCAGAACTGTATTAATCCAGCTTGCGCAATGTCGGCTGCGTTCGAAGGCGGCATTGTCTTCGGCTCGCCGGTTGACTGAATGTGATGCCGTCCTTACTGTGATCATGATGTTCGTCAGATGCATTTTGTTGTAACAAAGAGCGCTTATCACCCCGTGCCAGCGTTATACAGTAGCATCTCCCCAAGCACCTAGGCTAGCATGACATAATGCCGAGAGCAGGATTTTGGGGTACTCAACCAAGTTGTGCTTAGTTCGGTGCACTTTCTGATCTGGCCGTCTCTGACTCGGGTAGCAGATAAGGAAGAATGTTTCGCCCCCAGATACGGAGCTGTCTTGCAGCTGACAGATTTGCCTCCTGAGGCTCTGGACAGCTAAGCTGTGACGAATCCGGGGCTGTTGGCAACGTATGGGGAAGCTAACGTGCCAGATAAGTTCCTGTGGGGGAAGCCTTCGTGGCCATGATAGGACACAGAGCATTAGCATGCTGTAACGATTTACCCCAGGGTCAAGACGAATTAGGCAACGAGTCGAGGATCATGCAGCCAAACAAGTGATGAGGTCAGACACTGACAGTTTCCAGTAGCCCTTCTCGTCCTTTCACTCGCCCATCACCACGATACGCACCCAAAAGGCCGACTCGACTTGACGTGTGCCCAATCCTCCAGGCCCATATCTTTCCTGGTGATATCTGAACCCATCGTGGCATCGCACCTTCTGGGACGGCTAACCGGCTCTTAGCTCCCTGAACGCGGTTGTCCTGGATCATATGAAGAAGGCCCTTCTCTGCCAGGGCTCTGGAATTCCGTCTGCTGGCTCTTTAGCGCGCTCCATACTCCACTGGGCTATCTCCATCTCCTATGCGCTCGGCGTGACGGCTCTTATCTTCTAAGGACACACCCATGCAATACTCCGGATTCGGCCCCACGTTCTCCATGTCCTGAATTGGCGGCTGAGGCGTCTGCACTTGTGGGCTGAGTACAAGGTGAGAAAGAAAGCAAGTCAGCAAGCAAGGTGCTTTTCCCAGACGGAGAAATTGCATGAGCGAGTAGTCTTCGCGAACTGCCAGGAGTATCAATAGAGAATTTGCCTTCTAGCTGCATTCTAGAAAGCCCAAAAAAAACTGCTCGCTGTTTTTTTTTTTCTGGAGACTGACTCGTGGAATAACGCCGAGCAAAGAGACGGTCTTCCCCGCCAGCGCAAAACTGGTGATGTTTTTTTTTCGCTCCTAAATTCCTTGCTTCCCCACAAAACGGCCGGTAGATGACATAGACAAATCTTCCTCTAGACCGGGCAGGAGGCAATAGAGCGAATCAGTTCTCGGCGGCTCTTGCGGCGCTGGTAAAATATGCTCTCGAGCTTGCGCGCCCAGGCGCCGGCAGAGAAAAAGAAGTAGAAAGGCTGTAATGTGGACGCTGTCGTGCTGTGTCTCACTGCTCAGACATGGATCAACTCTTTTCATGAGCCTCAGCCACTCACACCGCCTGCGGGCACTTGCTCCTCTTTGGGCAGGAAGACTGTTGACCTCGATGCATACTGAATAGACTCAAGGAAAGAACCAGTTCAAGTAGCTGCCAAGACGAGTCAAGAAGGAACAAAAAAATATCCTCATCAATCTGTTGAGCACAGTCATCCCTCGTCAAGGCTTGCGGGGACTATGTAATAAGACCGTCCCATGTTTGTCTCGCGAGAGAATCAATGCGGAACATGGGCGGTTTCTCAAGTCAACTGGATAGGAACCGCCCCGTCCCAGACGTGGAGGTGAGATATGAGGGCGCTGCCCAGGCCTGGCCCCCTTGGGCGTCAGTCTTGTTGTCGTCGTATCCAAGGAATAGTAGTTACCACATCGTACAGCCTCAACTAACAAAGAACAACACATGCTCACATCGAGACACACCCGCTGACCTCGACACGCGCGCTCCTGGCACACCACCAGACGGCCCTGACGGCACCCCCCTCCCTCCCAGGCGCAGGGTGTGTGGGCAGCCAAGCGGCCCTGAGAGATACGTACCGCCAGGCCTGCTTTTCTTGGACTTTGAGGCCCTCCACGTTCCTTGTCCGGCCCCCTCTGAGACCCTCCACGGTCCCAGACTCCCAGACTCCCAGACTCCCAGGCCCCCAGTGGCTCCCCCAGGCTTGGTCTGCCCACGCACCCGCCCACGCATTCACCCTAGAAACTCTGATCCTGGCCGACAGGGCGGATCCGGAGGTACTGTAGGTACATCTTTTTGGGGGTCACCCACATTTACACAATTCTCTGCCCTCCAGGACAGTACAGTGCCTCCCTTAGCGCAGTGCATAGGCTCTGGCGTGCTCGCTCGGTCGGGGTGCGTGGAAGTACTGGCCCTCACTGTGGCCGCTGGGGACAGCCTTCCCGACCCGCCCGACTCATTTAAAACCATAGCACCTACCCCCCATCTCCCCGACAGATTTCCTTCTGAATTCTGCTGTACCCCAACTGCCATCACCACAGCAAACCTCGAACGAGGACTCGACTATAACACCACCGCGCCAGGACCAGACAACCTTGGCGTGCAACACACTCGATTTGGGGTTTTGGGACCTTGCAACAGGGAAAAAAGAAGAAAACAATCTACTCTATCAGGGACACCGTTCAGGACATCGCCGTCTTTCTTGGGGCTGATATCCTGCTACGCCAATATAGGGACGATTGTTTAAAAAAAATTAAAGGGAAGAGGTGCCCCCTTGGCTGGCGATCACATGCAACGCTCACAGTCAGCGGTGGATTTTTCCAACCTGCTGAACCCCGAATCTGCACCCGCGCAACACGACAAGCTGGCCAGCACAGTCACCACGCAGCAAGTGGACCACGAAGGCGACGTGGATATGGCTTCCGTCACGGTTATCCGGCCCAATGGGCCTCTTCCAGGGGGGCAGCCGGCAGAGAACCCAAGTGAACTCCCCCGGCCTTACAAGTGCCCCCTCTGTGACAAGGCGTTCCACAGACTGGAGCACCAGACGAGACACATCAGGACTCACACTGGCGAGAAGCCGCACGCATGCCAGTTCCCTGGTTGCAGCAAGAAGTTCTCGAGGTCCGATGAGCTGACCCGTCACTCGAGGATACACAACAATCCTAACTCGAGGAGAGGAAACAAGAACCCTCAGACCTCGCATCACCACATGTCCGGCTCCCTGACGCCAGACTCCATGATGCCGCCGCCTGCAGGGCCCAGGTCCATCAAGAGTGCGCCCAACTCGACACTCGTCTCGCCCAATGTCTCGCCGCCTCATTCTTACTCGCAGTACGCACTCCCTCAGGGCCCGTTATATGGCCGTGGCATGGGAGGCAGCCCTCTGTCTGGCCACACGATGGACATTGGAGTGCTCGCAAGCGCTGCGAAGCAGGTCGAGCGGGATAACATCACATCGCATCACCACTCTGCCAGACACCACCCTTATTACTCTCACAGCATGCACTCGTCGCGTGGCCATCTGCCATCTCTGTCTGCCTATCACATGTCGAGGTCCCATTCGAATGATGAGCACGATGACCACTACAGCCACCCTCTGAGGCATGCAAAGAAGTCTAGACCGAATTCACCCAACTCAACCGCTCCTTCTTCCCCTACCTTCTCACACGATTCTCTATCGCCTACTCCAGACCACACTCCGCTAGCCACACCGGCTCACTCTCCTCGACTTCGACCTTACTCTGGTATCGAATTGCCGACGCTTCGAAACCTCACTCTTGGACACACACCTGCTTTGGCTCCTATGGAGCCACAGCATTTTGGTGAAAACCCTCAGTATCAGCAAACACAGCCTACCAGCACTCCTGGTCCTCGGACCGGTCTTTCACTCACCGATATCATCAGCCGCCCTGATGGGAGCAGAAAACTGCCTGTGCCTCAGGTGCCCAAGGTCGCTGTTCAGGACCTGTTGGTTGCGGACGGCTTGAACAGCAGCGGCCGAAGTTCCACTACCGCGAGTCTGGCTGGTGGAGATCTCATGGATCGGACGTAGTGCAACCCGGCCCTCGCAGATCTCTTTTCACGACATTAATGACGATTATGGTTTTTAGAGGATAAATATAGAGAAGGCGTTTTCATGGCTGAGATATCAGGGCGATTCTGGACCATCGGCTCCTCTAATTGCGAGCATTGGCAGGCGTGATGGTTAACTTGGGGCTTTCAGGGCGGAAACGATGTATAGACTTTTGACCACGTCGGCGGACTAGATCTCCTCTTTACGTTTGGATTTCACAAGTAATTCTTCTTATGGCTCCCTTTCTGGGTCCAAAGATGGAAAAGCTACAATACCATTTGTTTCTACTCCACAACAGATCTGCGTGTCCTTTTCGCTACGTGAATTCCATTGTATGTCTTCTTGAGTATTTCTGGTGCACAGGACTGGTAACACCTTCAGATGATGCCCTCGGAAGTGTTGCACCACGGCTCAACTATGCGATAGGCGATCCAAGGTAGAGGTCGTTGGACCCAGCTGGCCCTCGAAAGGGGGCTCCTGCCGAGTGCTCATGTCAGCCGGAGAGTCTTGGCAGGTCTGATGCAATCCTTGCAGCTGACCGAACTGAGGTGCCTGAGTATACGTGAAGGCGAAGGCGCGTATGTACATACAGTACACCGGTGGTCTTAGGATATCTGCATCCCACACGCCACGTTTCTAGGCCGTGCCGCCCCGTGTGGTGTGCCTGGACACCCTGGAGGGCAATTTCGGGGAGGGCATAGCAAAATGTACATGATGGGCTGTGCATCCCCAGACGTTCCCCTGATTCGGGTACGAAGTATCTGCGATATTACCCCGCATAAAAAGGAAAGACAGCGGCACGGAGCGTCAAAGGACTGGGTTCAAGGTTGAGACCGCGTAGGGCAGTCAATATCGTTTGTCTATTTTCCTCTCTACATGCCATGTATGCACAGCAATCAATCTGGTCGCGCCCGCTGAAAAGATCGGGCTTTCTTGCATATCTGCTCCAGTGTGACAACTGCGAATGGCTTCGACCACCTGTTCCGGGCGGGACCGCGGGGTGCCCGGACGTCAACTCCAGCCTATCTGCTGCGCAGGCTTGCTGCTCGTGTTGGTAACATGCATCTTCATGCCCGCCTATCCTATCTAGCCTTACAGCCAAAGCAGGAGCGGAAAGGACAGCAGCTGAAAAACTTCCCGGCCGTCTCCCAATTTTTCCCTAACAAGAGGCAATCCCAGGCGACCGTGTGGTGGTGTACGTTGGGGCCTGGGCGGCTGTGCTACGAAATACAACGTCGCTGGCAACAGAAGAACAAGGTGAAGTACGTATGTAACACTATGTACTGTTATCAAGATGAATGCACGACATGAACAGGATTGCTACCCTTTCAGTCAGCCCCGGACTTCCCCGGCATGTGCAGTGATTAGCCCTCTCCCTCTTTCTCGTGAGCCGTCCAATGCCCTTCCAGGGACTGGCATTTGCGAGGCGAAAGGAGCGGTGGGAGTCAGTCTCTGACCCCATTCATCTCCTCGAGGGCCAATATCATGGCATTATTGGGGGTGAGAGTTCTACGGCTCAGCCTCACTGGGGTCTCTGCTGACCGTTATCTTTGGGTGAGATTCAGCCCCTTGGGGTTTGGGGGTTGCGTTTTCGTCGGGTTGGGGCGGATGAAGACGGCGGAGCTGACGTGATCGCAGGCCGACCATGGACAAAAAAAAATTACCCCCAGACCCCCCAAGTTTTGCCCCAGACTGTATGAAACTACCTGGCTGTATGAGTGATGGGGAATCCTTGGCGGCAATCCACACAAGCGGGATTTCACGTCTTACCAACAACGCAGCATTCAGTAACTCGTAGTCCCCGTGAATTCCAGCGTTAGACCTACTCGTGCACGCGTTTCGGGCACTAACCAAGTAACGAGGCTGTTTTCCGCCCCAGCGGCTCCCTTCGATAAACAAGGTTTTCGTCCACGTCGATGGCCAGCCCCCTTGGTTCCAGGCGGTCCATATGATGTAAGTCAAACATGCGAGTGATGTGGTCAAGGACAGGCATTGTATTGCAAATTGCGGGGCTCCGCCGTCATTCCCGGATGCTGTAACTTGAAGATCGGGGTCCATCTGTACTATCGGAAGACTAAACATTAATCAACACTGACGTCTTAACCCTTAGAGCGTGAGTTGCCGGCTTCCTATCCAATGGAACGTGCAACAGGCTTGGTGCATTTGGAGCGCATTCCAGTTGCATCGCAAGAATGCAGGAGTCCTTAACTTCCAAGTTTCTTGGCCTCGTACATTCCGCAAGGCACTTATGATCCCGGTATACCTCCCTGTGGCAGAGTCTCGATTCGGTAGGCCTTATCCACTAGATTCTCCTTGGGGAGATACACCGAAATCGTGTCGATACACAGGCACTGTGATGCGTGCAACGCCGGGCGATCACAGCCACGCGTTCAGATACGTGCGAAAGACCGCAAGTGATCTTGCACATGAATGGTTACGCCGCCTGAGAGGTGAGCCCCCCTCCCCCAAGCATCCAACATGGCCTGACCTCATGCGATATCTGCTGCCAGGCCAGTCGCCATTGGGGTTGTGACTGGGGGTTGTACCACGGGAAGCGCGGGAGCTAGACAAGTGGTGACGAGCAGCACACGTCGAGCACGGGCAACGGAATCGCACGGATGAGCATAGTAAGTCTCAGGCAGCGTGGTGTGTTGAGCATCTGCCTTCACCGCAAGTTCCAAGACGCTGGGGGAAATGAAGAGGGTGTGAACCAAGAATACTATGCGACTGCTTCTAACTGACTGGGTTGGGGTCATGAAAGGTGACACTCTGGGCCCAACCAACTGCGCTCCGTGATCACTGGTCATTCCCCGTTTCTGGATGGCAAACGTGGGGTCAGCCCGCGCGGGATTCTTTTTGCTTGACACACGTACGCCAGCTGAGGGCCTTGCCATTATCGTCTTGCTTTTTCGGTACGTTATTTGGGGTCTAGTTTGATGGATGACAGCCCGATTCGCTGTACTAGCGCCTATGTCAATATTGGCGCCTATATACGAGAACTTGTTCTGAATCATCTACGACAACGCAGACCACCGACCATGCTGTCCAACTCATGGCAGCATCAACCGGGTGGGTCTGGGGTGATGTACCGAGGCGCGGATAATCTCTCTCAATACAAATCCCATTTTGTCCAAGAATAAGCCTGGGGGAGCACGTCGCCGGATGCATTCCTTTGCCCGAAACGTGTAAGCGAGCTGGAGATACGTACTAATTGCAGTCTCAAGAAGAATTGAATGTCTCAAACAGTTGGCAGCAGTTCGTGGGGGCACAAGATGATCAGAACATATGATCGACTCAACGCCGTCAAGGCGGTCGGTGAAACATGCGCGGTTTTGGCAAGTTTGACTATGTGGTTCAGACATGCAGCTCACCAGTTGGGCTTGTTGATCTGTCATTTCTAACGATCCGGTGGAGGTTCAAAGTGTTGCTCCAACGTCGACTATGCGTTGGTTATTCGGGGGAAACGCGTAAGATGAAATCATGGCACGATCAGGAGCCTGATGCTCAACATTGTTAAAGACTGACAGCTGAAGTGTTGGACTAGGCAGTGCAAGCTGATTGGAACCATTGGCACAAGATGGAGTGTAGCGGAGGATGTGCAACAGGGTTTGGCTTCCAGGGGCCCCCACGCCGCCCCGGGTTTTCGTTGCCCTGCAAACTGCCTATTCTGGCAACGAGGTAATCTACCCCACAACGCCAAACTATCGCTTCGCTCGTCCCCCATGGGGATCTTATGCAACTTATACGATCGGGACCATCTTCGCTGATCGCTCCCAGTTGACCTTCCGCAAGTGAGTACAGCAATACCGGTCTATTAGGATCTCTAAATCAAGCGGGTTTACTGCAGTTATTGGGATTTGAAGTTTGGCTTTGCCGGAACGCACGAAAAAGGGAGTGTGGCGTGCGATCCCGTGCTCCACGACAACGCCTCGAAGTCCTAGACGGTGTTCTCATGGGGAATGCACAAAACAAGGCCCCCTCGTACTATACTTCTCAGCTGAGCCCCCCTCTTGTTCACTAGGTTGCGGCTTGGGCGACAAGGGCACTGGCCGTCTAGTCGTAGCCTTTTGGGCTCCCGACCCGGTGCCCATTTTGGAACGACACTTGAGACCTGCCATCTAACCAGCCTAGTTGTCTATCTGGTCCGTCCAAGACCTTGGGGCGTATTTCGACACTCGATACAGGGCATAGCGTGGAAGCAGAAGTCAAGTCGCTCGAATCATCAAACCAGATTCGTAAGATCTTCCAACCAATGGTGGATGGGAAACCGTCCCAAGCCGGCATTTCGGTTCCAAGCCCCGGTTGCAGGGGAGCGTCCAGGGCATGGCGTGCAAAGCGGATTGAGCGGGATCGACAACCTCACACGCAGTCTGCCGCCTTTGATTTCTCTGTTGAATTCCGGATCTACGAACGCCTGATCAGAGTGTCAGAAAGTTCTATCCATCAATCGAGAACCGTGTAAGCGGGCTCACCGATTTGAATGTGGCATCACACCTGCACCGGAAGCTAGGGGCGGCTTACTGATGACCCCAAGCGGTAGCACCTACCGTTGCAGATTATCCCTGGGTGGCAAGCATTTCCGTCTGCATGCCTATATTGCACGGTGAGCAAGCCGCTTTGCCTTCCCGTGCGCACCTCAAGCGGTCCGACATGATGGAAGCAATCGAGATCAACAAAGATGTCGGAGGAGATACAGCAATCTAGGCTTTCCCAGCAGACTACGGGTCCCTTGTGAATGTGGTTGTTGTGGATGGTGCGCCTAACACAGGCTATCGGTCTATCTTTGCGCCAGGAATCCCAAACCCCATTCTTCTCGACTACGTGGTGGCACCGTGAGGGCCCGCAGGCCACGATGCTATTTCGAGATACCCTACGGAGCGCCTTCACCATTCATCTTGATACAACGCCTGTTGCAACCCGCAGTGCGGCGTTGGCTAACTGGGGTCTAGGAGTTCATCCTATCTCTGAAGTGCTCTTGG